ACACCCCCCTGACGTTCCCTGGTCCAGTAAGAGACCCACTAGTAGTACAACGGGCAAGGTACCTTTATGACCAGCCCTAGCACGATACCTGGGAGACCCACTTCCATGAACCACCCTGTAAGGCGCTAGAGGGTAATCCCTGTTCTTGAAGGGCTGAAATACTGGGACCCACCCCACGGACTAGGTAAGTAGACTGGTAGGGCTTTTCCTATGTTGCGGGTTAGTCCTTCTCGAATCTAGTTTTAATATGCACCTAAGTCGCCCCTCTTCACTTTCTGGTAACCCTTTCATACATGTACGAAGTAGAGTGAGAGAGAGAGAGAGAGAGAGAGAGATAGAAAAAAAAGAAAGGTTGTGGATGGATTCTTGCGAGTGTTAGGCCGAAACTTTTCTACATCACTCACATCGTCGTCTCTCTATTCGGTCCCTATTCGCTCCTAGAAACACGTCTTCTTCTCGCCCACCCCTATGCGATTCTTATAGTCGCCCGAACTCTGCGTATCTGCGTATAGTCATCGTAGGGAGTACCAAAAGAGCAAGGGGCCAAATTTGAAATTTGGATCCATTGGTCAACATTGGTCAAGCAAAAGCTCCTTCGACAGAAAACGATTTACTAGCCCAGCTTTTACTATTATCCAGCTATATCCTCTCTTGTCATCCACCTCGGGTTGTAGCTGAGCTGAGCTGAGCTGAGCTTCATGACAAGAACAAAAATCTCGTCTCCCGATTTGAACCTCGGACTATTTTCTCTAGAGGCTCAACCCTTTGTATTAGCTTCGGTTTTCTTTTCCATTGAGCCCATCTCGGTGTATTACCATCGTGTTATTATATCTGCATGTTTACTACTATCATGACGCTTTACGTTTTCCTGCTATCTTAGAATACCCTCGCACGATCATCTGCTTCTGAAGTACGACTCTCCGACAACACATATTTCGCAACCTTCCACATAGACGACATCGGCACTGCCGACACGAATATTGCCACCACCATCCTTACGACATCCCGCCTCTTGATTCAAGACTGCGCCATTGTCGGTTCCCATACACCGTCTTTGCCAGCTCCACAAGCCCATCAGATGTTCTAACCCATTCTCGGACTGCTATTCGTTCGACTCGGCAAAATAATATTCAGATTCCACATACCCTTCAGCTACTCACCGTTACTACTAAGCTGTGGCAACTCTGTCATTGGCCTACGTCGAACAAAGTCAGCTTCGTTTGTTCGAGTCTTCGGAAGGGGGAACACAATATGGACATCCCAAGATGCGCACCAAGGGAGCCGGGAGGCTCGCCGCCGGCCATATACATCGAGGGATCGAGCCACTTCGACCACTATGGAGGCTCGGGCCGGTCTCATATGCAATCGAGATTCCAATCCTCTCTAGCCTCTTCTACCCCTATGCCGATATCTAACAGCCGCCGTCTTGCTGAAGACGATGCACCGCCGCCACTACCTCCCCCGAAATACCTGCCTGGGCTTGGACAGCCGGCTCCTACTCGACACGACCGTATCCCATCGATTGATTCCAATGCAAGCTGGGATAGTACTAGACAAGAATTGGACCAGGATCGGCCTCCGTATGGTAGGGCTGATAACGATCGTGGGATAGGACGGCCTCATAGAGACGAAGGCTATCATAGTCTCAACTCCACCATCTCGTCGTTAGGGTAGGGATAGTCTGTTAAATCTACGGCGATATGCCAGTCGGAACGAAGTGCTAACTGCTAGGCTTTCCTTCAGATCCCAGGACTCTCTCCCCAAGAAACTCTTCATGTCTCATGACCAGTACCAATTTAACAGGCCGAATAGCAACGACTATGACAGCTCGTTAATTAAGAAGCTGGACTCGAGACGAACATTTGACAACAGGACTCCGCCTCGACGGTCTGCTCTCAGTGCTTCCGTATCGAACTTGACTGCACACGAGCAACGTCTGCACACTCAACTAACACCTCTTTCTCTTCCTATTCGGCCGAGCAATAAGTTGGTCATCGATTCGCCCGGCCGTTATACGGATACTCCCCCGCAGTCTGCACTCTCCCCACGTGGGCCTTCGTTCTACGGGGCTTCGAGTAGTGAATACCGTTCGCCTATAGAACCTATGGATCTAGATCGATCGCCTTTTGCGCGAACGAGAAGGAATAATAGTGGTTCATTACCTGATGATGCAACAATATCCACACACAGCAGCTACGACAATGCAGACGACAATGACTTTACGATGGAGGATAGGTCGCAAACTGAGGACTACATGTTGCGGTCAGAGCACCAGGCTATTGGGCAGAAGAGACGGGCGTCTTCACCGCCTGGGGATGATATCCCGATGCAAGGCATGTCCGGATTATGCGACCCATTACGACGTCGTGAGGGCGCATCCAGAGCATCACCAACACCACGCCTCGCCGGCATCCCTCCCGGTTCTATTCCTTCCGTTCCATCCACCACGCGAAGTGGATCTTTTGCTTCAAATGCCTCACTTACCACCAACCTGTCAAGTATCAATTCTTTCACTGGGAGATCACCCGGCGGCTTATCTAGTGGAGGACTTTCACCCGTTGACGTCATCTCAAACTCGCCTTATAGCATTCCGAATTCTCTCGGTCACTCGCCACGCGCTTCGCTTGCACGTGTCCCCCACCAGCGTAACCTTAGTAGTGAAACCAGACGTCTCGCCTCGCCCCGTAAAGTGAGTGAAGTATCTAAAACCGGCATCTCAAAGATACCTGGTGGTTTTTTCATGTGCGAATGCTGTCCCAAAAAGCCAAAAAAATTTGAGACGGCAGAAGAACTAAGGTAAGTGGTCATTCAACCCTATTCAGGGGTTGATTATACGCTATTTCTTACTTTTACGGATAACTAACCTTTTCGTTTATTTTTTCTAGCGCCCACGAGGCCGAAAAGCAATACGAGTGTTCGTTTTGCGGTAATCGGTTCAAGAACAAGAATGAAGCAGAGCGCCATCAAAATAGCCTGCATGTAAGGCGACATAGTTGGTCGTGCTCTGCGTTACTTCTTTCGCGCTACGACCGCGCGTTTCACGAGAGTACCAACCGACCTGGTGAAGCAGATACATGTGGTTACTGCGGAGAAGAATTTGAGCGCCACGGTGGTGTTGGGCGTCCACGACAGCCAACAGAGCAGGATTGGGATGAACGACTGAAACATCTTCAAGAGGTGCATAAATTCCGCGAATGCAACTCGAGCAAGAAATTCTACCGTGCAGATCATTTTCGACAGCATCTAAAGCACAGCCATGCGGGGACCAGTGGTAAATGGACTAATATGTTAGAAAATGCATGCATGCTCGATGAAGAGCCACCACAACCGTCAAGATGAGCGAATTGAACCGACCATCAGCGACGGGGTTGGGTAGCAATACTGCGCGGGGTTTTCGAGGGGGAAAAAAAAGAATCTACAAGCTGTGGATGCGAATTACTCGGGTTTCGTTGGTTGGGGGGTCAATGTGTCCATCGACGCACAGCAACCGGCCTACAATTGGGCGGTGGGATGAAAGGGATCAATCGAAGCAAGAGTAATCAATCAATCAATCAATCGTGTGCGGTGCGCCTCGGAGTCTCACCTCATCTAGGAGCAGGCTGGTTTGCTTTGCCGATCTCCCGCCCGTTGGATGCACGCTCGCGGAGATAAATTAAATGGTCGGTTGCGGCACGATTATCAAGTCGATGCCTTATACAACAGGCCTAAACCGGAAAGTAAATTCTTGGCTCCAGCAACAAATATTCCATATTCTAGCCGGGGCGACTAGGCGCCACTAAGGCACATTGGGATATAGTAGGGTGGGATTCCACGTTGTCAATGGTTAATTTACGAGACGAGACGTATATGCTCGTTGACGGCACCGTTCCATTCCAACGGGTATTTGTGGCTCAATAGAGCTTGTGGAGGTGCGGCTCGTCAACGTTGATTTGAACCCATCAACAGTTGAGTATTTATAGGTAGCGATAAAATTCGGACAGAAATGAATTGACGACTCATTGGGCAACCAAAACATAGACCCATCTATTATTTGCATTATATAACATATACCTAAGTACATCTGGGCGTTCGAGAGGACGAAGGGATACCCATGTCTTTTGAGTGCGAACTTGTAAGCTGAATGTGCATGTAAGTGCTGACACCCTTTAGAGTATTACCTATAGTGACTCGAGTTCTTTACTCATCTCGGACATTCGTCCTTTGAGCCATGGAAAGGATGCGTCATTATGTTTAAACGCCAAGCTCGCTTGGTTAAGACATTTCGGCTTTTCTATATTATTTTGGGGTAGGGTATTTTGAAGAAGGGGTTTTGAGGAAGGCGGGGGAAGGGAATTAATGTTCTGCGTATAAGACGTTCCATCGCGGGATTCGCTACAACCCTTGCGGGCATGGGATACCGCGGATATTATAGCAAAGAATAACAAAACTTATATTAGTTCCATTTATTCAATAGTAGCGTGAAGTCTACATATACTTGAACCAAATAGAGATAGAAAATAGCACCTGGTTATGGCTATGAGATTTAAAAGACTAAAGTATTTAAAGACATAATGCGAAGTAAAGGAAATTTAATGACCAAGTAATTTTAGTTTTCGATTAAAGAAGTAGCTGCATAGTAATCGTAAAAACAAATTTTCTTTCTGTTCACCATTGCGGGAGGTAGTATTTGACTAATATCTAGGTATGTAGGTCTTCAAAGTCCCATGTCAATTGGATGGGAATTTGGAATCCCGAGTTGCATTATTAATAGCTTACAACCTAGCAGCTAGCAGACTAGCGTCAAAAACGGGCAATCAGCATAGTCACATGATTCAGCCCTACCGGAAGGAATGAAAAGTCTAAACTAAGGTTAACATTTGCACAGCCGCTGACGCCACAAGGATATACATACCTACGTTGTACATGTATAGGTACATATCCCACTCGAGGGGCTCAAGCTTAATTTCAATGTATTCTGCTGTATGGACCCGTTTTTTGCCCGCGCAGCTGCCCGCGGCACAAATACGGCATTCCGCAGAAATCCGTGTAAGAGTTTGCCGCCCCTTTACATAGATACCTTCATATTTTAAGGAAAGATTTCTTACCTTTTTTCTAATATAGACTAGGGTCAGCTATCGCTTTTGACAACTGATTCCTCATCCATTATTCTAGGCACCCGCGGAGAAAATTGAGACCTAAAGAAAAGCATCATGTCATTTTCCAGGGTACCCGGACCCGATAACCTTCACGTCGGAGGGTAAGTTTATACCCTTACTCTTCCCCACACTACATATACGGTCACAGGTATTTACCGAAATATGAGCTGACATAAGCATCCAGGGTTTGGGCTCTGAATATCGAAGGGCACCGTGACAAGCTTTACGAACAGAATGTCACTCATGTGCTCTCTGTCATTAAGTTCTCATTTGACAAATGGGGCGAAGAAGGAAAGCGGTTTAAGCACATGAGCATCGATATTGATGATGACGAAGACTCGGATCTATTAGTTCATCTCTCATCTACTGTACGCTTTATCCGTAATGGACTCTATCCGCCAGTCAACGGCGCCGATGCAGATGCAGATGCAGATGCATCTGTAGAAACCAAAGATGACGGAAATCTCCCGGGCGGGGTATTCGTACACTGTGCGATGGGTGTATCGCGTTCCGTAAGCTGTGTTATCGCCTATCTCCTCTACCAATACCCTCACCGCTTTGGGGGCAAGCAATTTACTCCTTCAGTCGCTTCGGCAGCCGAGCGGCGGCAAACATCCAAGGAGGCCGTAGAGAGAGCTTTGGAGTGGGTTCGTCAGTCTCGTGAGCGTGCCGGACCCAATCCTGGGTTTATGCGCCAGCTCGAGCTCTGGTGGGAGATGGGATGCCCAGCTGATGATGACAGCGCTGTGGAGCGGCACCCCATATATCAGAAGTGGCTGTACGAAAGAATGCTGAAGGAATCTAGGGATGTACGTCAAGCTCCAGAGGCTGAACGCATCCGGTTCGAGGATGAGGTGGATTCGGGAAATGATGGTATCGAAACCGGCGTAGACAAGAAAGTCGGCAAGGAGATCCGTTGCAAGAAGTGTAGACGCATTCTTGCGACGCCAAAGTTTATCGTACCCCACGCCCCTACTGAGCGGCCAGAACCTTCAAATTGTGCTCACGTTTTCGTCGAGACGCTCTCCTGGATGCGGCCAGCGCTAGAAGACGGTGTGCTGGAGGGGCGTCTGTCTTGCCCAAATGTTAAGTGTGGCGCCACAGTTGGTCGTTTCGCCTGGCAAGGCCTGAAATGCAGCTGTAGCGAATGGGTAGTCCCGGCCTTCTCGCTTAACCGGAGCCGCGTTGACGAGGTGGCTCCCCGGGGCACAGATGCGCCTGCAATCCGGCAACCACCTGGTCGAAACGGGAACCTATAACATGGGTTACTTTAGCAAGAGAGCCTCATTAATGCTTGTCATCCTTGCTTGCTTTCATAAGACTCCTTACCTATATATCCACCAAGTAAGCGGTCTATCGTATTGGTCGAGACAACGATGGTGTTGGTTTTCTACAAGCGTCGTCTACCTACCTACGTAGTAGCTACCAGAAATTGTTGCTCTAAGCACGAGCCAACATATGCTGACCACACACCCCCTTAATCGGCATCTCACCTAACCCGCCGCTAACGACCCAAGGATCAAGTCTGAGCAACGGGGGCTGAACGTATTGTTTGACACCTCGTTTCCTCCATACACGCCTCTATTCATCAACTGCACTTCGCGAAATGTACCCCCAATCAGATATCACATGTATTATAGGGCGCGTCGTTCAGCAGGTTGCTTTCCTTTGCGGCATAGTGTCAGATGCACGCCACTAACCCTACCGAATGTAATCCGTACGCTTCAGGCATAGGGCTTACCCCTTTCTCGAAAGACCTGGGGTCATAACCTTGCTTACCGTCCGAACTCAAGGGCCCTCCCGTTTCCCCATTCTAGGTAGCCTGCGATCTCGTTAAAATCCCCCTAAAAAAACCGTTGCTAGCAACTACCCCCTGATGGTCCTCTACTCCGTAGGCCTGCGCCGTTTCGCAGTCAATTTGCGAAGCTAGCATTCCCAACTCCATCCCACCACCTCTTGTAAGCTAATCAGGTCAGGATTAGTCCCACACCCCTACAGAGCTCTATTTGGCCATGTGCAACCTCCCCGAGATGAGATTACCTAGACTGAGACTGTCAGCTTGTTCGCGACAGAACTGTCGGTGTAGAAAGGCGGGATGCTTCAGTTACCGCTGTGCCTCGCGCCAGCCCCTTACAGTAACAACACCGCATCACAAATCTCTCTTGTGACGCGGGGGCGTTCATCCCACGCAGTCATCGGTTCTTCCTGCTTTGCATACAACGATGAGGGCTTCCAAAGATAAATCATATGTAGATCGAGGCGGAGAACTCTGCTGACGTCAAAACAAGCTGCGGCGTAACGAATCGGTATATCAAAACCACATGTCTTATTTACATTGCATTGAAATGACGTCTATTAAGTCAAACGCCGGTGATATCTTTCCTATTGATAATCTGTACTGTTCACCAGCTCTCTTCAATGCTTCTTAACTTAACTCCTATCTATCTACAAATCCCACAATCATGAAGCTCCCCACGAAACTGATGGTAGCAGCTGATAACAAAGAGGTCAGCTCTGCTGACGGAGCCTACTTTGTTACGTTATCGAATCAAGTCAATCAAAGGAAACTTTTATTGCAGAGGAATACTTATTAGGGACATTATAATTCCTAGCCGAATCAAAGTCTTCATAATCACATCCCTTCCTAACGCCGGTCTCTATCGTTTTAAAAGCCGACGACTGTTGTTGTTTTATCGCCATCGTAATCTCCTTTTCCCTTTATTCCCTCACTTCTACGCTACGGTACTCCTTTCGATAGATGGAAGAAGAAGAGGAAGCCCGTGCGCAGCACAATTTAATAATGGGAACGTTAAGAAATCGCAAATGTTCCGGAGAAAGGAAAAACAGAGAGAAGAGATACTGAATACCCCTGCTACTAGATCTACAGATACGTATATACTATGCCATGGGCCTTGCTCCTCCATTCATGCAGGAACGGCGAGGAGTGACAGGTCAGTATTACGAACAAGGAAGCGGCGTGCGCCTCCGTTACCATGAGCTCCCCTGGTCCGACCGGCCTGGCGGGTGGTCGAAAAATAACAATTTATCATAATGATGATGACGACGATGATGATACTACTGTTTGCGTACGTGCGGTAGGAGATAACAAAACCAATGATAATCAAACACTCTGATCGCTTCGGACTTAAGCAAGGGAAAGATTTATAGGCTTTAGCTAGCAAAAGGCGGCCAATGCCCGCGTCTTACGACGCCCGCACCCCCCCGAAATGAAGATTCTCACGGCTCGGACGCAAAACGCATATTACCTAGTCCAGTCCCCTTGTAAGGCGGGTCGCGCTTCGCGGCATACGTATGTATAGACGAGGATCTATGTAAGGGTTTAGCGCGTAAGGTGCAATGACGCGCAGGCTGTATGTGCATGTCGAAGTATTATACCGTAAGGGGTAAGCGGTATACAGCCGTCGTATGTTCTCTTAAGACGGTGGTTCGTCGCTATACTACCTACTCAATTTCCACATGCGAAAAGGCGCCGACCCCCATCGTCGTCGCCTCGTCGGTCGTCATCCAATGACTACGAAAAATACAGCCTAACTAGGCTAGGTTCTACGTGCCAAGCCATCCATAGCGAAGCCTCTTCAACATAGGTACCTAGCATTACTACGTACATAAAGTCACATAACGATTGGGTAGTTATGGGGTGTGGAGTTTGGCTTTCAGGTCGCAGGGCGGGCCTGTCTTCCTCGTGACTATGTTGCAGTGTGGGATTCCCTCTTGGGGGGGAAACAAGGGTGGCACAGTCGCTACGGTTAGGGCTGTTTCGATGTCAACGATCCGGGGAGATTAGCCCGCGCGGCCGGAAGTAGACCGGTAAGACTCCCGGGCGCTGCAGTCAGCAACGCGTATCGATATCCGTAAAGTGGCACAACAGAAGCCACGGACTAGGAGATACGATACGGGTCGTCGTGCGGAATCAGCCGCGCGCGCGCGCGCGCACTAATACCCGGGGTTCGAGTGGACGAGGGGGCGTGACGAGAGATGGTTGTTGGAAATAGTAGGAAGGATTTGATTACCTATGCAGGCGTCGTAAGGGGGAGCGGTCAAACCGGGAAAACGCATTCAGGAGAACCGTTTAAGGATCTGTGTTCCCGTGGTGAACCCCCAGAATTAGATTGTCGAATAGTCGGGCATCAAAGTTGATGCTTCAGGACGATCCATCGGCAATGAGAAGCATGTAGGGTTGGGGGTCAGATGCATCAGGTATCACGCTCTTTTGCTCGAGAGACCCCTCTTATTCATATCACCGTCGGTAAGTACATGTAATATTAGTTTCACCCCGGGTTACCGACCTTGAGTGATTCACGATACTTGGAGGTTATAGCAAGGAGGTTAGTTTAGGGATCGAGCCCCCGTTTTTCAGTGGTTACAAGGGACTAATGGGATGGTTACTAGCCAGCAGGACTCTCAATATGTAAAGTCGTCCTTCATTCCCATCAAACTGCTTGTCGCAAGCGGTCTTGCGGCGTATCTGGAGAAACGTAACTAGCAAGAAGATATTAGGTCCGAAAGGCCACCGAGAAGAATTCGACCGAGCCGACCGGGTTGATGTGATGGTAGCCTCGTCGTCTCGGCTGTACTTTCTTGGCCAAGGGACCCTCGGTGTGACAAATGACAGTCAAGTAACCTTGAGCACACGATTCCATTGGCTCGGCTAGCATTCTTAGGATCTTGAAAGATCTGACTTTTGGGGGCGCACCTGTAGGTTAAGTCCGAATTTTAAAGCACTATGACGAAACCGTCTTAAGGATGTAAGCTGCGTTATGTATGTAACATAGCATGTTCTGTATGTCCTCCCTTTATGTATGTAGGTCGGTGGACATGCCGACAGATGGGCTGCGAGATCATGTTACAGTACCAATTATTATTGCAAATATTATGGGGACGAGTCCTGATGTCTTAAAGGGAATACTCGGTCGTCCCGAGTTTTGGCAGGTTACTTCCTCTGGCATGTTGCTTTCATATGTACGGGCAGACTGTGGAGTGATTCCTATTCGTGTAGTACGGCGTAAGGATTCAGAATTCAAAAATGACAATGCTTAAAAGATCAGATTACCTACATAAACCCTCTCGAACTTTTACGGGTTAACTATACATAGCTTAAGTTGTGCTACCTTACCCACCTTATCGCCGCTACGCCGTTGGCAAGTCGATCCTAAGCTCGGCGTTAAGGTGCGACTATTCCTATTTTAGGGCTACGGATCGGTAGATATAGTCTCAAAACGGGAGCGAGCCGTAAAAGACATGCAGTAAGATCCGCCAGATGGTATGTGATTAACATCCGAGACTCGAGAGTACAAAATATTTATGGAGAGCCATGCATGTACAAATCAAAATGTTTGATCTGAAACTATAACCGACGGGTGGCTTGCTATCCAGCCATCCCATTAGGTCATAGGGCTAGGCGCCAGCCCTATGCAGCCCAGATTCGGCTCGGCGCGGCGGTAGAACCAACCATTGTCATAAAAGGGTACGAGGATACGAGAGACCCGAGATAACACTAACCTAATGGTTAATAACTTTTTATAAAAAGAAATACGATAAATATCCCATGTAGTAAACTTGCATACAGCTCAGCCCTGTGAGTTCTACTCTGATGCCTAAAATAACCGGCTTTATTTATCTACAGGAACGACGGAAGAAGCCGAATACTCGGATTCGGTTCTCGTGTAACATGAAGTACGGATCCGAAAAGCGGAGCAAAGCCCGGGACTTGACGCCCGTTCAAGTAATATCTCGGAATGCCCGCACTGTAGTAACCTATCGATCAAGGATAGGTACGTTTGTGAATTGTGTACTTTTTCTAATCATACCACTGGGAGTGGCGCTAGAACATACCCGTAAGCCATCTAAAAACTGACTAGGTTTTATAAAGCGCCGGTTAACAAGGGTAGATCTCGATTTTACGACGTATGTTCTACGTCCAAAGCTTGGTGTGACGATCCTATAAACCGGCATCGGTAACTATTAAAGGAAACCATCATTTAACGGAGGTAGCTGAATTAGAGTCGTATATGTATGTAGGAGCTTAATAACTTCCTAGACGTAATATCATCGTCATCCACGGCCAGTCAGCTTTATCGTTGTGCAAATCTGAGCAATATGTTTAACTTGCCTTGTTTTCTGTCAAGCTATTCTGCACGATTCTCGTGTTGAGATTAAACCGCGTAAGTACATTGGATAGCTCGTAATCAGCAGCCATAGCCAACTGCAGCTCGAGGTATACAGCTTATACCTACTTGGTAGATCCTTGTTCGATGGGGTGTTAATAACGATAGCGTGGACGAATTATTTGAACGGATTATATGAAGGATCGGAGGGGGCGTATACTACCTTAATCTAGAATGTCAGCGCTAACATGCATCTAGGTACATGTTAGACGGCCCCGCGTAAGTGGGCAATAGGATAAGCCCGGTTAACTAGCCGAACCGAAGACATTCGCACAGACGAGCATTCTCTCGAGGTTAAAGAAATAACCGAAATGCCCAAGAAGAGTAATATAGTCCGTGCAATGAGCCTGGGGTACAGGCTTATACACCGATCTGCGGCATCCGGAAATGGACTTTTGACGTATCTGTCAGTCTGAGTGATGTTATGCAGGGGACTGATCTTTAGTAAGAAACCTTACGTGCGGGAGGCTGCTTATGTCAGAGTCACTGCTGTAATCATGGTAAATACTCACCCCCTAATTACCTACCTAGAGTACCTGACGGTTCAATCTGATAGGAGGTCTAGAGGTAACTGACAAGACGGCTATGACAAAGCAAAGAATGAAACCTATAAGCTGCTTGTCACCCAAGGCTCTCTCTCCGGTTACACAAAGACAGCCCGTGGCCGATCGCCGTAATAGATCCGGGCGCCCACGACGTGGTATCTGAAGATTGATAACGGTTGAGCAATATCGAAGTACCCCACCACCAATTCGTACTACCCATCATAAGGCTGACGCAGAATTGTGCTCTTGTATCATTTGCTTAGGAAGAGTCCGAGTATGGCCGAAGTACATCAGTTTGCGAGCCTGGGACCTTGCTGCATATTAAATGTTACCTCTCCTGCAACTCCAGAGCTTCTTGAAGCATCGCGGGTATGTCTAGTCCAGTTGTAGAAACACAGTGAAACCCCCCTTCTCGTCACACGCAGACACACGCAGACGCACGCAGACTATGCGTTGAAGCTGTTCTGGAAGGAGTACTACAGTTCCCCGGATGCAAGTACAGCTAATGTATCCCTCGTGACCTTGCTGGAAAAGTAACCGGTTGCATGAATAATGCATCGGCTCACCAAAACACGGGAGATGCCCAATATATCAACCCACATTCGGGCATTAGGTATCACGGCGTTTCCACTGCCTCGTCGCTTAGATGGTATCATCAGACCTGGTGCCGTGCGTTGTCGATGCAATGTAAGCGCTAATCTTCTTGCAGGACCTACAGAGAGCAACGAGGTTACTGGCTTCAGTGGGAGATTTCCAATGATTCATGCAGCTTGCACAATGTTCTGCCAACAGTGTAAGGTACGGGAGGGTAAGAACTCTTAAGAACTAAGCCTGCGGAACACTTATATTGGATTTTAAATTCGAGTGAAATAATCGGATAGTATTAGACGTCATGTTCAGGCCAAATCTGTTGTCAGAGAGAGGTAGTGTCAGCCTTATAAGGCAGACAACCCAACGAGTTGTCAGCTTTCCAATAATTTTACCCCGTGCTGCGGTGAGCAAGCTATCCGGGCGAGCTAAACGTAACTAGGCAAATATGGCATAGCTAATCGACTGGTGTGTCCCTAGGGGTGAAGAATGGGGTGTTTATAGAAAGTAGCATGCTTTGCCGCAGTAGTTTGTTGGCCCAAGATACGACACTCCAGCTTACCACACCGATTGAGCGAATACTCAACTAATATGAACTTTGAGTACTGGGAACCTTGAGGGTACTTCGGTCGAATGTTGTATCTAGCTCCGTAGCGACTAGGACATAAATTCAATAAACATTGTTAATAGTTAATAATAACGAGCATGGAGAGTTAGCCATTTTAAGAGCTGCTGCTCCTTTGCGTAGCTCATAAAGCTCCCATTGGCTGATATGCCTATGGGCACAGCAAGGGCAAGGACTGGAACCGTTGTTGAGATCCAATAAGCCCAGCTAGTTTCAGTATACTAACCTACTTGCCGAGTTGAAGCCATCTTTGTAGGTGAAGGTCACCTCATAACGGGTCTTTAGGAACGGAAGGGAAGTAGTTGGGATTGCTTAGGCGTTCTCGGTTCCTTTTGGCCATTTCAGCTGCGCGTTTTCTGTCCAGCCGTTGTTGGTAGAAGGTCCTGCATGTCATCAGTATCGACAACCAGTAGCTGAACAGAGGGATAACTAAAGACTTTTGCAATGAAAACACCCGGGGTTCTTCTTCTACTTTTGGTGGAGTCTTTTCATCCGGTTTGTCCTATATCCGTGAGCCAATATGGTTTTAAGGCGCAAATAGGAAACCGACCTTGACTTGAGGGCTTGGCTCATCTTTCTTAGTCTCTTTAGTTTCCTTGTCTTCATTTTCCTTCTTGGACTTTTCCGACTCCTTCTCCTTTTTCTTGCGTTGCTTCTCTTCGTACTCTTTCTTCACCCGTTCAATTTCATCTTCCATCTCCTTTTTCTTCTTGGCTGCAATGGCATCGTGGTCAATGATAGGGGTGCAGAATCCCCTATCTTTCAAATGACCAGGACAGACATAAAAGAAGTCCTAGTAGCAGGATATCAGGGAAAGGTGTTCATAGCGTTATGATAGAACCGCAACCTACCTTATTGTCTGGGGTTATGAGCACGCTGGTACTAGGCTTGAAGCATACCTCGCATGCTTTGGCTGAGGTTTCAGCTACCTTTCTATGATTCCAAGTATTTGGGAAAGACATGATTATCTTTGCCTTAAGGGGGAATAGGTTATACAGAAGAAGTATGTAATAGGTAATGTGCAAGGCAATGTGCAAGCTTGATGATATGACAAAGGAAGCTGCATGTGAATGCGCGGCGAGATGTTGGAGAGATAACCATATTATGTGGGGTCGGAGAGGTACATGTAATTAGGTACCTAGGTACATATCTACTCTCATATTGGACGTCCGTTACAAGTTGCGATAAGTTACGATAAGGTTGGTGCCTGAGCTGTTAACTTTACCTTAGGTATTACCTACAGCCTTGTGAAAGTAAGGGAATCTTTTAGGGGGGCCCCTGTACGTCATATCATATGCTTAGCAGTAACAAACTTTAGCGTAAAACAATTCGCCGACTCCAAAAAAAACAACATTAGGTATTAAGAACGTCGACTTTCTTATTAGAGTAAACAAGAGCCTTGCAACCTCTTGCGACTTATTTCATCTTTCTTAGTATTGCGCATAGGGGTAATCACCCCGACCAGTCTTTTTTGACATCATGGCCAATGGATTGGATATCCAGAAGCTGGACTCCGTATTCAAGTCGCGACCAGACATTTTACAAGACATCCACAAGGCTGCCGGTATTTCTTAATCTTTTCGCGTCAGATATTGTCCCTATTTTCTCTAACTAAGCTATATAGATTCTCCATCGCGAGTCCAACTATTCAACCAGATTGCAAATTTCATATATGAACAAACAGGTGACCATACAGCTGGCTCATCCCTAAAGCGGCGCCGCGTCGATATCGAGCCCTCCCACAATGGAAATCTACCGCACACCGCAGAGACGAGCACAATCGAAGACATATCAAGCGAGAATATCCTATTGGAAATAAAAGATATATCCGTCTCTATCCCGCAGCGTAAGAAGTTCGAATTATGCCTCACGCCCAAACACCTATATGCCCGAATCCCTGGTGCAACCGCGCCTGCGCCTGGAATAGCATATGCATGGAAAGATATCGGTATGTACTATATATTTTACAACCATCTAATATTAGTACTAATTATTATATAGAGTATGCTTTCTACCTTCCCGTGCCCGAGAAATCTCAGATTCAGCACAACTACATCTTATTCCCACGAAACGCTTTCTCCCTTTCTAAATCAGGCGCACCGACCGAAGATCCGTTACTCTTTACTGTCTCAGCTGGTGCACCAAAACCAGGTTCGATTGGTGGACCTAATGCTGGTGCAGCTTCTGCCGTCTCTGACTCTTATACCACCCTCTTCAACTGGGCCCTGAATAAGTGTCTTCAGGCTGCCGGAAACAATGTGCAAATAGTTGCAGCAGATCCTGCAAAATTTCATAGTAAAGTTCGACAACCACATCGACCAAAGGAAGCAGCGGTTCATGTCAAGGCATTCAGGGGCTCAAAGGATGGTTACCTATTCTTCCTGGAAACTGGGATCTTATGGGGCTTTAAGAAGCCGCTGTTGTTCATACCATTGGACAAAATTGCAGCCATCAGCTACACAAGCGTATTGCAGCGCACATTTAATATGGTAGTTGAGGTGTTCACAGGCGAAAATGGTAACGACGAGACAACCGAGGAGATAGAGTTCTCGATGTTAGACCAGGAGGACTATGGAGGTATCAATCAAGACTATGTCATGCGACACAGGCTTCAGGATCGAAGCATGGCCGATCAACGGAAGGCCAAGAGGGAACTAGCAGAAAATGCCAAGGGAAAGAAAGAAGCTGAAGGTGAAGAGGAAGATGCCAATGGACAGGCTGGGGAAGATGGCATGACAGAACTAGAAAGGGCGCAGATGGAAGCCGAACAGCAACTGCAGGATGAAGAAGATGAAGACGAAGAAGATTATGACCCAGGGTCTGAGGGTGAGAGCGAGGGCTCGGGAACGAGTTCCGAAGAGGATGACGACGACGAAGACGCTGCGGAAGACGATGAGATGGAGGAAGATGGAGATTTAGGAGAGGAGGAATAATGGCTTGATACATAATGGTAATGACGAGAAACCTCGGTCTGTTATTTCAGCAAGGTTTCGGGATAGATGAGCCTAGCAATGCGACGGCTTCAGCCCTGAAGTATCACGTTTTAGTAGCTACTACGTGGATTAACTGTCGGCAGATCCGTTAAGGCTTTTATCTATCGGTCCAGTCTACTTGGATCGTTCCTGACGGCCTCTGCTAAAACTTTCACTAAGTCAATAGTATCTTGTAGGCCAATCCTCGTTACCCGATTATGACACGAAAGACTGGCTAATTATAATAAAGCAAGAGTTGTATGCTCAATTTGGCTGTCCTGGCTACCTAAACTATGAGACGACGATCTGGGTCCTAGTCACCAAAATCATTTTAGGGGTGCAGTGTCCTGTAGATGCTGCGGTGGGATATTTACAAGTGTTAAGTTTCGTTCCCCTGCAACTTGCAAGTTTCCGATGAGGTCCCTAATCTGCTGGCTCTCCTCGGCGGTGAGCTTGACATCTAATGCGCCAAGGTTCTGCTCGAGATACTTGCTATTCCTGGTCCCCGGAATAGGGAAGAAATCGTCTCCTTGAGCCATAATCCATGCCAGCACCAACTGGCTTAGTGTGCGACCCTTCTTCTCTGCGAAAGCTTCGAACTTCTTGACCAACTCTAGGTTCTTCGGGAAGTTCTCCGGGCTGAATCTTGGATACCCCCTGCGGTAATCATTTGGATCGAAATCGTCCCGAGACTTGTAGCGCCCGGTCAAGAAACCGCGACCAAGGGGCGAGTAAGCGACGATGGCAACCCCTAACTCTCGGCAAGTAGCAAGCAAGTTGGTACCCTCCTCGCTTTCAATATCGAGCGACCATGGGTTGTATTCAATCTCCACAGCCGAGATTGGGTGCACAGCATGAGCACGTCGGAGCGTACTGGAGGAACACTCGGACAAGCCGAGATATTTAATTTTGCCTTCCCTGTTTCATGACATTAGTAGCCCTACTTAGCAGTTGGACAGCCTTGGGTGCTTACTTCTTGAGCTTTGCCATAGCTTCTACGGACTTCTCAACCGGGGTTACATCGTCGAAGCGATGGCAATAAAACAGGTCTATACTGTCGACTCCCAGACGTTTCAAAGAACCTTCGCAGCTTTTAATGCAGTTTTCGGGTGAACTGTCGACGGACAAGACTGGGTTGGCGTCACCGCCATACTCGAGTGCCCATTTAGTAGCCAAGAAGATGTCGCCTTGACGTTCTGGGTGCAGTTTAAACCACTTGCCCACGAGATCCTCGTTATCGCCGTAAGCAAATGCGCTATCCCAAAATACCTCCCCGAGCTCCCAGGCTCTGTCGAGAATCTTGAATCGCTCTTCATCGGAACTTTGCATATGGTCAGTCTATAAGTTGGTATTATCCTTGGATTACTTCAACACACGCTATTTCGCCTGCTCCGACGCTGAGGCCCATCAAGCCGAACCCAAGCTTGGGAACATGCGGACCATTCTTGCATAGTTGGCTAGTCGGAAGCGTTCGAGGAGGAGACATGGCGTGAGTAGGGTCTGGGCTGAGAGATTACTTTCAAATTAGGTATGTCCAAAACCAAAGATGAAAGTTCTTCCTGCTGGAGATATGGTCTTTGCTATCCATCAAGGGCGCAAAACTCGAGGAGGAAAGCAAGTATTTATATCTAGTATCTAATATCTAATCGTCGAAATAATAAAAATAGCTCCAGCGTCTATACCATGGCACCTTAGAGACAGTCATTTTGACGGCATGTATTAGTGACATCGTATCAAGATGCGACGACTTGAGCCGGCGATAAAGCACTAGAGCCGCAACGTCCTAGGTTCCGTCCGCAATGGCCCGCAATAACCCGCCGCCATACTCGGGAAATGTTCTCTAACCAGAGTACCTATTCATGATATTTGCAGCTCTTCAATGATGTAAGCTTATGGCTCTTCTCGTATGATGGTTGTTACTTAATTCCGGGTCCGCGGACGCCATGACCGAAAACAGCAAGTCGATTGGTGTTAACAGCGCGGTGCATAAACTCCGTAAAGGGGTTTATTTTATTCTCTTATCTCACTATTCGTCCACAGTTCTGAAATGAGTTAAATAGCACTATCATAAAAAGCTACATTTATGATCTAGCTGTTGATGTAGAAAATAAAGACTAAATATTTGGGAGTTCATACTCCCTGCACTAGGGAAGTCCATGCCTGAGCTTCTTAGATAATTATCTAAATTCTATATGCTATGCCTCGGTATAAATGCGCCGCTCATGCCATAACCATTCTATGTCTACCTAGGTATTCAAAGGGGTGTATATCCGATCCCGCGGTAAATATATAACACGCTCGCTTTAATGGAGCAAATCTCCATAGATTTCCATAGATGATATTCTCAAGTATGGTCCGGCATGGCCTTCCGGCCTCCATATCGACAGGCGTCTAGGTAGGTACTGAGAAAGACTTTCCCCAGAGTAAACATGTGTCATCACAATGCTCTACCTGAAGCCTCCTGACCAAGCCTAACTGATGTATACCAGCTGAAACAGGTATTGGCTTCGAATCCCATATATGGTGAGGTGGGTCGAAGCTAACATCACGTACGGTATTGTATGGGTAGCCCGCAGCATCTAGCCTTTAGGCCTCTGACCCGTTGTACAACGTATAGATGTGTAGATGAAGGCAGATAGACTGTATCCCCACTATGTTAATCAGTTGATGGGATTCTCGCGCTCATTGACGAATAGTCGGCGCGGCGATTTTTAGTTTTGGAGTATTCGAACGATCGATAGCTTTTTTATGAGTATTCTTTCCGTTGCCAACTTCTTGGTACTAAGGGAAGTTCTGGTTGCGACTGATCTTGGTATCCCTCCTCAAGTGTTGGAGAAAGCCACTCTTCCCTCCTGCGGACTTTAGTGAACATTCGCGGTCCACATTGTGCGAGAAGGCAGATAATCGTCAAAAGTACAACACTTGAAACGGCTGCGACTGCGATGGCGATGATAAAGTCCTTCAGGAAGTTGCCGTTAACGGTCATCGAACCCACTTCGTCGGACATCTTGCTGTATATTCGGGATAACCGAGTTCCTATAGGCGAGGGCGAAGAAGAGTTAGGACTACTAAGGAGCGATGCTGAGACGAAAAGGATACGAATGAAGTTGGATGATAAATAAATAAGATAAATATGACTGGATCTAAGTGTTATGTAGGTAAGATGCCAGCAAGGCCACTTTAACTAGGCAGTGATGTGGATGCCTCTTGGACCTTGTTTGAGGCTCTTTGTATAATGAAAACGGGTATAAAGCGAGCGGCGTAGGGTTTCTTCAAAGAATTCAATTTCGAACAAAGGTCAGATTGATTATTCCAAGTAGTTAGCCGACTATGGGTGATAGTCTACCTATGTATAAGTTAAATTCTGTTCTAACGACGCCAGCCTTGCAGCCCCCGAAGCGCATGTCTCGTATATAACTACATTGGCAAAGTCCTACATGTATCCGAGACAGCCGAGTTGACAGCGGGTATGTCCCTAGAGCAGGAATGGTAGGATGGTAGCAGTGTCGTCTATATAGCGCTAGGCGAAACGCGCGTTTGCTACGTTTGGATATTTATGATTGGCTCTTATTGGTTCTGCTGTGAGACACAATCCAATCTTCAATTGGTACACAGCGTAGGGCTATGCACTGCGGAGGATCAGCTGGTCCTATAAATAGACGCCTAGGAAGCGCTGAGGAAGACAAATACCAACGAATTGTTACTAGGATTATTTAAGTAATAATCAGTTAGTTAGATATATTATAATTTTATAGAATCTTTTAAAATGTGTAGATACTAATTTGTTTAATATAATAATGGGAAGAATTTGTTTTGTACTTAAACTTAGACTTAGACTTACACCGAAGATGGAAACCTTATGAGTTAAGATAAGTAGCCTAATGAAGCTAAGAGACATGCGGATTTAGGACTGACACTTGTTTGGCCAGTGGTCTTTTTCCAACTGCCTTACTGGGTGAACAAAGTGACGCAGGTGGTTTCACAGCATTCTTCGTCGCCAACCAACAATACCCCAGACTTAAGTTATATGAAACAAATGTTACTAAAGGAGTTGGCCTGACCAATTGCCAAACTGAGTGCTTCCAAAAACCAAGCAAGGCCATATTGGACAAGGAGGAATATTAATATAACAAGACCAGCTCGCCAATAGCCAATATTTGCTGCCTGGCATCGTTGTGGCGCTGGGCTTAGATTAGACAACTGATCGGGTAGTTTGAGTCCTGCATGTGGCGCGCCTCACTTGCTTACTTGCATACCTCTTGAGGTAAGGAGGGACCATTTCGAAAGAAGTTCCCTCTTAGGGCGATATAAGTTAATTAGATCATTTTTTGAAAGCTAGCAGAACAATTAGCAACGTTCAAATCTAAATATAGCTTTTATATTAAGATTGGGCTTCGATGGCGTAATAGCTGCAGAAGGAAAAAGGTGCTGCATTGACGACTGGTTAAGAGATAACGCCCTGTGACGTCATGAGCGAAACAAGTATCAAATAGTGGACAAGGGACCTTTTGCGACGTCAAACATTCTATGGAGCATTTAGTCCGCCAGCTTTCTAGAGCTGCGCAAGGTACAAGGTAATGTAAACTTATTGGTACAAAGTAATTATGACCTAAGTAAAAAAAAAACAATAATAATTGATTAGAGAAGATCGTGATAAATAGAGCGCGATGAGCTATGCATTTAGAGCGTGTTCGCAGTTGACAGCCTCGAGCATACGGCAGTTCACTGGCCGTCGTTTTGGCAATACTTATACTTCAATTTATACTTCAACTATAATACCGCCAAGGAAGGCAAATCCAGTGGTACCTTCGTCGTATCGATGTTTTGCAACTACAACATACACGAGAAACCAGAAGCTTGGCGACGAGACGGTAAAGGAAACCAACCAGAGAGACCAAACGGCGCACGAGAAAGAAGTAAAAGCCGGAATTGAAGATGCCACAAAGCAGCAGATCAAACGTCCCTGGCAGAGGGAGGGCGCCGACGAGCCTCCCGTCAGCGAGTCGAGGCGGACCATGAATAAGACCATGACCAAGGGTATTACACATGTTCCATTGGCCTTCGAACGATCCAATGGACTGACAATCGACTAGGCAAACTACTAACCACTCCAACCCGACTCCTAAAACTAATTCTACCTCTCCCCGTCGATGCGACTCACGACGAGCGTGGCAACAAAGGGGAATTCCGATCTCTCGCTCAAAACGAAGACATCCAACCCCTAGCCCTGCTCGTCCACCCTCAACAGCCCCTATCCTACCTCGAGCGCCTAATCCAGGCCGAACTCCCACCAATCCGCGACAGCGACGGCCGCGAGAAGATGCCCAGCGTGCATTTCCTGGCGGAAGGTTCCGAAAGAGACGAGACCGGGCGGAAAATCGGGATAGGGCAGGAGAAATCTAATATCGCGTCGTACTCTGGACTCGGCCGCGAGGGCGCTGACACTCCTGCCGAACACAAGGACTGGGTGCGCTGGAGTAGTTCTACCGAGATCGGCGACTTCATCCGCGACGCCGCGCGCGGCCGCGAATTCGCCATTGAGATCTCCGGCCACGATGCCGAGATGCGCGTCGGCGTGCCCAGCTTCAACGATCGCACGCATTACATGCGTGTCCGGCTGCGGCGCATGTCCCACAAGATCGAAGAGCTATCTAAGATAAAGCACGAGTGCGACATGCTTGCCCATCGCGGCGTCCATCGAATCGCAAAAGCCGGATTTGTCGTTCTATCAGGGTGGTGGGGCGCCGTCTACTTCCTGACCTTCCACACTGACCTTGGCTGGGACCTGATGGAACCTGTAACATATCTCGCCGGTTTGAGGCACGTCATCCTACTCCTCCACTTAGGACTAGTTACTAATCCTTGAATAGTACCATGATGGGCGGTTATCTGTGGTTCCTGTTCATCAGCCGGGACCTGAGCTACCAGGCCGCGCTCAAGATTACCGTTTCGCGGAGGCAGAACATCCTATATCAGGAACGCGGGTTTGACCCGCAGAAGTGGGAGGTTTTATTACACGACGTGAATGCGCTGAGACGGGAGATTAGGACCGTGGCGGAGGAGTATGATGTCGATTGGGACGAGATGACGGATCTCGGCGGGGCGGACGTCAAGGAGGTACTTGAGAACGAGGAGAGGAAGGGCGAAGGCGATCGCAAGCGGGAGGATAAGGATGACAAGGAGAATGCGAGACATAAGTCGGATAAAAGTGACGAGTCATGATACCCGCCGAATACACATAGAATATACCTGTAGAACATAGCGTAGTTTATTCTAATCGAAATCAAGTTTGAAAATCTCGTGCTATGTAATCTAATGCGCGCAGAAGGCAAAAATTTGGATGAGAAGGCTAATTTTTGTCTATACCTATTTCGTTTTCCTGTTCTGGTCATCCGCCGTAAGAATTACCCCTGAGAAAAACACACAGTTTTGACCTTTGTCCTCCTAGGTTCACCAAATAGAAACCGCTCGACCGGTAGCAATTTCATAGGATTAAGCATTAAGAATTTGTCTCAAGACCTTGATCTGCTCTAGAACGCATTCCTTGCTAGTACCGCCCTTGGCAGATCGCATCTCGACGCTGCGCTCGTAGTCAAAAGACTCGGCGATATCCTTCTCGAAACGGGCGTCGACCGATTTGAGCTGGTCGTATGTGAGCTCGTTCATGGGAGTATCGGTTTGCTCGGATAGGGCGACTACGCGGCCCGAGATGTGGTGTGTCTCGCAGAATGGTACGCCCTTGCGGACGAGGTAGTCGGCAATGTCGGTAGCGAGCATAAAGGGGTCGAGAGCGGCTTGCATCTTCTCGGGCTTGATGGCGAGTGTGGCCAGCACGCCCGTCGCGATCTGCATGCTGTCGCTAACCGTCTTGACCGTGTCCAGCATGGCCTCCCAGCTCTCCTGTAGGTCCTTGTTGTACGTGCTAGGCAGACCCTTAAGGGTCATCATGAACCCAGCCATCTGGCCGAACACACGGCCACTCTTACCCCGCAGTCTCCAAGCTGTCCGGGTTCTTCTTCTGCGGCATAAGCGAGCTACCGGTCGAGTACGCATCGGCTAGCCGCACGAAACCAAATTCGGCGGTTGAGTAAATAATCAAGTCCTCAGCCCATCGCGACACGTGCTGCATGAGCATCGACGCCCACTGCAGGGTCTCTGCTACGAAGTCTCTATCCGCTACTCCGCCCATCGAGTTCCACAGCAGCCCCTCGAAGCCCAGCTCCGCGGCCATCATATCACGGTCGATGTTGAACGGGTTGCCGGCAAGGACGCCGCATCCTAGGGCGCTCTTGTTGACGCGCTTGACGACCTCACGCAGTCTCTCTAGGTCGCTGGCGAAGGCCAAACTGTACGACATCACTCAATGGCTCCAACGGATGGGCTGGGCACGTTGCAGGTGTGTGTAGCCGGGCATGACGTGATCAACCTCACTTTCGGCGCGGTCGGCAGCGACTTAGAGGAAAGTCACGATGTGCCCCTCGATCTTGCGCAGCTCATCCCGCAGCCACATACGCATGTCGCATGCGACCTGCTCGTTGCGGCTACGCCCAGTGTGGAGCTTACCGGCCACGTCTTTGCCGATAATCTCGCCTAGGCGGCGCTCGTTGGCAGTGTGTATGTCCTTTTCATAAGCAATTAGTTGCTTTCCCTTCTCTAGGCTAGATTTGAGGTTCTAAGTAGGAGCGCAAGCACACACCTCATCTACGCCAGGTACAATGACAAACGAGTCATTATCCCACTCTTTCATAACAGCCTGGAGGCCCTTCTCAATCTTGTTGAACTCATCTTCTGTTATGATGCCACCCTTCTTGTTAGCCCGGGCAAAGGCGATTGCTACCCAAGATGTCTTGCTTGTAGAGCTTCTTATCAAAGTGGATACTCTCGTTGTAAGCCACCATGAAGGGGGTCAAGGCCGCCTGGGACAAGAATTAGCATACCAAGTAGGAAATACCAAGTTGGAAGTGAGTGTCTCTCCTTGCCACAACATTTGCGGAGGAGCTTGCAAGAATTTTGTTGGCACACGTGGAGGATGTTGCACGATAATAAACAACGAATACAAGGTATTACACGTACCGGTGAAGCGACCTCCCCATAGAATGTTCTCACCGGGTTTGGTATTGGACGCCATAATTGCTGCTGCTCGCTCAGAGAAGAAGTTAAATCCGATGGTATTAATCAAATCGTGTTCGTATATAAAACGGTTGGGTAACTCATAAGAAGGTGCTTCGAAGTCGGGGTTCTCTTATCAAAACGAGAGACCTGAAAATTGATTCACCCCTCACATATCAATTGTTGCATATATCATTCCCCTCATCTCCCCTCATTTAGATATGGAAATACTAGCTTGTAGCGGGGTTATGCGTAGATGTGATATTGAAATAGGGCTGTTAAGCTGAAAAGTTTCATCCCGGTTCCTTCCTCACTTTATTTTTCAAGCAAACATTAAACATCAGTTTCTGATCTAGAAAAATAGACGTAGGAATTATTTTACATATTATCCCGCGAGTATCTAATTCGCGCATCCTAAATCCTGGTAGGAGGCAGTGTCGCAAGTTTCTACCGTCTAATGCATTGCTAACTTACCCGATTACCTGGTACATTTCGATGAGAAAAGACCCTACCTGACTATGGCCCGAGGCTTTAAAATCTCCCGTTACGAAAAGATGCCCTAGGTATTCCGTCGATTAGGTACGCTTACTTCCACGGTAATACATGCTTAACAATAATTATTTTCTCATTGGATCCCTATGACACATGCCACTGTTTCTCTTATCTCTTAGGGCTGTAGATACCTAGGTACATTATGTATAAGTCACGACGATGGGTGCATGCGGCTGTCAGGATTGTCAGGGTCGGGAAGGAAAGAATCTGGGGAAAGACCACTAACACCACAATCCCCTGATTCTCCCCCTCCCATGACAAGACAATTTTTTTAAGCAGGGACCGCAAACCCCGCTAACTACCAAACATACCTACCTTAGGTACCTAGGTTATACTGTTGTTTTTCCACGCGCCAAGTCAAGTGGTATGACGTTTCCTAAAAGTCAACGAAACGGAGTCGCCGTTTGTAATCTGTTGGTATTATGTAGACGTCGTCCCACATTGGTTATCAATGACATCGGTTAGGTTAGACACTTATTTTTATCATTTCTTTCGGCTTCCACAACCTCTTACGCTCTCACGATGAAATCTTATTGACTCTTCTCGGACTCATCCATCACATGAGCACGACGTCTGTTGAGCTACCCATTTTAGTACTTAAATATCAGCGAATCTATTCTGCCGAAATGAGGGATAACCCCCGCCTCATATAGATTTCACATTCTACATAATTCCAACATAGTATTAACCTCAACCTACCTAAGTTTCACACTCCAACCTATCCCAAAGCAAATGGCCCCGTCTATTGTCCATCTACCAGACGGCCAGAGTTTCACAGTTCAGCCTGTATTCTCTGGCTTATTCTTCAAGTCTAACGAGCTCAATCACTACCACGGGCCGTTCCCTGTTGGTTGGACTGTCGTTATACATAGTGAAGATCATCCCAAAGATCACCTTCAGGATCTCACCCTTAAAGATGCCGCGAATGAGCCCCGCTCTAGGCGCAGCCATATTCACAAGTACAGCAAGCCGACCTTGCAAAATGACACTATTTTCATCTCATCCATCTCGAATCCCCCGAGTAGCGAATATAAGCCTCATGCCAGCCAGTCACGACAGATAGCCATGTTTCTGTGGGTGACGCTGTACTGGTATTTCCACCAGCCTGAACCATCACCATACGTTTTAACAGAACAGTCCAAGCATGCTCCCCCGGAAGCAAGACCTAGGGGCGAGTGGCGCATCAGAATTAAACGGGAGGGTGTCCTACGCACGCGGAACATGATACCGAAGCTAGAGAGAATGGGCCTGATATCAAGCCTAGACTCTGCTGTCGGAGAGAGTTCCAGTGAGAGCAATCATGGATGGGACAGAATGTTCGTTACTCGACGAGCATTCTGGCAAATCCACACCGGCCTATTTCTTTTTACTCTGCAGCCCTTGAAGCACAGCTCATCGTATCCTGGATCGCCTAATAGCAGCCGGCCTACTTCCCCAGTTAGAAGCGATGCAGGCCAGCTAGCAACATTGTCCAACCAGCTGGCTGCTGAGGCGCCATCTTCCCCCATCGGACCATATCACTCATCCTCTCACCTCCCAACCTTCTATCCTCCTCCATCGTTGCAGTACATAATAACGAACAATGTCCGGCATCCGCTGCGACAGAAGCCACCGCATATGGGCGAGATCTTTTATACTCGCTTCGTACCTAGCGTGGGGAAGTACCTATCATTCCGCGTAGCATCCCTCTCACCAAAACCCATCCCTTGCCTTGGACCTATGGGACCTGCCGAACGGGAGAATACGCACCTAAATACCTTATCCGACACTTCACTCCTTCAGATGTGGCTTTCTAGCCCCAGAGTCCAGGCCTTCTGGGGCGGGTACCAACCCAACTTTCTCTCGAAGGCTCTCCAGTCGCGCCATTCATTCCCGGCCATCGGGATGTGGGACGGCGTGCCCTTCGGATATTTCGAAATATATTGGGTTAAGGAGGACGATCTAGGACTTTATATGGGAAACGATGCGCAGGACTTCGATAGAGGCATCCATGTGTTGATTGGCGAGGAGTGGGCAAGAGGAAGAGTTCAGCACTGGCTCTCGAGCATCGCTCACTGGTGCTTACAGGCAGACTACCGTACGATGAATATCTGCCTCGAACCAAGGGTTGACAATACGAAGTGAGTCTTACCACCACCAACGCGGATGTCCGCCGGTTTATTAACACGTGCATAGATTTATTCAGCACCTCCAGAACGGAGGCTTTGCGAAAGAAAGGGAAATATCTTTCCCGCATAAGCGAGCATGGCTCTGCCGACTTAGGAGAGACGCGTGGGATGGGCCGTCCATGTGAGGATATTTGCAGAACGATGATTAATGATACCGGTTTCATTACTCTTGCATTCGGTGGCGCATTGATAACGACCTTAGACTCGGAGCGGGCGCTGCATGCATTTATACGAGAGGTACTGATGCATACCTATGCATGGCGGAGGGAGCGAAAGGCTTAGATTTGAACTTTCAATATTCCACGAGACAGGGCTGACATAGGATTTGCCCAAGACTCCTCCTCCTCCTCCTCCTCCTCCTCCTCCTCCTCCTCCTCCTCCTCCTCCTCCTCCTCCTCCTCCTCCTCCTCCTCCTCCTCCTCATCATCATACATAATACAAACAGGTGTTTTCTAAAATCAAGCAAGCGTTAAAGATGCAAGACATATTAGCAGTTGTCGATGCGTATTCAAGCAAACTTTGGACGTGTTGGACGTGTTCGACGTGTGGCTTGTAACTTGTGCTTGCTTTGATTCGTTTACCGGAATCCATGAAACGTACCATATGTGAGTTCCCGATTCACCCTACTTAAGCTCGGGACCGAAATAAAAAATCAAGCTACGTTGGTGGCGCGGTTGGTGCGGTTGGTTCTGGATCATTGACCTCATCGATAGGTTTATGTTGTCCCCATAAGTTATCACATATAGCTGGAGACTCCCTCGGGCCAGCTTTGTCCGGCCGGCGTCACTTGTGTCCGGTTGTAATATGAGCTGAGATCGCGGATTGTATTTACAACTAGAAAGCGCACACGGCAGATGCGTATCAATAAAATCTTAATCACCACTAAACAAAGATATCCGGACCAGCCGTAACTTTATTAATACCCGTTTCCACAGGCCGTTTGCACTTCCACGGACAACTTACCTCTTAGCCAACTTCAGCCAGTCTTCTATCATTAATACCCTTATCTCATAGTTCCCCTTAGCTCCTCATCGTTCGGGTAATAGCAGCCGCCATGTCTACCGCCCCATGCACTATCCTCGTCGTTGGCGCGACAGGCCAACAAGGGGGTTCAGTGCTCGCCGAGCTTTCTCAGCAGCTCTCGACCAAACCCGAGGCCAAGTTCAAGGTCCTCGCGCTAACTCGGACAGCTTCCTCGCCCAAAGCACAGGCCCTGCCGTCCAAGTACCCTTCCCTAGACCTAAGCGTCGTAGAGGGCGATGCTCAGCATCCAGAGCCCATATTCAAGGCGCACCCGGACATCGATACCGTGTTCAGCTACACGACGCCACCGGACGAGGAACCACAGGCTACACATCTCATCGATGCAGCGTGTGCGCACGCCACGCCTGAGAAACCGACGCATTTCGTCTTTTCGAGCGTAGATCGTGGCGGCGAACCAAAGTCGTGGGACACTCCTACTGATGTCCCGCATTTTGCGCAGAAACACAATGTTGAGCTGCATCTGCGCACTGTCGCCGAGGGCTCGGACGGTAGATTGACTTACACGATACTAAGGCCTGTCGCTTTCATGGATAATTGTAAGTGATGACTTTCCCTTAAAAATATAACCACTTAGCTCCAACCCATTCCTTATCCCCTTGAGTTTCTCACAAGGGGGTTATTGTACTGTACCAGTGCACAGCTCTTAACCCCCCCTCCCCCCTTTTTTACCTACCCCTCATAAATCCCCCACCGCTCAAGCAGCCACCGTTCTAACCACCCCTCCAGTGAACCCAGGCGGTACATTCGGCATGGTATTCGCCAGCCTCTGGAGCACCATGTCCGCGTCGCGCAAGCTGCAACTCGTCAGCGTGCGAGACATCGGGGTCTTCGCCTGCAAAGCCCTTCTCCACCGCGCCGACCCAAGTTTCCGCAACCGCGCCATCGGGCTCGCAGGCGACGAGTTGACGCTCGAGGAGGCGCGCGCCATATACACGCGGGTAGCCAGGGGTGCGTCGCTCCCGCAGGCGTGGACTGTGGTCGGGTGGGCGGTGCGCGGGCTGGTGGCGCGCAATGTGGGGTCTATGTTTCGCTGGTTCGAGACGGATGGGTATGGCGTTGATATAGACGCGCTGAGGGCCGAGGAACCGAGGGTGCAGAATTTGGAGGCGTGGTTGAGGGAGAGTAGTAAGTTTGAGTTTGCAAGCGGGATGGATGAGCTGTAGTTGAGTTGTGAGGAGAGTGGTGTGTCTGCTCTATCGAGGATGGCTAGGTAGGTAGGGAATGTGGAAGATTGCCTTGCCTGGTGCAGAGGTCGACGTCGGTATGGATTAATAATAGATTTCATTGTGTTTTTGCTAATGAGTATCGCGTGCATGCTATACCTACCTAATCAAATATAAAATCCTAGGGCTGATGAAATATTGCGGTTGGAAGACCACGTAATGATCACAACCTCGACATCGTACAAGTTAATAATGACCGCATAGCAATAAGTAAGCTGTTTTCATCTTTCTACTTCACATTAGAGCGTGTAATGTTATTTTGATTACAGTCGACAGAGATCTAAGAAGCATACCTAAGTTATTTACGCTCTCGGGTGAGATTCTTCTCTATCGATCTCTTCCATGGTTGATAGAGGAAAGAGATGACGCGGTCTTACTATTTTTTATCTTACACTAACTATGCCTACTTCAGGAATTATTTTCGAGAATGTTGATAGCTTGCTCTGAAGTATCGTCTTCTAATTAAAATTTGAGAATCATTAGGACAGGGTACATTATGTACACTTCAGGTATCTTGGAACTAGGGGCCTGGGTAGTGATGCTAAAATATGTTGGACTTCATGTGAAACCTCCTGGTCTTACATCATCTACACAAGTTTAATACGACTTCTAATCTACATAAAACACACCTATTTACGCAAATGATGCTTAGTACTCGCCATCACGCCATCGACCTCTATAGCCCTAGGTATAATGAAGATAGATCGATAATTATGTAGCTCGATAAAACATTTCCATACATCAAGGTAAGATGCGTCTCTCCTATAGAGGCAATACTACTTCAGGACATTTTTGTAGCACGAGTAGGACAGCGGTGTTGGATGGGAGATGTGAAGCCTCATAATAATAATAATAAGTATTTAGTATTTGACGACGTTAGCCTATAATCGGACAGGATATTAACGTATATATATATATGCTGTAACTATTGGAGTACTACCTACTAGTATCCGCAGCTCTTTTTGGCATGACTAGCCGAAGTAACTAGCACCCTACTGGGGGGTTTTGGCTATTACTAGTAACCTACGAATCCTCGTCCTAGGATACTCCGGACCATGCGGATCCAGCTCTAGGTGTTAAGTATCGTGTTATAGCGTATTTGTGAATCCGGAACCCTGACATTCGAAGCTCAGCAGGAACGCAGATGGGCGAGAGAGGGGCCGAGGGAGCCGAGGCGTCACTACGCGTGAATTACTTCATCCGTGAAAATTGTAAAAGATTACGAGCTCCTTCGTCCATACGGTTCGAACGGGAAGACTGCGCTGACAACCGCCATGGCAAGAAAAAGAGCTGCACATATATAAATCGGCACGACAGTTCCAGTGTCAGCAGTACTAGCGACAACCGCGGAGACAATACCCATTATACGATTACAGCCGACTGCAATACCGTTTCCTGTCGCACGATGGGCACTCGGTAGCACCTCAGGGGTGTACTAAACCATTGAGTTAGTAAATGCGCATTGCAAGACAACAAGGCTTTAGCTTCAAATGACGAGTTTCAACCTAAGGGATTTACTTACTGCATATAAGGTTCCGTAGTAGATATTGAGACAAAATGCAATAGCACAGCTAAACCCAACGTTCTGCGCTGGAGTCGACACAGCTGTGTAGGCGAAGAAGAACACCATAGTTACTAGCGCGCCTATCACCATGGTGTACCTTCGGCCGAGGACTCTAAGGTTGCACATATATGCTGCTAGGATTGGCCCAAAGATGCCGGATATATTTGTAAGTGTATAATTACGCCATGTGTCGAAAGTTCCAACGCCTTCTAGAGCACCACGGCTGGCAAGATACGTGCTAATATAGAGTTAGATAAGAGTCCTACTTGGCAGGTATTTGAACATACTTCAGGAAGACGTAGAAAAGAGGGTAACTAAAGACCAATGGTTAGCTTTCGGATTGGAGATGCAGACTTTCCAATTTAAACCTACGCAAGTCCAATCAATGTCCACGATAGCCAAATGAGCACGGTCGAAATGCCGATTTTCATCGTAACGAAAAGTCCGGAAATATGAACGAAACTCTCCTGAAGCGAATAACGCTTCTCGCTATGCGCAGTCTTTACTGTCCCGCAAGCCTCCAATTTTTCCAAGGTCAGCGTACAGCGTCGGTTATATCTCTTGGCGATCGAATGCAGCGTCTCGACCAGCTCGGCATCTTCTCCGGTTCCCAAGCGGTACTTTGGAGTCTCTTGTAGACGAACAACCGTGACACGCGCAATAGACATGGCGAAAACGAGAGCACCGGATGTGTACATGACGTATCGCCACCCTTGGTTGAATTCTCTTGGACAATTATCGGCAGATTCACAATTCCACTGAGGCGGAACTGTATCCCATATGAGAACCTCAACAGCTCATGACATTAGATCAAACTCACCTAAGAAACCCCAGCAGATGAAGCCCGTAACAGCTTGACCAATACCCCACCAACACGCCAAAAATGTTAGCGCCCACTGCTTGTTGCTGGGGAGGTACTCGAGGAAGACAGTGGTGTCTAATATCAAATTGCCACCAGCTCCAAATCCGACCATGGAGGTAAAGAAGCCCAGGGAGGCCCAGTTCGGAGCCGCACCCGAGACAACGGTTGCCACGGCGGAGACGAAAAGAGATATGTTGAACGCCCAACGACGCCCTATAATATCGGCACCCATGCCCCAAAAGAGCGCCCCGACTAGCATTCCAACATATGTAGCAATCGTCTGGGCATTGTCATATCCAACCTGGCCAAACTCCTTGTAGGCCGGAATTGCTATGTTACTTTGGAGTAAGAGTACTAGGGAATCGACAGCATAACTATGAAGTCGCGTGAGTATTCGATAGCCTTTTTAGTTTCGAGCGACGATAATATCTTACCCAAACCCGTTAAGAACGAACAATTTCCAATGATAATTGGTCCAACCAATCTCATCAATGGCCTGAAGTGCGTTAGTGATCTAGTCGTCAGCTATCGACGACACTCGTGGGACTGGTCTTACGTTATTGACAAGGTGCATCTTCGCGTTAAGAGCAGGATCCAAGTCTTGAAGCGCCAGGACCTCTACGGCGTCGCCTATGGTAGATTCCTCGATATTTCCAACGTCCCTTTCAAAAAGGCCGGGATCTTCTAGCCCTCCGTCGATTCTCTTTTCTTCTGTTGCCATATTTATATCAAGCACCTCCACGTGCTAGTTCGATCTAAATTAAAAGATTCTGCGCAAAAGGGACATAGGTGGGCAAAGCAATTCGGACAAGCGCAAGCTTATACGTGGGATATATATGTATATGTGTTATATAATAGGAAGAGAAGATATACTGAGGATGGCAATGGATAGTATCTAGGTAAATTAACACGAAACAATGGGCGTAAATGTTAAAAACAGCAAACCGAGAGTTTTCATAAGTTTCGAGATCGAAATTGAGAGTCCCGCTAATCAGCGATTGACCAACTACGTAATGGCCATATCCGTCGAATATAGCTCGGTGCTTCTTTACCAAGAGATAAGACGAGGGATTCCTAACTAGGTAGGTAGGTAAGCAAAGATTTGCTACCGTAGATAGGGTCTAGGGTAATAGCTTGCAAGCATGAGGCGTTCTTACCATACAGAGCTAAGGCTAAGCTGTGCTAGCACATAGTACCTAGATTCAAGGCAGAGAACCCTCGTGCTAATCCTCGTGCTACCCAAATCTGACGTTGATAGGTTCATTCGTGGAGGAGGAATTCGCTGTACCCCACGCTACACGTTAGCGTCCGCTGGAGATATCATGATCTACGGGCTATAGGCGGGCTATAGTAGATATAGGCCGCTATAGCAGATGTAAATCAGGGGTCGTTTCCATCCCATCCAGCATCCTGACCGATTGTTTTATTTTCCTTTCCGATAGTATTAACTTTTAACAGTCCGGAGTAATTCTAGACTATACTCGGAGTTGAAGCGATCCAGTACATGATAATTGTCTAGTTCATCCTAGGCAAAAAGGCGTCAAAAAAGCTAGCGCACCTCTACTAACAATTATCTTGGTAGGTGCGCCACCTTTTTGACGTCCTTCTGCCAGGCTCGATTCGCAGGGAAGATCGCTGAACATACTTTCAACACCAAAGACCGGGGTGGAAAGGGTAAACGAGAAAGTCAATGATATAATGACCTATAAAATCTCAAAGAGAGGAGGAAAAGTAAAAGCAGTCCAAGAGCTTATTTATCGTTTTATTAGTAGCGTTAGTTCATAGCACGGACTAGATCCGGACTGTGTAGTTGTATAATAACGTAGTTTAACACACTGTACGGAAGGAATACAGGTAAGGGGAGAGTGCCAAGGTTAAGTAAACTTTTACTTATCTATTGGTAGTTAGTTATTTAGTTGATGTTTTTACCATACAACTTGCTCATTCTAAGAAAGCACATGCGACATATCTCGTGCCTTCTTGCCTAAGTGATTGAGATCCCATAGCAATTACTCCTAAAGAGATAGGTAAGGACTAATTCTCTAGGTTAGGTACTTATATACACAGTGCCCAAGTATCATTATGATATATTAGGTAATCTATCCGAGTGCCAAACGGAAATCTTCATTAACGTTAGTATATAAAACCTTAAAACCGTATTGATATCGTATATTTACGGTATAATTGTTTAAATAATTGCGCATTTTAATACGAAAAAAAAACGGTAATTAAATTTATTAACGGTATTGCTTTATAACGGTATTTTTAAAGTTAAACGTTATTTTAAATTAACGGTTTTTTTTTTATAAATGGTTTTTTTTTACTAACGGTTTTTTTGCGGTTTTAATACGGTTCGAAAAAGTGTAATAAATAAATAAAAAAATATATATATATATATTATTATATATATTATTATACGTATTTAAGTTATTATATTACATATTTATATATAAAAATTAAAATAAATATATACGTATAATAATTAAATTTAATAAATATTATTTTATATTTAAACATGTTACGGTTACGGTTACGGTTATAAAGTTATTATTTAAATATATTATTATATACGGGCGTATATAACTTGTAATTATTTAAATATATAAAATAACATTTATAACTTTTTTATTTAATTATTACATTTTTTTAAACCGTAAAAAAACCATTTGTTAAAAAAAACCATTTATACGTATATAAACCATTTAAATAGTTAACTAAATATATACCATTTAAACAAATACCGGTTAAAATATCAAAACATTTAAGCATTTAAATAATATTAAAGCCTCAAACGGTAGATCTACGGTCTAGTCCTTACTTACTGTAAAAGTACGGTACTCAGGCCTTATATCCTGACGCTAATGTTCCAATCTTCCACGCATGCAGCCAGCGTATATATGACTTAATCCTGGCAACACATGCACAACGGCCCAATGAGAATAGAGAAACTCCCCACGTTGTGAGGCTCTCTACTATGTAAGTAAGCTACTACCTGTAGGTATATATTTCGGTAGGTTTATCGGAAGGTACTGCACTCCAATTGATGGAAGTTGAGCTTGTTAGAGCTCTATCCAATCATGTTTTGCTGATTACTCTCAGCTCTTCCTTCCTTCGTGTTCAATCTGCAAGCATGTCGGTATATTTTACAAGTGACGTCAACTCGCCAATGCATACATACATCTAATACTTAAATTCAATGGACAGTAGTTTTTAAAGGGAACATTTCCCCATTCCATTCAAGCGAGTGGTAAGGAGCATCACCAGATATCGCTATTCATCATGGTTCATAGTATTCGTTATCTCTTCCTCGTTGGTGCCGCTTCGGCTGCCTTCACTGGCAATCTAAACTACTTTTCTCCTTCGAGGCATCATGCATCACTAGGCGTATCGATCAGTAAAGTAGCTAAACGGACTGCGGCGAACTCACATTGGGATCCGAGCCAGTTGAAATTTACTCACGGTATTGCTTCTGGCGACCCATATGACGATAGCGTCATTCTCTGGACTAGGGCCGCGCCATCTAGTGATAATGACAAGAGCAATATAACCGTATCGGGCTACGTCTCTCTTTACGATCACTCGACCGATCAATTCGTGGCAAAGAGCAACATGCCGGTCTGTGTGGATTGGAAAATAAGCAGGACTTCATCATTGGAAGACATCGTAGACTCTGGGAGGGCGTATACCAGTTCCGATATCGACTATACAGTCAAAGTGAGATTATACCCAAGCGCACCTTTAGCAATAAACTAATAGCTGTTATAGGTCGAAGCTAAGAAATTGAAGCCTTTCACAACTTATTGTAAGTAGCGACACGGCTCAACCGAGCATGCGAGAGCATTGAGTTGGAACTTCACTGACTTGGCGGACGTTAGATTATCAGTTCAACATATGTAACTCAGGGAATACCTCTCCTGTTGGTCGCACCAAGACAATCCCTTCTGCGAATGACGATGTATCAGAGCCAGTGAGACTGGCCGTATACTCTTGCAGCAACTATCGTGAGTTTCAATTTAGTTGGTTCCTATCGTCACTCTAGTGGTTAATGCCATTGTGCAGCATTTGGTTTCTTCAACGCATACGGCAATACGGTCAGAAAAGATTCTGTCGATTATGTAGTCCACCTAGGCGACTATATATACGAATACGCAAATGGCGAGTATGGCTGGGGCGATGCCTACGATCGAATCCCGCTTCCTAATAGGGAGATATTCACGTATGTAACACTGAATGGGCCCTACCTTGTGACTGGTCTGACGTACGTGTAGTCTTTACGATTACCGAAAACGTATTGCCACCTACAGAACTGATCTTGACCTGCTCGAAAACCACCAGAACTTCCCTTGGATACCTGTCTGGGACGACCATGGTACGTTCGCCATTTTGGGACGTGTAATCTTCAGTCTTCAGGGCTAACCGTAACCGCGAACAGAGGTAGCTGATAACAGTTGGAAAAGCGGTTCTGCCCACTTGAACAATACTGAGGAATCGTTCGTAATGGACGGTGGCGTATCAGTTGATCAACGAAAGATGAATGCTGTTCGTGCCTATTTTGAGTGGAGTGAGTCCGTAAAGGTCGCATGATGAGTGTCCAACGCTAACTATCTTGTTTCAAAGTGCCTATTCGACAAGTTGACATGGATGATAATTTACGAATCTGGCGCAATTTTAAGTTCGGAAACTTATTCGACCTTGTCATGCTTGACACCCGACAGTACGATCGGACCATTACTGATTTGTATTGGAATACCGAATATCTCGGCGACATACATAATGATGCTAGCCGAACCCTTATGGGTCCTCGACAAGAAGCGTGGTTTTATCGTACTCTACGTGAAAGTTCCACCCGAGGAGCTACGTGGCGTATCATTGGTAACCAGATCATTTTCAGTCGAATGAACGAAAGCTTGGCTACTAGTGAGAAGTTGCCTTTCAATTATGACCAATGGGATGGGTATCAAGCGAACCGCAATCGCACGTTCAAAACTCTATATGAGAATAACATAGGAAACAATGTGTTCCTAGCCGGAGATTCGCACGCATCCTGGGTTTCTGATCTCGTTTGGCTCGACGAACACCCGTACGACCCGGTTACCGGATCTGGATCCATGGGGGTCGAGTTTGCTGGTTCAGCTGTCAGTTCTCCGTCCCCGATAGGACAGAACGTGACATTAGATGCCGCTATTGCTCTTTCGGAGTGGCTCACAACTGCAAACAAAGAGCTACAATGGCAGGATCTATACTACCGTGGCTACTACGAGCTGTCTATCAGTCACGAGAAAGTAGATGCCGCCTTCTTCGGCGTTCCAACGACTACTCTCCGTAACGGATATGAGATTCCTCTAGCAAATTTTACAGTTCTCACCGGCGAGAACCGGCTACATCGAACTAACGGATCTCCTGCCGTTGGGAATGTAGAAGCTGGTAGCTTGAAGGGTGGCACGGTCAAGAGATCAAACTTGACATACGACACAGAAACCGGCAGATGGTTCAGATACACTGGTCCCTAATCCTTTCGCAGAGACGAGGAACTAATAGCGTTAATAAGGAGTAGAACTTTACGCTTTCTAAACCGCATAATTATATAAAATACACTTTATTATTAGATGAATGTACTATGTACTATACTGTGATGACTGCGATGTGTTTAGACCGCTCCTAATATGCTCCGCTACTAGTAGAAGCTAACATAGAAGCAAGTGATTTAAGACGTAGATTTCAGTGTCTTGTCTTTTTACCGACTATCTATAGGTGCCTAATAAGGAAGCCCGACATTTTACCTTTCAAAATTTCGACTCAACCCTCGTCCCTTTTCGTATTTTACTTTCGTTCTAAGTTTTCCATAATGGACAAAGCGTGCGATTTTCCTTCATACTTCATCTATTCTCGTTCAACAGGTCCGTGCTGCTGCTAGTTAGCTGTCATCCCGTCTTTGCGTAAGGGTACAATATCCATAATCTCATGTACACGTTCTCTGTTAGACCCCCAGGCCACCAAAATATCCAGGACGGAAAGCCCCCAGCTATGTTAGTGGTTTACTCTTAGATAAGTTCATAGCCCCTTATGTCCTGGTAGAACCGTGCTCATACTTGCTTGTATCCTCATATACTCGATAAAAATACTCGATAAAAATACTCGATAAAAGACGTTCCTGATGGCCATTAGTACCCAAGAGGTTGCGCATCTAGATGGCATTAACTCCACGGTCCTTATGAATTTAGAGATCTGAGAAAATATAATCAGGTGTGACTCCCCCTGACGATGCCATGGGTACCTAATCTATATAGTCGCTGTGGCGTGAGAGCGTAATATGACGCTATGATTCGACAGCTTTGACAAGAAATTCTGAGTTGGCTTCGCAGTCTGAACTCAAATGATGGCGTCTAAATTGGTTGAGAAGGACTTGGGGTTTATATAAAGGTGGCTAGAATGGGTTTACCATCCTCCAATTCAGTACACTTCCTGCACCTCCTATCTTTGAATGGCTACTAGCGCTCGTTTCCACACAGGGGCAACAATCACTACTTTGCTATGTCTTCGTATATGTCAATCGTTCTTCAACCAAGGACGCCACGGGCGGACGGTCTTCTTCAATTTTCACCAGCCTCGTTGCTGGGCGGAGTAGCCCTCGCTAGAACTCTGGACGCAGTTAACGAATACTTCTTATTCATACGCCAACGGGTCTTTGGAATATATAGCCCAATCGCATCAAACCCCGAATACGGGCTTTCTATCCTATATAACGAGGAACTCAAGCACTGCAAGTGGCTATATTATGAGCTACGCGCTCGGGTATCACCTGAAATTGAGGTGCTATTCGATCATCAATCCAGTCACTCGAACAAGGAACGAGTCTGGAAAGAAATCTACGATAGAATTGGTTTCGAGGTTACCAACCCTTACCGGTTCAACCGCATTAACCCACACAGACATTTTCATCTAGATAGGGCTGTTGGGATTGTCGTAGGACTAGAAATACCTGAGTTCTACCCAAACAACTTGGAGGTTAACCACCGTGCGGTTCCTTGGGAGGATGGGGGGTTCACCGACTTCAAAATACATGAACGGCGGACGCCTTCGGGCCTATCCACCAGCAATGCAGTAAATGCCGACAATAACACCTCGTCAACAGTCAATTTACAGACTAGGAGACAAGCCAGTCATTCCGAAAAGCGCTTCTATGACCCATTTTGTGGATGGATTTATCACCTTATTCCGGCCCGCAGTGATAATTGTCCACGGCCCCGTCACCCACGTAAGCTCAATGTCAGTTCGGATGTCTCTACCCAAGACCAAGCGAGTAGAGTCGATGAAAGCAACCCCTCTCCGAGGCTAGATTTAGGAGCTGAGTTCTTGACCCGGCCTGATCCGAAAGATGACGTCTTCGGACCCCAGCCGCGAACATGCGCGGTGTGTAACATTATATTTAAGGCCAATACCTTCGTTTCCGAGGTACACCTCAATGTAAATCGCGGCTTGTGGCGCAAAGATTTGCTCCAGGACTATCCGTCCGTAGCACGCGACATAATACACGAAGAATGGGCTTTGAAAAACCCCGAATTTGTAGCTGAGCGAAGACGAGGCTACCATCCCGATCGAAATCAACAGTACGGGAAACCTATAGTTTACCCTTCGGAAGCTGGGATTGAGACCATTGCTAAGGCCGTCCTGGATTTTATAAGTGATCGTGTGAGAGATGCTAGGCTAGAGCCAACAGTAACGGATGCCGCGGCGTATCCGCAGCTCAAGACCATGTTGTCTAATAACATCATACCCGAGACAGGCAACAATGGTACAGATGACAGCGCGTTAGTTTCCGGCGAGACTAACGACACCCAGGAAAACATGTCGCCATGGTAAGCATCATATACCTAGGTATACGAGTGGCTTCGAGGCAAACTCCGAGGGAATTCGGAAAAGGGGTTATTGGGAGTAAATGTTTATAAGTTGTGTGGTTTCACGAAGAGGTATAATTGTTGAGACTAGGCGTTGACTTCATCTTCACTGATTTCACTGATTGCGTTAGGCTTATTTTAGCATTGTGGAGAAGTCCCTACATGGTAGTAAGTAAGTCCCTGAATCCCCTGAATGGTTCAATCGTTCAGGTGCCCCCTTCTCCCCCCCTGGCGATCATCTACCCCTCCACCCTCCACCCTCTTTCTATCCCTTCCCGCCTCCACTCTCCACTTTCCACCTTCCACCTTCCACCTATATAAAAAGGAAAAACAAAAACATACTTTCTGACCGTCTTTTTCCTATCACTTTGCAGAACCCTGTGCGAAATCTACAACAATGGCGGAAACAATCTACAAAGCTAGCACCACTGCCCCGGTGAACATTGCTGTAGTAAAATACTGGGGAAAGCGGGATCCTAAATTGAATCTCCCTACTAATTCCTCCCTGTCTGTTACCTTGTCACAAGCAGATCTACGAACCCTCACAACCGCTACATGCTCCGCCACCTATCAAGGTCAGGAAGATTCCCTTATTCTGAATGGCGAACCATCCGACATCAAGGGAGCTCGCACGCAGGCTTGTCTACGAGAGCTGCGTGCCCGAAGAGCTGCTCTCGAGGCGGAGAACCCATCTCTGCCCAAGCTGTCCACGATGCCCCTCCGTATAGTCTCCGAGAATAACTTCCCGACGGCCGCCGGTCTGGCTTCTTCGGCTGCTGGATTCGCCGCCCTAGTTCGCGCCATTGCAGATCTATATGAATTACCAAGCTCTCCGACCGAGCTCTCGCTAATCGCCCGTCAAGGTAGTGGTTCAGCTTGCCGCAGTCTGTTCGGCGGATACGTGGCTTGGAGGGCTGGCGAGCAAGACGATGGTCTAGACTCCAAGGCGGTGGAGGTTGCACCTGCGTCGCACTGGCCGAGCATGAGAGCCCTCGTCCTGGTCGTTTCCGCCGCTAAGAAGGGAGTTAGCTCGACGTCAGGCATGCAACAGACTGTTGCCACGTCCGATCTCTTCAAGGGGCGTATTGCAAACGTAGTCCCGGCCCATATGGATGCCATGGAGGCCGCCATTAGGGACAGAGACTTTGCTAAGTTCGCAGAGGTGACTATGAAGGATTCCAACTCTTTCCACGCGTGCTGTGCGGATACCTACCCACCCATTTACTACATGAACGACGTGTCCAGAGCCGCAGTCAGGGCCGTGCAAGCAATCAACTCGGCTGCAGGCAAGACCGTGGCCGCCTATACATTCGACGCCGGCCCGAACGCCGTGGTGTACTATCTAGAGGAGGATAGCGCCCCTGTGGTAGGAACGTTCTACAACCTACTACAAGGTACGGATGGCTGGAAGGGTGATGCTGGATCTTACAGCTCGGCGGCTACGCAGCTGGACGAGACTACATCAAGTCTGCTTAAAGAAGGCGTAAGCAGGATCATAATGACCGGCGTGGGCGAAGGACCGATAAAGACCAACCAACATTTAGTATAAACCACTAATACTACATTAACAATACCCCTGAATACGAAATACCCTAGTTCCAAGCTTAATTCATCGGGATTCTTGGTGAGCATTTATCATTAGCTTTGAATGGTGGCACGGGTTGGCTACATGAGCATATAGAGCGGTTGCAGCAGATACAAGATGACGGAAGAGATCTCAGATTTGAGGCCTAGAACTGTTTAATACTACTAGAAAATATATTGGCAACCTAGATGTCTAATATACACATGTGATATGTCAATTTAGACGACCCTGAATCTCTGAACCCGGTTTTCAATCGGCAGATTCCGATTTGGCAGGTGAAAGTCTCCACAAAAACTTTTTCCATGCGACCGCAATCCAAGAATTTCTTCGTCGAGCTGATAATCTTCACTGAAGAACCTCACTAAAGTAGAAGCACTCGAACTATGCTTCCTGGCTTCTCTAGCCTAATTCTCACTTAGTTAATTATACGAATACTATACGCGAATATACTATACTATATAATTGTAACAAGACTCCAAGTTACTACCACAATGTCAGACCAATCGCAATCCGCATGTCCGGTCGACCATAAAAGTAGAGAGGCATGGCTCCAACAAGCCCGAGCCGCCGGCGTCACGGAGGGAGGACCATCTATACCATCGCAATCCCTACCACCAGACCATCCGTCCATTCCGAGTACCGGTTCGAAAGAGAACATAGAAAGCTGTCCCGTAGACCACAAGGCGCGCGACGCATGGCTACAACAAGCCGCCCGAGCAGCTCCCCCACCTCCTCCGCCCTCCCAACAACAACAACAACAACAACAACAACAACAACCACCACCGACCTCGTCCTCATGGACATCCTATCTCCCACGCATACCATTCCTCTCCTCTTCCTCGCCCACACGCCCCCAACAAGCCACATTACCACCAAACCACCCCTCCCTAGACACATCCCGAGAAATCTCCACGATACCCCGGTCCTCGAAACCCCTCGACACCGAGACCGCGCGCCCCGCCAACACAGAGCAAGAGACCGGCGCAGACGCCACGTCGGGGAACTGGGTGTATCCCTCTGAGCGCATGTTCTTCGAGGCCATGAAGCGCAAGGGCCACGACCCGCAAGCCGCGGATATGCGTGCCGTGGTGCCGATTCACAACGCGGTCAACGAGCGCGCGTGGGCGGAGATCAAGGCTTGGGAGGAGCCGTATGTGAGGGGTTCTACGTATGTTGCGTCTTACATACATCCCTGACTCGAGAACTACCTAATACTAATCATTGATATGGAATATAGCTGCGGTGGTCCACGGTTACACTCTTTCTCCGGTCTAAGCACCCAGATGTCCCCCCGTGCCCGCATAAATACCCTACTAGGCTACCAGGCCCCCTTTGATCGACACGACTGGGTTGTGGATAGATGTGGTAAGGAGATCGAGTACATTATCGATTTCTACGCTGGACGAAATAGCAAGACCAGCGATGGAAGATTGTCCTTCTATCTAGATGTGCGGCCCAAACTAAACTCTTGGGAAGGTGTCAAGATGCGAGCTATGCGAGCTACTGGCCTGGCATAGAGGGAATAGTTGTGAGTGTTACCTGTATAGATACTAATGTATTATAAGACATGAGTGAAGAATCATCGTATAGGTATGATAGCATGGCGCCCAGGTTGGTTATAGAAAGGATCGCCATTCATATACAATATTCACATGCACTATACCATATTGATTGAAGGCACGATTTGTATATATGCTTCCTACTTGTAATAAGTACTCGGGCCTGAAAAACAACGCATATTGGGGGTATCATCCGGTTTCCATCCGTTCGTCCTTAAACTTCCAAAAACCCCATTATCAAAGAAAAAAGAAATCCGATACGCACTCCTCCCTCCATAATCCCTCGACTAAGCCGATTTATTCTCATCGCCCATAACGATCCGGACAGAAGGACCCGTCTCCATAGCATTTGTCTGGAGGTCCCAACCAGCAGCCTTGAGGCTCTTCCAGAATGCGCTGTCTGCTGGCCAGTGTGATCCCGTATGAGCCTCGACCCACGCTTCTAAAGCAGCCATCGTGGGGGTACCTTGTTTCAAGAAGATCTTTTGACCTGTGGGCTGCTGAACAATGACATAGCCACGGTGTCGGTACTTCTGATTCTTGAAGTGACTGATCTCGCGAAGCCGAGGGAATGTCGTGGCGAATGTGATACGCGGACTAACCCAAGTAAGAATTTGCTCTTTTGCTGCTACCTGATCGGGACGGAGAATAGCACCACGAGGGCTGGATGCCTCCTCCAGTATGATCGTGAGTCGCTGTCTGTTCAGAGTGCGCATCTGTACAGAGCGAACAGCTTGGTAGTTAGTCCAGAGGTGGATACCGACAAGAACAATCATTGAAACCACCACGGCTATCTTCCCGTGCACAAGATGAACAAATAAGCTGCCGACTAGCAAGCCTAGGAGCGAGATCACGGTCTCTTGACTTCCATCCTTAGCATTGAGTTCAGCAAGATTCCCATTCTTGGCGAAGTGAGCGCTAAGAGAAGCTTTAGCAGCGCCGCCCGAGATTCCGCAGAGCGCGCGAAGGATACCGGCCCCACAGAGTGCAAGGATCTTGGGATACGTGGGTAGAGCTGGGGACAGTATATCAAGAAACAAAGCTGAATCATTGACGATATCAGCGAAGAAGCGGTAGTATTTGCACTCCGGCTCTATAGCCCGACCATGACGATGCGCAAATAAGATGGTGGCAAGTCTGCCGGTTGATTCCTGCAGCACAGTAAGAAGTACAGCTGCGGTTGCCGAAGAAGTGGAATCTCCAACGCCGAAACCCTGGAGCACGGCCCGGGACGAGAGGAGACCGGCAATTGTGCTAGAAAAAGCTTGAAGGGAGTCCTGCAGCAAATATTAGTAAATATACAGACATGCAAGTGAAGACACGTATGAATTGCGCAATCGGGAAGCAAGAAAACGTACGTAAATCTGGTAAGGAGTGTAGTCAGGCGTCACGGTATGAGGGTAACCGGCCGGGAGAAAGACGTCTAACACATCTTTACCGATGCTTTTGAAGGTCTTCTTTGGAACGATGGGGTTGCTAGCCTCATCGTAGGTGCAGATGACCTCTGATTCATTCAAGGCTTTGATGATCTTAGGAGGCGCCATTGTGTTAGAGTTGCAGCGCGTCACAATGCGCTGCAGAAGAAAGCGGGAAAAGAAGTTGTTTTGAGTTTGGAGGAAAGAGGAAAAAACATTAGCTAGAAGCACTGATAGGAATAATCTATATACCCCGCGAAATCACCCCGCGATTGTTCTGCAGTTACCTAGGTATCCCACTGGGAAAGCGTTACAGGTAGGGAGTTTGTTTTTGTACCTGCGTTAGGTAGTAGGTACCTACCTCATTGGAAGGTTCCATGTTGGTGGGGTTTGAGCCTCAGCCTCATAACACAGATCATAGGGCTAAGTACCTAAGTACCCAATCCACACCAATAGATTCCATGTCTGAGATACTTTATGTACCTATCGTTCATCAACTTATGTTTAATAAAAATATCTGCAAATCACGTTAGTGTCCGCCATGTTACCTTAGGTTAGGTACGCACTTCCTATGAAGTAATACTTCTCTAGATCACAAACGAACTAACATGTTGGAATAACCCCCTTGAAAACAGTGCTTGAGTATTCCTTCTTTAGATGCTATATAAACCATATCATGTTTAAATTCAAGGCTGCTGTGTGTCTTCAGAAAAAGTTTCGCAACATCTATAACAACATAATCGTTATTTGTAAATAGAGGCTCAACTAAAGAGTTAAGGAACAAACTATCCTATCCATTACCAATATAAGTAGGCGGTCTTCCTGGAACTACAACAAGTTTATCTAGCAAAACAAACAGCTCAGTACCTAAAGCTTTAGCATCAATTACGAATTCAAAATGACAGACTCCAATGATCAGAACTCTATATTACTCAACCTGCCTGCCGAAATCAGGCAAATGATTTACGGATTAGTGCTCCAGAAAGATGGACCTATTATGTTATGTGGCAGACAGGGAAGATTCAGAATCCATCCTGACATGGATTGTGAATTATTCCATTTCCCAGAAGAAGCTTGTAATTATAACAATCATGAAATTGAAAGCAAGCTATCCAGAGCGGTTAGAAAAATACCAGCCCCAGACCCAACAAGCGAGGTTCTGCACACTTCTCTACTAGAAGTGTGCAAGCAAATCAATGATGAAGCAACCCCATTGCTTTATTCCCGGAACATGATGGTCGTCAGTCGTAATTGCCTACATGACGATCCCCACTGGCCAGAAGATTTTGATAATGCCCATCATCTAAAAAGGTTAACCATTTGGGTTAAGCCAGAGTTGATGGGCGAACCCCATCTATGGCTACATGCAAGCGAACTGATTATTCTTGCGGCAGGTTCTATTAGCCGAGTCACTGTGCTCTTTCAAGCAGATGTATACGACATGGACGGAGATAAATATAAGCAAGCCCTTGTTGACCTTAGGACGTATATTTCCTGGTTTCACGACAATGAGCAACATTCAATAGATGTTGGCTTCTATCCGTCATTGCGAGATGCATTCCAAGCCCTCTCACATTCTTACAGATAGAAGAGCCTGGCAATACATCCATTCTTTAGAATTCATATTCTTTAGAATGAGAATAAACCAATATGAACTGCATATGGGAGAGGGATCCTTATGTCCATTTTTGGCGTAATAAGCCTTGAGAACAAAAGAAAAAAAGAGAAAAAAAGAGGAAGAAAGAAAAGCACAAAAAAAAGAGAAGAGAATAAAAGGACTAAAATTTACGAAAATGCTGTAGAAAATGTCTCGAACACATATTCTGTCAGATAATTACAGGGGCTATTTGTAGCTAGTTAGACATAGTATTTAAACATAACCTTTGGTTTGCAGATATGATAGCCATTGGAACCCAACAAATGGCAACACGACCTGCATTGTCAAAGGGTTATGTTTAATAATACAATACTACCCCTTTAACACTTAGCCCTCTCATATTAAAAGATAGAAGCTGTCAGATTTAGTACCTTTGATTATAGTCATAGATAGAGTGAAGGTCAGGATAGTTGAACTGAACTATTAACGCCTGCCTTTCTATCCTCTGTTAAAGGTGCTGTGCAACCCCTATATGCCCAATCCTAGTAGATCTACCCCTGGATCTACCCCTAACTTACTTATACCCTGACAGAAATGCTCAGCTAATATGAGTTAATTGCTTATACTGTAAGGGAAACTGAACAAATCTGTAGGGTTAGATGAAGTGCACAGATTATGTCCATTAAAGTCTATGGCTGACGTTATTGTTCGTGCGACAAAATAAAATCCCTTTGGGTCAAAGAGGGAGAAGGCTTTTTAGGTTAAGTTAAACATCTATCTTATCTAATAACTTCAATGTTCTACATCAGTGACCTCATTTCTTTGTGTGCCTAATTATAGTTAGAAAGTTGAAGAATTTCCAGTATCAATGTAGAAGACATATTGGTCTATGGTCCAATCACCGGTAAGACTGAAACCAAACTGCATAAGAGGTAGTCATAGAGTGTCTTTTAACATTCACAGCAGACCACAAAGCGTGATTTAGCACAGACAATCTCTTAAGGATTTAATCTGGTGGAGGTGAATATTGGGTTTAGCCCGGACTAGAAGCACCAGTGTCCCCATTAGAATTAGATAGCTCGGTGGCTGTTTCTGGACCAGTCTTCTCCAACCAAAAAAAAAGTATAGCTTTCCCAACAGCTCCACTACTTTCGCTTAAATACCTAGCAATCCCTCCCAGTAGCTTTACCTTATTTCAGGTTTTCAGTCAAGGAGATAGAAATCCAATCTTGGTCCACTAACATCACCTGTAAGCACAATGTCTGGCACGGAGAACTGGAAAGACTTGTCCAACTGGAGGACCCGGGACCCAGTCACGTCGACGGCCAAAAGCTCATCTCAGTCTCGTGATTCCCGTCAGAACCTACTAGGGGCACCGTCCTGGAGAACTAGAGATGTCACTAGCAATGCAGGACCCCAGAGCCCACAGCAAGAGCCGCGCAATATCTGGACCCCGAGAAGTCGTCCATTTGACCGCGAGCGGACAATGGACAAACGACAAGTAGACGAAGAAAACGCCGCAAAAGCCATCGCCGAAGGCCGGCGCATCTATATCGGAAACCTGCGCTACCAGGCAAAGCCCGACGACATTGAGGATCTACTCAGAACCAATGACCTAGGGAGTTTTGAGTCGATCCACATCTCCATCGACCCCTTCACGGGGCGTAATCCGAGCTACTGCTTCGTTGAGTTCCCGGACCGCGAGTCAGCCGATCTGGCCATGTCTACGTTAGAGGGCAAACTACTACTTGGTAGGGAGGTCAAGTGCCGTCCATGCATACCAAAGGGCGGCGCATCTGGCGGGAGACAGGGCGAGGGCTCCAAGCGCTGGGGCCACTGGACAGGAGAGAAGACTACTACGGATGAAGGAGGTGAAGCATCCTTAGGACAGGATATTCGACAAGGGGAACAGGAAGGCTCGCCGTCTTCCTTTACTAGGTATAGGAATGATTTCAGCAACCAGCGGTTGTACGTCGGTGGTCTACCACGGATGCACGATCAAGCAACCAACTCTGCAGAAATCAGAGAGTTATTCAAAGCGTTTCAAGTGTAAGTCTACCATTTCGGAACTCAGGTGTTCATTGACTAGTTAAAAGGCAATCGCATTAAACTATCTGAATTACAGTGAAGCAATAAGCAAAAGGGTCACTGCCCATGAATCAGTCCGTGCCAAGCCTGGCCATCACGATTTCTGCTTCGTCGATTTTGTGACGCCAGAGCAGGCTCAAGCGGCAATAGATGCCATCAACGGTACATATTTTCGTGGCGGGCGGCTGAAGGTGTCCTTTGCTAGCGGCCGCTCTCGCAAGTGGCAGGAGAGGGAAAATATCGACGTCGATGGATAACGTACGAGCTAGCAAAGTAAAGAATCGAAATATCAACACCAACTAATGGCTCTGCAAAAGAGATCAAAAGAAAACGAAAAACTGATAACTTTTCATGGCATCAAATGGCCGTCCCCTCCCTCCTCGTCATTTTTTTTTTTTTTTTTTCCAATTACTCCTTCGGTTTTTTTTTTCAATTTTGCTTTTTCAATTTTTTTTTTCCTTTTCCTCTTTTCTCCTTTCTCCTTTTCTCCTTTTCTGTCCTCTCCCTATCAACACCTCCTCCTTCACACTGCTTCCCCTCCTTTTGGCTTGTTCTTCATTACTTCCTCTGTTGAAGAGGTAGATACCAGATTGTTCCAACCATCACTAGATATTGAGTGGTTGCTATGATTGCCAGTGCTATAGCCACTAGACTTGACAGATTTCAGTTGCTTTCCTTCGTGTGACGTGTGACGTGCTCCAAGAGACCAATGACCGACCATACGGTCTTTCAATCAACATTCATGGTTCATTTTGCCGATTTTTTCATGGCCTTCTGATTGCCTTTTCTCGCTTTTTTCGCCTTCTTCGAATCCTCAGTCGCAGCCGCTGCTGCTTTAGCAGCTTCTTTCTTCTTCTTATCAAGCTCCTTTTCTAGTCGAGCTACGTACCGGTCCCATCTTTTGATCCAGTGATTCCATATGTGGATTCTCCTTTGTCTGACTGTCTGGGTCGTTTCGGCAAACATGGTGTCCTTGTCAAGAAAATGATTCAACCCGCCAGCGAACTTGGCGACGTCCGAAGGAGAAGGAATGGAATGCACCTCTCGAAGATGGGCTTCTACATCTCTATATAGCCCTGTTGCAGTATTCCTGAAGAAACGGATGATATTTTCCTCACCCTGACGGTCCTTTGGGAAGGCGTGAAATGATGCCCAAGAGTCGTAGCGGTCCCTAGTAGGATCTTCCCACAACAATTGAAGTTCCAACTCTCCCGAATCGTTCCAGCGGATCCCTGTTACCTTAAGGTAAGTCCATGCTACCTGCCCGTCTGCGGTATACTTCGGTACCTCGCGGTGTACAACTCCAAAAGAGTTCACAACCTGGCCCTTGCGTCTGGTGCGGGATGAAACTGTGTCCGACATGAGATGCATATCCTGTGCGATACGGTTTCCACCCGTGAAGTCAACCGGTGCAGCTCTAATAGCTGCATTGATCGCAGCTCGGTTGGCCATGTCTTTCAGCCACTGAGGATGGTTGTCTTTCTCTTCATCGCTTTTACCTTTTAGTGCAAAAGCCTTTTTACGAGCATCCACTACAGCATATAAAGGTTAGCAAAATCCACCAGATTTAGGTCAAGAAAAGAGCCCGCCATTAAAAAAAGTCAGGGCCTAAGGAAATTGCTTTGGAGACAACAAATCATCAAAATGAGGTTGGTAAATAAGGGCAAAGTAAACTGACTAGGTAAAGAAAATGGAAATTTCACTTACAACCACGAACGATGGCAGAAAGGTAGTTCCTTGCCTGAGGACCTTGCTGAAGCTCTGAACGACCAAGGGCCTTTTTCAGATGGAACTCTTCTCCATAGAGGGAGAAGCGCATGAAGACATCGAAGATGGGCAGGTTGATAAAAGCTGGTGCTTCATGAGAACCATCCGCCAGTGTATCCCATCCATAGAGCTTAGACTCCATGCCGCCAAAGTCAACGTTCTGGTGAAGAACAAGAGATAATTCTCTAAGATCATCGCATCGACTCAAAAGTGTCAGGATATGATTAATGTGGTTGTTGGGAGGCCGATTGTGAGGCTGGAGGGCAACGTGTGGTGCGGGCCTAACCTGTCCGCCCCAGTCTTCCGCCCAAGGGTTTAGAGCCTCCCCAGTTATAAGGCGAATGGTACGGATCATGGCCAGACGTTTAGGGAGAATAGCCGCCAAGAATGTGTGTAAATCTTGGGCAAAGTCGAATTCAAATCTGTTGACGCGATAGAAGACGGGATGGTCTTCTAACTCTCGATAGATTGATCGGCAGGTGCGACTAAGAGAAACAACTACTAGAGGTTCTTCATCCGATTTCAAGACAACCCCGGTGAAGCGACTCCTACCATCATTGTCGGTTTTGCCCCATACAAACTTGTTTGAGCGAGGAGCCATCTGCCTTGGTCGGACAGGCTTGTCGATGGCTACGGCATATTCGTAGATGATGAGGCGAATCTTAAAAAACGATGTTAGTTCACTAGTTCTCGCACAGATTGGAGTCAGAAAGAGCGCACATACCTCTATAGGGATGTTCTTGAAGAGGGGAGAATCATGATGATTCTCTTGGGTGAGGACGGCATAAATATGATTTGGATCACCAATATTGATGAGGCTGCTGCTTGACGCGGCCATCGTGTCTTACTTCACGTCGACAAGTGATGTAAAGTGATATCACCAAAGTACGCAACTAGAAGTAGAAATGCTCTTGTCGCATATGTTTAGAGGCAAGAAACAACAGGCAACGTGGGAGTCGGCGACGCGTAATAGTAAAAGGAGTCGGCGACACGTAATAGTAAAAAGAAGTCGGCGACACGTAATAGTAAAAGAAGTCGGCGACTTGTAATAGTAAAAGAAGTCGGCGACTTGTAATAGTAAAAGAAGTCGGCGACGCGTAATAGTAAAAGAGATGTGGTTTAGGGATTGACTTATAGATAGTTTGTGTCAACTTTGTTGACGAAAGCCGTCCCGAAAGGGAAAGCCTGGGAACGAACTAGAAAATTGACGGCGCCAGTAAGTTGACGAGATGAATTCCGGCGTGAAAGGAAAGGGTTTGGAATTAACAAGCAGTGACGGGAGTTGTAGATATTTAAGTAATAAAATTGGTGGGAGGAAAACCGCAAGGCAACGAACCGGGCAACGAACGGGGCAACCGCGAAACGCAAACCGGAAGGAAGTTGCAAGGCCTGTATATAACTTAGTTACCTAAATACCTAAAGTACATACCTTAGGTACGTTCCTTGGGCATGTTCCTTGAGTAGCACTTTCCCTCACAAGCGCCGATAAGGTACGAGATAAGATGGAGACGTAAGTGCAAGTGCAGGTGTAGCCGTAAAGACCGGCGTAGGTTATGCTTTATACGGGTGCCTAACTGACTTATCTACCGCTGTGGGTCACACTTTTTCACATTAAAGATGCAAGAGCACATTAGAGAGGCAAGAGTAGATGCATTACGCTCTTGTTCTTAAGGGGAAACCGATATTTCCTACTAGGGGTATAGAAAGACACTTGCATTAGGTCCCCTTATCGGAGTCATAAAAGGAGGCGCTGTATCTATCTGGAGGTAGGTAGTTGGAATACGGAAGTAATTATAATTTAGGTACCTATTACACGTTTACAAATAACTTATTGACACTTTAATAAGTCAAAATTTAGTATTCACATATATGTATTTTAAACTGGTAATAATGGCTATATTTCCTTACTATTTAGAGTAGGATGGGCCTATTTCTACTTGATCACCGTCTTCCAAGCATAAGGCCTCTCATAATCCATCTCTTATATACTCCAAATGGCCTCCTTGGCTTCCTTAGATTCCTTGGATTCCTTGTCGACTTACCGGTAGCCCCTTTCTTCGGTTTTTTGTCCTGGCGTGGTCGTGTGACACCCTTTACCTTACCTATACGAATCATCCGTCTTTCCCATACCCATTCGCATAAGCATTCGGTACACATCCCCTTACGATATTTTTTCTCCTGGGTATTGCTAGATCTGACACGGTAGTGATTACGACAGGTATGCCCACACTCGTAGACTTGGACTATGTCCTGGCCTTTTTCGTCTTTGGCGGCAGCTACAACCTTTAATGCCTTCAACGTTGCGCACTTCTCAGCTGAGAGATGTGTACAACTGAGCTGGTAACGGGATTCACATATAGCGCATTGCTGTGCCGATCCTGTTGCTGTCTGCTCGTCTTTCAGTTGAAAATAGAGCAGCTCTCTTGGGCTCCATTCACCACCATCTAAGGCCATGTTGTCAAGTCGTCTTCTACAATAGTCTATTCCAGTGTTTCACACGTGATAGGATTTTAACCTAAGGGCAAATAATATATTAAGGGTTTTGTTCATTGTTATTTATACGTCTTATAAACAAGTAAACAATGCGTATTCAACAATGTAATTATATCTTCAGTCAGCTACAATTGTCTTATCTCTTTCTTCCCTGAAGACCATTGTCATACCACAAAGTGGACATCGAAAAAGAAGACAATGCACCTAGATTGACGTTACTTTCTATGTTTTATGCAGTCAGTATCAAATTAGTGCTATTTCCAAAGATCACGAGACCCTGTCTATATCAGTGATATCGTTTACCAATAGCTTATCTCTACCCCAATGCTACATACCCAGAAAGATAATAGGTCTTGCTTACCGATCCTATCTATATGTTCAGTTACCCCTGAATTTCCACAATGGGACTCGCCTTAACGCATTTCTTCGCTTCACTAACCTACCTAGGTTTCCTTCCTATCAGGAGCGATATCTCAGCGCCGACGCCAACAAGAAGGCAGGAGCAGACTCTAGAGATGAAATCAAAATGACCCGGCGTGCAGTTCAACCTCAGCCCGAGGCCCTACCAAAGCGCGTCTTCTCTACAGGATTCGGCATCGCTATACGGACTAGAAGTGAAGATGACAATGCATCCCCGTCCAACGACGCCAAGGAGCAAATCTTCACCATCATTACCACAGGCCTACTAATCCCCGGCGACGGACAACCTACCAAAGACGCGGCCCTAGTAATTGAAAACAAGCTCATCGCATGGGTCGGCTTGCAATCAGACCTACCACCAAAATTCACCGAAGTGCCGCACAAATTGTACTCGGTGCCGTATTTAATGCCCGGCCTCTGGGATTGTCACGCGCACTTCGGCGGGGAGAGCGAGGAGGAGAAAAACGATTACCTGCCCATCATCAGCGAACACCCGGCCGCAGCCGGCGCGCGCCTCGCTAAAGGGTGCTGGGAGGCGTTGCAACGGGGGTATACCTCGTTGCGCGACCTAGCAGGGTACGGATGTGAAGTCGCGCGCGCCATTGAGGACGGGACGATCGTGGGGCCGAACGTGTACAGCGCGGGCTCGTGTCTCAGCCAGACGGCTGGGCATGGGGACGTGTTTGCGCTGCCGGCAGGGGACGTGCTTCTAAATCTTGGCGTGTCGAGCGTGTCTGCGGGGCAGTTCGGGGCCGGCACGTCGATCATAGCGGACGGCGTAGATGAGTGCCGAAGAGCTGTGCGCTTGCAGATCCGGCGTGGAGCGCGGGTTATCAAGGTGATGGCGTCGGGGGGTGTGATGTCTCGAGATGATGATCCATTGTGCGCGCAGTTCAGCCATGAGGAGCTTCGTACTATTGTCGAGGAGGCGGCGCGACAGAACCGTGTTGTGGCCGCTCATGTTCACGGGAAGCCGGGTATCTTGGCAGCCGTCAATTCGGGTGTTGCGTCTGTGGAACATGTCTCGTTTGCCGATGAAGAATGCATTGACCTGATTAAGGAGAAAGGCATTGTCTATGTTGCCACACGTACCATTGTTGAACTGTTGTTGCAGTCAGGTGGAAAGGGATTATCACGGCAGCAGTGGGAGAAGGCACAACTATGTGGCAAAAATAGCTTCGTTGCCTATAAGTTAGCCGTCAAGGCGGGTGTACCAATTGCTTTAGGGACTGATACGGCACCGGGGTTCAATATGGCCATGGAATTGGACTACGCTGTGCAAGCCGGCTTGAGCAATCTAGAGGCGATCAAGGCCGCGACGGCCAACGGTCCATTGACCGTGAGGGGACAGGCTCCCAAGACGGGCCAGCTGAAAGTTGGATACGAGGCCGATATCCTTGGCTTATTGAAAAATCCGGTCGATGACGTGAAGGTATTGCAAGAAAAGGCGACCATCGGGTGGGTATGGAAGGGCGGAAAGATTTATAAGGGCCCGGGCGTAGGTCCTTGGGGAGAAGAATCATAGCCTCTACCTTGGCAGTTGATCGTGAATTCTAGTCTATCGTCTATCGTCTATCGTCTATCGTATCGTTACCTGCGTACCTACATATACAACTACATAAATATTTCAACCCCAATGAAAAACAAATACTCATACATCAATAATCAGTTTCTCTTCTCCTCTGGATTCCCTCCACCTGTTAGTCGATTCGATCAGAGTATGACATCCCTTCAACAGAAACGACCATTTTGTCGCAAAGCCCTCGGTAACTTCCCAGCCCGTTTCTGACCATGGCTCTCCCCATACTATCAACCCCCTAGCTTCTACCTCGTCAAACCCTTCGTACAGTCCACCAGCCATGTCTACGCAGAGATCTTCTTCATCATACCTGCCGTGGTTCAGGATCAGATTATCCCGCATACCACCCCACGGAACAATATCTATCCAAAAATCATGCGCCACACGCTTCTGGACCTGAGTCGATTCAAAGTTAGGGGGTATAGTCTTAGGAGGAGAAAGTATGTTTTTTATATTAAGAGCTGCGCCGCATTCGAGGGGTATCCGGTCGAGGATTGATAAGATAGACATGTTGGTAATGAACGCTCGAAGAACGTTGTATTGGATTAAGACAAGGAGCCGATGGTCTGCCGAGATAGGAAAGGCAAAATCCGGGATGGTGATTCTAACCTGATCGTGGCTATCGAGATATGGGATCATGGGTGGGATCGCTTGCCGTTTAGGGCTCGGTAGATTATACCTCGCACCATGCGTGAGGTCTTGTCGTTGGCTGAGATTATAACATGGGCGATCTGGTATCCCGTACACTTCATTTATAGCATTAAGTTGCGCATGAAACTCCTCCCAATAAGTGAAGGGCCTGAGCCGTGTATAAAGATGGGATGGCACGCGTGGATCGGCTTTTAAGAGGTTCATGATCTCTTGTGCCAGAGGACTATCTACATCTGGCATAGACGGCTTCGCTTGTCTATGGGACTCCTGTTCATGGGACTCATGCTGTTCGCTAGATGCTCGCTGAGCTGCCTTCTTTCGACCTAAGCATGGCAATTATAAGCGATTTTGAATTAATATGGGGGGTATGTAACAACCTACGCCATGCTCTTTGATGCAGTCGATTCTGTCGTTTCCTCCTTTCGGCTGCATTAGCCAATCCGGTCCAGTTATCATCTTCTACTCGCGCCTAGAAACCCATCAGCTTCACATTTCCCCTTGACATTTACAAATATCAAAATGGCCTTCATCCTTGAAAGCAGGGGAACCCTAACCTCGCGTAGCTGTGCCATCGATGACACGTTAAAAGCCATTCTGCGATATTTGATATTGTCGTGTCGCGAATTCTGCGAATTGGATCAAAAGGTTGAAATCCCCGATCGCGGCCAGGTCCCAGACTGAGACCTTTTAATGCACTCTGCTTATTAGAGACCGGCGGATGGTTGAATGATATGTGTTCCGGAAACTTAAAAGAACGGCCTCGGCACCAAGGGACCGTCCGAATGGGAAACAGTTGGCCCTCTTCTTTCTATTTTGGGCATCTTAGCCCCGGGAACGTTGCTTTAGCGCTGTAGGGCCGCAGTTTTGGGAATAGGCTAGGCTATTTCGGGAATAGCGCATCTGTCATCTGCTTATCCTGCATATATCCCTGCTCGGTTTAGAATCTACAATTTTATGTTACACTTATCGACAGCTTTGGACTTTCATCTATTAGCCGAACCGTATAGGTAAGGTAGTCACAGAAATACACATTCTTTTTAGTAATGGCCTATTAGTTTTCCTACTTGGGCACTATTTCAAACATGAAGTTAATAGTATATAAAAGTGCATCCTTCGCAGACAGAAGTCTTCAGTTCTATCTATCCATAAGCTATTTCACTACTAGCTTAATAAGTTTAACGCGATATATCGACACGGAAACAAACTATCATCACAAGCCCTCTAGGAATTTTCTAACATTATAAAATCCTAAGCACCATCAATCAACATGCCTGCGATATCTGGGTTCGTGAACTTCAACCCGGACAAGGATATCCCGTCTCTTCAGGGTAGAGTTATCTTCGTCACAGGTGGTATGTTATTACCGTCCTTGGTTTTACTTCAAAAATCTGTTTTAGCTAACTATTCAAAGGTACTGCTGGTCTTGGGCGAGCTTCAGTTAGAGCCCTTGCAAAACATGACCCTACCCATATTTACTTCACCGGCCGCAATGAACAAGCCGGCGAAGCGCTCATTGAGGAGATAAAGAAGACGAATCCATCCGTGGGCATGTCATTCTTAAAGATGGATATGACCTCACTGTCTTCAGTCAAGAAAGCTTGCGCTCAGTTTACTCACGACCGCCTCGATATTCTTATGTTAGCTACATTTTCCGTTTCTTCTCCAAATGTCGTACACCAAAGGGAGATCAATTTTAAACTAATGATAAATAGGTGCAATGCCGGCATCATGGATAAACCACCGGCCCTAAGCGAGGATGGCTTCGAGATACACTTCGCAGTCAACCATCTAGCACATGGCATGATCATTCAACAAGTCCTACCTGTCTTGCAGAGGACTGCTGATTTACCTGGCTCCGACGTGCGAGTTGTCGTTCTTACATCCTCTGGTTGGCGAGCACATCCGAAGAATGGTATAGATTTTGCTACTATTCGTACTAAGCAGGAAGACCTGACTTTGTTGGGATTCAATCTTCGCTATGGGTAGGTCACCTCTTTCAATTATCAGAGACCGAGCATGAAATATATCTTGTCTGGATAAAATGTAAGTATATTGGGTTATCGATCTATAAGAACTAATTGGAGTAAATCCCTACAGACAGAGCAAAATCGCAAATATAATCTACGCAGCTGAGATCGCGCGGCGGTACCCTAAGATCATGGCTGTGTCCATCCACCCAGGTGTCGTCACCACAGATCTAGTAAATAACTTGCCACCGATGAGAAAAGCGTTTGTGTATGGTGCAAACTGGATGCTAGGTGGCGGCGTAGTGGACGAGAGTATAGGTCGTCTAAACCAGCTCTGGGCGGCAGCAGGCGCGAAGAGAGATGAGTTGGTGAATGGAGCATACTATAAGCCCGTTGGTGTACAAGGCAAATTGAACAAGACAGCGATGAGTGAGGAGTTAGGCCGTGAGCTATGGTCATGGACTGATGAAATGCTGGCGAAGGTGGCGTAAGCTATACTGGATTATAATATAGTACGAACTAGGACAAGTGGTTTTTTTCTCTTAGGTTAAATTATTTAATTTGACTATGGAATGATTTAAACATCTTATTCTGATTGTAGACCGCGTTGCGGATCACATATGAACCGGGTATGAATTGCTAAGATGAAAATAAAATCTTTAAGCCATTGGGATATCTTATAAACGAGCCAGCGGGTGATAATTTGACCTAGAAACGATACTAATGTCATGCGGTGGAGCAAGAAACAAGGCAATAACTTCGTTGTTCCGCGAGGAACTCTAGGTTAACTATGGGAGCCTACGGCTAGTTATACATACTAAAAGTATCCTTTGTTCTAAATATCTCATCTAGAATCTTGACAACCAAGGCACAACATGTCTCAGATCTACGCGTATAGCTGATTCTGATTCTCGTGTTCGAAGAATTTGTCCGCTGGCGAAGACTTTGCTGGATCTTTTTACTCGCCCCTACGTTGACGAGTTTATGCGTAAAGCAATGTATATTACAGGACTATTTACTGAGTCCTACATCGAATCTCGTTAGGGAATTCAATATCAAGCCAAGAAAATGAGATATTTGACGCGTCATGATTGATTCATGCGACATTTGATGGCGACTACCTTCTTGATATCTAGGTACCTAGCGTAAAGTTGAGCCGGCTTCCTCGTCTTCCATAAACCTCGCAAAGATGCTACCATACAAGAGACATCTATATTAAAAAGCTTTTGCTATCACTACATGGATTTCTGGGACATCGTATTTCATTTAAGCCCCATGCTCGTCTAATTAGGAGTGTTTCTATTGAAGCGAAATGTAATTTCTGGCATTGTTGAGGCGATGTAATCGCTCGTTTAAGAAGTAGACAAATTTAGGAGATACTGATAAGTTCAACGTACACAATCATCGTGGCTTCGATCATGAATCCATGCAGAAAATTCGTTCAATCCCCCGAAGTTCTAAGCAGTGAGTGAAGGGTTTTTATTTATTTATTTCGTCGTGAGCTGAAAGGCATTGAGCAATTAAAAATGTCGACAGAATATTCCGTATTATGAATAGGAGAATAGGAGTCTGCCCCTTGCTCAAATTTACTAAAGAGGCCCTTACCCAATTCTGTTGAAATATGGTAACATCGGGCATGCCGCATGCATAGTTACTAATTAGTCCCGACATCATGAACCGGACTTCGAACATTTACGTCATTCCTGAAGGTAGAAAAAAGAAAGGATCTCTTGCTGGTGATAATACCACCTGATCTTAAGTAGGCTATTATTTCACGCAACAGGCTTGGTGAGAATTGTGACTATTGCGACTCCGCAGGATTAATCACATTATCAATTAAAGAGTACTAGGAATATATAATTGCACAAATTTCGGCACCACCGGGCAGCTTATGTATTATGTATGGTGCCTTAATAGCGACAGGGCAAGTGTGTGGGTGATGTGTCCATCAAAGTCAATAGCTACCGCAAACGAAGCTAATAGCGGCAACGAAGTCGGTGAGTATGTATGTAGGTGAATGAAGTGGCATCAGCATGAATTGAAGTAGTCTCAAGATCGCCAGCGACAACCTGCCCAGCGTCTCCGCGCTGCCTCAGACCCTTCAGCATCAACATGTGCCGGCCAATATAACCCTCCCGACATTACAGGGCTATCAGACCATCTTGACACCCCCGGCTTGCCTTTCAGGAACCAGTTGTGATCGGCTCACTAGACCGTTTGATAGTCAACACTATGGCTTCTTTCTCTACTTGGGTCAAAATAGCTGGAGTGGATTGGAGTGGGCATATCATTTAACTACTATGTAAGCAATTTGAGTTCGCTTTGCACGATGATGCGGTGGTATGGCCTCACCACGACCAGATTGTAACATGCCGGGGGTCTTTAAAGCTTAAACAGCACTACCGATTCGGTAGTACCGAATAGCACTACCGAATAGCTAGCGCAATTAGCTCGTGATGAAGTGAACAGACGAGTTGAGTTTTTGATATCGCGTACTCCGTTGGCGTAAATGATTAAGGATGGCCGGCAACGGAGTTTTCGGCATGGGGTGGGATAGGTAACATTGTGATCGTCTCTTCAACCACGTCGACCAGTGACATTAGTCCATGCGGGGGTAATATAACCCCTTAGGTTGGTATCCGCCCCGTTGGACCGCAACGCACGGTTGATAGATCCACTTCTCCTTGAAATGGCAAACGGTTCGACCGTAATTCGACAGCAAGCTTCGTCGTGGAAAACAAGTGGAAAACAAGTGGAAAACACCGCAAATCCTAGCTGAATCCATCCGGCTAGTATCCGTTCTACCATGTGCTAACCATGTTCGCCAAGGTTTAACCCTGAATGTTCCTGGCTAGCAAAATGAGAAGAGAGGAAATATCCATCGCTATTCTAGTCCCTGACGAGTGACGACATCACAAGGGATGTTAGACTCTATGTACCAGAGTGGATGATAGTAGAATCAACGTGGCCGAGATGAATGCAAAACTCAGGGGCGATGGGTTGGCGAGTCGGCAGCCTCGGGGAGTATATATCTACCATCACCTGTCAACATCATCAGATACTTTCTCTTATTCCTCATCCCAACGATCAGCTTTCAGGTTCACTCACACAGTCGCTCTCTACTTTCCAACTTAGTCACTCTTTGACATCTCAAGCTCTCAGCTTTTTCCACCGCTTAATATACCCTTCCCGTCGATACCACATCGCTAGCCAAAATGCGTTTCTCTAACATCGCTCTCGCTGCCTTCTCCTTTGGCTCTGCCATCGCCGCCCCGGCTGCTCACCAGAACAATGCTCGTGCCCTCGAGATTCTCGCCACTGCCACTGCCACTGTTGGCACTGTCCAGAGTTCCGTTGACGTGGAACTCAAGTCTATCTGTATGTTTTAGTCGGAGTAATCACTGTAGTCAGATTTAGTATCTAACAGAGTCCTAGCCAACTTGTTGTTGGACGTTAACGTCAACATCAACGCTTCTGCTCTGATCCCCCAGCTTGAGCATGCTCTCCTCAACATTGCCGGCGAGGTTACCAAGATCGTTGGCGATGTCACGCCTCTTGTTACTGAGGATATCCCCAAGTTGCTTGATTCTGAGCTTAAGACTGTCCCTCAGCTATTGAACGGCGTGCTCTCCATCGCTACCGGTGTTAAGGCTGCGGCTGACCAGATCACCAAGACTGTCCCTGCTGGTATGTTTTATACCTTTCACCTTTCACGCGTTTTGATACTAATCAATTTGTAGATGTCCTGAAGGCTGTCCAGCCTGAGCTTCAGCTTGTCCTCTCTACCGTCGAGCCCGTCGCCAAGCCCGTCCTCAGCTTCGCCCTTAAGGTTGTTAGTGGTGTCGTCAGTCCTCTTGCTGATGAGATCAACGGTCTGGTTGGTCAGCTCCAGGGTGTTGTTGGTGGCCTTCTTAAGCTCGTCGGTGGCATCCTCGGCAGCATCCTATAAGTGCATCGCGTTACAGTGTAGTGGTAGTTGATACCTGTGTTGAAGGAGTAATTGGAAAAGCATATAGAGGCCGGAAATCTGCATGCTCATGATTAGATGCTTGGATACCTTTTGGCATTTATAAAATTTAGCGCGCGAGCCGATAATCTTCAATTGATAGCATAGAGTTGTATGTCCCCATTTGAGTTTGTTTCTGTTATGTGAAATCGTAATCGTATTCATTTTAATCCACTGTGAGTGTGAGTGGAGACTCGTGATATTTTCCAATTAACTAGCTACTTGTCTTGTGAGAAGTGTTTTGCCGCAACTTGCTTTGGAGAAGGATGTTGGTCGAGTTAACGTTTTGTTGGTTAGTGCAAGTTCCTGAAGAAGGGTACCTAGGTAGGTAGTAGAGCAGGTAACATCAGCAAGGTGCCCCCATTGTTAACTAGTCTAATTCCTACATATGTATTTATAGCTTTGTTACATACCTAGCCTATAAAACGGCATGTAGTAGGTGCCTTTTACGGATATTTAACCAACCGGATATATGTTGCGGTTCACCTGAATCACATGCGTTCTTATTAATATAACATTTATAACTGAAGGCTGCAGATTCAACCCATTCCCAATAATTCATTAGTGAAGGATAGTCGCTGATAATGGCGTCTTTATTTGGCCTCGCACGACGCAATTGGTTGGCATTCAATCCTTCCGAAGCGCCCAAGTCGGCCGGTCCGCTCCGGTTCGGAATCCTCGGTGCCGCTGATATTGCACCGATGGCTCTTATCCTCCCGGCAAAGACTCATCCGGATGTTGTGGTTCAGACTGTAGCCGCTCGAGATCCGAAGAAGGCAAAAGCCTATGCCCAGAAACATGGAATACAAGAGGTGTCTTCGAGCTATCAAGGTAACTACATGATTTTCGACGTTTTATGCTTCACTACGTTGAGAACAATTACTAACTGTTACTACGCATCGGCAATTGAAGACTTGCTCGATAACCCTAATATTGACTGCGTCTATATTCCTTTGCCTAATGGATTACACTTCGAGTGGGCTCTTCGAGCCCTGAAAGCTGGGAAGCACGTTCTATTAGAGAAGCCGTCAGTGGATAATGTAACCGAAGCTGAGGCTCTCTTCAAGAATCCGATTCTTAACAGTCCTAAAGCGCCAGTTCTACTCGAGGCTGCGCATTATGCTTTCCATCCTGCTTGGACTGCATTTATGTCATACGTTTCACCTACCGACGTTTCTAGTGCGAAAGCAGTGCTATGGGTTCCGAAGTGGAAGTTCGCCACCGACGACATCAGATACCAGTATGATCTGGGAGGAGGCGCGCTCATGGATCTTGGAGCATACACGGCGAGCGCTCTTACGCGCGTGTTTGGCGCTGTGGCAGAGGAATGTGAAGAATGCCTCACTCAGGCAGCCTCCTACGATTCGAGATGTGACCAGCTTTTCAAGGCGCGGTATAAATTTCCAGGCGGCGGGCGGGGCGAGATGGAGGGCGATCTAAAAGCCCCCCTTGATCGCATGTCGCCTAATATTTACGTGGAACATATTCCTATAGTGGTATATAGTGCGGAAGTAGGCATCCAAGTGCCCAAGGATCAGGAAGTGGTGCGCATACGGAAGATCAAGTTCTCAAATTTTGTCATGCCCACGATTTTCCATTCTATCCAGATAGACGACGAGTTCCTAACAAGGAAGATTGGGGACAAGTCTGGAACCGCCATCAAGAAGTGGACGAATAGCAAGACAATCAAGGCCTACACGTTCAAAGAAGTTGACATTAACCAACCGGGTGAGCCTTCCTGGACGACTTACCGATACCAGCTGGAGGAATTCGTCAATAAAGTCCGTGGACGTGAAGCACGACAGTGGGTGGGCGGCGCTGACTCGATCAATACCGCAAAGATGATCGACATGGCTTATGTAGCCGCGAAGTTGCCATTACGACCTACGAGTAAGTTGGTAGATGGTAGTATTTAGAGACTCAGGGAGGATAGTTGTTTCTAGGATGCGATATGTATATGCCAAGGGACGGAGATATTTCTTTTGTGATGATCAATGGTATTTAATGGTTATGACAACAGAATGAACAGAATGAACAGAATGAACAGAATGAACAGAATGAACAGAATGAACAGAATGAACAGAATGAACAGAATGAACAGAATGAACAGAATGATAACTTCACATTTCTCGTACGAGTCCCTTTCTATGTTACCTACATGGGTATCCTCATAAAGATAGTGATATATGCATATTAGAGAGATATGCATTAATATATGCATTAAATGGTTCCTTAGTGGGTCTCCGAAATTTCCCACTCTTCTGGTCCCCGAGAAGAAAAGACTTAGAAAAGACAAGACGACAAGAACCCCTATTCGACCACAATTTTCAAGATGACAAGCGAGACTCTACCGCAAAGCCTTGAATTCCTCACTGATGCCGCACACCTTCTCGTGAAGACGGCGCCTGAGACCTCGGCGTACCTTATGACGCGGCGGAACTCGCTAATATTCCACAATGATTTAGAGCAGTCGGACTTGCAAAGACAACATGTGTGCGGTGCCTGTGGACATATCATGATCCCCGGCCAAGGAAGCGAGCTAAAGATAGAGACAAACATGAACTCACAGCGAAAAAAGTTGAAAAGGAAGAAGGATAGCTCCAAGGCTATAACTGGGAAGAGCACACCAATAGCCGATCGTCGAAAGAAGTTTACTTGTGGGATGTGCGGTCGGTACACCGATATTGTATTTCCTCCCGTAGCGCCTATATCTGGGCGTCGTCTACTAAAGCCAACAAAGTCCATGAGTTTAGGCACAGCTCACCGCAATGCGCCTATACCCTCCGAGCCAGCTAAAGTCTCAGCAAGTGCTAGCAGCAAGAAGAGGGCCAAGAGTAGAAAACAAGGCCTTCAAGCTTTGCTTCAGCAGGCTCAATCTTCTGCATCGAAATCTCAGAGTGGTCTTGGCTTGAGTTTGAGCGACTTCATGTCAAAATGATCTATCTACATTAGGTACCTCCTAGTATTGAGGTACTGGATTACATTACACCAATCAGGTGCTGCATTGCTTACAAAAAGTTGCCGTGGCAGGAGACTTCTCGACCCTTCCAACAGGGGCTAGCAATCACTAGCTCTCGGGCGATAGTGGTGCTGTGTGCCACTGATAAGATTTGGGTTGTGGGATATGTCATAACCCCGCGCTACCGCGACAATTGCCCCTCCAGATTTTTATTTCAAGTCAAACACAATAGAAGTAGTCGATCAACATATTTATATATTTATATTTTGACGACGAGTAAAGAACCAAAACAATTTTTTATCGACAAGAGCTGAAAATAACAATACGATTCAAAATGCCTACAGTCGACGAACCAGGACACTCGACCATTGTTTCCCCGCCCGACTTCTTCGAGTCCATCGGCCACAAAGCTGGACATCTCGCCTCCACTACTGATGGAACAACTGGAACAAATGGAGTCGCGGATACGAATGGCGACGAGGAGAAGGTTGTCGAGGAAATCGAGTCGCTGTGCATGAACTGCCATGAAAATGTATGTATTATCACTAAATGTATTCAATTTTAACCATCTCTATACTAACATTATCTAGGGCATAACACGCATGCTTCTTACTTCGATCCCCTATTTCCGCGAAGTCATACTCATGTCTTTCTCTTGCGACAAATGTGGCTTTTCAAATTCCGAGATACAGTCGGCCGGTACCATCCAGCCCAAGGGGTCGAGCTACTTACTGCGACTAACCGAAATGGCCGACTTCGAAAGAACGGTGATCAAGTCTGACACTTCTACCGTCAAGTTCATTGAACTCGACCTAGAAGTTCCCGCGGGCCGCGGACAGCTCACGAATGTAGAGGGTCTCCTAAGAACGGTCGTGGATGACCTCGAGCTTGGACAAGAGGCGCGAAAGGAGCAAGCACCAGAAGTGTATGCTAAGATCGACGAGATCATCAAGAAGGGCCGAGCAATGTTAGCGGGCGAGTCCTTCCCATTCCGACTTTCCGTGGACGACCCGGCCGGAAATTCCTGGATTACTCCTAATATGCGTGACGGTGTTGGTAAATGGGAAAAACACGAATATGTGCGCACCCCGGAACAGAATGAAGCACTGGGACTCGCCCCCGCGAATCCGACCACTGGCGCTGGTCAATCTACCGAGGATGAGGATATAATTCCAGACCAGGTGTACGAATTCCCGGCCACTTGTCCTGGATGCATGCACCCTTGCACAACTAATATGAAGATGGTGGATATCCCGCACTTTAAGTCTGTTGTCTTGATGTCAACTGTCTGCGCTGACTGTGGATATCGGTCCAACGATGTGAAGACTGGAGGAGAGATACCAAAACTAGGCCAGAAGATCACATTAAAAGTCGAGACCGAAGAAGACCTCGCTCGAGACATCCTCAAGAGCGAGAGCTGTGCGCTTGAATCCCCCGAACTCAACCTCCAAGTGAACCCCGGAACGCTGGGTGGCCGATTCACAACCGTCGAAGGTCTCCTGACGCAAGTACGCAACGACCTACACAGCCAGATCTTCGAGACTGGTACCTCGGAAGGGGGCGACTCTCTGAGCGAGAACGATAAGTCGGAATGGACGCGATTCTTCGAGGGCATCGACGCCGCCATCAAGGGCGACAAGAAATTCACTATCATCCTCACCGACCCGCTAGCTAGCAGTTACGTTCAGAAAGCCGTCGACCCAGATCAGGTCGACCCCCAGATCACGACAGAGGAATACGAGCGTACGGAGGAGGAAGAGGAGGATCTTGGACTTCGCGATATGAAGACCGAGGGGTACGAAGCGGAGGCTGTTAATACTAATGAAGATGCGCAGACTAATAGCGCTTGATGGAAGGTTATGTAAATAGGTTGAATATTTGCCATTTTAGTATGAAGATACCTGCTTATAGCTCGGGGAATGGGTTTAGGAGCCGCGTTTATTATCAGGAGTAGAAAAGTGTTTTATTATTACTACATCTTAAGACTCGCTATCATCCTAATCCTAATCAAGGGTGTGAGCCTGATATGCATTGTGCTGAGTAAATGGATGCAGGCTATACTTCCGCGCTTCTTTAGCCGCCATGTGAACAGGGTCAATTGTCATCAATAATTCTTGTCATTTTACTTCTACTTACAATTATCACTAGTTAGTTAACTTAAAACGTATGATTTTGATTTGCTATCTTCAAACGCTGCAGTTAAGAGATACTGCTTTACATAAAAACCAACGCCGATAAAACGCTATACTCCAGAACTTCCTCAACTTAATCTTCGGAGCGTAATCGTTCATCTAGGCATCTGCTTCATCGATGTTTAACTTATCCCATATTGAGGCTGCGAGATCTTCAACAGACAGGTCCAGCCACTCCTTACCCGCGTCGACCCACTCGCTGTCGTCGATAATGTGCGCCTCGGCCTCTGTCCAGTTCACCGGGCTAGCAGGCACCTGTCTTATTGCCAGAAAATTCATAATGGGATCAGGCCGTTCAGGCTTCGTTCCTGACATAGCCGCCGCTTCAACGAAGCGGGAGCGAGCCATTATTGAAGCTGGTAGCGGTAGAAAAGCCTTGTGCACGCTATCGCGCAGATTCCGGTAGTTTATCGTCTCTTCGTAACGTAGCCTGTCGTTATTTCGTTGAGTCAACGCCACGAGGCCGTCCTTGCTTGGCCCGTCGAAGAACTGGAACACGATACCACCTGAGAACACGCGTCTCATGCCCGGGTGCAAGTAAATCGTGCGGGTCTCAAGGAACCGACGCGGCATCAAATGGTTGCAGCCATATATGAATGATACTGGTATATGCGTGTTAGAGAACATATTGAGTGGCTCTGGGTCTGTAGATGTCTGCATCGTCATTTTAGGACTAAAGTAGACGTAGTCAAACTGGATTGTGCAAGGTAGAGCGGGTTAGTAATGAGAGCTATATAGTTATATTCAGTTACTGTGAAAAGAGATGGGCACTTACGACAAAGAAATCGACTGTTTCGTTATCATCTCCCGAACAACAGTATTCGAATTGTTCTCTCAGCGGGATTCTCATGCCCAATGCGACTATACCGACTGGAACAACCCTTTGATGTTTCTTGACGGCGAGAAGGCTGAGATACCGTCTAATATCACGCACTATGGCGCGGATGACAGGTGCAGCAACTACTGGTTCTAGATCTTTGATCAAGTCGTCGGGGATGGCGAAACCCAGTAGATTTGGGTAGCTCGCTAGATTTTCAACGGCCTGGAAGAAGCGTTGCATGGAGTTTGATGTGTACGACATCATAGGCGTATTATGATAAACGGTGGGGGGAATCGATTCGATAGACTATCACCATCCTCCGTATATGAGTACGGCAGACATCTAATTATGAGAGGGGTGACTAATAACTACCTCAGGAGGTAGGTAGGTATATGTAGTCTTATTGAACGAAGGCAAATAGGGGGAAATTAACTCACAACTAGAACATATATCTCATGCTCAGCTAATAGGTTCATGCAAGCTTTATGGCTTTTGGTTTCATCGATATGACCTGGTTACCGTCGTGAGCCCCTTGTTCTCGCCATCTCGCCTTGTTCCTAAGGCTGGAACGAGGTATAGGGAAACAAAATGCTCTTAGGATCAACTCACAGATGAATAATGTGTTAATCCCGAGTCGTCTTAACAGTGGAATAGCATGTTCGAGGTCCTCTATGCGGTCATCGGCCAGCATATCCGCGCATAGCCCATAGCTCTTGTATACGACGCCGTTCATAATGAACTAACCATTTATTGTACGGGTACTTAGCCTATACCCTCGATATATTATGAAGAATGATGTAGACTTACCCGCAGGTTACCTTTCCAAAAGTACCGCCCTTGGATGGTAACTGGTGTTACCGAATTCGCCATGGTTGCCTGTCTCCCCCTTTTCTCTTAAGTACCTAAGGTACCTAAGGTAGCACAAATATTGTTGGCCGAAATTCAATGTCAAATAAACCAGCTACGTCTATGGAACGCCAGGTACAAATACCGTACACAAATACTCGGGGATCCTGTAAATATGTGTATGCAGTATGTAATAAGGATTGTAGTAAGGTGGAGTATTGTCATGTGGATGAGGATGAGGATGGGTTAGACCATTGAAGTTCCACGACCATGATAAAGTTTAGTATCCTCAAAGTAAAGGCGCCTCGCTATATCCTACCTAATAAGAAGATCTGCGACAGTGCCTGCCTGTAGTTATTCAATAGGTCGAGGCCGAGGCTACCTGTAAATTACATGTAGGTACCCAATCAGCTAATCTAGCTTGTGTAGGTACCTAGGTAGGTACCTATGTATTGTTACATAAGAGTCGGGCAAGGTACATGACGTATGTACCTACCTAAAACCTAACTCGCACTAGCGCATCTCCACATGAGCCCAAGCTTCCGTCCTATCTGGGGTAGACTTTTTTTTTTTGCGGTCTTGTTTGTAACGGTTCAATACATGTGAGTTGGAACCAACAACGAGAAAGCCTAGCAACTCTCCATGTTAATTATATCGAGCAGGTGTTCCCCATGGAGCTCGGGAGCAATACCGTCATTAGTGTCAATTGGCGCTAAAACACAGCGTCGTTTTGCACCTCTTATCGTCATAAGAAACCAACTTCGATATAAGTCCTACTCAAGGAAATCAAAATCTCCATGTACACTTAAATGGAAAGCCATGGAGAGTAATATGCACGAAAAAGACGGTGTCCGAATTGCTTTTGAGGGCTGTGTAAGTTTACTCCTAATAGACTATGATATACTTCGTACACATATCTAATTCATAACCGTGTAGGGTCATGGCACACTCGACGCCATCTATTCCTCTGTGGCTGCTTCTTCTAAACAGAGAGGATGGGATGGTGTAGATCTTCTCATCATTGGAGGTGATTTCCAGGTAATATATCATCCTATTCTAAGTCTCACCTGGTCGGTAAAAACTAACAAGAGGTATAGTCTGCTCGCAATGCAGCAGATCTCTCGGTCATGGCGGTGCCGCCCAAGTATCGCCAGCTCGGGGACTTCCCGGCATACTACAGCGGTGAAAAACAGGCACCATACTTGACCATATTCATCGCTGGAAACCACGAAGCCAGCTCGTACCTGTGGGAATTGTACCATGGTGGTTGGGTCGCGCCAAATATCTATTATATGGGGGCTGCTAACGTGCTGCGCTTTGGCCCCGTACGGATTGCCTCGATGAGCGGTATTTGGAAGGGTTACGATTACCGCAAGCCGCATCACGAGCGCTTACCCTTTAATCAGGACGATATCAAGAGCTTTTATCATGTGCGTGAGTTCGACGTGCGCAAGCTCTTGTTGCTCCGGGAGCAAGTCGATATTGGATTGAGCCATGATTGGCCAAGGGAAATAGAGAAACATGGCAATTCCTCTGCATTATGGAAGATGAAACCTGATTTCAAGCAGGAGAGCCTTGACGGCACTCTAGGGAATCCGGCAGCTACATACGTTATGGATAGACTGAGGCCGGCGTACTGGTTCTCTGCACACTTGCACTGCAAATTTGCTGCTGTCAAAACATATGAACCTCCAAACGACGCCGAGACATCTTCTAATGAACTGGCGGCGAAGCAGGAAGAAGCTGCACCGGCCGCCTCGGAAGAGGCTGTCGCAAACCCCGATGAGATTGACTTGGATATGGAGGACGACGAAGACGGCCACTCTCCAACGAAATCTGCCGATGTCGTTAACTCTACACAACCCACAAGCACAACCGCAGTAGGCGGAGTATCTGATGAACTTCGCGCACAGCTCCCAGCATCATTTGCCGGACCGGCGCCGTCCCAACCTAAGGTCATTCCGGGGCAACCTGTCCCACCCACGATAACAAATACCACCACTCGCTTCCTTGCATTAGACAAATGTCTACCGGGACGCAAGTTCGTTCAACTTTGCTTTGCGACACCCGTTGACCCCTCAAACCTAACTACGTTTCCACCATCGACTAATCGAAAACAGCGCTACCGTCTACAATACGATCCGGAGTGGCTTGCCATAACCCGTGTCTTTGCACCACATCTAACCATAGGTGACCCTACGGCTCAAACGCCCCCTGACTTGGGTGAAGCGGCATATCAGCCAATGATAGATCGCGAGCGCGTCTGGGTAGAGGAGAATATAGTCCGCACCGGTAAGCTAGACGTACCTAGGAATTTTACTCTCACCGCTCCGCCACACCGGCCAGGAGTCGACCCTGAGACGGTCAAGTACCAGCCGGACGAATACACGAACCCTCAAACCACGGCCTTTTGCGAATTGGTCGGTGTGCCAAATATCTGGGACGCGAGCCCTGAGGAAAGGGCGGAGCGAAAGGAGAAAGGGCCGTCGCCTGTAGCACCAAGGGTTAATCAGGGCGGCGGGGGTTCTAGAGGAGGAAGAGGTGGTGGTCATAGAGGTGGTTCCAATAGAGGAGGACGGGGTAGAGGCCAAGGTGGTGGTCGAGGGGGATCCCGGGGTGGGTGGAAGAAATGATGCTAGATCACGCAAATATCTGTTCGCAAAGAATTATTACGGATGAGGATCTTTATAATTATATGTATCTGTCACGACTTTGCTCACTCAACAGGATCGGGTTTCCGAGGAAAATGTATTTATAAAGCTCAAATCATAAAGTGCCCTGAGAGGTGATATTTGTATTACTATCCACATGAAAAAAAAGAAGTTACATAAATACGCACAACCAATAGATTGACATGAATGAAATTGATTAGAAAATATAATTCTACTATAGAGGGTCTAGTAGATTTAGTAGATCTAGTAGAGATGTATCCCCTCCTAAAAAGCATGGTCTCTACAGAGAAACACAAGCCACGCAGAGTGACGGGGGATGATATTGATCTCCCATCCGATATAGACATTCAACCCACGGAAGAGTTAAGAGTTGAACGCATATGCTTAGATGGGTTATGTTGGTTGAGAGGCTTTGCTCTCTCTACGTTGGACTTACCATCGTATTTATCTTGGCAAAGAGTGAGTTTAGTTATGAATATCCAATTTCATTCATTTAGTCTTCGTCAGTCATTACCTCTACCTGGGCCTAGAAATAAGCATTATCGTAATGGTCGTGTGGTGGTATCATAACGCCAGTAAACGCCGGTCCCGTCCCATACCCAGTAACATACTGCCTAACCTCGCTGCAGTCGACTTTCATCTGGTTGTTGCACAACCTAGGTCGGCTCTGCGGGTAGGAGAAACATGAGTGAGCTTTCAGTTGTGGTGGATGGAACAGCTAGTGTCCTTACTGTCGAGTCCCAAGTAGTCCGCAGCCATCAAGAGCTCGAGGCAGAGTTCTACGGGGATTTCCATATCCGGAACGTCTTCTCTCTGTCGGTTCTTGTACCAGTAGTGGAAGTACTCGACAACCTTCTCGAGCACCATTCCGCTATGAGGCCAAGTCAGTCCCGGGGTTTGAAAATGGCAGCTGATAGGTAGTTGAAGGAATAAGTGTCTCAGATCAAGTGTAGTTGGCTGTCATTCAGACCGTATTGACGGTCTGTCAGTAAGAACACAGCGAAATTTTGTGATTCATCACTGACGATGCATATGAACGCGAATAAGGATAATAACCGGGATTTCTTGACTTACTTGATCTCTTCGAAGACACACCGACCGCTCCGTGCCTCGGAGAATTGGCCTAACACTTGTAAGTCCTTTTCCCGGGGATTCAAGTTTCGCACCAAGAGGGATTTGCTATACTCTTCGGATCCAGCATGCTCTTTATCGCAGGGCTGACGAGGGCTGCCTCCCGAAGCACAACAAACTCGAAGCCATCACTGGAGACTAGAGTTACGAATTTGTGCGGACTGAAACTGCTGGTGGCCATCTTGAGAGATATTCCGCAAAGTTCTTTGGGGGTGCTTGCAGCTTGGCAATGCAAGAGGATGAGTTGGATGAAAAGAAGAATAAAGAGGCGGCTGGTAAAAGAATTTTTTTGAGTAGGAAATAACCTTAGCGTGGAGCCTCAAACGCCTCAAAACCTGGTGGGACAGGTGGGGGCTGCCAGTGGCAGAAGTGGCTGGTTATTATAAAAGTGGAACCAGAAATGCACAATCTTCCAAGGAAGCGGGATAAGCAGGGATAAACTCATGCCACTAAACATATTAGCGCGTCTAATTGGCTTATTTGCCTCGATTGGAAGGTGGGGCTCGACTTATGCAAGCTGAAACGGTGAAACTATGAGTGGAGTTAAATCGTTGCCCTGTCGACGTTCTAATTGACCTTTCTATTGACGTCTGACGAAATGCATGAGCCCGATCAACCAACCATTGCGACCAACTCAGCCTCAGACATCCACAATCTGCCCCCCAAACCAACCTGCTCGTAGCTCTGCATGACAATCCCGTTCTTGCCCTTTTTTAACAAACAAGTCCTCGAATCCAGACTTCGATCACACACAAAAAAAAAAGTCTCACCTCCATTCCATTCCATCTATTAATCCTCTCCATTGTTCGGCCCGCCGAAACACCTCTACATTGTATTCGCCTAATCAACGGGGTTAAAGAGGGTTACGTGACTTAATAGGACAATTAGCCAGCATATACATCCGGGTCAAAAAAAAAAAAAAAAGTACTTTACACGAAATTACTTGCCACGGCGCACCGGCATGGCTAACTACCAATATCGCAATTCCCAGTACGGCAGCCAACCTGCGAGCGAGAAGTACGATAATGGTGTTCAGAGACGGCCGACGGGCAAAGAAGGGCGTAACACGCGGTCCAGCGAAGGCACAGTCAGCACAGTCATGAGCGCGTCGACGGGTAGAGAATCGTCGGGGACGCACGTCACAGACGCACCCGCATACTCCAAGAAGATCGTAGTAGTCGGCGACGGCGGCTGCGGAAAGACCTGTCTCCTGATCAGCTACAGTCAAGGATATTTCCCCGAGGTAAGATATATATATGATGTGATAGATAGCCTTGATAGCCTTATCATACATAGCCTTAATTTCCCCCCCCACGGGGAAATTATTCATACTTCTCGGAAGCTAACGTTTGGTCTAGAAATATGTCCCGACTGTCTTCGAAAATTACATCACATACCCGACTCACCAACCGAGTGGTAAGACCGTCGAGCTTGCGCTGTGGGATACCGCCGGCCAAGAAGAATACGATAGGCTGCGGCCGCTGTCGTACCCGGAGACAGACTTAATATTTGTTTGCTTCGCCATCGACTGTCCCAACTCCTTAGACAACGTCCTCGACAAGGTTAGTCTCCAGCCGTCCTCATCGCCTCCCTACGATGGATATTAACATATGATATAGTGGTACCCCGAGGTTCTCCACTTCTGTCCTTACACACCTCTCGTCCTCGTCGGACTGAAATCGGACCTGCGGAACAAGAAGACCTGTATCGAGATGCTCAAGACGCAAGGCCTTACGCCTGTCACCACCGAGCAGGGCATGGCGGTCGCCAAGAAGATGGGCGCCCAGTACATGGAGTGCAGTAGCAAGGAGATGACGGGCGTAGATGAGATCTTCGATAAGGCGATCCAGACCGTAGTGGCCAACGACCGGCGTAACCTCGAGGTGGCAATGGCTGCGGCTCCCTCGTCCGTTGGCGGCGGTAGTAGCGCCTCGGGCGGGGGACGAGACAGCGGCGGGATCCCCGGGATCCGTACTTTTAAGAAGAAGAAGCGGAACTGCAACTTCTTGTGAAGGGCGACGAGGTAGCAATTCTTACTTACGAAGGCTGAGTGGGCATTTGGATGGATACGACGACGGAAACACAAAAAGTCCGGTTAATGATCAACTTTTGCATGACATCATATTGTTTATTTTATTTTGTACGCTTTCTCAACGACGCTTCTTGTTACGATAGCGGGAAGGATAGGTAAGGATCGCCGTTTTTATGTTTTATTTTTTTTCATCATCATCTTCTTTTCGTCTTCGTTTCCTTAGAAGAGAAAGAGACAGAGAGAGAGAGAGTTCTTGCATACAAGATTCTTCGACCACGGCGTTCCTGCGAAAGTGTTCCCTTTAAGTATAGGGTCTAATGACTAGGGTTAAGGAGGGCAATGGTGTTTTTCTCGACGTCGTCGTCTCGGCCCGGCTGGCTGGCTGGCTAGCTGGTCGGCTTGGTCATTTCTGCGAATAAGCTGATGCGGCCGGCGCATTATATTTTCTTTAAGATGAAAGAAGGAGGGAAGGATGAAAGGACAAGAAGAAGAAGACAAGCCCCCATTTCGCCAGTTGTTCGCCGAGGAGGGAGGGAGGGAGGGAGGGAGTCAGGCAGGAAGGATTGGACCTGAAAACGAGTGGTATCACCATTCATGTTATACCGAGGGATCTTTTCCTTTTGTTGCGCGAGTTCTTCTTGACTTGACATGGCATGGGATAGGAAATAAAGAAATTCATAATAACTCTTGGACTTGTGTCTGCCTTGTGATTGTGTGATTCGTGATTTGTGATATGTTCCTGTAGTGTGCCGTGGCTAGGTATAGCCATGGCGGGTATCGTCATGATAAATCATCACCCCTCCCCCTAATCCTATGCGTGGTCATTATCCCCTCATCTTCGTGATTTGTACTCGGCAATAAACTCTGCTATTTTCCTCTTCAGCTTTTTCTAGCCGCCGCCGATTCACCGCTTTCGTTCTCGTTCCGATCATGTTGCCCTTGTCCCTCGCCTTCAGGTGTAGCCTCCTCGGGATCTTTCGCCATGACGCCTTCGAACTGCGACCACAGCGCCTCTACGGATGAGAACTCATTGCCAACGGCGACTACGGCCTCGAGAGATCGGTTCAACTTGTTGATGTTGGCGAGGACGTGCTCGAAGCTCTGCAAAAGGATATGGTTAAAACTAGTAGGGAAGTAGGCTACGGCTGACAAGAGGGGAAAATGGGGAATATAGGTAGGATACGCACCATAGCTATCTCACCTATCAGCGCCTCACGCTGCTGCTCAAAATAGGTCTTCTCGCGGGATCCAGCCGGCGTCGTCGAGCGCTGAAGTGACTGCTGGTTGGATGCCATTGTCAAGTAATGACAGTAATTGGGGCTTTACTGATTTCTTTACTTCCTTCTTCGGTTTAGATGAGACATGCGAAGTCTTTGTTGTTTAGGTAGATATGTGGTAATGAAATTAATTATTTCTCTGGAAACGGAGGTAGACGCGCTGCGGCGCGTAGGTGGAAATTGAGGGGTCCGATTGGAGATTGGAGACTTTGAGATTTAAGTACTTGAGTAATCCGTAGTTGGGGTTGGGGTACCTTAGTATCTAGAACCCCTCACTATCCACTTTACCCTAACGTCACTGTTGGTTCCAGGAGACAATACATACATGCAACTATCCGTGTTAGGTCTTTATCTACTATATACCTCCTAAGTAGGTACGGAATACCTGTCAAGATATCCTTTTAAATTCAAGAGCTTAGCCAGTAACCAGTTATATAAATCAATTCGGTATCTTGGAAGTTAATTTTTGGCAGAATCAAGTATAGGCAAACAACTCCATAAAGCAAAATTCATATCGTGTTAACTCAGGGTGCACACGTCACCTTTTAACTCTCTTCGCCCGCTACGTAACGGACAGTGATTCCAAAGTCCTACTATACAGATCATAACGCTACCGTGAAATACGGTGCTACATTTCCATGGTCGACCCCTTATCCATCCTTACCATCATACATGCCCGGGCCTTGTTGTCTATACCCTTTGGTTCCCTGTTCATCAGTCCTTCATGCTGTATGAAACGACGTGAAAAATCCTCTCCCCATAACGCCTTTGTGGTGGTATCAAGAACTTCAAAATTGTGCGAAGGGTTTTATAACTTATGTATAGTGCGTCATCATAAGAAGTAATCAGATGGCCCGCGTCGTCCCGCGGGTACATGCCTCATATCATCAGGCACAGCCGAGAATATGCTAAACTTCGGGTCCAGGTTCTTATCAACTGACATGATAGAAGCCACGTTTCCACAACGATAGCAGTAGTTTGGCGCTGACCAGACCGTAACAACCGAGTTTTGTGGGAAGTGATACTATTCCATTTGTTAGCATATATTCCAAAACCATGAACACGTCGACAGAAAAAGCCTTACCTTGTAACCTTCGTTAACAAGCTGGTGGGCACGGGCAATCAATTTCAATCCATTGACGTGGTTGAATTCCGTTGCTACCTTGTCACCAAAAAGCCATCCTGCGCCTCGCGGGCTGATAGCCCAAGTCTCGACTTCTTCAGGATCGCTCCAGACAAGATCACAGAAGGCGCCCTCGTGCGGGATCTCCTGTGCTCGGGCCACCACGCGGATCTGGTCAATGGTGCGGATTTCTGGACTCAGACCTCCATGAACACAAAGTATTTCACCATCCACAATGGCTGCTAGAACTAGGAAATCAAAGACTTGACAGCAAGATTTCCAAACAGACGCATTTCCGTATTTTTGTTGGCACTCTTCGTAAAACCCGTATACCTGAGTGATCTGACGAGACTCATGGTTTCCACGGACGAGGACAATCTTATCCGGATATCTGATATATGTTAGAATAGAGACAATGCAATATATACTATGCAGGAACTTCTTACTTGGCCTTCAGACACATGAGTAGTGTGAATGTCTCGAGACTAAAATATCCTCGGTCCACAAAATCGCCCAAGAACACAAAACGGGTATCAGCATTTACGACTGGCGACGTAGAGTCCGAGGGATTGCGCAGGCCGGAATCGTTGCCTTCTTCTTCTTCCTCTTCCACATTAGTAGATTCCTCACTAGGCAGTCCCGGAACGTCTCCAGTTGTGGTTTTTGGCTTCTTTATCTTTTTCTTCAGCTTTGGATTTGTGATCTCTGTCGGAGGCTCGATATCGGCTGATGTTATGACAGCAGTGGAGGATGCGGGGGGTTCTGTGGCAGGTTGGCCTGGCATGCCGCCGCTGACGCGAAAAAGCTCGAGCAAATCGTAGAATTGTCCATGGATGTCACCACAGATGGTAACTGGAGTGATTACGGGTTGAATGTTTGATTCTAAAATCAACAGAAGTTAGATTGAATCTGCCATCTGCCATCTGCCGTCTGCCGTCAAGTTATGAAAACAAAAACGAGCATACCTTCCATCAAGACTTCCTTAACCATTTCGCAAAGCTCTTTCATGACTGGCTCGGGTAGATAACGACATTGTTTAGCTTGCTCGAGCCATTCGTCCAAGCCCGCACCAGGCGTCAGCTTTGCCGGTCCCGGTTTAGGGACTGCAACACGTGGAGGACCCATTGCCTTGTCGTGGATATATACGCCTTTGGCACCTTGGCCTATAGATAGGATCGGCCTACTGCAAGCAATTTGGATACCTGTGGCTACAGGACCAATGACACCGGGCGCAATGAGAACAATATACTATAAAAAAGGGCGCCGCGAAAGGATTCTGTAATATTAAGCTATCGAATCGCTTTCAAAGCTGCAAATCGGATTTGAAGAGCCAGATTGGATATAATACTTCCTGAGGAGAATTGGTTCGAGAATTGTCAATTGTAATATAAAATTGTATAATATTCGCGTTTTATTGTAACAAAGGCTGAAGAGGGTTGAAGGACCAGGTTTCCAATAGGCAGAGGCAGAGGCAGAGTCAAGTTTGGCTGTGCGTCACTAGGATCGTCCAAGCTTGGGCCTGGGCCTGGTCGCAGACCTTTAGGTTAGATTGTAGACTTGATTGCGTATTCGTTAGGCACCTAATCTTTTGTCCGATGCGCAGTCCCGTGTTCAAAAGCAAGAAACTATGTCTTGGAGTACATTTTCGTGATAGGGAATTTGGTTGAGATGGGGGTCTTTCGCAGGGATCGGGAGCCGTCAACGTCCGAATCTCGAGGTTGAGGAATCAGAGCACCCGTCCACCTGCACCCTCGGCTGGGGCCGGCGTTACTGTTATCCCGGACTTTAGGGATGTCCAGGTCCAGGTACACCGTAGTACCGTACAGGTGCCCTTGCCAAGGTGTCTTATCAGTAAGTCGGATTAAGTCACGTGTGCAACTGTATTACCCCTTTTATGTTTATCAGCGCTGATGTTTATACCTTTTTGCTAGTTACATGATTCATGAATACTATTAAAGCCATGAATAGAACCTTTACCTATTAGTACCTTTGCCACGTGTAGAACTGCAAACAAGTTTGCTACATTCATCCAAATTTAAAGCCCCTAGCTGTAGTCTACATCTGTCTCTACGTGCTAGAGTCCATCAATCACCCTCCTTAGTGTGCTTAATGCTTATTCGCATGACCAGCATTCTGCAGTAGAAGTAGAATTCGTACAGGCCTTCTCGAAAGTCGCCTTCTTAGGATACGGACATATAATCTCATCCCTCGTCGTATTGCCTGACTGTTGTATTTTAACGGGACTTGCCTCGGGAGCCGTTCCATTCTCTACCCACAGCCGTAGCTGGTCGAACATACTCCCAGGCTGACCTCCGGCGCCTCCCCAACAATGCGCGAGTCCGGGGATGCGATAGTAACGGAAGAAATCAGAAGTTGCGTTGTCTAGTTTCATTACTTGCTTGTAGTATTTCAATGTACTGGCCGGTGTAATGGCTTCATCGGCCTGTTTTCCATAGTAGCGTTTGTCAAGATTGAAGTATATATAGAAAGGGGTACTTGCTAGGCCGTGGTATGTGATCATCTTACCACCCGCGTTTTTGAAGTCTGCGAGATCAGGATCGGTTGCAGCCATCGATGAGCTGAATATTCGCTGTAAGGTACGGAACATGTAGTCGAACTCCTCGTGTGTGACTTTCGTAATATTGGTAGATAGGTCCCTTAGAATAAAGCCTTGATACATTGCATGGAGCTGTTCTCTGCCATCGGGGATACACTCCCCATTCTCATCACAGGTCGTTGCGGCAATTTTCGCTAGGTCGGATCCGACTTCATACCCATACCACATGAAATCACCATTGGAGAAGCTGGGGCCATCCCACATAGCATTAGCATCAACGAGATTTTATAGGAAGACCTTGTCCAGTATGTCTCATTCACTTACGGCGTCATTCAGAGTAACATGTCCAAGATCATGGAACGCAACCAGATTCAGGTTTCCAGGGCTGAGAAGAGCCTATTCTGGAGACAGGGAACTTCCGATACCAGCATCTGTCGTTACAGCGGCGTACCCTTCCTGAACGGCGGCGGCCATGGGTCCGTATTGAATTATAAAGCGACCAGCTATCCATCCTCCGCCTTCTGGCGCGTATAGCCTCTCATTCTAGTCGTTCACGGGCAACCAAGTCTCAACATTGATGGTGTCATTTAGCCCTGGATGCGTATAAGTGACTGTAACGTTGCAGAATGTAGCATTTTGTACATTGTACATTGACGGCAGGCTGAGTATATCGCCAACCAGTCGGGACATCTAAGCTGTAATAGTTGACCAGGTTGGCACCCACGGAGAGGATTTCAGCACCGAAGAGTATCGGTGTCGAGAAAGTAGACGCCGTACAACTGTGGTCAGCTAATAGGTAAGTCATCTTTACGGTAATATGAGCAAGCCCACTCGTAGATCAAGGGATTTTACATAGAATCACCTTAGAAAGGTCGGGTTGCAAGTCTACTTGTATAATTTAACAAACAACGTCCGAAGAGATTAAATTTATATTTAACTAATTCTAACTACATCATCGACGTAGCATTTCAACTTATAAACTGTCAATATGGATTATCGTCTGTTATTCTCCACTGTTAAGCTCGGTAATAGCATCGCCTTACGCATTTTCTATGGTGAAGCGAAATTTCGTGAAGGACGGCTGCGAAAAGGAACGAATAGGGAGATTTATCCTATAACCTTGACCTGCCCAGGCTCCTGGTACTAGAAGAAAAGGGGGGGGGGGCATGAAGGGGGCTATGGAGGAATTTATCAGTACTTCTAATTTGTATATGAGATATCATCATGGGTAACTAGCGGTTTTATTCTCTCTTTCATCTTCCTATAGTTAGTTGGTAGCATTATTTTATAGGTTATTTTAATTCTTATGGTATGTCGCATCTCGCTACCACAGTACCATGGGGATAACCGCATGATGCCACGCCGGTCCGTTTCCGCGTATATCGTTTCTGCGTATAAGCCTTTGCATACAAATATTGTACAAAAAAACGAGTAATCAATTCTTTAGGCTGCCAATTTGTCGTCTTCTATGTCTATCATGAGCGATCATCCCCGAGCGAGGAGACCTCATAGGAAATCCCGTGCAGGGTGTCGTAACTGTAAACAGAGAAGGGTAAAGATGGGGGGTCCCTTTATTATAATTCACTAGATATCTGACTTGCATCATCAAATCGACATGCCGTAGATGCTAACTGGAGACGACCTATATAGTGCGATGAACTTAAACCAACTTGTGGGAGCTGTTCGCGATTTGCCATCCCCTGCGACTTCTCGCCAAATCCAGCAGGGAGCAAGCAGGGCGAAGATTTATTAAACAATGCTCCAACTCGGCGGAAGAGAGGTAGGCCACGTAAAGATTGGCCGGCTATCACAAGGGATTTCGGACCCCACGGAGAGATCTGTGAAAGCTCTGAAATAACAGCGCCTAATCTCGATCTATTATCAATTAAGGAGTCGACTTCCTCCCCCCATTTAACTGTTGATGAACTTGAACTATTGCATCATTATCTAACCGATGGGCAACTCAGCCAAGGAGATAAACTGCTGTGGCAGATCAAAGTGCCCCGTTTAGCCTTCACTCATCACTGCGCCCTCCATCTGATACTAGCCATATCAGCCTTCCATCTGACGAGACTAGAGCCAGATCGTTCAGAACACTTCAGGAGACTTGCGGATACCCACCATTCGATCGGGATCCGCCAGGCAACCCATCTTTTCCCTCAGCTTAGTACAGATAACTGCTCTGCACTATATGTGGCTTCAGCTCTGGCTTGTGCGTGCGGTTTTGCCAAAAAGCCGACGCCAGGGAATCTTCTAGTTGTCGCTGAGGACTGTGAGGTACCTTGGCTGGACTTATTAAGAGGAGTCCGAATTATCATCGAGAATATTGGCCTGGGGCACGTTTTCTCGGGCGTCTTAGGTCCGTTCCCGCCACCACAACCCGAAGAGCCATCTAGAAAAGAGGCACACCAGGTCGAGTTCGTACCATGGGAAGAGCCTCTGCAGAAGCTGTCGACACTTATTTCGGCCGCACCCGCATCGACCCGCAAAATTTATAATAGTACCCTCGGATGCTTATCGTGGTGTTTTCACGAAACCTATGGGACATCTGCCGCTCCCAAGAGTGAAATAATTGGTCAGTTTCGGGTTCTCATAGCATGGCTGTACAAATTAGATGAGTGTTTTGTCGGCTTCTTGTGTGAGAAACAGCCCACAGCCCTGATAATTCTAGCTCACTTCGCTATACTACTCAGTTCACTCGAGTACTGTTGGTTCTTAGAAGGATGGGCGAATCATGTTTCCCAAGGCATCGCGGACTCTCTAGACCCGTCATATGAACAATGGCTGCAGTGGCCAAGCGAACAGATTGATAAATCCATTAAATTGCGAAGGAATTTGGAGAAATACGCTAAATATTAAGTTATTAAAATATCGTTGGAATTGCCAAGTCAAATCCAAGTAAGGTAGGCGAAAGAGGGGGTGACTATTGATACACACTATTTAGTAATTGACTGCCTAGTTTATTGTAGAAACGATGGTGATAAGTTGACTCTGTACGCATCTTAAATCATGCTACTTTAAAAGATACCTTTTGAAAGGCGACAGTCGGACGAGGAATCGATTTAACAAATGCTATGGTTGAATCGCTTAATTCATGAGTTAAACCTAAAAACAACACACTCGCGTTTGGCGAGGCGAAGGTAAATGCGTAGTAGAGATACTAATACAGCCCTGCTACCGATTTCGTTACCTTAAGCTAATTGTACGAGTGGCGTCTATGATGACTCTCTGGGCGCTTTAACAGTTATTAGAGGGCTCCCCCAATTGCTATTATATAGTCCCCGACTCCTTTCGGAATTACTCTTCGCTAATACACCCTATACTGTACAAGTGTCAACTAATGAACATCCCCTTGGGGTCATGTCCTTGAAGATGCCCTTCATTGACCATGACTAACCCTTTAGCAAAAACACAGACTTCCAGGGTGATATTATGAAATCGCTGAATGGGTCAACTTCCGCAATTGTCCGAGAACGGATCATCGCGCGAATGGAAGTTGCGGTAACGTACAATGATGGCATTAGATTCGTGATATATATTCAATCGGCGGTAGCTGCAGTGCTTGGCTCAGTAGGCGGAGGAGGAGACGTTGCCGAAGACCTAACAGCTTCGTTTGTTGGGTTTGTACTACCTGCATTAGCTGCCCCTCCTCGACGACCTCTTCCGCGACCACCTCGTTTAGGGCGATCTGGTGGAGTTTCAATACTCGTCTTGTCGCTCGCTGGTTGTGTTGGCGTTGGAGTTGGCTTCTTGATATCCTTTCTTTCCAGCACTTGCACAGTGCCTTGTGCAACGGGAATAGGGCTTGCAGAGATAGCCTTGACCAATCCATCATGATCCCTGAAGTCAACATATGCAAAGCCTTTCCGCTTGTCAATTTCGACAAATGTAACTGGCCCAAATGTTTCCATGGCCTGTTTAAGCAACGGCTCAGTGACACCTTGCGAAGGGTTTGCGTGTTTCACAAAAGCACGCGTTGCCCCAGCAGTCACTAATGGCTGACTAGAGGCTTTCTTCTGCGAGGGACCTGATTTATTAGACGATGCGGCCTTACTAGCAGCCTTAGGGCCGGTTGGGGGAGTTGAAGTTGAGGAGGCCTGGGTAGCAGGCGCTGTGGGGACTAAGCCACTTAAAGGGGCATCGTCTTTCCTCTTGAGGATGACTGGCGTGGTGATAGGGGTGGATTTTGCTGTGTTACTTGCGTTATCGGTCCCCTTCCCCTTAGGTATGTCACTAGGCGCGTTTTGCTTGGTAGACTTTGAACCTCGAGACCGACGTGAGCCTTCAGCTGTTTGAGCTTTTGGAGCTGTCGGGGCGGATGGGGGTGCCGATGAGGAGGGCTGACTTGGCGCAGCTGGAGCGGTAGATGCAGAATTCTTGGTGTCCTTCTCCTTAATAACATCTACCTTGGCGGCTGCTTCCGCCTTGGCAGCATCCTGACGAGCTCTTCTATGGGCGCTTCCTGGGCTGAGACCAAGATCGCGCTGCAGAATTTTAGCAGCAGCGGCAATATTAGCCCGCCGACTCTTAGGTATTGCCTCTTCAGTTGTCTTGCTTGTACTAGCTTGAGCGGAGGTTGATTTAGTTGCCTCGGCTGAGTCGAGGGTGGTTGACTTCTTGGTGAGGAGCTTTACGGGCTCCTTAGCTTTCTTCTCCTCCTTATCAGCAGCTTTTTCAGCTTTCTCGGCCTTGGAGTCCTTTCCTTTTTTCTTAGACTCTTCCTGCCCCCCTTTCGGTTTACCACCCTGAGACTCATGCCGAGTGTGTTTACCGCTCTTGGTATTACTGGTGTCTTTTCCCTTGTTGGCTTTCTTCTCTTTCAGATACTCAACTAGAGGCGTGGTGGTTACTTTAGTGTCTGCCTTGCCTACATCATCGGCTTGTTCGGCATCAACTTCCCTCATGTTAGAATCATGAGTGAGGCTGTCGAGAAAAGCCATAAAATCAGGATCTTGGTCGATTGTACCTTGTTTAGAATCTGTACGTCTCTTCGTGGTGGGCACCTTCTGGTATATAGAAAACTCTAGATATGGGGGCCCTACAAGAGCTGGATCGTTGAAAGTTCGTTTCTCATCTTCCCAAGTTGACCTTTGAACGACCTCTGCTAATGCAGGTATGTCTTCGGACCGAACCTGTAGATAGCATCGCGCTGGCGTGGATGGATTCGACGGACTAAATATGCAAGAATAAGTGACTGTTTCTTCTTTACTATAGTTTTTATATATGATCCGTAAGACTCACTCCTGAGAGATTTGGCCCTCTTGAAATGTAGTCCACTCTATTTTCCCGTTTCCACTCTTCCACTCCTCTCCCAATATAGTCCGGAATTCGCCCTCTGTTATGCCTGGCGGGAGCCGGCGAACCAAGACTTTCTTTCCTCGAGGGGAGTCCTTAGCCTTGGTGGATTTCGGAGTCTCATTTGCCGCCGGAGTGGAAGAGACTGGCAAAACGCCATTAGGTTTTCGCGCGGTTGGAACACCCGTCATTGTGTATGCGATTATCGTCGCACTACAACTAAAGAAACTATTATCTTAGATTCGTCCGGAATCCCTTCGTTTGTCATAATTATAGTCGCGAACTGTTGATATTGCCTGTCATATGGAATTGGTTTTGGGATGAAGGTGGATAATAGGATGGATAGATGTTAATGATGTGTAATGGGAAAGGTAGAATGCAACTTGAAAGGTAAGGCTGAATTCTATCCCATTGACCCCACCTGCAGGGGAAGAGGTACCCACACTTTAGTGGGGTAACGATAAGATCAAAGAATACCTAAGGTATTATCTCAGTTTTCAGACCAGAATTCATTGAGGCGGGCTGCGCCCGCTTACGCCACGCTTTGCATGGCCCGTGTGTTTGTACCTGTGGGGCACGTGCGTAGATTTCAACGAATTCTGGTCTGAGGCCTGCTTGGGCCCAAGCACAACTTACTTTCCAATTTAGGGCTATAATCACCAATGCCATTATACCACAATATTATATTATTCCACAACACTATATTATATCTTCTTATTTTTATACGTCAGGGCTAGTAATAAAGTCTTTAAAGCCTTACAACTATTTTTTACTTGTGCATAACGTTTTGTTTTTATATCCCAGCTTAAAACGTGAAAAGTAACTTGTTTTCCAACCTGAACATTGATTATTTTTCAACAATAATATTTATTCAATGGACTATCTAGCTTTAAATTTAAACATTTCCCAATTACCAGCAAGTCCTACGCTTGAAAACCTTCGCAATGTAATCATCCATCTCGAAAGCTTAGACGAAATAACCAACCAGCTTACAACTGGTATTCCAATCCTTGCCGTTATCCAATACCTCTTCCACCACATACAGCTTAACTCATACAAAGAGCATAAAGATCAACTCGAATATGACTTTATACAAGCTGTGGCTACCGCTGTATTAAACAGTAACCGGGCAGAGGGCTTGACGAGGCTCCAACCAAGAGTTGGTCAGGTACGGGCGATCCAACGCATCGCCTTCCGCTACGGCGATACAATACTAGTTGCATGGACAGGATATGGAAAAACTATCGTCTTCCAGACTGTATCCATCATTATGCAGAAGACAACAACTATACAGCTATGTCCCCTTAAGCGGTTAGGCCAAGACCAATATAACGCCCTCCTTCAAATACCCAACGCACGACCACTACTTATAATAGACGAAACTGATAAGGTTAGCATATGTTAAACACTCTTAAACTAATACTTACTGTTTATTAGGGTAAATCTATGTGGGAAGACTTAGCCAAAGGGGCTTTTACCCACGTTATCCTCGGCCCGGAGCAAGCAACTCAAAAACAGTTCTACGATTTGCTTAGAAACGCCACGTTTAACCAACAATTGGCATTTGTAGCTATTGACGAGCTTCATATGGTACACCAATGGAAAGACTTCCGAACGTCCTATCCTAATGTATACCGCTTAAGAGCTATGCTGCCTAAAGACGTGCCGTGGTTTGGGTGCACAGCTACCCTAAGCGAGGAGGCAGAGGATTTTGCATTGCCTAGCGCTGGCTTCCGGCGGGAAGGCAATCGTAAAGGGGAGCTATCCTTTATCCGAGCTAGTGTTGACCGGCCTAACATAACCTTTGTTATATCCCCGTTAGATAAGGGGACTCTTCGTGACGATTACAGGCGGTTGCAGTTCCTGCTTAGTGGTATGAGGCGAGATGCTATCCAGGCTATTGAGAAAACAGTTGTTTTTATAGATAGCAAGGTACAGCTAACCGCAGCTCGCCACTATCTGATATCACAAGCTATGAACCTGGGGTTGTCTTCTTCTGAGGCAGAACGCGTTATCCGACGCTATGATGCAGATACCCGACCAAGCGACCAAGAGCAGCTATATAGGGACTTTGTTGAGGACGACTCCCCTTGCCGAATTATGCTAGCGACTGTTGCTCTCGGGATGGGAATGGACATCCGTGACGTAAGACGTGTTGTACAGTACGGGGCTGTTACATCTGGTGACCTAGCAGATCTAATACAAAGGTTTGGGAGAGCGGTTCGGGACGGTAAAACACAGGGCACGGCGTACTTCTTCCCGCCCTATTGGTATTTTGACCTATTAGGAGTGACTAAAGCCGAGGTGCCACCGCCGCCGCCGCCGCCGGAGGAGCCGAAAAAAGGGCGGGGGGGGCCGAAAAAGGGGCGGGGGGGGCCACGAAAGGTTATACCCTCGCAAAGCAATTTGCGGCATTTAGCAAGCGCTCAGGCCAGTGCATCATATACCAGCTCTGCTTTTGCCCCGCGAGACGCTGTATCTGTTGCATCATCTGCTGCATCGTCTGCTGCATCATCTGCTGGTAGCGATAATATGGCTCCTAGAGCAGACCCAACCCTCGGGCAATTTGGAAACATCTACCCAAAATATTGGTCAAAAAGCGATATAAAAGCCAGGGAAAAACTGCGAAAAAATCAACCCGATATCTATGGTTTCGTCAACGCTGTATGCTTTAGGGAATTTGCGTTAAAATTCTTGCAGCAGCCAAGGGGGGATAATGTTGAAGGCGCAAAAGCGGTTGCTATAGAAGTATGTTGTAACGGGTGTTATCACGAGCTAGGCCGGCTCCCTGCTCTTCCCCCTAAGCCGCCCCCCGAAAAGGCACCTTCGAAAGGAAGTAGGCCATGGTTTATATGGCAGGAGGTCGATGCGTTCTGCGTACAACAGGCCCAAGAGCTATATGCAGGATTGGGTTGTAGGATGAAGATACCGGGGGCGATTATTATGCCACGAAAAATCCAATGGAAAGTGGCAAGCATTATTGATCAGGCAGCCAACTCAGGCAATCTTGGCCAAATGGTCGACAATGCTCTGCTATCGATTGACCAAGAGCAGGAGGGACGCGTTAGGCTCGGGCAGGCATTATGCGCTTTGAGCTCTAAGATACGTCTTGACGCCGCAATAAAGCATCGACGCCACCTCGATAACCAAAGTGATAACCGGGCTGCCAAAGGAGCTGCGATAGTCGCATCTGCCTCTATACCAAGGGAAAAGCCGCAGGCTAGCCAACAGCACGCAGCCGTATCTCTTATGCCTAATAGACCTTCAGGCTATATAGGACCGTCGATCACTGGTCTTCAATCGACGTCTACCAACGCAATAGCAGCAGTATTATCTCCGTCGCCTAGCCTCCAACCTGTTGAAATATCGCCAGACCTTCATACAACAGCTACTTTCGCGCTTGTCATAGATGATATCAGACCACTTAAGCGTGGTAGGGCACCAACAGGGATAAATAGTCCATCGCAGGCGCCGCTGTCGAAAAAGCCACCGCCAAAAGGGTCTTAAATTCTTTAACAGGTAATTTCGCGTAATCGGTAGTCTCGCAAAATATCGGAATAATTGGTATTGGCTAGCATTAAAGGTTACTGTATAAATTAGATAAAAAAACAATTAATAAATAGATTTCAATGAATGCTGTTGGCATGGATGCTTTATTAGTTGTTGAAAATATGACGTTAAATTTGGGTGAAAAAGACGCGTTTGAGAGCAAGGCTGATATAATAGCCTTGTTACAATAATGGCATCAGGTGTGACCTGTGCGCGAAACGAGGCGTTTTATTGGTTGGATTTTTAAAACGAGTGGATATTTTTTTTCGAAAACTTTCATAAATATTTCGAGGCCTTTATTGTCATTTTGATTAACAATAGTCTTTTTGTAAAGTTACGAGAAAAGCATAAAAGATATATTTTTTATTAAACCATTTTAAAATATTTGGCAATCGTTTTCGATTTATATTGCAGGTTTAGGTTATGTATGCTACGGTAATAAATACAACGCATTGCTTTAACTTTATTAAATTTGCCATTATGGCTGCCTTAAGGCGATGCCGGAGGGCTTGAAAGGATAATAGGTCGATCTTGAGAGCTACCTAAAGGACTGCTAGATAAAGGACTCCTAGATGGGGGGGATGGGCTGATTAGATTAATAGGCCGGTGTTGGGATGATCCTACAGGACTTCTAGATGGAGGACTTCGAGATTGCGGGGATGGGCTTGTTAGATCAATTGGATAGCTTCGCGAATTTTCCTGATATCTTCTCGGCTGGCTCGGCTGGCTCGGGCTTCCAGCGACTGTTACACTGCTCTCACTCCCGGTAGATGACGAGCTAGATGATAGATTCATAGGGCTGTGTTGTGACCTACCAGCGGGGTTTTGCGATGGAGGCGGGGTCCGTATCTGCCAATACTCTCGCATATACTGGCGAAAGTTAAGGTCAGGAACGCGCGGTTCCCGTACTACTGTATCAGGCCTATGCCCCAATTCTCGGTGAAGCCACCCTAGCCATTGCTGTATCATGGACTGCTCGGGTGTTACCCCGTCATATGCCGCAGCCCAATCAGTTAAACCTCCTCTCATAAATACCCGTACGAAATCAATAGCTATTAAGCCGCAAGTCCACGAATTCTTTTGCGTTGTAATAGCAGCAATCTTACCGCGGTTGCGTGTGAAATCCTCAGGACTGTCCTCTGAGAGCAAGCCGCTTTTAATAAGCCATTCTTGCAATCGCTTTGCTATTAGGTTAAATCGGGCAATCCGGCCATGCTTCCACGAATCGGCAAAAAGCCAAGATTGGCTTTGGATATCGAATATCAAAACGCCAAAATGACCTTGGCCGTCAGGGAATCGGATAAGGTGTACTATTAGACTAGCATTGCGAATTTGGTCCCGGTTTTTAGCAGCGATTGCGGTAATAGAGTTATGATGTAGCATAGCTTCAGCAGGTGTCCAAAATAACAGCCTTCCGTTGCTTTGCGCAATTCGCTGTAAAAGTGGACGGAGCTCGTATTCGGATTGATATTCGCATCGGTCAATTCTTCCAATCATATTATAAGCCGAGATTAACGCGTCATACCAGTCTTCTAGTGATATACCTCCGACGATTGGAAGGCGAGATTGAGGGAAGTGCTCTTCCATTTTGCCTCGGCCCAATTCGTTACGCGGCATGTAGGTAGGTCGTTTAGCAACCATTGCATGAGGCCAGTCGACTATTTGGGTGGTAATATTGACGGGAAACGCCAAGCTGGTACCAGCTGGCTGGTAAACTCCACTTACATTGCGCGTATGCGATGGAAGCGCGGGTTTTGGTGGAGATGGCAGGGATGGTAAAGGCAGGACAGGGGATGAAAAGTGGATAGCTTCACTACCTAGCTGTCGATCAGATCGTCTGTGGCCGGATTCTATCACAGATTCAATAGAGGGAAGAGGCTGATTTAGCCCTCGGCTTCGTCGATGCTGAATGTGAGGAAGAGGCAGGTCTACTTCAATAGATGGGATAGGCTCATCAAGCGCCCGAGGTTGGCTGCGCCGATCACGCGCTGCTACGTTATCGCTTGGTGTTTGGTGAACAGGTGCCTGCCCGACGTAGCCTTCATTAGCTTTTGGCTTAAGCTTGCCATAGTCTGGCTGCGACTTCTTTTGCTGAGGCATCTGGTAATGTTAGTTAAGCGTAATATTGAAAAAGTGCGGTTGTTTTTATAGCTTACTTTATGCTATAGATCAGGATTTAATGTTAAGATATATGATGCTAGGTAATATATTTAGGTATGGTATTTTGCCTTAACCTTTAAATATAAAGAACGGGAAATATATGTATGGCGAGCGGGGTGTTGATGAGAGGGTATATTAGGTTGAAGGTGTTAAGGTAATGATATTTCAATACCAATAGCAGCGCTTATTTGGTAAGGAGGATAGGTTTTTCAATAAAGGAAAAGATAGGTAAAAGGTAAAGATAGGTAAAAGGTAAAGATAGGTAAAAGGTGAGGATTGGTTAGGGGGTGGTAGTTGAGGCCTGCCTTGTTAGTCGTGGTGGTGATAGCTAAAGGAAGGCGCATTTTTGATCTGTTATATAAGGTAGATAAGTAATAAATAAAGAAAAGGCAAAGTCCCGGCCGGTAACCTGGACTTTAATTTTATTGATGTAAATTTTTCTCGAGATTGATAATTGCCATTTTCCCCCTTAGGTAATTACGTATTATAAAGGCTATTGTATAATAATATAGCTATTAATAGCGAGGCTGAAATTGTGAGGTTAAGGCTCGGGGGGAAAAAGGCACGATACGGGCAGGCAGGCACACCCGGCCGCACCACCGGCGCCGGGAAAGCGGCCTTGCGTAACGTCACGCGAATTATCACGTAGGCGGGATTACGTGGTCGGAATCACGTATATAAGGCCCGCACCTCCCCGGCTCTCCTTCCAGGCTCTCCTTCCCTCCCCTCTCTCTCTTCCAAAGCACCCGCGTCCGCACCCCGCAACGCCGAAAAAAAGCTCGCAACACCCGACTCGCACCAGTCGAATAACCTCACCTGCCGTACCACCTATCGCGACAAAGGCCACAACACCACCACATCACCACCGCACCGCCTATCACAATACCGGCTACACTGCCTGCTACATCGCCTAACACCACCACACCGCCTGCCACAATACCGGCTGCACCACCCGGCGGAATGGCGGCAATGGACAAAGTGGTGGCCTCGGAGGACCTCGCCGCCCTGTCGAAATTGGCCAAGTTGGCCGCCTTAGCCGCCGCCGCCGCCCTAGTCGCCTTTGTCGTCCTTGTCGAGCTCGTCGTCCTCGCCGCCCTGGCAATCCTGGCCACTTTGGCCACGGTGGTCAGCCTGGTCGTCAAGGCGGCCATCGGCTTGCTTACCGCCTTGATCGGCCTCGTCGTCCGCGCCACCGGCGCTACCTTAAACGCCCTAGTAAAGTTGTTCGGTTTGATCGAGGAAATAGCTCAGAGGGGGGGGCGTCAAGCTCGGTGGGAGGGATGGGTTTGGGATTTGTTATGGGGTCAAATGTGGTTTTCTTTTCGAGTTAATTGTAATCTCGAAATAATTGTCATCAGCGTTTTTAGCAATTACCATAATAATCAACCCTGACAGCCCTCGAAAAAAAACACCGCTTTTGGTAATCTCGCGTTACACTCTACGTTCGCATGCTAATATATATTTCGTAATTTTCCCCTAAAAAATCCCAAAAATTTCAATAACTACTATGCACCAAAATACGTCGCCCCTCACCCAATCTTTCATTTTTTAAGCTTTAATATCGATAATATATTGGACATATATTTTTACGCAGCAGCAATGGCATCAAACGAGCAAATTTTACCATCACCTACTCTAAACCTGCTTGTTTCTCTTGGTTTAACCTGGACAAAGTCTCAAAAAACTGCTTACCTCGAAACCATCCGCACTATTACGCTGCCTAGGCTTAATGTAATCCAGGCCTCTGCGGTTGAAAACCGTGTAATCAACGAGCCTTACCTTCACCGGGACGATTTTTTGACTGAGACTCCTGCAGCTAAGCTATCTTGGGATGCTTATTGGGAAGAGACCTATCTTAGGAAGCCTACAGCGCGCGCACTGCGCCAAAATGTCATAAGATGCCATCCTCACCAATGGAAATATATCATCCAACCAAACGAGAGCGTCATTATTCGTGACGAGCATACCAACAAGATAGTATTAATCGTTCTGCGAGACCTTGTGCCTCACCAAAGCCTTGCCTCTGCCATGGAAGACGTCTGTGTAGAACTGGCGACGAAATGCCCATTCGAACGCCAAGATGACCCCGGGACTTTGGTTCATTTCGCTTATACGTGTGGGTCGCGGCAAAACTTTCAAATACAGTTAGCTACGCCGAAAAGAGGGCCAAATATGGGTCCCAATTACGAGCTTCAAAGCAAAGCGCAAGGGGTGGCAGGCCTTCTTTGGAATATGCTGCGCTGCCGTTTGCCAGACGAGATAATTGACGATTTTAACGACACCGTCCACCGCCACCACTTACCACGGATGGATATGATGAAAGCCCCGGATACCTCTTTTGCCTTCGAAATTGGAAGCCGAAATGTGAGGTTTCCAACTGGCACAGGCGCCGACTTCGAGCTTCCACCTCCTTCCGGCTTAATCAGTTATAACTATGCTAGATATACGCACAACGAGGTCAACGCCAACAACTGGGTGATTGGTTATACCACTCACGCGCCTGACGACCATACAAAAGGTGGCAATTTTTACTTGGCCCAATACGGCGTATTATTGCTCCCAGCCAGTAACACAGCATGGTCGTGGCAGCCAACTGATCATCACGGCACTACGCTATTTGAAATGACAGATATTGGAGAAAATGACTCCATAGGCTGCTCTGAGCGACGACTAGACGGTCAATATAATGTAGGTCTTTTGTTCGAGATATCAAAAGCTTTGCCGACTGCTCGTTTCAACACATCGTGGCTCCCAGAGATGCCTCGGACCCCCTCGCCAAGCAGACTAAAACTACAGACTAATCCGAAGGCGGTAAAAGCTCGTCGGGCTAAGCCAAAGACGGTTAAGGCTTACCCACCTATCAAAGAGCTAGCTGCCGGGGAACTAGGGGCACAAAAGCCGCAAAAGTCTCGAGGCCATTTCAAACAACCGCTTGAAAAATCTGAGAGATCTCGACGATTGGAAAGTGGTCACCACTTGCGACCTCAGAAGCCAGTATCGTATGTTGGGCTATGTTAAGCCGACGCAGCTTATTTTCATTTATTATACCAGGTTTTTAATCTGTATTACCTTTTTGCATTTAGGCTACTAATTGTCAATTATTAAATATCAGATATCAATTGTGCTATAGGTATACGCCCGCGTAAGCAATGAAATGTGCAAAAAGACGTGACGTAACTGTTAACTTAACCTATTTTAGGTTAGGCTCTTTTATCTTATTGGTCGAGTAGCCAATGTACTATGTAGTAGCTAAATACCTTGCTTTTATTGGTTAAATAGTTAGCGTGAAAGTTAGATAGTCCAAAGGTAAAGAGACGAGGGGCAAAGCTGTTGTTGCAAGATATTTGCACCAAAATTTGCTGTGAAGAATTTGCATCTTGAGCAACGACCTCGCTCATCAACCCGTATCCTTAACAGTACTATCCGCAGCCTCACAACGCAACTTGCAACAGAATTGACAGACAACCAGCAAAAATGGCCTATTTATATTGGCGTTTGCCCTCGTCCCAGGCGGCGCTACTCTTCTCCTTTTTGCCTTTGATTTTCACACTCTAAATCATCATCATCACCATTATCACCACCTTCATTTTATTTGCCTGTGATTCCATTCCAATAACTTACCATAACCTTCAATACCTACACGTATAATGTCGGCCCCGCCTCCAACCCCTGTCCCTTCCCCTTCTAGACCTGCCGCTAGAAACCGCGCCCAGATGATAGCCGATTTGGAAGCTCGGCTGCAGCGACTGGAGGGGGTAATGGAGGCTAGAATCCAGAATCTCGAGGGCGAGATGGGGGCTAGGGTGCAGACTCTTGAGGAAGAGAACGGCCGCCTTAAGCTGCACTTGGAAGAGCAGATTGCTGTGCTCCGGCAGCAAGAACGGGCGACCTCAAGCGACGTTAGGAAAGTCGTGCGGGTACTTGTATGCTATCCTTTTTATTTGCTGTTATCACCTCCCAACCCCGCAACATACCTCATATTACCTCACATTACCTTGCCGTACCTGGCTGGCTGTCTTCAACTGGGCCTTTTTACCGATATTGCTGCCCTTTTCTCGCTTAATCTCCTTACCTTTACCCTTCTTGATATAGCTGCCACTACCGGTGCTAGCCTTAACTCTCAATATCGAGTATGAAGAATCGAGTGGTTGCTTCTCTAGTTGCAGTTATATCGCAAGCCTTATTACCCCTCCCCTTTAGCATCCAGCAGTACCGCCATTTTAACAACAGGTAGGAAAACCCTTTCCGATTGTCGCCCGCCCTTAATATCCTCCAAGGCCCTGAATCGCCAGGCGGCCTGGAAGGCGCCTCAACATCCCGGGCCTTAGCCTGGGATGTAATAACTTCGCCGAATGCACGCAATGATCCAATCGTAATCCCCGACGATAGCGACAGCGAGGAAGTTCGGGAGGGGATTGAAGGAGAGGAGGTTCGAGAAGGGATTGAGGGAGAGGAGGACGACGACGATGATGATGGCGACGATGGCGGTGATGACGGTGAGGAGGGGCCTAGCACCAGCCATGTCCTCGCTGCCCCCGCTGCCCCCGCTGTCCCCGCCCAAGGCAAGGCTAAGGGCAAGGCTAAAGGCCAGGCCAAGGGCACGCCCATGACACCAGCAAAGGCAACCCCGAAGAAAGGAGGGAAGAAGTAGTATGATTCCAGCGTACTCGCGCCGCCAGCGCGGCAACAATAGCTAATGGGGGGGCCCCCCCCCCCCCCCACACTTTGTTAAAATGCAGCGATCCTTTTGATGGCCGTGCCTTGCTGGAATAGGGAACCTGGACTTGTCGTATTTTGAACTGCTTTACGTTATTCTTATATTATGTGTGTGTTAGCCCGGGTTCATCTGACCTTACTCTTACACCTAGGTAGGTACCTAACATACCTAACATACATATAACTAGTTATTACGAATATGCAAACACACAAACATACAAACACACCGAGACACATGATGTTAATTCTACATATACAAACACACATCTACTTAACCTAGGTATGTATATAGGATATAGGTAGGCTAGCCTCCAAATCAAACCAGAATGGTATAATGTAGGATATGGCTACCCGCCTGCTTGCCCGCTTGCCTATCCCCTTGCTTACCGACTACCTAACCCAGCTCACCTAGATACTTACCTACCTATACACACCCAGACACATCCAACATCCAACATCCAAACATCCAACACAGGCAATATACTATTATCACAATAAATATGGTAATGTCACACCCCCCCGTCCATCTCCCCCATGTCCACCCAAAGGTCCCAAAGCACTATTGCGGCACGGCGCATAACCACGTCCCGCCGGGCCAGACGGCGATTGGTGGAAACCCAATTCACGTCGTTGGCGTCTGGGGGGGGGGGGGGGGGGTTCGGCTGCGCTATTACTACATCTAGCATATGCTATCTACCAGCCTACCTACATACATTACCTACATAGGATTCGCGAAGCCTGGGTGTTGGGTATGTGTATGCAAGTTTCATGGGATACCTATGTATTGTGTATGCAAATAGGTATGTACCTAATGTTGGTTCTATGTACATATGTATGTATGTAATGTCCCATGCATCGACCTAACCTACCTAACCTACCTAAGCCGTAAAGGGTCGGGCCGGGGGTTTTGCGCATATGTACAAACGTCGAATTAATGTGATTACGTATATTAATCTAATATACATCGTACGTAGGTACATATTAGCAAATGCATGTACATACATACATAAAATTCCTCCTAACATAACGACCCCCCTACATCGGCGAATCACATGCCACAACCAAAACATCCCTCGGCACCTCCAGAAGGAGCGGCAGCCCCCCCGATCCCGAAGGCCCCACTGTTTATTCTCCGGTCGTTACACACATACACACATACCTACCTAATGTACCTAGGTACACATACAATTATCCGCGTGGCTAACTCCGCGCGCTTTTCCCCGAGATTAGATATTACCTACCTAACCTAACCTTACCTAACCTAATGTCGCGCGTCGCGGTGACAAGAATGGGCAGTCATTGGGTTAACCGCATTGGCGCGCGCCCCCGGGGCTCCGTGCTTAGGTAGGTAGGTACCTATGTTGCGGGAGAAATAATAAAAAACCGCATAATTGACAATAGCCGTGAGTTATCCGAGTGAGTAACTATGTACAAACCGAAAATGAGAAAAAAAAAATTTGAGACTAGGATTCGTTGCTCGTTGAGCTTGAAGGACTGGCCCTGGGGTAGTATTGCGCAATACTATGTTGAGGTAAACTGTAATACACTCAAATATTATAGACTTAGTTTGTTTTGTATGGTCTACGCGTTGGTTAGAAGGTCTTACGCAGCATGTTAGTTCTTTATCGAAGAGATTCCATAGGATATCACTGCGAAAGCAGGTAGGGTAGGCACCTACGTAGATATATCAGATTTAGGAAATCAATATTCAACTACTTGCCTCTAATAAAACTTACAAAGCATTAACATTTACACAAACACGAACTTTCTGGGACTAGATAGTATCAAGACAACAGCGACCATACTATCCCCTAGAAAACACGCAATCGGTATAATCACTAATAATTCAAACAATTCGTTCGCCATACTCTAGAATGCATTAAACCTCTAGACGAGCTTGCGCTCAGACGCGATTTTAACTACTTCATAACACATGCCAACCAACGCCAGGATCAGGCTCACCCCGAGCCTATCTTATATCCTTTTCCCTTTAACGAACGACAACCTCCGTACCGCAATTCCTATGCGAGGAGTGGATGACCGTATCGCCTTAACGCCTATAACATCGATCATGCAATGCACTGTATTAATTCGTCTAATTCCATGCCTTGGAAAGAGGGCTCGCAATCTTGGGAGCAAACTGTAAGCTCTTGCGACGGGCTGCCATTAGGCGCATCAGAATGCCCTGATCCTTCTCCTTCTTAATCAAGCCCTCGCCGAGGCCGGCGTACATGCTCTTCTTCGGCGGGCAAGTCCTCATCAACAGTTGCTCCCTTTCCTCGAGATCTTCGTCGTTCTCCGCTTCAGGAGAGTCCGGGCTGATATCCATGGCGAATCTCGCGACGGTCTCCGGAGCCGGCGTCTTAGGCACAGGAGTCAGCATGCCAAGCTCGCTGTCCCAATCATGGTCACCGGGTGCATCCTCGTCTTCGTCGTGGTCTGACGGAGTACGCATCCAAACTGTGCTATCCCTGCGGCTAACGTGGTTATTCGGGACGGTCTGGCACTCCTGGGGTTGCCTCGTAATGCTCTTCATAGGAGTAACCAACGTGCCGTTGAGGTTAGCAAGCGCCTTTGGCTCCATGCTCTTTCGACGGTTGCGCCCACCACGAGGAACCAGAGAAGTATCGATGTAGTAGGGAGCCTCGTCAACCCACTCGTTCTCACGCTCGCAGCTAGAAACGGCGTTAGAATGATAATCATGACATATCGGCAACATGTTGACTTACTCCAGGACCCAGCTGACGCCGACACACTGCACAACACCGCCGCTCTCCTTGACCTTTTCTAATGTTCGCTTGCCTCCATCCTTGTACACGACGTGCGTGATTCCCACCTTAGATGCCGAGCCGTCGTCGTTACAACTAGTTGGGTTCCAAGGCCAACTCTTGACACAGCGAGCACCCATCTGCGTGAGCAATTCAACGAAGACGGTGCTCGCGTCCGCACCGTCACTTGTGTGCACATCAACGAATACGACCGCGCCTCGGAGCAAAGAGTTATTTAGGTCTCGACGAGGAGTACGGGCTGGTGTGCCCATAGAGGACCATATGTCGGCTTTTGAAGGAGTCACCGGAGGGTGCTCTGGCTCATCATCTTCATCAAGATCCATCTGGGATGGGTCCTTAGTGGGAGAGTATGAGATGACCGTGGCATTCCTAAAGAGACCAGTCGGACGATTGGCAGGTAGCTTTGACACGCTTGCGCTGCGCTTCTTCATAATCCCGGGAGTAGAATCATCGGCCGGCTTCAATGGCACCTTAGAGACGGTGTGGAAACTCCTAGGCGCAGACGGCCGGACAGGAGTAACCGGCTCAAGACGACGCATACCAGCATTAGTTCTTAGGAGAGCCGGGTCAATAGGGACGGCGTTCTCATCGCCATACTCCTGGCTAGCGTCCGAGATCGAGTCATCATGGACATGATTCTCCTTCGCCTCGTCAACTTCGGCTATTTCCATAAGGGACATCTCGTTGGCCTCGGCAGCAAGTTCCATGTCTTCAGTCGTGATGGGGATGTCATTAAACTCGGGCTCATCATATCTAGCAGCGATGTCGGCTTCTAGGGCTGCTTCGATTGCAGCCTGGTTCTCCATCTCGGCACGGATTCTCATCTCCTCATCGAAGAAGCTTCTAGTTGGTGTAGACTCGGCCGGAGCGGTATCGTTCTCCCTGAGCAGTGAGAAGCCCTCTTCCTTGAACTCAGGGGAAGGCACATGTACATCATTACTAGCCTTGGTCGGGCTTGGGCCTTTCCATTCATTGAGCTGGTTGGCTAGCGGGGTGAAGAATCGGGATCCCTTGGAGACGGATCGAATGGCACGACTGGCAGCCTTGACCGCGCTAGATGGCAGTCGGGGAGTTTTGGAAGTGCTCGGCGTGGGCGTCGAAGGAACACCGGCAGTAAACGTGAAAATCGTATCATCCTGGTATTTGCCAAGCGTCTTTCCGCTAGATGCAAGCTCATCCTCAGAGTCAGACGCGTAGTTAAGGCCCTTAGTTTCCGAGCCAAAATCTAGATTGATATCTTGCTTAGGAGGCGACTGAGGAGGTGTTGTTGGAGCTGGGCTAGGCGCCTTCTCCTCCTCTTTGGTTTCAAGCTCATCGACATCCATAGGGTCGTCAGCTATCTCGTCAGCTCTAGCTTCGATAATTGGCTCCTTCTGCGCTTCAACCGGTTCCTCTATAGCGGTCTCCGGCTGTTTCACATCCAAGTCCTTAATGGGGAGCGGGTTTTCCCGGAGAGCAGGGTCCGCATGCCGAGGGAGGACAGCAGATAAACGGCCAGGGAAAGCAAGCTGAGACGGTGACTCGAGCTCGACTTGATTCTCCTCCGTTTGCTCGCCTGATGCGGGTTCATGCTCTGCCTCAATGATCTCCTGCTGCTCAGGTTGTTGCGCTTCTTCAGCCGGCACTTTCTCATCTGTCGGAGAAGGCTTAGGCCCAAACAGTCTATTTGAATTACTTATAAGTGATTGCATGGGTGGTACTTGCATCTTGAAAGGCGACGCAGGGCGCTTAGCCGGTGATTGCAAGAGAGACATCTTTACCGGAGAACGGTTGATACCATTAGATTCCTGAGGTTGTAGTCCCTTAATAGGCACTTGGGGTCTTTTAGCAGGTGACTGCAGTATTGAAGTCTTTGATGGTGATGGTGCTGTTTGTTGGTCATCCATTGAGGATAGAACGAATGGAACGGCGTCAACTTTCTTCGCAGGCGACTTCAACATATCCTTAAAAGGAGAAGCGGGTGGTCTACGAGCAGGGCTGCCAAATACTGACGAACCCGTTGGCTCTGGGGCCTCTTGAGCAGTCTCCTCCGCATCATCGGTCTGAGGCTGAGGGTCATGCTTCTTAGTTGCGGGTGGCTTCACGGGGCTCTTCATCATGGGTTTGAGAGGAGTCTTCTCCAATGTAGCAAGCTCGTCATCCGAATCAGTATCTCGAGACAATGCCCGGTTCTGCGCATCCTTCTTAGGACTAAGAGGAGACTTGTCTCGTGTCTCACTGGTAGTTGATTTTTTGCTAGCCCTGGTAGTTCTACCAGTAACTGGTTTGCGAACGGGCTTTGCACGCATACCAGTGGCAGACTCGGTTGTCTTGGTCTTGGCCTTAGCGGCTACGGTGGGCACCAGGTTCTCCTTCTCTGGTTCCTGGAAGGTAACCGTCTTCTTAATGATCCCCCCTCCGACCCTAAACGCAGGCCTAGAGACGGCAGACTTTAGGCCTGGTGTAGGCTCTGTGGAAACGTCTGTGGTGACTACACCAGTGGCTGCTTTAGTACCGGCTGTAGCACGCGAGCGCGTGGTCTTCTTAACCGGTTCAGTAGATGCGGTACCATCATTATCACCAGCAGCCGTTTTTCTGGTTCGCGTGCTTGTGCGTGTAATTTTTGCTGGTTCTTGTTTAGGAGCTGCGGGTGCTGTTGTGGCAACTTTCTTGGCTCGACCACGCGTAGCCTTAGATGCGGTCGGCGCATTGTGAACAGGAGCCTCCGTCTCGGGTTCTGGTTCAGGTTCAGATTGGGCAACCTTCTTCGGTCTTCCTCTGGTCTTGGCTGGCCTATTCATGGTACTTGTTTGCTCAGAGTTCGTCTGTTGGTTGTCTTCATCTTCTTCGTCGGATCGGGTCTTCCGCTTAGCAGGACGCGACGTAGTTGCTGTCCTTTTTGTTGGGGCTGGAGCTGCCTTGGCGGTAGATTTGGTGGTGGTAGCGATGGTGGCAGCGGTCGCGGTACTGGTACTTTTGGTGCTTGCAGCGTCCTTCGCGGCTGCTCTGGCACGCGTCATTCGTTTCGGAGGAGTTGCAACTTCCATGATGCAATATAATTGAAGAAGAAAAGAGAAGTATAAAGGAATTACCTACTTGAATAATTGAACAATGCCTTGGACGATGTAATTTGGTCGAGGTGTTGACCTAATTGCAAGGTTTTATGTAAGGTTGTTCAAGGTGAAGTGACGTTTGACGTTTAACAAATGCAGGATAAGGTTAAAGTCAAGTTCTGCGGGCTTCTTATTTTTCTTGTTTATATTTTCTTGGTCATAGCTCTCTCCGCCTTTGTAATTAGTTCCACTTGTTGGCCCACCAACTAAGCACGGTACGTACTGTGCCTATATCTTAAGTCGCGTGTTCAAGCATCCATCCAATCACATTATTTTAATTGAATCTCGTCGAGATTTAGCCTACCTACGAAATAAACACGCGACTTCTCAGGTGGTGAATTTTTATCGTGTACCTACATAGCTGCTGAGGTGAATAATCGAGTTTATTATTAAGACTCAGTTACTTTAAAATAACACTCAAGTAAACAAGCCCGGTCCTCCTTGACAGCATTTCGCCAGGTCTTTGAGTTGGTAAGACAAACACTATATCTCAGTATTCTACTTCAAGTTCTTATGGACATGCTTTTGGTCTATACGATGCTTATCGTTCGTTTAGACCCTTCCTGCTTCTAAGATTTCATACAATTGCTCCCGTAATTAATAGGGTTTCATTGTCGAGTATAATTAGTCCTGCCCTAGCTTAGGTACGTAGTGAAGTGACATTGACAATGACTATGTAGCATAACCTAAACTACCTAGGAAATATATATATATATTCGTACTCTTCCACACTTAAGGTGTTATTGTCGTACCAGTTAAGGTATATTAGGTATGTGACAATCATAGCTCACAAGTGTTGAGTATACGAACTATTTCGGTCTGCCTTGATGGCGTTAACTAGGTACCTACGTATGTATCTTCATTGTCCTGGAATACTCTCAGACGTTTGCTCTTCAGCCAATTGCAGAATGGCCATCCACAATGACAACGTCCTTGACGCACCTTGCATGATGCGGCACTACATTTCCTGCAGATGGCCAACGCTTGGTATCCATCTGAACTCCTCTCAGGGCTGATTGATGGAGGGGACTCGACTTCAGGGCCGCCTGACGCTAAAAATCTGGTATCCCTTGCCTTGGTAGCAAACATCTGTTGAAAATATTAGCACATATCGGTAACAGATTTTGATGGATGCTATGAGGGTGGGATTTATCATGTATATACAAATCTCCACGGTGTCTCTCGCGTGGTCGTTGAAGATGCTTTACTCGTAGGAAGCCAGTGTTGGCATAATTGCAACTCCCTTTACCCTAGTAATGGACTTTTATTGCTATGTCCCGTTTGGTACTGAGCCTGAATGCAACCAATTCCGAATCCTTACGCTACTACCCGGTTCAGGGGAAGAACCATTAGAATGCATCCTATCCCACGGGGATATAGGCGAGTCGCCTCCCTACGAAGCTATCTCCTACGTTTGGGGCGATCCCCACGATAAAGCCGGCATCATATGCAACGGCAAGCCTTTAGCTATTACCGCTGGCCTTCACACTGTCCTACACCATTTTCGTTCACCGTCGGAGAGGAGAAGTCTTTGGGCAGACGCGATTTGTATAAACCAGAATGACAGTAATGAGCGAGGAAGTCAAGTTGGTCGTATGAAGGATATATACTCGAAAGCTGACCGGGTCCTCATATGGCTTGGTGAAGAGAAGGACGAAAGCGACAGGGGCATCGCGGTGGCTTTAGATATCGCCTATGCCTGTCATCAATATACTTCCCACGGTGGTTCACTCGTAACCATTAGTTTCGACGACGAGCTTGCCCTTCAGCTATTTGGAAAATTCAGGGATAAGTCTGAGTTCCCCCGACTATCAGCTTTTGCTCGGATCATCGAAAGATTGTGGTTCACAAGAGTCTGGGTAGTCCAAGAGCTTGCATTAGCGACAGATGCTATGGTGTTCTGTGGAAACTCGCATATCAGCTGGACTGATCTTCTTGCTGCCATCACTGCCCAGGACCATTTAAACTTATGGCTCTCTGACCATGAGCGTAACGCCTATGTCTTCATCCTAGAGAGAGCACGTGAGGAGTGGCGCGCAGGTATCCGACGAAGCCTCCTCAGTGTCCTATTTCGATACCGAATACTCGATGCTACCGATCCTCGAGATAAAGTCTTTGGGTTGAATGCATTAATTAAAAGCGAGCTCTCCGGGACTCGGGCCTTGCAGCCAAACTATAATGTTAGCACTACGGAGTTATATACTGCTGTAGCAAAGGAGATACTTGAGTATTCGCCGAATCTCAACTTGCTGTCTGTTCCCCGACGCTTCTCTGGTGCCGGTCCTTGTAATTTGCCGTCTTGGGTGCCTGACTGGACTAATACTCGACTCACCGCGCCTTTAGGCCTAGCAAACTACTCTGATATCAACGAGTTAAGTTTTACCGCAAGCGGGCTTTCAAAGCCTGAGATCGTCCTCGATACAGACTCAAACGTCCTCGGCGTCCAAGGCCACCGGGTAGATCGTATTACCGCTGTCGGTACAGTCCTCAGATTAGAGCATCTCCCACGGACGAACTATCATGGTATCCGTATTCCAAAGTGTGCCTTTGTCTTGGATGATTGGTGCCGTGTTGTTAGAGTCTGGGAATCGGAAATCTACATTACCGGCGAACCGATTCGTGATGCCTTCGTCCAGACATTAGCGGCCGGATCCAGTCATGAAAGTGCTGAAATATTACGTGCACAACTGGACATCTTGGAGAGGAATGCTACAATAGTAAGATGGCTTAGACGCTTGCCTAGATTTTTCCCGGACTGGCTGGTAGATAAGATAGTATATTTGGTTCATGCGATGCTATTCTATGATCGGACCGACCAAATGACCTTGGGCTTTAGAATCCCCCTATCGTCACTGGCAGACCGCCGGGTGTTCAGGACTGATAAAGGGTATATTGGCTTAGGATCCGCTTTGACAGAGGTAGATGACGAAGTCGCTGTCGTGGCAGGGGCAAAAGTGCCTCTTATCCTGAGGAGAAAGGGGTCACAGTGGACATTGAAGGGCGACTGCTTCTTAAAGGGGATAATGCAAGGCGAGGCATATCGTGAAGACGAAACCTCCCAAATGTGGATTGTCTGAAGCCTTTCCCCGTCCAAGTAGATATATCGAAAGATTGAGTTAGTCTAATATGTCCATGTTGCTAGGTGGATGTTGCACGACAGCCATTTAACAGATTTGTTATATTGACCGTAGCCTATCAGCTTCGACCATCAAGAGACTATGGCTGACATTCGTTGTTTTTTCGTCCTAGGAAATATTATCTATACCCGGCAACCTATATACGAGATATGGACAAAGTAGCATTTCCCATCATCGTTAACTTCCGGATCTTCGTCGCCTCAGCTGGATCTTGGCTACTTAATCTACATATGTCGCCCAGCTAACGAATGCCGATGACGCTAAATCCCTCCGATCAATGGATCATTGCTTGTCTCATCTTCACAAGCATCCAACAGCCCTGTGGCGGTTGACGATACGGATATGAGGAGTATTACTATGATATTTGAGGCGTACTGGTTGGTCCCCACATGCTGAAACTCGTGCCAAGAAGACGCTATATTCGAGGAGGCGCCCGCGTAACCCACGATAACTTACATATGTACAAGTGGGCTTTTCCATTCGCCCCTCTACATGCGGAGTAGACTTCTCGTAAATTCTTCCTTTCCGAATAATTAATTAAAACAAGCTCACACTAGAAGGACTGCGCCGCTGGCATTCCAAGAATTATGGCATCAGCCCTATTCCTCCCGAAACTTACGGTAGTTATGACAATTCAAACCAAGTGATCCTACGACACAGAAAATGGGGGGGTACTTTTGTCATCTTCCAATCGGCGATGTAACTTGTCTCAGCAAAGGATGAATAGACATTAGGTCTCTTATCATCAATGCTATCTACCGAGAATCATGAATTATCGCGTCGCCAGTTCGTCAGGGGATATGTTGAACCCCCCTACCTTCAAACACCTCCTTTGTCATGGCGGTGTCTCAACCCCTGCCCACAATCGGACCCCGGCTCCGGTCACCCTTCCCGACCGGGACGTTCGAGCCTCAGCACGTTTACATAGTAACAAAATTCCACTCCACTACCTAACTCGGAAATCCCTGCTCCATCGCCAACGCCAGACTGGGCGGGCTGTCAAAGCCTCGACCTGCATCCATCAGCCTGCATGAAATTTGCCGTAGAGTTAGTGTACGTAGACCGCGCTCGAAGGAAAAAAGGGACTGAGCTAGCTAATGTTGCTGGACCCCCTCCCCGGTCGAAACGAGCTTCAGAAATGTGAGAATTCCTCTTCTTTCGTTGAGGCTCTCGATCTGGCCGCGTACTATGTAGTATGGCCCCATTTCCTACTGTAGTAATCTCTACCACTTATCGTGCTGTGATTCCCCCCTCGGTCGATTCCATTTCCCATCTCTCCCCTTCTGTGAATCTGGTGTTTCCTCTCGATGGCTTCAACTCCTAAGCGCCACCCAGCTTCCGCGTGATGCTTGCTTGATTGTTTCGAGACTTTGCTTGTCTGTCGTTCCTTTCGCCCTCTAAGTGCTTTACGCGCCTAATTTGATGCTTCTTTTTCGGATCCGATCCGGTATAATTCTCTCATTTCCATAATATCGACGGCCCCGTTCAAGCTGAGTCTCGGACGATCAAATCTTCGCCACGCTCACTGAAAATTAAATTCATCGGGTTGATCCCGCGTAATTGGAAACGGCTGGTCTGTTCATATTGTTTATCCTTCACTTAATTATATACGTCCATATACTTGGATCGTCGTTGCGCATCACGGCCATACCAAGGGTATTAGTGAGTGAGTGATCGCTCCTAATTCTCACATCTTAAGGATGAGGGTATCGCGGTCAACGTTTCTCCTATCCGCGCTGAGCTCCTTGTCGCTCGTTCAGGTGCGTACTACTTTATCATGTTACGATCAATCATACTCATCTAGTTGCAGGCCGGCACATATCGCTACTATGATCAATCCGTGAAGAGAGGGTTGTTAGATCAGTTGCTCAGCGGTCTCGGCGTCGGTAGTAATGGCGATGGCGATGGCAATGGAAAGGGAAAGGGTCATAAGGGCCAAGGACAAAATAGCGCCGTCACCGTTACCGAGACAATAAGGCAGACGATCACGGTGGGAGCCGGAGCGGTAGGCGGATTCAACGGCACAGCGGCTGTCACCCAAACGGTAACAGTCACCGAAACTGCCACTGCCACCGCCGCTGGTGGCATCGGGGACGCACTGTTCGTATATTAATTACCGCAAGACTGGTATAATATAGAGTAGCTAACAATAGTGAACAGCGGAGCCCAACTATCGTTCATCACAACGACCGTCTACAATACCGGCGCGGTGCCCACGGTAACAGAGACGGCCCTCGCCTCGACAGTAACGCAAATTGCTACCGAGACCGCCCCCGCGGCGACGGTGACCGAGATATCTACCATCATGCAGCCGGTAACGCAGGCCACGACCGTCACCGAAGTATCGACGGTAACCATGATGCAAATGATCGCAGGCGGAACGCCCGTTGGTGCTCCGGTCCCGGCAGACCAGGCTTCAGCCATCGCATCGTCTGCTGCACAGGCAGCTTCCTCGGCTGCTGCCGTCCCGACATCGTCAGCGGCTCCAGTTGCGCCTGCGCCCGCTGCTAGCGTTACAGTAACCGTCACGGAGACTTCCTCGGCCCAGTGTTCCGTCGTGGCCACTTCATCCGCTGCCGTTGAATCATCGACATCAGCAGCGGCGGCGACTTCTGCCCCCGCGACTTCTGCCGTAGCAACATCAAGCGCCGTAGCTGAAACCACGTCGTCCGTATCTTCCGCGCCGCCTTCGTCTTCGACCTCATCTTCCTCAGCAGTCGAGACGCCATCCAGCTCAAGCGTAGCAGCCGTCTCTCCCACCGCCGACTCCACCCTTCAACTCCCCGAAGTCGCTCCATCAACGACGACCCCAACCTCAACAGCCCAAGCCATCACGACCCCCCTCGCAGCGCAATCATCTCTCGCCCTCCCCGTCGAGACCCCGGCCGCCGCCAACAACGCCGGCAGCAACGTGACCCCCGCCGTGCCCGCCATTACTGCCACGACCTTCGCCGGCGCTAACGAGGGCCCGTCGATCGATCTAACCGGCGTCACGCTGACGAACGTTCTGACGCTGGGAAATCTCGGCCGCGTCTAAGTGCGAAAGATCGCTGGGGAGGAACAGCTGAGGTCGGATGTATAGAAGAAGGGAAAGGAAATACCCCGCCGCAGCAGATTCGCCGTTTGCGTTCTGCTCGGATTTGCAGGCTGTAAAATAATTATCATTATCGTCATCACCACTAGTATCATTCCCTTCCACACTTCCATTTCTCGTTTTCATATTCCAATATACGCACGCAGACGTGATTTAAGTAGCCCCGTTTTTGGCTGGTTGGCTGGTTGGTTGGTTGGTATGGAGAAGAGAAAGAACCAGGGGCTTACGTTTACCACGAGATGCTAGGAGCACATGAGTTGTATGTATATAGCTTTTGACTTCTTCGCTTCGCTTCTCGCTGCTGAAATAAATAAGCAACAAATAATTGAGTCGAGGCTGGCCTTGAACTGAGTCGTTGAGATGCGTGAGCGTGATATGTGCAAGTGTGCGAGAATAGATTTTATAAGGGTATCTCCAGTTCGTGAATCTATTATACCAAACGCCACCACCGTATGTAAATCTTGATATACCAATTGCTTTTTCATTCATCCTTCACTGAGCTCCCTTTTCTTCAACCTCCTTTTTCATTAACGCAGCCTTAAGTTTCTTCGCCTGCCTCTTACTAACCGGCGCATTCTCTCCAGCTCCACCGTCCCCTCCTTTCTCAGCTGTCTCGCTCCCTCCATTCTTCCTTTTCCTATTATCTTTTACTTCCACCACCTCCCTATCCTTGCCCTTCGATAACTTCGACTGCTCCTCCTCACTGCGCTCCGCCACGTTTACAATATCCACCACACCCCTAAACCCACTCCGCTTAATCCCCTCGTTCACCACGATGCCCCGCGGGTTCACGCCTAGCGCCTCCATACCCTTATCAGTAGGGAGACCCCATACGGCGAGCAAGTTGACAATGTCGGCGGGGCCTCGCAGGGCCATGGCATTAGCCGCTTCGCTGCTTAGAATCAGGCCACGGCCGCGGGTCGCGCGCACGAGCTGTATCACATTGCCAGCGAAGTTGGCGCGAGCGCGGGCGTCAGTATCGGGCCTCAGCGTTTGACCGTAGGCGACCTCGAAGCGCAGGCCCCGCGCGACGGCGGCCATGCATGGCTTAGGACGTAGGTGGAAGGGTAGGCGCGCGGTGAGGTCCAGCGAGATGATAGAGACCTCGGTGGTGCTGACGGTAAGGCAGGCAGCCTGGAATGCCTTCTCGGTTTGCGGGCGGAGTGCTAGAATATCGTAGGCCTGGGCAGCTTTGGGGAGCTGCTGGTTTTGTGAGGGGTCTGAGAAATTAACAGTAAGGCGGCGGAGGACGGTGGGGATGCACTGCTGGCGGTTTTCGGCTTGAGAGGGAGTAGCTTGCGGGGCGAATTGGGGGATCGGGTTCGGGATCTGCGATGGTAGGGGCGCGTCGAGATTGTGGTTCAGCGCAACGACATTGTAGCCGAGTTGCGAGCTGAACCTCAATGTGCGCTCGAGCTCGGCGGTGCTGATCGAAGACGACCAGGCGATGTTGAGGTCGTAGAGCATCTTGTTACGGGGCTAGTGAGCATTTCGAGGCTTAAAGGAGCATGTTCGACTAGCATTGGTGAGTGTGAATATTTGAAGTTTTGAGCTACAGGTCCTTGTCCAGATATTTGATAGGCAAGTAGCCAGGTACCTAGTGGGGCTATTGAGGTACCTACCTAACATACATCTGTTACATCAATGCAGCTAAGCTTCAGCAGAGTTCAGCTTGCCGACCAGCCGCTATCGATAATGTTGTGTGACAGAGGACCTTGCATTGGAATTAAATATTGTCTTGGTTCCAGTCTCGGTTCCAGTCTTGGCCCAATACATCTGGTCTTGGCCTTTAAAGCACAGCCCCCGAAGGTGAACGCGCATCTCGCACAAGGATGCGAATATGTACATACTTCTTCAGCCAGCATGGCACCGACAAAGAATAAATTGATTTCACGATTGTTGCCTCCACGTCCTACGACTTAATCCTTGTAAAAATAAGAAATAAGAAAAATAATAAACATAGGTATTCTTAATCCTCCGCCAACATCGTTTTACCTAAGTATTGAACTCTCTTGGCGACCTTCCTCTCAAACGCGCGAATCCATCTACCTACCTTAGGTACCTTAACCAACCGCTTCGATTAGCGCAAGTTTAAGTTGCGATAGCGTTCTAGCACTTAAGTTAAGATGTGTCTAATATTCACCTGCGGCGAGCATACCTTCAGGAAAGAGGTAGAAGGCTACGAGGGTGTTGTCTGCCAATGCCATAACTGCGGCAACTACGCCGGACATATCATCAAAAGCAATCCTTGGTTCACCTTTTGCTTCGTGGTAAGTCTACCTATAGCGCGCCATCTATAACTACCTAACCTACCTAGAAAGAAGCCTCGAAAGAGATGCTAACATGAAACGTAGCCCGTCATCCCGCTCTCTATCCATGGCTACCAGGACGTCGTCTGCCAGATCTGCAACTTCGCGCAGCCGTTAGAACACCGACCCGACGCTCAGGCGATGCAACGTGGCGGGGGTGGGAATATCGTTCCGATGCAGAATCAACCGCCGCCGCAACAAGGACCTCCGCAACAAGGGCCACCTCCGGGATGGGGTCAAGGACCACCTGGGGGTCAAGCGCCTATGAGATACGGATAGAAACGCAAGAGATTAGCCGTTAGTTTCACGATTTAAGATAGTAAGAGTTGGGTGTCACGACAGCTGAGTACACGATACGAAACGGCGTAGCGGTTGCACCATATTGCGCAGCATCAGGGTTGGAGTTTAAGGATCCGCGTATCATAGGATATCCCGCTTGGGGCGTTTTGACATTACTTGTGGATGGAACGATGATTATAAATTTATCTTAGGGTTTATTCTATAAACTGCGCATGGTTAGGCATGCGTAGCAGTCGATTTGGCGTGTTGAAGGTAGATAATGGAAAATCATCACGGTTAGTTCTATATTCACGGGAATGTTGATGATTTGAGAGTTACGCGCCACAGGTCTTCGACTTTAGATATGAAGTCTACTATCGTATATACCTCATGTTAACAAGCAGTAGCCTCTTGACTCGTTTACAAGATAGAACCATCTAACCACCACACCGATGTTTCGCCTATAGAGCTCAAGTGCCCCAAGCACATATACAGCCAGCCATCTTAGACAGTAAATAGCATGTATCAAAATAGCGTCAGGAACTAGAGCGGACCATCTGGCTGCGCTCGTCAGAGCTTTGAACAGTCCAAACTCTAAGAACTGGCCTTTCGTATACTTAAATACATGGATCTCACTCAGCACTCACAGCTGCCGCTTACCTTCTTCATCTAATCGAAGCCAATAATCCCAAAAAATGTCTTCGTATGATTCTCTGTTGATCGCTGAGCTGTTCAACCTGTTTATCCAGCCCCCTCATACAAACGAGCCGAATCGACCGGTGCCCACGAGGAGCGTAAGCGAGTGGTTTGACGACCTGTTCGGTTACTGGTACGAATTATTGTTTGACGAAGGGGAGGATGTCCCAGAATCGGTGAATAGAGGTGCTATTCCGTACCGCACTGCTGCGTGTAAGTTATTATATCATAGCTGATCCGACTAAAATATGGATGCTAACGAGACAATTGTGGTGGATATAGACGACGAGTACCTTCGTCAGGCGCAGGAGGAGGCTGCATACGATGCTTGGTTTTCTTCTCCGCCCCCAAGCCGATGGTTCTGCATCATGACAGGTTCCATCGTGTTCATCCTCCTCTACTGCGCGCCCTACATAACCGATGCTATTCTCGCATCCGTCGCCATATTTGTATTCATATCGGCCATCTTCTTGCCTCCTGTTATACTGTTAGTCATGCTGTTCCGTCCGCTAAGGCGTTGGGGAAAGGCAAACGAAGATGGTGAAAATAGGGGTAAGAGATTGGCTACATCTCTGCGTTCTATTTCCTACAACAGTCCAGATATCTTGAATGGTCAGATTGGCATTGTTAAGAGAAAGTAGACGGGTATAGGGTTCATTCATATAATATGTATCTTCCTATGCGGATAATAATAATATAATTCTTCTAAATTCCGTGTACCACTCCCATAGTCATCTTATATTAATAGAAAACCTTCGCTGTCTATCTACCCTATTGAACCTAATAGTAATACGGAATCTTCCTTATCCTTAGAGTTTAAAGATAGGATCTCGATGGCATAACCGCCATGTCCATCCCATCACGTAACTCAATTCAACACAGGCTGCCAGCCCTTCCGTCCAACGTGCCCAATAACACCTTCATCTTTCAATACGTCAACACTGGTCCGACCTGTCACAACGCTCCTCTCGACCTCAGCACCACGGACGTAAAACGGGAACATGAGTCGATTCCTGTAGTCGTCAACAGCCTCCCCTTTCTCAACATCTTTGGCCTCCCATACCACTCGCCCTGCTCTCCGGTGCTTCACAAACCCGCAAGCTTCCCTGTCGAGCGACAAGTACCACCGTCGCTGATGCACGCTGCCGATCGAATTTTCCGCTCCTGTATATGCGTTTGTGCGGCGCACCTGTTCATCCTCGAGCTCTCGAATCTCCCGCTCCATTGCCGAGACGGCTTCTAGGTCTGCCTCTTCGGCGGGTGCGTTTACAATTTCCAACTCTTCGCTCCCTGCAGGCTCCCCACCTGGGTCCGAGTCCGAGCTTGTCTCTGGCTCGACTGCCTTACCCTTCCCTTTACCCCTGATCGATCCTCTACCTTGTGCTGGGGATCTTCGACCCCGTCGCCGCGTGGGCGTGCGTGTGCTCTTAGCGCGACCGGCTACGTCCTCTTCCTTGGTGAGCCGCAGATTTAGCACATAGTTACGCGGCAAGCGTGTACCGTTAAGACGGATACGGATCTTCCGTGTCTGAAATGCCTGACGGAATTTCTCCTGCTCCGTGAGCTCGGGTGACTCTTCTTCCTCGTCAGATTGCGAGTTCCGGTTAGCTCGCTTGCTGTTCTCCCGCGGTGAGAGAATAGTGTACGTCCCCGTATCCCAGATGAGAAGGGAGCCAGTTGATATTGAGGCTGTCTCTATAAGATGATTCTACGAAGGACGCTGGGTTAGTAGAAGAAATAAAAATAAAAATCCGAGTTAGGTTCAGGTGAACTTGCCCATAGACAGTGGATTCTTGTCTCGGTGGCGTTCCTATTTAAACGTTGGCTATTTGGATCACCTGGGAGCCCATACATGATAGCCCAGGACGCGCTACTTGTCTCGTTGATCTGTAACCGGAGATCGTAATGCGTGCCCGCAATAGGATGATCATGCTGATGCACAATGAAATGCGCGCCTCGCGGATTACCCGAGTTTTGCTCATAAAGCTTCCGGTAGGCTCCGATAGACAGTCCTGGTATATCCGATGGGAAAGGCGACAGTATAGCTTTCGTTAAAAGCCCGCTGAAGTAACCGAGATAGTCCTCGATCTTGGCCTTGCCCGCCTCTACAGCCGAAGCCCTTGGTTCCTCTTCCTCCGCCCCGGATCCGTGATTACCTATGTCGTCGGAGCTACCATCTTCATCGCTATCGCTATCGCGGGCTGGGCGGAAAAGATCGAAAGTCCATTCTAGATTCTCTTTCTTGATGAATGGATTGCCGACTAATTGCGGGCTAAGACCCCGCTTTGGTGGCATGTTGGTAAAATGTTCAATGGACAGGTAGGTTTAAGAATAGCAGGCTATGCTAATTTGACGGTATTCCCATAAAATATTACTGTCAAAACATAATCACTCAACATATGTTTTTCCTACTTGTTTAATAAAGCAACGATAAATGACCACATCACAGAGACGTCGCAATAGGTGGCTAAATGGCTTAATTACCAGGCCACAGTATTGACTCTGTTTCTTTCCTCGTCTCTTCGAAGTCTTATGGGGATGATGAGTTTAGAATGATGCTGGTTACTGAGATTGACAATGGCCTAACCTGGTGAACTTAGGACGAATCTCTCGCTTGACCCCTTACCAAATACATGTTTCGCTGTCTTGGTTCCTTAGATATTTAATACGACTGATATTATCTCAATATCAGCGGTGGCCAGTAATGGGTAAGATATTTAAGTGATAGTGGACATGGTGATGGATGGTAGGTGACAATTTATGAATCTGAACCGATCAGCAAAGACATTGTCCTAGAAATCCCAATTCGCTGACTAACGAGAGGAGTTTAGCAGTGCTAAAAATGCCTTATAAAGGTAAGTTACTAGTAGTATGACAAGTCAAAAATAAACGATACCTTATATGACTGACATCATCATCGTCATCATCGTCATCATCAAAAAGAATCATGACAGCGGTGGGACTCGAACCCACGCGGATTGCTCCACTGCGAAGTTTGGATTCAGGTAAACCTGAACGCAGCGCCATAACCACTCGGCCACACTGCCAGTTTTTAAAAAACTGTTTTGTAGAAACAGAACGTAAATTCTTCGCTGCTGCAGCGTGATATATTCTAGTTGCGTTCTTTGCCCTAAAATGGGCGGGTGGGGTAATGTAAATTCTGCCATTTACGCAGTCTTATTGGCTGGTTCTAGCCTGTGTACTAATCTATCGAGCTAAGTAAATTTTCGAATTTTCGAATTTTCTACACTAGATCTTAGAGCTACGAAAACTTCTATTTTAGAGATTTCACTTCTTCATCCATCGAAGGGCATTAGGTCTATACATTACACTATAACTATATACGATGATAACCCAGTATAAACTAACTTTCATCAAGCATTGCGGCTCTACGCAGATAATACATAAATCACGTACGACGTTCCTCTCTGGTCTCGAACTCGATAGCCGAAATTAAGTGGCGCGATTGGCGCCGGCGGCCTAGAGGCCCTACTGCTGATCTTGAAGCTTAGCTGAACTTCTGAAGAACTATAAACGACTACGTTACTAGCGGCCCCAGCTAAGCTCCTATTTCCGCATTCGACTAATTTTAAGATCGCTAACTTAGGAGAATAAGGAGCTATTCTAGAGGCTAACGCTACACTTTTGCTATATTATTCGTCCGGTTTGGGGAATACTAGTTGATCGCGTTATACCCCTGGCTAATAGTATTGACTAATTTTCGGGTCATATCCGTTAGGACGAGTCGAGTGTTTCCATAGGGCCTAGATTCTTCGTTGCTACAAATATGTGTCGTATTCAACACATCTTTAGGAGACAGGCCCCATGCTTTCTTCATCAGATACAACATTTCAGTATAAGGTAGTAACTACAATCTGATATATAACTTGATAGATTGTATAGTTACTCGTAATAAAAGACAGGGAGAGAAATAATAGTTATAGAAATAAATGACACTCCTCCGAGAATAACTAGTTTAGAGACATGCTGTATCAAATTGAATACAACTCTGAGCTTAGATAAATTGAATTTTTCATCTTCAAAATCTTAAGTTGTTCAAAAGTATAATATAATTTGGTAGTTATAAGCAAAACTAACTATCAGTTCGCCCCTTTGTCAATTTAATATGCCTCAGAAGTGAAAATTGCCCGCAGAGCAATGCTCATATGCCAAATTCCCAGGTGGATATCTATCCCAAAACCTGGATATAATATGTACAAGAATATTATAGAAGCCAACAACAGGCTCTGCATTTCCACTGATATCCTCAAACTTTATGAACTTGTTTTTACCCATCTGAATACCGGTCGTGTCAAACTTCCCTGTCTCCAGACTCCCTAAACGCCACGCCGAAGTCCCAAGCTTATGCGGTGGCTTTTATTGATCTCCTAGTAGAATGCAGCACTGAATCGTTCGTTGGAGGAGCAAATGACAGGATTGCCGTGGTAGTCGTCGATGTACGCCTTCTCGTAGCCGAGCTTGCTAGCGAGGTAGTCCCTCACGGGGTCGACGACTGCAGAAAGCAGGCCCTCAGTGGCTTCGATAACTTTCGATCCGTCACTATCGATCTCGAAGATGCCTTCAGGTGCATCCGCTAATACACTCAAGTCATCGAAGCCGGTAGCCACACCTGTCCCATCTTCGGCGACAAGAGTCACAGGACCATCGCAACCTCGTATTAGTGATATATCACCGTAGCCCTTGCCAGTACCGTCTAGTCCGATCTCGAGCCAGGTACCTAGCAAGTGTGGCTGTCCGTCTAAGTTGGAATCATTGCCACGCACGATGCGGCCTTGGAACAGTTGCGGTAACGCTACAAATTTGGTCTCCCCGGCGTTAACAGTCACATATTTGAGCGGTATGCTGTCGCAGCTGTTCTCGTACACGAAGAAGCTGCGAGTTCCGTTACCGCTGTTGCTTAGTTTAATCCCGGCACCCCCTTGGTCGCCGTCGTTGGTGGCGTCGAACGCCTGCGTCGCGCAGGATCCCCGGGCGGACAAGCCGCCTGAAATATGGCTACTACGTATGATGCCGGATGGCAAGGCTACCGCAGTGGATAGAAGAAGGTTGGTGAGTGTAAAGAGTGACCTCAACATACTTCTAACTGGATAGAATATTTAAAAATGTAAATGAATGTGGTGTTTTAAGTATGCTTAAAGAAAAAGACTGGTTCAAGTGTATAGACTTAAGTGAAGGAGTGGACTAGTAAGAACTGGATAGAGAAATTGTCTATTGACGAGGAGGCGACAACCCCCCTTAAGTATACTCACATCAGGTCCCCTAGATCCCCCAGATCCCTTTGACTCGACGCCATCATCCAACACAATAGGATTCTTACAGAACCAGGTGTTCCACTGCGGAGTTATCCGTAGTAGGCGCTAGAAACTAATAATTATGAACTCGCTATTAGAGGCGAAGCCACGTAAGCCGATTGGTGGTGAAATGGGTCCCATAAAGAAAAATCGAACCGGAAACGACGCGTAATGAGTCCCCATATTGGCCTCGTCAATGCCGTGGAAGCGTCCGGCCCTGAAAACGTGCCTTTAGAAAGAGAAATAACACCACTCTAGTCTTTCTGGTACCCGATTTATTAAGAAAGCTTGTTTATCTCGCTTTTATCTGGAGGGGAGTGTGATATTAGGGTTCAGGGATCTAGGGTGGAATCGAAAAAAAAAGGGGCCGCCGTCTTACAACCGTAGCTTAGAATGCACGAGATCGCATTCCGCCCGTAGTACCGCTCCATTATTGGTTTATCGCCCCGATTCTTCTGCCAATATCGCTTCAAAGGAGCGTTGTCAGCAAAGCGGTACTGGCTTACTAAAGAGCCACGAGCTTTGTTGATAGGAACAGGTTAGTATCTGAAACGATTATGGCTTGCATGGCCCAATGGCCGCTGTCAAAGGGTTTTCGCGGATCTTCAGGGACCTTGCATGTTGTCAAAATCTAAAGAAGTATATTATTGGACTAAACATCCGACTAGTTGGACTCGAAGCACATGGTTGATCGCTCCATTGTTCTTTGGACGAGTTTATAAGTGGTCTGTGCGCTGTCATCAAGATGAAATCGGAAACAAATCTATCTGGAATTTGAGGTTACTTTGTGGTTACAAAAATCTCGACTGAAGAAACAACTTAGCTATGGAGAATATTTCCAACTAATTACATGTTTCGATCCTGTTTGCTACAGTTTTATCTAGCTCGTTTGCCACCTATTCCCATACTGTGAACATACATGAGATATTTGGCTTGTGTCCTTCCCACTATGCCCATTGTTACCAATAGAACAAAAGAATCGATAACTAAAGATCAGACATTGCATGATAGGCTTGCATGCATTGGGGGTTCCCGTTAAAGGATCCCAATAGGCTTTGTTTCGCTAATCTATACTCTCGGGCTTAGCCGTCCTTTTACGCCACGGAGAACCAATTGCCTAGTCCCACGTCCATCCTGCTTAGTCTCATCTAACATAGACTTTGGAAGTATGTCGTTGTCGATAGTTTTAGGCTTGTGGGAGAAGAACTAGGAGTGGTTAGTGCAACCACAGAGAAGGGGAAGAAGCCGAAGACGGAGCGTAGGTAGAACAAGAGGAAATATAAATATTTATTTGTTGTAAAGTGCCCTAGTAGTAAACCCAAAATACCTACCTAGGTGTGTAGTCATCTCGCGTGACGATATTACCCATACGTATTCTAATAGTGTTCCACCTAACAACATTAATTAGCTCGTTACCCTCGGGGTCTCGACGCAGAATAACCGCATACGGACCGGGATCGCAGCTTACGAAAATATCGCCTTCTCCCCCACGCTCGTAGTGCAAATACACGCTACTCCATGCCGCATACTGGTGATCGTAAAAGATCCCCCTAAAGAGCTCATGTTTTCGCAGGATAATGTCGTGACTCTCGTCGTCCTCTTTAATCGATCTTGTTTCCTGCCGAATATGAGCCATCTCATCCTCGACAAAACCTTCCAGCACATATTCAACTCTAGTCCTATAATACAGATAGATGGTTCAAGGCTGTAGCTTAGATACATAGCCGAAGTATTCCAATGTCTTGAGTCTCTTTGGTAAGTGCCCTCAAGACATCACCGCTGACTTCTTCATAAGTATTGTTCTAATTGATGAGAACTGATATCGTGGAGTCTCTAAACGGCAAAATAATGCCGAGAATACATAACCGTATAGTACCGTGGCCTTGAACCATCTCCACCCCCCTTTTTTTCTTTTCTTAACAGGTTGACCAATCTATCGTTCATGGATCTTGGTGATAGGTAGCCCTTTGGATTAGATCATCTCTGGCCAAGATAACTGCGAGACCAGTTCAACGACTTAATGGCTCTGTTAATATGATTGATTCTATGAATGGAGTCTTCTGGTGACAGACTCGGTTCTGAGCTGGGCTATCCTGCAACTTCTAAGGCTATTGATCGACTGCTATTAGCTAGACTGTCTGTGTGATACTGCGACTAGGGCGTAAAGAGATGGATCCCTGTTATAAAGGTTCCGAGCTAGGCGGACGGATGCCTTAAGTTCGTTTATTGTTAGGCTTGGCGCTATTACTACATGGTATATCTCGCTGAAGCTGATATCAATACTGTCATATGTTGATCGGTGAGTCGTATAATCATCGATATGGTGTAGCCCACTTACTTCATGCCATATGGTGACGTTAATTTTTAATAGGGGTTGGCAAATACACGATTTTGCTTTCCTAATAATCCTTGAAGACTCCTGCCTCAGTGTTGTTGTTCCTAAAGGTTTATATTTGGAGAGTAATCGCCGAATGCATACCGGAGAATGATTACTTTCTTATAATGACTCTAAGCTAACCATGGGAGCCTATGGCTATACGTGCTGGAGGTATCCTTTATTTTACATGCCTAATCCAGCATCCTAACACTATGTCAGGCTGTCAACGAAGGGCGCGGTTTATATCACTCGTTAAACTCGTTTGCCTAACTTGAGTATTGAGCCCTATTCACGTCCTCTTCATGTCTGGGCTCGTCGTAGTCGGGTGTGCGATCACCCGGAGGTAGTCGGCTAGTTTGCGAGGGCTGCGAAAAGTCCCCCCTTGATAGTCTTGGATTGTGGGCATCGTAGTGAGTGCGCTGCTGTGTATAAGTTCCACGTCCTCTTGCCTGGAGTTGCTGTTGCTCATAATCATACCCGGGGCCATAATCGTCCCAATTCTGTCCCTGAGGAGGTCGTGGTGCCACCATTCGCCGCTGCTGTTGCAGATCCAGGTTGTTATATTGCTGAGATATGGAAACATCATCGTAATACTCAGTTGGCCTCATTGGGCGGGGTTGTGCGGGTAGAGGAGAACTCCTGTACCCCTGCTCGCCGCTCTGCATACTTCCTTGTCCACCTTGATATGGCGGAGTGTGACCACTGGGAAAAGCCACCTGTTGCTGCTCATAACTGCTGGCACCGTGTCTACCGTGTGACTTGTACTTGAACCGCGATTTTCTGTCCGATTTAAGGATGCCTGCCTCCCTCGGCCCAACGTTACCCATGAGCTCTCCCTTCTCATTAACCCACATGGCTCGGAGGCCTGCCTCCTTTGCCCGTCGCGCGGCGTGAGTCCCATAAATATCCTTGAGATGCTTTGAAAATGCCAGGTAAGCGTCGGAAACCGTTTTGAAATGCGATACGTTAAGGCGGACCTCTGCATGCGGGTTTAGGACAACCATGTGGTTTTTGCCTTGGGCCTCGTATTCTGCCAAAGCCAAAGCCGTCTGGCATGCGTTACGGATTTGTCGCCCATTCCAGTGGTCTAAGGGGTTCTGATCCCAGTACTCTTGGGCAAACGCTCCGATTTCCATCTCATCAGGGATAAACTTGCGGGGTTTGCCTTTGAAGCGGTCTCGGATGAGTTGTAAGTTAAGTTTAAAGACTTCTAAAGTTTCTTTCCGGCCTAATTCGGGATAGTATAGGCTAATATGGATGCGGGACGCAAATGCTTCGTCAAAATCACCGACTCGGTTAGTAGTAAGAAATAGGATGCCAGCGTAATATTCAAGAACCCTCAGGAATACTAGGAATGGAATGATTAGTTGAATACAATAAGACGAATGTGGACGAATTAGAACAAACCAGCTACAAGTCCATTTCTCTGGAAATCCTCTTTTGTCCTCTGTGCAAGGAAAACATCTGCTTCATCGAGGAGCAGGATACAGCCCCAACGGCTAGCAAGTGCGAAGTTTTGTTCTAACGCGGATTCGACGTCCTTTGCTGTAGTTCCAAGATCCCCTATGCCCAACACCACATATCAGCCGCATTCTAGAATGGTGATTGGTGTGAAACTTACCACAGGTGAGCTGGAATAGGGGCTTTTTGAAATTTTCCGCCACTCCCTCTAGGCTACTATTAGTACCCGGTTTTATAGGGGACCTATCTCATGAAATTTTCAAACCAACGAACTTACCAGCTGTCGTCGTTTTCCCGACACCAGGTGCTCCATGGAGTAACAGGATCAGTCCCTTTCCTAAGCATGGAGGAGTTCCATTACTCAATTATGTTCGTATTTAGGAGATAGATTGGGGGACAGGACTCACCTTTACCACGAACTATATCTACTTGATCGTTACGACTCGATTCCTTGTCACGAAAATGCTGTGTGACCAGTGATAATATCATATCCTTGTGTCCGCCTGGCAAGACAAGTTGGTCAAACACTGTTTTAGGCTCTTTGGGGCCATCTCTTGGCTGCCCATCGCCCTCGTCTTTCGCTCTAGACGGTTGAACCCCACTAAGATAAGTGAGATCTAGCTGGGCTATAAATCCGGAACGTTAACTTTGAACAGGCAACGGTATATACTTAGGAGATAGGTAGTTACCAAGGAGACCTACCCCACTTTCGATTCCTCAACACAAAACCAAATACACGGTAAGACATGATTGCCAGGTCATCTTCGGTAAGCCTAGCTTCCGGCATCTTTGCGTCGAGCGGTCGAGGGATGATGGCCACCGAGGGCATGTCCTCGCGAGTTTCAGGGAGTAGATGACCCATAAACTCTTCGTTCCTTTTTGTCTCAACATACGAATCATCGTGTACGAACTGGTGGGTGCAGCAATCCGCGTCGCATTTACTACTCTTAATTTTTGGATCGTCACTGATCTCTGATCCAATTAACGTCTCAAGCTCAGGCCTCCAAGGCTCTATCCCAAAAGCAGCTTCAAAGTCCACCACGACCTGGCTCTCGATCTCGTCCCGGGTTTGCAGGGCGGGCCCAGCATAGTACATGGGCTGGATAGTCGCCAGGCGTACAGCAGCCACCTTGAGGAATGTTCTTCCTCGGTTAACAAGATATTTTTTCAACGCGTTGCCAGGTTCAGATGTAGCGTCGTCGGTGTTTTCTTTCCGGAATGGGTGAAATTGGAGAGGGTAAACCTCAAGGGATGTGACAGTCTTTTCACGCTCAAACCGCGGGATTCGGAAAACCTTGGAGACGGGACCTAGCTGCTTGCCATCGAAATCAATATAGACACATTTGATAGTGATCAATGTTTCTTCTTCCTCGTCCTCTTTCTTTCCTGAGCTTGGGTTATCTCAACCCTTTCATGTAACGCATATGATGGAACGAAGCGGCGGTAATGGCTAAAGTTAAATTCGATAACTGGTTCTCCGATTAGAACTTCTATTACAGCAAGAAGATCCTCTCTTGCGCCCAGGGGAGTCTTGAACTGATTCCAGGGAACACGGATTAACTCCGATCGTACATCCCGTTCGAGCCCCTCCTCCATCCTCGCCATTGTTTCCGGGGATACGTTATCCGTCGGTTCTTTTGCCTCATCTTGTTGTTCATTTTCTTTGTGACCTTGACTGACCCCCTTTCTTGCTGCTTTTAACTCCCTTTGATCACGTTTTCTCTCGTATTCATACGTAATTTGATTTAGTTCAGCCTGGTAAGCGCGATACCGAAGATCTCGTTGAGCGACAGTTTTATCGACTGCCTTCGATCCAGATACAGAATCCGCGTCAGATTCGTCACTGTCATGGTCTGAATCGACACCTGGTGTGAATTTCTTCTCCCACCTCTTTCGCGTTTTGAAAAGCTTAACGTTGTACGCGAAATCCTCGTCACGTTCTCGACTCCAAATACTCTCTGTTTGTAAAGAGTTTGCTGCCATAAGCGCTGCTTTCCGTCGCTATTCTTCTTCCCTCCATACTTTTCTCTCTTCCTCCGGCCCCAATTCCTCTCTTACGCGTTCCCATTCCGCCTCGAGAGTATTCTTAACCAATGTTGGTCGAGCTTCTTTTTCCAACTCCAAAAGCCGCTGTTGAAGAATATTGATCTCTTTTAAGAGTCCCATATTCATGACTATGGAATCTCCGTGATGACCTTTGGAATTATCGTTACTGCCGGTGGGCGTCCGAAACTCGTCATTGGCGACTGTGACGTCCAAATTCGAGGGCTCGGAAGATATGCCATTTGTGGCTACTCGTTTTATGTCTGCCATAGTGAAGCGAGTTGAAATGAGCGAGTAGGATTTCGAGATGTAGAGAAAATGGAAAATAGGGACCATAAAAGGGGTGACAATTCAGAAGAGACAAGATAATATGCTTAGACCATTATTAAGTATGGTTAAAGTCGATATGGGCTGCATACAGCTGAAGCCTACTCCATAGAAATAGTGTAACCACACACTACCGAGCTGGCCATTCAACTGCTAGATGTTCACTTCGTATTACAAGGCACCCAATCACAGGCAGCCGACCCCTCTTGTAGATTCAAGGTTGGACATGGCTGACGCGAAGAGCGGCTCAACTCTGTAATACTAAGCATTGCATAAGGTGATCTCTTTTCCGCCCCTCCCTAGGAGAGACTATGTTTTGGTTTGAAGGATACGATGGAGAAATTACCTACCGTCTAGTTTTTGCTTTAAACTATCTATTGAAATGGCCGAATACAAAAGTGAATCTTCACAGAACGAAGGTCGTATTCTGGCAGTCGGCTTCATGAAGAATGAACTTCCAAAGTATCATCCATACTATGAAGATCCACCAGTTCGTTATGATAAGCAGGATGCGCACTACGTCAATGTTCAACACACAGAAGTGCCAGAGATGACGTCGCCTACGCCAGGTCCAGAGGCTAGCACGAAACCAGAAGAAAACGCCTGTAAGGCAATGACATACTGGAACATGATATTTCCTTCGGCTAAGAAATAATTCAAAAGTATGCCAGAGGTAAAGGCGCCTAAGAGCCGCAAGCCAGAATACGATATACGTACCGACAAGAACTGGACAGAAGTATATAATAAACTTGAAAATGCTCGAGAGCATTACACCAATCAAACAGGAATCAGGGGAGGAATTCGCCGTGCTTGGAAATGGGCCGCAGACAATACTGAGCCGGTGCTCATCAGAACTGGGAAGAAGAGTTAGCGATAAAAGGACCTTTTATGCGACTCGACAAAGCTTCCTTATTGCCGACCTACTAGCTTTAAAACGAAAGACTCGGCCCCCCAAGATAGGCTAGTTATCCAATTATACCCGTCCAGTTCGTCATCGAGTCCCTTAGTTCTAAGCTAAGGCTTGGGGGTTAGGATGCAACCGACTCATTTAACCTTCTCATCACACTTATCATCTCTTATTCGTCAACTTCTATATCTAGCTTCATTTTATCGATACAGTTTAGTTATTTTTCCTCATAAGATAGCATCCTTTAATCCCATTCCTTGGATAAGACTTGAGCCATAACTTGCACCTCTACTCGGCATTGGGGACGACGAGAGGAATCGTATTTACACCAAGTCCAATGGTGTTCTCACAACTCGGCTTATTTATCTATCAAAGTGCTCTCGGCGTTTCTCAACGGACAAAATTTCAATATTCATTCATACATGAAAAATGATGCTAGCTAAATGTAGTTGACGTTTCATCGTGATTCATTTTCATTCTACACATGAAACTCATTTTCCCAAACCCAGCCTCAAAAAGCACATAACCAGTAAAATTCACACAATCGCGCCGCCGCCGTCATTCGCATGACTTAATCCACCGTAATATCCGAACCTTATTCAATTGTACCATAACTTCTCCTACTCCTCGCTGAGAGCCTCCTCGAAGGACCGTGCCACAGTTTCGGCCTACGAACGGGGAAAATGCGAACCTCTGGTAAGAGCCTTCTCCTAGTTTCCGAGAGGAGTGGCTGGCCTTCTTCGACGTCTCCAGATCTTGGAAATCTGCTACGTCCTTTGCCTTTCGCTAAGGGACCAGGTCGTGCGACGCAGCCGTAAAGAAGGTAGACGAGTAGGATTAAACCAAGGGCTCCCATGCCCATATACGACATCGGAATGCCACCGAGGCCATACAGAGTGTCGAAGATGGCAGCTGTAGACAATACAGCTGCGATGACAGCGATGATCCGGTAGGCATACTGCATTTGCCCCTCTCGTGTAACTCTCTCTTCTACAATCATTCCGGCGAGAAAGAAAGCGAAGAGCAGCAAGGGCTGATAAACGACGTACCAGAAGATGGTTCGCCAGAGTACCTCGGAAGTCGACGGATATTCAGGAACCCTTGGTAAGACTAATAAGAGGACAAGGTATAGCAGGTTTGAGAAGCCCACAAGCGGCAGTGCGATAACAAACCGGGGCGACAGCAGCACCTTGTATCTGCCTACATCATACGCTCTCTTAGCCTGGTCGGTTCCGCCGTTTTGCAAATTGCCAGTTTGTTCACGCCGTTCTTGGGTTGCTTTCGCCATATTCGGCTGCTCCTGTCCATCCAACTCGCTGATTCCTTCGTCATGGGGTGATCTAGACCCGTCGCTATGCCGTTCAATATCGTTGTCTGGAAGTTCCCCAGGCTGTGGTCTTTTGGTGAAGCTCGGCAGCCATCTCATGTCTCGGAAAGTAGAACGCCTAGAAAACGGATTGCTCAATTTCAGTCTCCTGAGAGTACCTAACAAGCAGCTTGCTAGCGGTCCTAGAGGCGCTATAAAGAAAGCAAGCGCGGCGATCTGACCGAAATCCCAATGGTGAACATAGGCTTCGAAGCTCCCGCCTAGACGCAATATGTCGACAAAACGAATAGTAACCCACGTGAACATGGCCGCGGTGAAAAGGATTTCGGTCAAGACGGAATTCAGGAAGTCGGCATAGATCCGCAGAACCAGCCAGAACGCCAAGACGGGTCGGACTATGAGCAACATGTGGCGCTGCTCGCAGCGGATGCAGGTTATGATGCTGTCTCCATCCCCGAAAAACGACTGCTGCATTTCACCGCGGTAGTGATCGCGCCACTTGAATATAACACTGCTGGGCCTCTCGTAGAGCTTCAGTAATCCGATAATAACAATACCGAGAACGACAACGATGCCTATGAGTGTAACAGCGGATCGAAACTGCGGCGTGTCGGCTTTGGCACCAAATCCGGGAATATAACAAAGTACGTTCGTTGCTAGGAGTATCCGGCGCTGCATCTCTTCGTTATGCTCATTGACAAGCCTCTCCTTCAGCTGGTAAATCGGCACCATTGAAAAGCTAAGCATCGCAATAAGGCAGATAAGGAGAATCATCCGTAGCCATCGCTCGCCCGGGTCCCTCTTGAGAAAATAGGCGCGCAAATATGAAGTAGTTGCCAGATTCGCTACGACCGAATACCAACTGTTTGGTTCATGTGGTTAGAGGCATGTGTTCTTGAAGAGCCATGAACTTATCGTTGCCGATGTTACTTACACTAATCCCACAATGAGCCACCATTGATACATTGACAAGCCATGCTCCGCTAGGGATAAGTAGCCGTATACGAGTACTGCAAATCCAATCGCAAGCTGGACATCGCCGACGGCCTTGACATACTACGCAGCCATATTAGCAGCTGGATACATTGAGGTCCCAGGTTGTCAACTTTACTTGATCAAAAGCCGCTGGCCATCTTCGTTCTTCTTGCTGGGGTGTTTCTAATCGATCGAATTTGATACCTAAATACTTCAGAGGCTTCCGGAGCCCGCCTAACAGCACGACATCGATCGGGTTCGCAGCATATGACTGCTGTACGTCCTCGGTCTTGCGGAGATAGAAAAATAGGTACTGGATCACTAAACATACGACCGCGATACATGCGGACCCGGCACAAGCGATCAGGGTCTGGTTCAATAGTGAGCATTCCCCCGTTACATGTGAATAGGTGGGTTGAGTAAACAAATCCAACATACCCCCAAGCCAACGACATCGGGATCCTGCCCGGCCGGAAGCCGGGCTTCATCGCACCATTCCCGCATAGAGTAGGGAAATTCACTGGCCGAAACGACGACATGGGAGAGAACAAGAGAAAAAGGGAAAAGAGAAAGTCGGTCTGTTAAAAGAAGAATGCGTCAAAAAATTAGATGGTCTTGATTTCCTTCACAAAAAGGTCCGCCACTAATCCGTAGACTCTGACCGCCTTGGGCAGGGGTGCCAAGCTTTGAATAATTATGGTATCTAGTGATAAAGCCGCGATCCGATACGCTGGGGTCGACTGGGGTCGAGTAGCATCCGCGAGGCGATCCATTGGTTATTGGCGGGCGAGTTGCAACGTCACAAACCACCGGTCCTCTCCTTGCCGTCCTCGCAGTCCTTGCAGTCCTTGCGGCCCAACAGTCCCCCATGCGCGTACCTTCTCGAGCTGCCACTTCACTAAATCAAAAGACCGACATAGTGGTCGACGTGGACCTCTTGAATCCCCAAACCATCGGATCGAAGGATCGTATCCCACAGTGGAATGCTCCATTAAACTATCACCTGGTAGAGCATTGTTTTTGCCGCCCCCTGTCAAACTCTCCGTCGGTATCGTCGGATATATGATGATAACATCGGGTATCTGTGTAATCCATGTTGCCTTTCCGTAACGCATTAAAAAGAGAAAAAGAAAAAGAAAAATTCGACCCGCGTTTTAGTGAAATGCCCCACTAAGTGCATAAACCCCTGGCTAGCAGAACTCGTTGAGATCATAAATATTATGCTATCCACAATGCTTTATACTTTTATACCAAATCCTCTGCTACTTTTAAGATCCTCTATTCCGTACACAATTGATGTATCCACAACACCGCTTTTCCCATACCACAGTGTCTTTCGTAACAGCCAAAAATAGCAATTTCTATCCTATCCAAAGAGCCGAGGTAGTATATACATACGTGACGTGTCAAGCAATCCAGAGAGCGCTACGGGAAACCTATAGCGCAAATTTCGCGCTCGTGGCGAAGTTCGGGGAGGCTCAGGAAAGGTGAACGACCCACGAACGTCGTCAAATCATACCAAGACATGACAGCAACGGACCCATAGCGGGACGACGTAAGGAATTTCCCGATAAAACCTAGGTAACCTAGTCCTAATTGGAAATTCGCGGGGGCTGGATTGATAATACATTTGAGAACAATCCAGCGACTGGAATTTCCAATTTGAATGAGTTAACTATACCCTTTATATCAATATAGGTTCGCAATCTGCAGCAAGAGTTGCGATGGATACTTGGATAAGAACTACTGTAGTGTACGACTCCAGAACGAGGCTACGAGCACATTAACTTCAATAATAACCTAATAGCCCCGTTTGTATTATGTGCATTGCAGCAACGCTTTATTTTGGTAGAACTCCTCAGCGAACTGCAAGTCATACTATTATAGCAGGGTACCTAGGTCCTATACATTGAGCTATAAAAGAAGCTATGCAAGAAAATGGGGTTTCTCTATCCCCTCATTAAATTACCGTATAAAGCATGATGAAGGTAGCGAAAATTGTAGTTGAAGTAGTATTCAGTTGCCGAAAGTCTTTATTAACAAACGCCGGTAAGGTTATCATTAATCGTTAATCTTCAACAGTTATATACATTGTTTCTTTCCCAACTGACGTGCTCGAACTAGCATCATTAAGAGTACCTAGGTAAATACTACTTCTCTGAGAGACACATAGTTATACCATAGGATAGCGTCAGAGGATGATATACAAGTCTCAATGCTTGCCTACCCATTGCCATGTCCGTCTTGAAATCTTCACTCTTCTCCTCATTGGCTGATATCGAATATTGTCTTCCTCCGGAGTCCGCTGATAACTTTGATATTTTTCGGGATCTAGATCTACGACCCCGAGTGAAACGAGTAGATCCAATATCCACACCGAAGAAAGAAGCTCATCTCCATGTGGTATGAATCCCGTATCAGGAATTCCTTTCAGCGAGACACCAGCATCAACTAGGAGGGCTATAATGTCGGGATTCCTAATTTTCATGGCGTATAACAACGCACTTACTCCCACTGTGTATTGTCCATACCTATCTGCCCTGGTTACTTGGCTTGGATCTTTTGCCAAGAGCCATTTAACTAGGCGAGCTTGCCCTCTATTAGTAGCAACTTCGAGGACCCTTTCATCGTTAGCTCCATGCTCAAGTAATATCTCCATGACTTCTTGATGCCCACCAGAGGCGGCGCTTTTGATAGGGTTTGCAGTCAACATCACGGGTGGCCTTATGGAGGCCCCTCGGTCCAGTAAAAACCGGACCATACGAATATCACCCCTTGATGCGGCGATATCCAGAGCGGAGACATATGTTTCTTCTTGTCGTGGCTTTGCATCAATGTCCAGACCAGAATCAAGTACCATCTGCACCACTTCTTCTCGTCCATGGAAAGTTGCTTCCCCAAATATTTCATCTCTCAATCTTGTGAGGTGGCGTAGGGGTTTACCCGTCAAGGTGATAAGTAGTTGGCAGATGTTGGGATGGCCACCGCGCGCCGCAGCCATAATCGCTCGAAAATATTCCTCTTTAGAAGTCGAAAGCCGATGTTCCGGCTTTAGAAGTAGGTTCACAATATCTTCATGCCCTCCTAAGGCAGCAGCTCGAAGGGCGCTTCCCCGAGGTTTTCGATAGTATCGCTGCTTGTCGTCAATAAAGCCTTTTCCATTGGGCCTCCAGTCTGGACCACCATCATCCTCGCTATCATAACTACTTGCTCGTGGATCAGCACCGCGGTGGATTAAGTAACGGACGATGTGTAGGTGACCCCAAACAGCCGCAAGCTGCAGTGGTCGACCAAAGTAGGGAGTTTCAAAATTAACTCGGGCCAATGTATTCGGTGCTTCGAGTAGCGACTCAACTAAAGGTAGATTTCCGAGAACAATAGCACCACTCAGGATGTTTTGCGCTTCTATGTGGGTATTGATATTAATGGTACTCTGCCAGTGTTCGATGCTGTGGGGATGCATAGTACAGATAGCCTCGGCGATGATCTGGTGTTGTTTATCCCGACCTTCTTCGGTCTGCTGCGTTAAGAGGTCTATTGCCTTGTTGACACTGGTGATAGTGGTGACATAGCTGTCTTGTTTTCCCTTACCAGAACGGGACCGGTATAGGAAGATTTGGGCTTTAATTGAAGGGGTTATCCTCGAGGACACCCACGGGGTAGCCAAGTCATCAATATCAATAACTTGCTTATTGCATATAGCAAATAGTATCTCGGAGTTGAAAGCCTCTAAAATATGATTCGTTAGATATCGATAGATATTACAATACTCGCGAGTGGAAAATTCAACTCACTATTCACTAGACGGAGTCGAACAGCCTTATAAATGCCAACAGTCAAGACCAGGTACTCAATGACCGAGGCAAATACGATGGCAGGGAAATTATTAATGCCCATGCCCGGATCCATGCTTGCTTTCGAAGCCGACTGTTTGTAGTGATTGTATCGTAGGCGATTGAAGTTCGTTTCTTCAGTTGCGTTAGGCTTTAGAGTTTCTTTCAGGTAACAGAAACCTAAGGTATGCCTGATTTTATGTGTTGGAGTCGGTGGTCGCGCAACAGATGACTCCACGTGAAAAGAATGATCCAAGCGACTCAATTCATTTGCGACGATAAACTCTCTAGTGTATCGACATAACACTTCGAGGGTGGTAGAGGCGTTGTAGGATAGCTTAGTGGACCTTTCAAAAGCTGTTCAATTTCAATGACAAATATTTCCTGCGATGATATTACGGTTGCTACGCGATACCAGCTGCGCGATACCTCTACCGTTGGCATGGCACCAGGCCATCACCACAAATGCGATAATCGGTATCTAGACTCGTCCTAAATTAAATCTAGTCAACATAATTTCCGCCGTACATAGCAAATAGTCAGCCATTCAACCAATATCAAACACTCTTCCTCACCTCCATCCAAGCTAGGGACAGAGCCATGATGAAAAGAATCCATAGTGGTTCAAGTTCCAAAAATTCCCTGCCCGGCACGAAGCCAAACAGGAGTGGTCATGTTATAGTTTTCAACTAGCAAAAACACGCACTCGGATTGCTCCTCACTGTGACGCGTAAAGCCCGTGCACTAAGATGAGGAAAGAAAAGAAGGAAATTTTCAAATTGGGAGGGGAGTGGGTTTGAATTTATATTATTCTAAGGTGGGGCTGTTGCCTAAGGTGAGGCTAGTGAGGCTAGTGAGTCACACGTAACTGCCACAGTTAGCCCCACAATTTTAAGCCTCATTCCAAACCCCAATCAAGACTCGGACAATTAAACATCTAGACCTGATTTTACAGGTGCTTGGCAAGAAGTACTCGATGAAAACCGAGGGCCCCCCGTGAGGCTGACCACAAGAGCCCGACTTTTAGCAAGGCTTATGTCATCCCCTTATGTCATTCTTCCGAAATTTAGCCGCTCATTCCCCTAAGGTCACGTGCCGCCACGCCGGGCCGCGCGAGGGGGGGTGCGAGGCCCTCGCGAAGCGAGGGCCGAACGCCCCCCCCCGCGCGGCCCGGCGTGGCGGTACAATGCTTTAGCTACTTTAGGCTATCTTCTCTCGTAGTATTTCCTTATTCGTGTAAAAAGAAAAGAATATAAAAAAAAACGTGTAAGATTTAAACCCGGCTTTTTATAAAAGTTATGTAAAGTTATTTTAAAAAAGTTTAATTTTACATTTAAAAACATATAATTTATATATAATTTTATATTAATATATAACCATTTAATGTAATTAATTAAATTTTTAATTTAAATTTAATGTATAAACCATTTTTTTTTAATTTTTTTATTTTTTTTATTAATACATTTATTTTAAATGATTTTAAATTTAAAATTTTTAAAACGAGTTACGCCCGTTTACGTTATGTAACGCGTGGTCCGTGTGTTTATATTTATAAATCATAAATAAAACATTTAAAAATTTTTAATTTAAAATTATATAATAATGTAAAAGTTTTTAACGTTTTTATTAATAATAAAAAAATTAAACATTACATTTATAATAATTTAATATATTATAATAACGTACGAAATAACTTTAATTTTAATGATTTAAAATTAATAATATATTTAATTTATTTTTTTAATTTTTTTACATATTTATACGGTATTACGTTTTTATATTAAACTTTAACATTTAAAATTTTTTAACGTTTTAATTATTTAATATTAAACTTTATATAAAATATTTAAATATAATAATTTAATATTTTATAATTACGTATAAAATTTTTTTTTTTTTTAATAATTTAAAGTTAATAATATTATTTTTTAAATTTATTAATTTTTTTTATATATTTATATTAAACATTAACGTTTATTACGGTTATTGTTACGCGTTACGGTTACCGTTACGGCTATTGTTACGGTTACCGTTATAACCGTTATTATAACCATTTTTAACATTTTAAAAAACTTAAAACGCGTAAATTTAATCGATAAATTTAATAATAAAATTAATAATTATTATATAATTAATTATTATTTATTATAAACGCACGTTAATATTATTATTTTAATAATATTATTAATGTTATTATTAATATTATTATTAATGTTATTATTTTAAAACGTTAAACGTATAATTTTAATATATAAAATTTTAAAATTATTTTAAATTATAAATTTAAAATTGTTTTAAAAAATTGTTTTAAAGTTTAATTAATTAAAAAAAAATGTAGTTAAAAAAAATATAACTTTATAAACGATTTTAAATTTATAATTTAAATTTATTAAAATAATAATATATAATTTTTTTTATTAAAAATACGTACCGTTAAAAATATTTACATTAAAATTAATTTAACATTAATTATATAATTAAAGTTTTAACTTTATATTTTAATTAATAAAAAACTTAAAATTTAAACGTTAATGTAATATATAAACGAATTGTTTAATTAAAAAACATAAAAACACTTTTGCGGTACGTTATAATAACCCGAATTTACGAAAGTCGTAAGTCGATCACGTGCCGTTATTGCCGGGGAAAAACGCTCGGCGCGTTTTGCGCGTTAAACGCTTTTCCCCGGTAATAACGGCAAATAACCTTAAACATTAAACTTTATTAAAATTTTTTTAAAAAATAAAAAATAAAAAATAAAAAAAAAAAAAACATGTGGGATTTAAATTTAAACTTTTGTAAAATTTAAATTATTTTAAATATGTAATGCGTGGTTACGTAATTAATAACCGTGGTTATAATAAAAAAAAAAAATACGTATTTCGAAAAAAAAAAAAAATAAAGATTTGGAAAAACACGTGAAAATTTCACTTATTTTTAAAAATACATTTAATAAAAACGCTTTAAAGTTACGTACGGACAAACTTTTTATTTCGAAAAATGGTTAAATAAAAAAATCGTTTAATAATATTTTTTATAAATTTAAATATATTATTTTAATTAAATATAATAACTTTTTTAAAAGTTAAACATTAATCATTAATAATATTTAAGTCGTAAAAGCAAAAAAATTTAAAAAAGTCAAAAATCATAAATATTAATTATGGTAGTATATTTTTTTTTCCTTATAATTTTAACGCCTTTTGCTTTATTGCTCATTGCTTATTAAATGGTATCTTGTAACCCGCTTATCACCGTCCCAAATATTTATTTTAGATATTTCGTTAAACTTCACAACCCATGTTATCATTGCATAGAATTATTCGTTCGGATATACTTCAGACACCTTATTCGTTTAGATGCGCAGTGCTATTTTGGCGGCCGGTCTTGGGATTATCATCGTGGGCCTTGCCGCAAGAACTTTTACGAGCTAGAGAACGACCAAGTCAGCAAAGTCTTCGAAATCCATATACCCTCATATAGAGCTTCTATACATAAGGATAGGTACTTAGAGCATCCCTTCATGCAAGCGCTGCAGTTCGCATCGCCATCTGCGCATACGTCTACGCATTTATTTATGCATGTCGTGATGGGCTCGGTATCGTAGCGACGACATTCGGATCCGCTATGGTTCTTGTGGTGACTGGATGTACCTAATAGGCTGTCAACGGTGCCTACGATTGTGTCGGATATGATATAATGGCTGAAGATTCCTCTCCAGCCCGTTTGCGCCACGTGCTACCAACGTTACCTGTGTCTCACCCTGCCTTTTAGTTTCGTTTTATAAGTATTCTCGTTCTCAAGCACAACGAAATATCTGAGACATGTCTTATCGAAGCCAGTTAAATTCCTAGGTAACATAGGAGTCGCGGGGCCAGCCTCAGTAAAGCTATGGGAGGCTGATATTATGCCAAGAGAAGGCAAGGTGAGACCTCGAGCTCACTGTTCGTTCATGTCCATGTCTGTTAATACTTCAGAAGTTGATTTATGTTATTTCGGTCTCAGTCTTTGCTAGAATGACAAGGGACAATTATAATAAACTACTGTTAACTACCATCACCACCGCCCAGCCTGTAGAACTCTAGCTTACGACGTATTATAAAGCGAAATATCCATTTAAAACTATTTCTAAAAAAAGAATGGCATTAATTTGCGAGCGCATCCCTCCTGTATAATTCAATATGAAGTGACGTATGTAAGTCTGTGACGGGTCACAAACGGCACCTTGTTAGAAATAACTAATTCTATTTTACCCCATCCCAATTTAAACGCGTAAGCCTATGCGAATAAGCTAGGGTGCTCTTATCAACGATTCCTGCTCCGTATTATCCAATTAGTTACAATAGACTGTTATATTAAAGAGGCCTGTGGGATATGAATATAAATTTGCCATGGAAATACAAACTGGATTTAAGTCTTACGCTAATGCTTAATGTTAAAATTCAGGAGTCGTGTAGGCAATGGGGAACTGAGTGACCCGACCTATGCCCCGCTCCTAGGCAATATGTAGGCATGATGAGCTACATGTAGCCATTCTTGGACCAGACTAACCATATCAAGTATTTAAATTCAGCCCTACGTATGCAGTCATATGACTTAGGTAATCAAGGAGTTAAAACACTGGGACCCTAGAATCGAAACTCATTCTTCATTCTTTAAACAAAAGCACAACTTCACTTATACATATATTTAACTTCCTAGGATAACTATTATATATATATTCTATAACGGACGTGATATAGTCATATTAAACATTTATGAGTATTTCAATGAGTTGAGGCGTTGGAATAGCCTACAGTCTGTCTGTCTAAGAGTCTTGCATTCTAGATAACGGCACAGCAAAGAGGGGATGGATTCTCGCCCACCAGCGGGCACGGCTCAACGGCCGCAGTCAAAACCGCTTAGCTGTACAAACTGTCGTGCTAGGAAGCTGAAGTGCAGTCGAGAACACCCATGTAGTCACTGCGTGCGCTCCGGCGCCGAATGCATCTTCCCTACACGTAAGCGGATGCGCAAACCGCGGGCGAACAAAAACTCGGACTTACTCCAGCGTTTAAGTCGGCTAGAGTCCATCGTAGGCAAGGTTAGTGCTTCTGGCCTAGAAAGGGCCAATGTAGCCGAGCTAGTCTCGGACTCTACAGCCGGTCTAAGCACTGCTCCGCTGGCCCTCGAAGCCGCCACGAAGCCGACCGCGCCTGGCGAGTCCCAGGATAACTGGAAGAAGGCGCTTCACGATAGCAAGGCCTCGCGCTATCTCAGCGGCGAGTTCTGGTCAAGCCTCTGTCTCGAAGTCGAAGGGTTGAGGCAAGCTCTGGAGTCATCCACTGACTCGGATGATGAAGAACAACAAATGTTGCAGGGAGATACTCCCGAGTCGGTAGCAAACGATAATAGTAGCTCTAGCGCATCTGCTTTATCACCGGGCATGCTCCTCGGGAATTCACCGCGTATCTCGTACGATCATATCGAACATCCGTCCCCGCAGCATATATTATTTCTAACCTCGACGTTCTTCACAAACGTTGATATGATCCTGAAGATACTCCACCGGCCCACGATACGAGAGGACCTATGTTCGCTCGCTCACTCCCCTGAAACCGCACGGTCACAACTTACCCCGGAGAAAGAAGCCCTGTACTTCTCCATCTACCATGCGGCTGTGGCAAGCTTATCGCCCTCGACATGCCTCGCGCAGCTAGGTCGGCGGCGCGAGGAACTACTCCAGCTCTACTCTTCTACGCTCGAGTACCTTCTAGTGCGGGCTGACTATCTCAGTAGCACTAGTCTCGAAACCTTGCAAGCACTAACGTTATACGTGGCTTGCGTGCGATGCAGTACTAAAGGATCGCGCGCATCGTGGGCACTCGTCTCTTTACCCATACGTCTTGCGCAAGCGCTCGACCTACATCATGAGAGCAGCAATGCCCATCTCTCCCCATTCCAGGCGGAAATGCGGCGACGTCTTTGGTGGCAGCTGATAGTGCTCGACATTCGGGCATCTGAAGACCGCGGAACTAATACAATTGTGGCGCGTGACAGCTATGACACGCGGCTCCCGCTGAATATTAACGACGAAGACTTTGGGCCTGACTCCTCGGGCCCGCTAGTCGAGAGGCAGGGACCCAGTGATATGACATTCAACTTATGCACAGCGCGGTGCTCAGGACTCTTCCTGGCTGTAGAGCATGCGCAGGACGCCCCGGGCATCGAAGACAGTGGCCCGCCGTCGAAGGGTGTCGAGGAGACATTACGGCACGCGCGGAGTCTTGAAGCGCAATTCGTCGTAGGTGCAGACCCGAACCATGTGCCTTCATACCTAGCCTCTATCATGGTACGTCTCGTCATCCTCAAGCTATGGCTCATCATGCAATACCCGCTACACCCGCGGCGCCGCCTACAAGCGTCTTCAGCATCGCGACAAGGGGGAGCGGGAGCAGCCGGCAACGTGTTCCCGCATGAGGCGACGCTGCGCACGGCCATATCTATTGTTGAGCTTAACGAGCACCTTGCGACTGGGCCGTATGGTCAGCGGTTCAGCTGGTGGGCCGCCACGTACGTCCAATGGCACCCCCTAGCTGTCGCGCTTGCGGAGTTGTGCACGCAGACCCGTGGCGAGCTCGTCGACCGCGCCTGGCGGACCGTCGAGGACGTCTTACCTAAGTGGAGCGAGGTCATCGCCGACACTAAGGACGGTACCTTGTGGCGACCTATCCGCAAGCTGTATAAGAGGGCTAAGGCGGCTAGGTTGGCTACTACGACCACTGCCGATACTACGACACATACCACTACTACAAACACAACCGGCGTTACAGTGGCTACTGTAGATAGCCCAGATGTACAGATACAAGATACAGTATACGTGCAAACCAACAACGCGGAAAGCGGTATCCCGCCGATAGAAGGGGGTTATACTACGATAGTACAGCCGGAAAGCATATACGGGGCCGAAATACGCGATGCAAGGGAGCCCAGCGTCCCGGCAGACTTGGAAAAGCTCAGCTTGTCGCCGTACGCGTTGAACGAGTTGTGGGGGTGGAGGGATTTGAGTTTTGATATACCCATGTTGGACATTGGCGGACCGAATATTATGACGGATTGGAGTACTTGGGACGACTTTGTGACGGAAACACAGGCTGACCCTGATAAACAGTCCAAGTCAGGGTCGAGTGAGGTTAGCAATCAGTAAAATCTCCTGTCACATAGCACACTACAGCTAGAAAGCACTTGTACAACATGTAGAAACACGTAACGCAACTTATTTGCTCATTGGTCGTATGCATTTAGTGCTTTATCTACCGAGCACACACATGCTAATGAAAAAGTTTTCCGCAATTCCGTAATGAACACCGGCAAACCCGATTCCCTTAATCCCTCCGACAGCAACACGAAAAACCCCTCTATGCGAATGTGGAAGGTCGGGTGGCGCTGAACACCTTCTTGTTGTTGATCTTGGGTACACGGTGGGGGAGAGGGAAGGTGAGGTGCTTGGTGATGAGTTGCTTGATGTAGGGGCGCTTGACGTCCTCGCTCTTCTCAAGCTCGACGACGCGGAGGATCTAGAAAATTGTTAGTTAAGTCGTCATTCCAAAGTAGGAATCGAGAATAACGTACGTGAACCGACCGGAATCGGGCGCGGTGGCGGGCGGCCATGTCCTGGTAGAGAGCCTCGACGGCATCCGTTCGGGACATCTCTCGGTACTCCTTGTACATGTTGTGTGTACCAGATCGGGAGTCGTATCGGATCCAGATGCCGAAGTTCTTGACGCGGAGGGGGTTCTTCTCGGCGATCTAATTCAAATGTTAATCCCCATCGTTTTCCTAGTGCAAATTCTGCTTTCGTGGCGTACCTTGTTCAAGCTGACGATCTCACCGTTGGCCTTCTTGACCTTCTTCAACTTGGTCAGGAAGTACCAGAAGCGGGACTTGGCAACGACCTCATTGGGTGCGAAAATTCGCATGCGGTACAGCTTGGGGGTAGGGTTGGCCTCGCTGGGCAGATGGCGCCCAATGACCTGGTATTCCTGAAGACGACCTGATGTCCACACTGTTAGTATTTCATTTCTTCATAGTAAATAAAGTTATATTTGAATCAAGGCGAATTCCAATGCAGTTAGAAGTCGAGTTGCTGGTGCCGATTGCCGTGTCGTTGATGATGTCGAAATTGCGCGTGACGAAGTCTTGATACGTGAATTTGTGAATTAAAATTCCAATTCCCAATTTGCCCAGCCATATTTTCTTTTCGTTTACCCATTTTCTCTAGGATGATGTGCGCATGTAGCGCAATTCGAGATCAAGCGCGTCTCGTTGCGGTCTTTCTATTCGGATTATTGCTCGAGGTTTCAATCGATCGTACATATCGCAGTGCGTTTCTGGAGACCTGGTCTTGGTGCTGGCGAGGAGGAAGAAATAAAATTCGTAGCTTACCCATCTTGAATGATGTCAGTAATTAATCAATAAACGTGTTAGGCGTTCAACCTACTGTGATTTGGTGTGTATGTGGTCGTGATCGAGAAGTCGTGCGTAGTTGGAAAAAGTCCGGGTCTGGATGTTGGATGCTGAATTCGCTTACCAGGAAACTTTTGGTGAAATTTCTGTGCTAAGGGTTTGCCGCCCTAGTGACCTGTGGCTTATCCGAGGTGGGGTGTAGGTAAAGTGGCGGTGTGCTGTTACTTTATGTGGCTAGGTACCTAGTAGAAAGCTGCATTCAAGGAAAATTGGGGTCTCATAAGTGGGATTCCTTCCACGTTCAGCTTGGACCAATCAGAACAATGTAAACTCACAAGGACTACAAAGAATGCTTCTCAACTTTCAGGCGTCCAACATTCAACCAGGTGTTAGTGAGTAGGAGATGACAAGACTAAAGACATACTAATATACCATGTTCAATTAATTACCTTTATAATTGTTTAATTCTTCACTTTTGAAACCTTATAGTCTCCAATCCTCCTTGCACCTCGTTCCAGCTCGTGCACCTCTTCTTCTCAGCAGCCATGGATTCGCTCATTAAGGAATTTAGGACGGCATATGCCGAGATGAAAGGTGACCGGCTTGCCGAAACCATTCGGCCAGATACGCAGACGTACGCATCGAAGTTACAGTCTATTTGGGGTCGGGGAAACCAACGGGATGCTACAGCCGACCTCAATTTCTTATTCTACACGGACCCTTCGCGTCCCAGGCTGTCTCAAGAGGAGACAACAGGTTGGTTCGAGATTTATTTTTCCTACTGGAATGCGATCGGAGAAATACTCGCCGTTGAAGGTCTACGAAATGATACGAAGGTATGCCTGGGTTTTATTATTTTCTTCATTTAACTTGTCGCTGGCCTCTTCATCAAGCTGAAATCTCATCTTGGATAATGAGCTGACCCTAGTTCACTGCTAACGAGTAGAAGTCATCCAAGCCGTCATGGACGAAGGTATATGAAGCGTGGAAGAATTTAACATTACAAGTCATCCGTGGATATACGCATCATGAATTCGAGAACTGGACTATTCCATGCCTGTACGTTGCGGGGAGGTATTTGCGACTGTTTGCCATCCGAGCAGACGAGGAGAGAAAAACCAGCACCGAGTATAGTACCGAGGCCGTGATGCAAGATGACTTCGACCCGGAGTATGAAGAGCATAAGATGCTAGAGGACTGTACACGGCACCTTAATAGAATTTTTCAAACCTGCTTGAACGATAGGTACTTAAAATACCCACATTCTTTTATGGCTTATGACTAACTCATAATAAGAGCGCCACTGGAAGAATCCCGTAAATGGGGCATCTACTATGCCATCAATCTCCTATTCAAGAGTTACTTCAAACTTAACTCCGCCACGCTATCTAAAAATGTCCTGAAGGCGATCCAAGCAGGACGGGGAGATATGCCGACGCTCGACAAATTTCCCAAGTCGCAGCAGGTCACCTTCAAGTATTATGAAGGAGTTTTGGCATTCCTTGAGGAAAATTACGTGGAGGTACGGATACTCTGCCTTGACGTATTTAGTTACTCGCTAACAAGACTAAGGCCGAACAACATCTTACTACAGCCTGGCATATGTGCCATAAAGACTCCAAGAGGAATCTTGAGTACGTCTATAAATCTGAGCCATATATCTGCCTCGTATACTTACACTTCTCAGGTTAATATTAACTTATCTTATTCCGTGTCATCTCCTCACAACACACACGCTACCTAGTTCCGAATTGCTCGAGCCATTTCCACGACTACAGCAACTCTTCTTACCTTTGGGTGTGGCAATCAAAAAGGCGGACCTTCGCGCATTCGATGCTGCGCTACGGGACGGCGAAAATGAGTTTATTAAACGACGCATCTATCTCACCCTGGAACGTGGTCGCGACATCGCCTTGAGAAATCTTCTCCGCAAAGTTTTCATTTCGGGTGGCTTTGAGGAAGGGAAGGATGGTGCTGCACCTGTTCGTCGCACGAGGATACCGGTGGCTGAGTTTGCTGCGGCGATAAAGATCAGCGGCGGAGGAGACATCGATACTGATGAAGTAGAGTGTCTCCTAGCCAATATGATCTATAAGGTATGAGTTGTTTTTCTTTAAATTTTTATGAGTCTTAAAACAAGGCCTATTTGGTGTGTGGGACAAGCGACAAGCTGTTTGATATCTGCGTTGGGCGTGTCTAGTGTCCTACATCCTCGAGGAGTCTAGCGTTATACGATGTTGAGTTTCTCTAAGACCCTTTTTAACGCAAGCGCGTATTATCTTATTTGCGCGCTCTTAATGTCTTTCGAGTATGACTCACTAACGATGTAAACCTATCACAGAACTTAATGAAGGGATATATTGCCCACGAGCGCGGTTTTGTGGTGCTGAGCAAGAATGGCGCGTTTCCCGGGACAAAAGTTTGAGTCAACGAATCGAATGGGTGGGTAGAAAAGTGAGGAACACATCTGTCTTCCGATAGAATGAGGCGATGAGTAGGCGACGCTTTAAGTACGTGTCGTTAGCCTGGGCAACTAGGAGGATGTTGACCGAGGAGGGATATTGAGATGCCTTGCATAAAGGATGCGACCTACGGGTGCGGGGAAGAATGGTGCTACTGAATTCGGGTATGATTAGATCCCGCCCTGCAGCCTCCTCTTAATTCGTCTATAGAGCGAATAAGAGTATAAAGGACATACATAGGTGGGTATATCATCAATTTTGCTAAGCCTTCATGTTGTAATACATGTGTTGCGCTGTTGGACTTTATTACTTGACCACCTCACCTCTAAGTTGTTCCACCCGTTTCTAAGAGCAATATTGCAACATAGACTCATCATGAATATGAACGTATAATTAAGATGACCGAATAGAACACCGCCAATCCGAATCAATTAAACTCTATGGGATTGAAAGAGAAAGCACGTGGACTAATTATCACTTTATATTATTATTCTCAGTGGTATATACGTATGTACATCTCAAGATATCCCGGGGAAGAGACCCGCCGCACTCGTTCCAGCCATCCTTCTATGCGAGATTGCTGGCTTACATCCATGCTCAGCACGGGTGAATGCGGAGCGAATGACTCACACATCCCTCCCACAACCTCTTGGTCTTTGCTTCTTTAAAACGCGAATGGGGGCCATATGCAACCACTTTAACTTGTAAGACCGGGGTGTAGCATCTGTGTCTTGAGTATGTAACTACGACAAGAAACGGGGTGGGCATGGCTTGGGATACGTACATGCTGACGGACTGGGACGGGTACCTAATAAGTAAGCACGTAATGCAGAAGAAATTAACCATTGGCGAATCAAGAGAGATATAATGGTTGTTGGCTGCTCGGTATGCTCGCTTACTTCTCTTCTTGCTTATCACTGGGAGCTCCTCGGTCCAATTTGCATTCGGGCACCACTCGACGTCCTGTACGTTGAGTGAGCGGGGGAAACGTTACCAGGCTGTTATGTGAGGTTTCTTTTATTGCGATGAGTACTGTAAGCTTCACGATCACTCGAGTGGAAGGTGCTAAGAAATATATATATATACAAGAACGTAATTCATTAGTTTTGCATGCTTTATCTCCTAGAAGCCCCTGATCTGACATCTCAGAAATAAGTAATACCAGGGGCGGAAAGCAGCGAGCTGCTATCAAAGATAGTCTAGAACGTAATAATACAAGGCATATTCATAAGATTTCCTCCAAGTGCATTTCCCGCAACTAACCTAGGCTGATTCCATTTTTTCTTCGTACCGATCTCCTCGTTATTCAGCCCTTCCTCGCCGAAAGGCGCTGCCCGGCTTCCTTCGTACACTGATACCTCTAGAACTCGTGAAATTTTTTTTGTCTCCGGCATTTTACTTCGTAGCCATCAATCCGCCATAGCATGATTCTCCGAAATCCTCGCCGCACCAATTTGTCGCGAGGATTATAATGATACAAGAGTTGACCGAAGATGAGAAAGAAGACATGATGATATCCACTGTGAAAATCCTGAACGCCGTTAATATGGTATTTGTCGCTGGTGTGCCCCGAACCGAAACCCCCAAATCTTTCAGAACGTAGTAGTAGGAAGTACAAAAAAGATGTAAAGACGTTGATCATTATGTTGTTTTGATATGATGGGATCCGGGTGGAATGAAATGGGCAATAAGAAATGATGATGAGATGGAGAGATTATGGCGACTAAGATGAAGCATATTAGAAGAAGTGGCGGTTGCTTCGGGGCGTGTTTCTAGCAAGCGATGTTAGTGAGCTGTAGCGACGTTATGAATAAGAGTTACTTACTGAGTGCTGGAAATGTCGTCGACGTGATTGCATAAGGCGACGAAAAGGTCGAAGAAGAGCTGTGTGCCGCCGTTGAACATCTCTAGCTGCATGGTGCCGCTTCGTTTGAAGGTACTACGGCTCCGGATGATGAGAGCGAGGTAATGTGCTCGCAACTTGGAGTCGGAGTCTGGCGTGTTGGCATATGCATAACGTGCTGATGCGAGGATGGTGCTGCACTGAATACCGGACTCTATTGATATATTAGTGGCTGGGTTTAAGATAGCAGTTGACTAGAACGACGGCGATGACTTACGAAGACCCTGTTTGCGCAAGGCGACTCGCTTGAGTTCCTCAAGGCCGTACTTGTCGGCCGTGCAATAAATGACGGTGTCCTTAAGAACGTCGCCATCAACACCGCGGTGGTAGACAGTTGCCTCTTTCGAGCCACGATCGTCATCTTCAATCTGTTCAATCTCCCACGAGTTCCGACGCTTGTTATGGATCAGACGAGGGTAGTAGTCGCCTTTGTATAGGTATTCTAGGATGGACGAGAATATCTCGGGTTCCTCGTCTGGAAGATGTATGCGTTTGGAGTTCTGGCCTTCCATGTACTGGTTCGATAAGGCTTGCTGGAACCACGACGAAGCGCGGAGAACATCTTCGTGGGCGGCGAAGATGCGTTGGTCACTACCGATGACCAGAGTGACGATAGAAGGGGTTAACGTGCTGTGAAAATGAAGTCAGTTAAAATGTACATTAAAATATGAACAAGGGAGAATATGAGAGTTAAAGACATACCCAGTTGGTGAGAGGGCTGTTTCCATAGGTACATTTGAAGATGACGCTGTCGCTGGGCGGCGATGTTGACGAGGTTCATGTCGACTCTTAGAGACTCCGCTGCTTTTACTGAAAGACGAACTGGACTTGTTGACCTTTTGCGTCTTGGAGAAACTCTTATTCGCGGCTGGCTCAAATCGTCGACCGAACATTTTGAGTAGATGGATGAATGAATGAATGACCTCTTCTTATTAATTTATCTTAAGTTTTCCGACCGAAGGAATAATCCCCTCAATATCGCATCAACTGCGTTTGGATCACCGAAAATCCAGTTGATGGAATGGTGAAGACGATGTAAGTCGGATGATGGAATGCAGTAGTAGTTGCGAGGATGAAAAAATGACTTGAGAAAAAAGATGACGAGATGATGAGATGATCAAATGATAAAAATGGCCTACCTTACCTGCCCGAGGCTCCAATGTTGTAAAATGGTTGAATGGAAAAGAATTGTCGGGCGGTGCCCTCCTTATATAGCGACAGACCCATGTCAGGCTGTATGTGAGGATGCATGGCGCTGTACATCGATTTTTCCCCCTCATATACTGCTGTAATTCCGTATCTTTCAGGCAAACACGTAAATTTGGTGATGGATGTTGGCCCACGCGTCGGACTCAAACCCGATACTCTCGCGTTTTCACATGACTTAGCTCGTCCACTTAAGTTGCTTTCGGCTTAGCGCGCTACACCTGCTCCCTGCTTCTTTCGGTGTCGGAGGTGCCACTAGGGTGCTATAGAAAGGGGGCCAAGCACCTGAAGGGATGGATTAGTGGGGGGTGATCAAGGCTAACTTGCTGGGTTTAGCAGGGAGCTTACAGGGAGCTTACAGGGATCGATGCAGCTGCAGAGCTGCTACGGAATACAGCAGTGGAAGCCGGCAGGAATTTAAGATGCGAATCTGCACTCGACTTTTAGGTATCTCAACCTTTTTCCCCCTTAGAAAAATCCATATAGGTCAACTTTAACAGAATCAATTATAGAATTATAAGCTTTAACTGCCTACTGTCAGCCAGCATCCGATTCCCCCTGACAAGTATCGCAGCTCTAGAATACTCAATTGGGAATTAGACTCGGCTGTTGCCCGGCTGAGGCGAGAATGGCTCCGAATGGTGCCAAAATGTGCCGTCACACACGACGAGTCATAGCCTGGAACTATGTAGTCTCAGGGGTGATGGCGTACCAATCCTTTTTGCCTATCCCGTTTGTACTGTGTTACCCAACGGGTAAGACAAGATGGGCCATCGTAGGTACCTATTCAGATTAATTACCTATTGCTATGTAGAGCACAAGATCTTTCATGGCCACTTAAGGTATCCGACAAATCAACAGCAATACGCAAGTTCAAGTTCCTCGCAGGATCGCATAGCCCGTCCCAATTGAAAATGATCATCTACATAGAAGCACGACACACCAGCTAGAAAAGAAGCTGCAGCATAAAAGTGTTGGTGGGTCGAAAATGGAGCCATTCCAAGTCCCCGGGGCTGCATACATACGCCGTCTCGATCCTTTCCCGGGATGATCCCATCATGCAGGTGCCTTCTTCTTCTGCCCTTTTCTTAATGTTACTTTATCACAAGCTTTCTACCGTTCCTGTTAAGATAAGAAAAAAGCCAGCGTATCAACTCTCTATATTTCCATGGTACACCTCCAACTTTCTCTCTATGCTGCTGCTTATCTTACTGCTTGGCATTATCAGCTCTACGAGTATCAAGTTCAAACTTTACGTATGCCTCCAAATTCCACCGTCTACGTGCCTTGAAAAGAGGGGCACTGCTGCTGCCAACGAAGCATTCTGATTCGCCTCACTTTCACATTTCCCAAATATGCCGTTGAAAGCTAGTCTGTTGCTGTCATAGACTCGGCTGTTGGTTCTATTTAATCTCTCTTGATTTTCTTTTCCATATTACATCACAGTCTACCGGATTCTATTATGCAGCTCTGTCTACTGATACGATCCCAGCTACACAAGTGGCTAAGACGGTGTAACGAATTGAATTTTCTATAATTAGGTACTTTTATCTTGTAACCTCAAGAACCAAGTGGTATAACTCCTTTTAAACAGGCCTAAAGTCGCTTGCCCATGTATATTATATGTATTTCTATGACTATCCTAGCGAGTGTGAGGATACAAAATTATAATAATCAATCCTCCCCCCTATGGACCTAAGTTGGGATCCAGCCCAGCCTAGTTGCCACTTCCCCTCGAGCCGAGCTGCACTTTTCGCCTATCTTCTTGGACGTGTGCGAAATTTACGGGCTTCAGTACTTGGTCGGCAGTATCACGGGCGATGACATGGAAACCCGTTCGTAAATCGTGCGCTGTCGGAATGACGCCACCTAAAGTCGCAGCCGCGAAGAGAATGATACCGGCAAACTGCATTTTGAAATATAGGTAGGAATTGTATCTGAGAATGGTTTTTGTTTGTGGTAAGTTGATATATAGTAAATTGGTATGAGTTTGATTAAGAAAGCCAATGGGGCGTTTTGCTGTGAAATGAATGTGCTGAAGACTAAAATCGTGATGTTCACGAAATGATTTGGGTGAGTTGATAGGAGACAAGGAAACGAACACTTGAGAAAAGCCACCATCCTCTACTCACGAGAGGTGGCTAGTTTCTTATATATGAGAATCACCTATTGTCTCTCGAGTCGGATATCATCAATGCACCTTTAAGCGGTCTTTCATGTTTCGTCTATGTATAATACCGCACGTTACCTTGCGACCATGCGCGAAGGTAGTCCACGTCTTTGTTCAACAACAAGATAGCACGTTTCCTTCCTTTGAACTTCGACTTAGGTACAGTATTCTCCTTCATTCTACCCCATATCGACCACAATGAATAACCGAGCCGTACCAATAGCCCCTTTATCCGTGATCTACCTCTAAGGGAGACTTACCGGGCCCGAAATCCACAGAATATACTAAGCATAAAAAACGTTGAAAATAGCATAACCTAATCTAAATTATCGATGCCTTGCGATAATCGGCGGATATCCAAGTCCTACCTAGTTATAACCAGGAAATGCAAGCCGTCGCCATTGCTCCCCTAGACGAAAAATCTCATGTGCAACTTCATCCCGTAAGAGTCCGTTTTTCGCAGAATCTAAAAGCTCACGAGGAGCAGATTCCGCCCCTACGCCCGTCAACGCTAAGACGTGGACGTAGTTTTGGAAGAAATGCACCCGGGACTTGGAGAAAGCTTGGTATGGTGCAAACTGGTGGTTTTCGTTATCCTTACCCGCTTCCCACTGTTAATTGCAGTCAGTGATTATGTTATTTATCTTTGAATAGAGCACCTTTGGGCATATTGAAAACAATAGCTTCTCGGTCGAGCGTGGGGACTTTTGAGGTGAATGAAGAGGAAAGGGAGAGAGGGTAAAACATACACCTTTGACAGCATTCCATAACAGATGCGGAAACTTTCCCTTATAATTGATGATCATGGCGCACTCGACCCAGCGTAAACATGCTGGCGTTGAGATGAACTCTATTAGTTTTTGCAGTAAACTCTCCGCCTCGGCTGCCTCTTGATCGTCTTGAATCTCGGGAAACTCGACTAGATGAAGGGCATTCCAAAGTCCGTATGCCATTTCGAAGTACCTCGTTAAGGAGCGTGCAGGTCTCCCCTCGCTCCACCGTAGATGCAGGAGCATCTCTTCTGACTGCTTGCACTCTGTGAAATACCAGATCGCGACGGCAGTACGATGCAGATGCCGAAGACGCCGCGGGCGTAGAGTAAGCGGTAGCTGCGCGGCCGGTAAATCGTTGCTCTCGCTCAGATACTGGGCTGCTGTGTAATGAATGAAGTCGAGTTCGTAAGCCTGCGAGTCTATTCGCTCTATGGTTTCGTCGTTGAAGACTTCAATGAGAGGGCCTGACACGCGACTAGCTTGTACAGCTGGGTCATGGAGTACCTCACCATCGTTAGCGTACTGAAATATTAGTTCCAGCGTCCCGTATCCAATTCGATCGTCCCTCAAGACTAAGAAACCCGGAAGGTAATCTGCTGTATCAACCCACAGGTGAAGCTGCTGGGCTAGCTTCAATTCAATCGCATTGTAGTTGGCCTCTGTCGTCCTAATTATCTGCGTGTATAACTCGGTGAAACCTCTCGGAAGAACACTCAGCTGCTTCTGGATTTGGCCGACCGAAGGGAGTCTATCAATATCATCCATCATCAATCGAGCGTAAAGCCAAAGTCCCCTCGTAGCCGACGTAACGTAGTCTGCGACCAGCGCCCCGACTTTTGTGTCACGGATGATTGGATTTTTCTGAACCCGGGAGAGTATATACGAGTTGACGCTCGCGCTCTCAAAGCTTCCCATTTTGAGAACCGTCCAAGACGAGTCGGGAGACCTTGAAAATGATGAAGGGCGAGAGGTGATAAGTATCCGGAGCTGTGGCCCGTCGCTACTGTCTTGAGAGGTGGTAAACCATTGCGTAACCTCTGTACTATTTGAAGACTCATCGAGAGCATCGAGAACCACGAATATTTGGGCTGCCTTCGAACGTTGGAGTGCAGCCGATAAAGCTCGCTGTACCTCGGCCAATGAGTCGGCTACCACTCTGCCACTTTCTTGGTAGAACGGTTCGACAAGATCGTAGAGATGCTCCTCTAATCGGATCAGTTGAGATAACAGTGTTCGAAGGCAGTTCAGCAATGTGCGCTTCTCTACATCATTAGCTTTGAAGAAGAAATATAACACTTTGAATCCTTCGTTCTTCAGTTGGTCTATGATGAATGCTGCTGCTGTAGTCTTCCCACTCCCAGGTAGCCCTTGTAATGCAAGGATAGGAGGTTTACTTATATCATCATCATCATCCAAAGAGATGAATGATTGAAATTGCCGAGAGGCTAATAACCCGTCGCATGACTGAGCTATGCAATCATCCAAGTGTTTTTGGAGGTCATCATCGACAGTCGACGGCGACAACCATCTCTGAATATTACCTCTTTCATGTGCTGTGATAGTTTAGAAGAGAACATCTACGCCGACGTGTCTTAAGTTAAGCATCATACCTCGTCTTTCGGCTTTCGCGTTCTCCGCCTCCCGCTGTGTTTCTTCTATGTGCGCAGTATGGGCTGCCCAGTCTACGTTTTGGCTATGAAGCTGGATGTTCTCAGCGACATCGTGGAAGTCCTTATCGAAGGAGACGAAGAGGGTCCCTAGCTAAGCGTCAGGTGAAATCCAAGCAATAGCGATGGATGTAGCCTACGGAAAGACGATGCCGAGTAGAATCTCGTAACCCTAACGCAGAAGTCTATATAGTCGCAGTAGAGCGCCCCTATTGCGTCTTGGACAAGACTGTTCTTTTCGAACATCTCTTCATACTTGGAGAATCTCTGCAGAGAGCTAATGATTCTATGGATGATCATGGCAATGCTCTCTAGTGTACGAAAATGGTCTGCGGAGAGCTTCGGGTGGCATAGCCGTTATTAGTCGCTTCCAGCTACTCGGTGTCCAGGCAAAGTGCCGCTCACCGTTATGACAATCCTCAGCGGACCCCATATCGGGGACGCGATTCCTGCGTTGACCTGAACGATGACATCGACCGCGCTCTCGAATCGCTTAAGCGGCTCAATCGCAGGCTTCATCAGTTCAAGGAGCCGCGTCAATTTGCTCTTGCGACGCTGAGTCGCTAGGAGAACAGCCATGCAATCATCCGGACTTGTCGGCACCTGGAAAGCGGCCCGTTCGCTGGGCCCAAGACTTGAGAGAAAGGACTGCACCGCGTCCTGCCATGTAGTTGAGGCTTTTCCAGCAGAATAATCCAATGCCATGAGGCATGAGGTTCCAGAAAATATGCTGAAATAGGAGATGTGATAGTTTATGAGGTATGTTGTAGTTTACTATCTCCGGCTCAGCCTCATTCTCATTTGTTAGATCACATGTATTTTAGGCGTCAACTCCTCCTTTACATAACAAGGGTCGTAGGGGATAGCACTCGAGAACGTCCCCCAACTGAAAGATGAAATATAATCGATGTAAGTTGTCTCGGGCTGAGACTCGTTTAAGAGACTAAGATGAATACGAATGGTAGAGATTCATCAATTTCGTTTCGCAAACGGGCAATTATTCCTATATGGAGGAGCTGTACGATCACGTGATTATATCCCATATTTCCCCTTTCGGGGACTAGGGGTAAGGCGGTACCCAATCCTTATCATGTATTAACGAAATCCTTGGTGTGATTCCTAAAGAGATCACGGCTGGAAGGATATAGAAGTCTAATCTCGGATTCTCTAATATCGACAGGTATCGGAAAACCATAGAGAGGCGCAAGGGGCACCAATCTCCTGTTTAGCAATAGCTTCGGGGCTGAGTTCTTCAACGTGTCTCTAGGATATGGGACACTTGAGGTAATACTGTTTCAAATTGAATTATTAAATATGCTCTTACTTTATTTCTGTTCTTAGATCCTTAGGTAGGTACTCATTGCTTTAGTTAAGTGTCTCCTATTCTTAAATTATGAAGTCTTAGACCAATACTACCTATTCAAAGACTTGACTCATAACGTTATCTATATACCGTCAGATAGTTTAGTGCAAAGGTTACCATAGCGGAAATGGGGGGTTTTAGAGAACGGTCATTTATGGGGAACGGTTCTCTATTAGGGAACGGTTCCCTGTTTCCAGGCCTCTGATTGGTCCAAATCCGAAAATAGTGGGCCCAAACCTTAATTTTTTGGACCCACTTTCCAACCGCCGTTCGATACGTGTAAAACCGTTCTCTCTTAAAGAACCGTTCCCTTTTTAGGAAGCATTTTTGTCAATTTTACTTAGAAAAAAAAAAATTTTAAAAATTTTTTTTTTCTAAGTAAAAATTTCTTTTTTTCTGAAGTAAAAATTTCTTTTTTTCTGAAGTAAAGGTTATAAGGGGTAAAAACAATTAAATTTTTAAAAATAATTCGATGAGATTGGCCACCTCGTCCCATTAGCTCAAACGTTTAAACATTAAACTTTAAACATTAAACCTTAATAGGTTTAACGTTACACAAACGCAAGAGCTCTGGGTTCGAGGACCACGCTTTTTAGCCTTTTTTAGCCTTTTTTAGCCTCTTTTTAGCCTTTTGGACCCACTTTTCCGGGAACGTTCTCTATTAGAGAACCGTTCTCCTTTTGAGAATCATTCTCACGATAGAGAACGAGGCACCTGTTATGGTTTGCTTACCTAAAGAGGGAACGTTTTTCAATTCTCGAACAGTTCTCCGGGACCATATTCCTCCGCTATGGTACATATCAAGTCTTCCTTTAAGCCTTTATAAGGTATGCCAATTGCACTTGCGCCAACCCATCCCGTACCAGCACCTGGTACATAGCAAAATACTTTCGCATCTAGTCGGAGCTCCAGTATGCATAGTCGGAGTCGACAAAGTAATCGGAGTCTTCCGCGGTAGTACAATCGTCCTCGAGGTCCTCAGAAGGACCAGAGACGGACCACATATCCAAGCCCCTTTTCTGTTTCTCCGTGACAAGAAATCTTTCCTCAAACGCTTCTCGAACTATCTTCCGGGTTCTCTGCTTGAAAGTTCCAGGGTGAGATACCACGAACAGAGCCGCATTGTAGGCCATTGCCCTATCCTGGGCCTCCGATTCGAACTCACCGAGGAGGAATATATACAAGAGCCTAAAAGCCGCGTCTCGTGCAAGGCTTTTTTGCCCCCTAGTACCGGTTCCATCGTATTTATCATAATCGGATTTGCACTTCCTCAGATCCTTCATAATGTCACGCAGCTTCTGCCCTGCGAGGACATCGATAGCAAGAAACTCGAGGGTTTCGCAGAGTGTATGGTAGTCGGAGAGTTGAACAGGCATGCGGCGAAAGAAGTGTCGGAATCCGTTGGATACTCCGTAGTTGATGACATCGAAAAAGGGGATATCACTATGAGTCGGCACAGGAGTAGTATCCTGGCCGGACTTTTGCTGGAAATCTAGGAAAGCCTTGAAGTAAGGAAATTTATTGATGTTGACAAGATGCTCAGTTTCCCCAACTTGTATCTTGACGCTTGAGGTATCGGATGATTTCTCAGGAAGAGCCTGAATACCGTTTAGCAGAGTTATCTACTGACAAGTGAGCACTAACCGCCATTTCGCCTTTTTTGCCTTTTGTTTACTTAGGTAGGTATTCAGAGCTGTAATTCAAATCGATCCTTTCTCTCCCTATAATATTAAACACTTAGTTGGGCATGCAGAAAGCTTTGATGATTTCCCCGCTGCGATCGGAAGGGGGCCTTACCAGGTACGTATCTATATACCATTGGCCGCCACAAACGGAGAATTACATGTGTAGCTTTCTATCTATAGGACGAGACTATGGCTGACTTAGAAACCATATCGCCGACGCTGAATTTTCACCTAGAACTTCGGACCCTTCTACTTCCGCTTCTTCTAATAACCGAGTTATCTCATCCTTCAGTTTGGGCATACTACGCAGCTTTAAAAACTGGGAGACATATTTCAATAGCGTGCTTCCCGACTCGTCGAGGGCGAAGGCATCAGCACCGTGCTTAAGGAGCACTTTCGCCACAGACACGGCACCTACCTCGGCGGCACAGTGTAGAGGTGTTCCCCAACTATAGCGTTCATAATTCACGTTAGCAGTGGACTCAGCTAAGAGCTGGCGAAGGTCCGCTTGGTTCTTGGCGTAAACGGCGCTATATGATCGCTTTCGAGCAGAAGTGAATGTATCAGTCATACGAGGTCGAACTCGCCTATGAGCGTTGCTGTCACTCTTTTTTATATGTTGTTGTGTTTTATACGTTCAACTTAAAGCCAAGATGCGTCTATGTAGCGTATAGAAGTATATATATGGTACCCCTCATGTTATGTGACATATAACACCTATGTATGTCGTACCTCTAGGGAACTTCATGGCGCTTTTCCACTTCACATAGCGATCCTCATTAATATCCGGTTAGGTTAACATCCGGTTACAATTGCTACGACCCAGAGGTAGGGCACGTACATATATACGCAATTCTCCTTCCTCTCAAAGATATAGGTGGATGGGGAGTGTCGCTGCTTGCATCAGTCCTTTCCTGATAAGTATTTACAGATTGTGGTTCTGCTGCAGGAGTAAGATGACCTAGGAACTTGGCCTTCCACGTAGTGAAGATAATTTGCATCATAGGTACATTCGCACACACGATACTCAAATTCGGTTCAAGGACCGAGTATGCCAGCGCGTACTGAGAGTTGATAGTAAATTCGGGATTTCGAAAATCTTCTTGAACTACCGTGACGCATCGTAGAATAGCAACGCCAGTGACACTAGATAGACATGTTGGATTAGTTGACTACATCCCTCCCTTGGGTACGTAATAGTGGATGAAAAATGTATGACAGGAAACTAAGAAGCAAAAAGGGGCGCTCACATGATCCCGAACAAGAATAAGAAAGAGATCTTGATCTTGGTGTGTAGGTTCACGTGAAGATTCCAGATGGCTGGTAGAGGTAATAGCAGGACGAGAACGTCCCCAAAAATGCTGAGCGCTGACATGTTATCCAGCTGGGCAGTTCTATTGCAAGGCTTCCCCTTTGTACGACTTAGACGTGGAGGACATCCTACGAGAGTGATAATAACACAAGCGAGCGTCCACGCTAAAAAGAAAGCCATAGAGATTCCGGCAGCGATGCGAGTCTTTGGGCTTCTTGTGAAAATGCGCAAGTAGAACCACAATATACTCAATTTATTCGTCAAGACAGTCCCTGCGAATAACATATTATGGACAGTGATTAACTAATTCAAAGATATTAATTAGTATGTCGCGCATGCTAACTGGTAGAGTTAGAGAACGTAAATACCCTCATGACCAGGCAATAGACGCACCGTGATTAACAGTGGTAGGTTTTCTTTTACTTCAGCAGTAGGATAACCAATTCCCGAAGTACAGACTGGGAGAAAATTATTAGTATCTAGTGAACAAGTTCTCTTACTGGGAGTCTGGGAAGACAGCTGGTCTGGCTCCTTACTTAGGCCTTCGATAGTTAGGAGGGATATCCCACAAGCTACCGATACTAAAATGAATCCATCATCCCAGCCGAAACCAGCTTTAGAAATGCAACGACTATAAAGGCGTAAAAGAACTGATATTAATGCAAAGAAGCAAGCTGCCGAACTAACAGCGAAGACGCCTGCCATTTGGTGTGTCATTGGGAATATGCCCAACTGAGCCATCTCCTTATCCTCTGAATCCCGACTGACATAAAGCCAGTACGTGATGAGAGGGTCATATAGAGATCATCCAGCTGCTAAAGGCCCTATCGTCGAGGTGTTTCAAGGGGTAACTATGAGGAGGAAATATCTACAGATGCTTCGGAGCTATTTTCTTTTCTAACGAAATGTGAAATATGCCATGTATGTATGTAATAGATTTTACACAGATAGCCGGGGTACTGGTTTTGAACCGATCAGGAACCTTTACAGTTATTATATATAAGATTAGTTCCGGTAAGGAGATTGAGCAAGCTCGGTTGAATTCAGTTGTTGAGAGCCATTGTTCACTGCTATTGGTATTGGGGTTGCCAGAACTCATCGTAGACCTTCGCTAATGCTACTTAGTTCAACCCCTTCGAGTCTCTGGGCTTAGTATTCTTTGTCTTACTGTTGGCTCTTAAGTATGTACTCGTAATAAAGACGTCTTATTAAAAACTAGGAGCTGAAGTTAGCCGATGAAGTGAGAAACCCCCTGGCTTTTTCAAGATTCCACCAAGCGCCCGTCCAACCAACGAGGAAAATTTATCTAATATATCATATCATAAGGATATAATCTAATATGTTAGAGGTAGTCAAGTAGAAGGGCGGCGTAGAGTTGTATTCACGCCCGGTTATTACCTACACATTTTATTGAGTAGCTTGTTTATTTTTGCATGTGCGCCCGACGGCTTGGAGACCCCAAGAGAGCTGAAGATAACATACACGCCATTCCCTTTTGGGAGGGCAAAAGGATTTGGTTATGAGTCACTTCGGAGTTGAAATCCTGCGACACTCGGATATAAAAGATCATAAATTATCTCATGTAGGCTGTAGATAATGCTGAATCTTTATTTAAACCGTAAAAAGATCCGGTGTGGCGTTGACAAACAATAAGAATCGGGATCAAATCAAACTCGGCGCTGGATTGGCTTGCTCACAATGGCGGAACTTCCGAAGATCAAAGTAAAGACGTATTTGCCCACCCAGCCGTTCCCACCGAATGTGGAGAGGAAACCTATCCGCACGGAGCGCCTAGTTATCCGTCCGTTTACCGAGGAAGACCTTGACGGGATCCATGTTCTACGTACTCAACCGGAGGTTATGCACTTCTCGGCGGTTGGTCGGATTGATGCTAGCAAGAATGAGACACGGACATCGTATTTGGCCCGCTACCTACCGCCTAACGATATCCGGAACTATCACAACGTGCTTTGTCTCGCCTCGACCGGAGAATTAATCGGGGCGGGTGGGATGCCGAAAGTCGATCTAGTCTTTGGATGGCCCGAAGTTGGTTACATGCTCAAGAAGGAGTATTGGGGGCAGGGCTACGCCACGGAATTTCTAAGGGCATTTGTAGACCATTGGTGGACTTTACCACGGTCTGAGGTTGAGATTGAGGTGGTTGCGGAATCGGTGAATGGATCTGGAGAGGTGCCGGAAATGCTGTCAGCAATGGCCGATGATGAAAACTCAGCTAGTAAGCATGTCCTCGAGAAGGCTGGATTCCGAAAATTTACACGGTGGACTGAGCCTGATTCACGGGAGGGTGTTATAGGCGATGTTACTCTTGTTGGTTTCGTACTCGAGTCACCTGGCCAAAAAGCCAAAGTTTCATCTTGATGGCATATTTAATGGCTACCTAGGTAGGTAGGTAGTTAGACTGTTGGAGGGTTTGAACAATGTCTGAAGAAAGTGCCTTGCCAATGAAAGGAGAAGAGTGCGGCTCATAGGACATCTATAATTTCTTCCGCTGCAGAATACCGTTCCCATGGGATTGGGAATAGTTAGTGCACTTCCTACCTATCATATATCATATAATAAATATATGGCTGAGCTACACACAGCCATAATTTAGAAATGCTGTTATAACCGAATTGAATTCTTGGGTAGGAATTGGATTGGCAGATTGTTTATATGTCGCAGGGATAGTGAGTAACCGCCTTTGATGAGCGATATACGCCGGAACATTGCGGCAGGTTTGGATTGGTTGCTTTTTAATTGTTGGACGAGATACCGAAATAAAGTGATACGATGATGTAAGTGGCAGGGGAAAATTCATCGTAAGTCGTATGTCGTGCAAGATTCGGATACTAGCATACATGTGTTCGGTTATGCGCGTACGATGGAAGTGTGCATCATCATGTCGCACCTATTTTGGCCTAACAAGGCGGAATTACGATATGTCCTATTCCTATCGTGCTTCATTAGGACACTGAGCAGGACAATACATATAATTGAGACAGAAAGTACGGAATAAATGGTACATGTATTACCTAAGTGCTGCTAAGCTTATCAATTTTTATCTATTTTCCATGGCATCATTTGCCTTAGGTTAGGCAGGTACAAATCCTATCAGGTACGGTACGGTACATACACTATGCCACTAGTTACGTCAGGCGTATACTCCGAGTGCACGTGTCAGCAGGCAATTTGGCGCGGGGTACTCTTTTTTTTCTTCACCCAAGCTGTAAAACCTGCCCTTAGTCAATTCTATCTCTAGCCCATACTTCTTAACCCATAGAAGCCTGTCCACCTTGATATGTACATCCCACCATATCCCACTATTCAAAATAAAAATGCAGTGCGCCGAATATTTCTTCCAAGAACAAGAGCCCAACCATCCACGGTTACATATACGGCTATGCTAGTATGAATCATCTGCAGTTGCATTCGTACAACTCTAGATGAATTCGACTCATTTCGTTGATCGTCTGTCTCGTTGAGGCTGGCCAATAGCCTACATATAACTATATCAATCTACTTACCTTACTTACCTATCTCCCACACAATTTGTATTGTTCTGAATGTCGCCTTATTTTTGTGACGCAGCGGCTCCAGTCGTTGTCTATTCGCGAATGACGCAGTCATCATCTATCCCCTGAACGTTGTAGGATCGACCATCTTGCCTGTTCCATCTGTTCCATCTGTTCCATCAGTTCCATCAGTTCTATCAGTCTATCTCATTCAGTAATACAATTTGCGCTTTTATTTCCGAAACAAGTCTCTTGATTTAACGTGTTCGTATTATCTCTCACCACGTTCACTGCTTCCGATTCGCTTCTCAATGCTTTTCCACTCGTCATCGACGCTTCTTATGAACAAGTAGAGATGGCGAGCTTAAAGGCTGACGACAGTAAACCCACCGCAACTGCTGCGACTTCTAACGATACACCTCATCCTACACCTCATCCCAAGCCGCAGTCCCAACCAAACTCGCCATCGCAGTCGAGGGCGTCGGAACCCAATGCGAAGGAATATTATGGCTATATGTTTAACGGAAAAGTACCGACCCCCGTCCTCGATGCGCTACTCCGTGCTATCGGAGAATACATTGTAAGTCTCATTTATTTTCGCAAACCCTTGCTTACCCGGATATGTAGAGTGGTTTCGCTAACCTAAAGACTCTACAGTCTGCCAATATTGGCGATACTAATAGCCATGAACTAACCCCGACAAAATTAGCCGCCTTTTATCGTGCTGTCGGTGGTGATTATGACCAGCTCTTTCTACACTGCCCCTATAAATCCATATCTTACATTTGGCAAGCTCTGGGCGTCCAGCATACGTTGCAACCGACCGAGAATCCCTTCGAAGCACCCACTGTTCCGGCCTTAACATTGAATGGGTTCGTACGATGGGAGACGATCCAGCTTCTCCTGGAACCCCAAGAACATGTGCCATTCATGCAATTCGCTGTGCGCAATTGGGCCTTAGTACACCCCGGCACCGGAAAACCCTTTCCAGTTGATCTACCAGCAGAGGCCTTTCCAGCCGAATGCGATCCCGAGACAGATGCTTGGCATAAGGAATGCGCGCGAAAGCTACGGGAAGACGCTACTCCTAAAGATGAACACCCACCCAGACGGCGTGACTCTGAACCTCGGATTCATACCACCTTCACGCATGTGCGAAACCCGCAAAGCAATACCGCCGCGCCTCGCCAAAGACCGGAAATGGATTATTTTCAACGAGAACGGCCCGTCTCGTATGCCCATGTGTCGAGAAGTAATTATGCCGATCCCTATTTTTCCAGGAACGTACCATCAAGGCAGCGACGGAAGAGCAGCAGCCACAGTGGCAGCAGTTCTCTTGGTGGTAGAAGTAGTAGTTCGCCGGATCGGCCGCCTCGACGACCAAGCTTTTCAGAGGTTCGCCGTTCCGAGATGGATGATCCCCGTCCTTCGAGCCATCTTGATCCTCGCCGTCCGCATGTTCCACACCGCCATAGCCAATCAAAACCCTATTCCGCCTCGCCATCGGATTCCGACTCAGATGCATCACCTCGACGTCGTAGCTCCAAGTCGCGAGCACATGGTCCTATACCGGCTCCCCCTATAATACGCCGTATGCCAGTTGTGACTCCTATAACGCCACCTATTCCGATTCGTTCCCATCGTAGCGAAATACGGCCAGATGTACGGTCGGATGACGTTCGCAGAAGAAGCTTACCATCGGAAATAAAGCAGAAGTTTACCTCCTTTCTTTCAGGATCCTCTGAGCGGCAACGAAGCAATTCCCGCGAGAAGCGCCAGCCGCCAAATGTTGCGCCGACCGTGCGCTTTCGGAGAGAGCATTCGTCACGACTCAGCCGAAGTGTTTCCGGGGAGTCATATCCTAGCGACGAGTCTGAAGCAGGGGTTTCTAAATATCCACTACGACGCGACCGCGAGCATGAACGGATCCGCGATCGAGTCATTGAAAAGGAACGCATGAGGGAGCGTGAACTAGAAGAAGAGTTAGAGAGGAGGAGAAGTCGAGAAAGGTCATATCTGCGACCAGCAGAGCCCAGAAGAGCGAGCAGCCATACCGATATTGAGAGGAGAAATAGAGACTACACCTGGGATCGTAGGGATAGGGATCGAGATTCTGATTTTGATTGGGATGGGAGAAGAGTTGTCACGGCTGACGAAAGGGATTCGCGAGACCGAAGACGGTATAAAGATCGCAGGCAAAGCCCTATATTGACGGGTGTTGGCGGTAGGCGGTATCCTGGAGAACCGGGTTGGAAATAGATTGGGTGTATCAGGTATAGGATAACGGAGTATCTTGGAGTTCAGGACATCGGTATACCCCGTTCCTAGATGCAAGCCGAAGCGATGCAAGTAGACGGGATAAGTTAAATGGGCGGCACTTCTATTAACGATAGCGTGGCGCATACGAGAATCATTATCGGAAAAGGGGGCTAAGGGAGGATAAGTACTCGACGACTCGCTGTTTTGAGAACTACCTAATGTAGCGGCAGGCTCGTGGGAAGGTCTCATTCAAATCATAGAATATATGAAGGTTAGGAACTTTAATATACATAACTTGGTTAGAGTATCGTCACTCGCATTTCAAGCCTTTTGTGGGAGTCTACGAAGATCTAGGCCAAAAGTCTTGCACGTCTCCAAATCCCTAGCACCGTATTTAAGTATCTCTTATTTCATTGGCACTGTATGAGCCACATGCTAAGCTGGGGGTCGGATAGTGGCCGTACTATAAGACTTATAGTAAAATGTCGAGTGTTTACAAGATACCTACCTAGCCATAAAGACTAGACCCAACAACGAGCTCCTAACTCTAGGTGGACGGATTTGGATATGGATAGGTACCTCCTATTCGTGAGATTGACTGACAACTCGTTTTAGAACAAATTACAAGGTTGAGAACGTATTAATAAGACAAGTTGAATAATTGCAATTTTACAGAAGGGTGCCCATCGTAAAACAAAAGTAGGCGAACTAGTTACATGCAAAGCAAATACGTCTGATACGGGGACTTTGATCTTGGCAAGACTACAGAATATCACCACAGGCTGCCTCATCGTTTGACGTAATGGGGAGGAGTTCTTCCAATCAACAACTGATGCAAAACAGAAAACAGAAGCAAAGCACATTGCAAAGACAGTCTTCAACGGAGTTGCTTCGACATGGTGTTCTTGACATAAACATTAGGTGCAAACGCGATCTTCAGTCCAGTTCATAACGATTCGACTAGTTTGGTTCTATAGGCCGTAGAGTTTTCTCGAGAAAGAAGACATTCGTTCGATCAACATGTTGATAATTCAATCGTAGAACCGGGTAGGGGGCGAGAGTCGTACTTCTCTTCGACATACTAGTATGCTACTAGTACCCAACCAGGTGAGAGTTCAAGGCGCATGCTCACTCACAGTCCATCTCGCCCTCTGGGTCCTCGTTACCCGAGTACTCGCTGCCAGAGCTAGTATCCGACCCGATCTCCGGATCCTCGCTTTCCGGGTCCGGGTCGGGCTCGCTCTCCCAGCAGGAAGAATCGTAGGGGTCGGCGGGGGGAGGGAAGAGAAAGGTGTCGGCGACGGTGGCGGAGGAGACGGACTCGCGGCAGAGCGGGTCCGGCCCATACCGGACCCATAGGTTGCGGCTGCGGCGGCGGTTCTAGTGCCGCTCGCTGCGGTACCACCGGCGCTTGGATACCGTCTTGTGGTACTCGCAGAGCGCGTCGCCGGACTTGAGCACGACTTTCTGGACGGACTTGCACTTGGGCGATAGACGGCCGTGCTTGCAGAGCCAGAAGAGTCGCTTTAGTTGGCAGGGGCACTGGGTGAAGCTGGAGTAGTACTGGGTGCACATCTTGGCTTTGGTGCTTTAGTGCTTTAGTTTGGACAAGTTGCTTGGGTAGTTGGGTTGGATAAGGTGAAGAAGGGTTGATAGATCAAGCTGGCGTGGACTGGATGTGGCAGCTTGGTTGGAAGTCGGAGATAATGACACGGTGATGGCGAGGATTTCTTGATAGACTTCGATGGAAGGCTGGCAGCTGAATGACTGATTGGCTCAAGGTGGTTGACTGCTTGGCTACTTGGCTATTTCGAGGGCTGTTCGGGCTAGTGGACTTCAGCCCTCGTATCAAATCTCGCCTTTTATAATGTTAGTATGGCGAAGTCGAAGTGGTCCACTGCTTTAGACGGAGGTCAAGTTCAGTGGCGATAAGGGTGAAGTGGTTTATGACGGGGTAAGAGTAGGCATGTACACTCGTTACCCATAGAGGGCACACTGAAACATAGTAATGCGGTGCGTAATCATTGGGGGATCTTGTAGCTTACCTCTCTTGATTCTGTGGCCGAAAATCGAAGTATGCCGAGATAGAAGGACCTGCCTGCGTACTAAACCTCGATCCCTAAACTTGAAGATGGATGACCTCTTTAAGTGACGACGGTTTCACCCAAGCCAAGTGCAAGGTTAGAAGGGTTAGAGAGAATTTATCCTGCTAACTTAGCATTTATTGGCCCTTGGACATCAGCAGGAGAAACGAGGGGAGTTGAGGAAGGGTTGGACTCTTCAGGAACACGAGAGAATGTTGCTCAGGCTACAATTATTCTTGTTCACGCAGCAGTTGCCCCATTTGCACTTGTTTCCCTAAGGAGTCTTTTCTTTTGTGGTTAGGCTACGAATTTAGATGTGAATCGCCATGGCGATAGTGTGCTTGAATCGTCCTAGAGACCACGTACTTATTGATACCACTTCAAAGAGCATGAACGTGACTTTCCTCTTGCTTTCTAGGTAATTATATGTCCAAGTACTTACCTGGAACCTCGCTACTAAATTTAAATTATTACTACCAGAACGGATATTATTTATCTTAATGGTACCAGTCGAATATATACACACTTTATAAGTTGCTACCTAGTTCCGTCAGTATCTTGCATTACTCGGTACCCACAAAGTCATCTTATAAGGCTGAGTTCTAGTTCTAATCTTCAAGACGAATAGTACGGTTTATCTGATGGGAATGCATGTCGTGAATGTTTTTATGGGTGTCTTCATAGAGACCTCAAAGTTTATTATTTAATATAAACTCATCAGAGTGTTACTTATGTAGATAGGATGGACCAAGGTAGAGTTTAAGCCCACAAGCATATAACACATTTCGAGAAATCTTCTTGGAGATAGGTTTAACGGAGTATCAATTTAGAGGATATATAGAGTAGGTACATAATGGTACAGATATAAAACACGAATAATAGTACAAAGGCACCTCTGCGTTGAACAGTGATGAGATAAGGCGTATCTGGTTATAAAATATCCATCACTGTCGTAGCTGAAATCGTTCACATCATCTGGTACATCATCATTTAGCTGTGGGTCACCTTGATCTCGCGATCACCAGTGAGCTTGTATGTGCCGCCGGTCTTGCCATCATCTGTCTTGCACTTAGTCGCGATAGCGTAGACGTAGCTCCTCAGCGTGTTGCAGTTCATGGGGCAAGTGGTGGGTGGCGGCGGCATGCCGGAGGGGTCAGCGGGGCACTGGAAGTTCTCGCTGAAGGAGGCTTTAGCCGAGCCGGAAGACTTCGAGGTAGGACCGCCAGGGACATGGCAGCAGCACGATAGCCCGTTGTCTCCTTGCCAGTCGTCGCCAACCTTAAGAGCATCTTTGTAGTCAGGTCCGTCGTTAGCGTCGCACTCGATGCCGTCGGCGCGGATCTCCAGAGAGTCTCGTTCTCGCGCTTCTAGCATAAGGCTGCGTGTGTAACGGCGCTTGGGTAATACATCGCGGCTGCCAGGGGGAGTAGGCACTCCGATGGCCATGGCAGACGTGACTTTCTTGCCTTCGACGTTGACACACTTGCCGTTTTCAAGAGTTGCAACTTGGTTCTCAACATGGCAGTCGGAGTCGCTGCAAGCGAAAGCAATGTCGGCATCGGGGACATCGTTCACCTTGATAGATGAGACGTCATTTAGGGTGACAGGAAGGTTTTCACCGATGAATCGCATTTGATTGCTGTAGAGTAACTATGTTAGACTGGATATTTTGAAGAAGTGTAGGTAGGTAGGTAGGAGAAAAAGATAACTTACACTGAGCTACCAGAGCAGTCCGTGTTCTTCCAAGTTGTTACAGTGCCGGCAGAAGCTCGCTTGCTTGGGGAACCTTCGGGTAGGATGTTGTTCACACCCTTTATTTTCGTCTTGCCCATGGTCATGCAACCATCTCCAACGAATGAACCGACTTGGGCGTCTTTGCTGCACCAGTTGTTGAAGAAAATCCATTGATAGTCTTCGCTAGAGTCCTCTACCTTGACTGACACGGCCTTGTCGTCGAAGTATTGGCAGTAGTCACCGTATTTGGTGTCCTCGATGGTCTGCTGGACGTCACCTGTGCATCCCTTCTCCGTGTAGGCGGTCAGCTTGTAGGCGCTGACTTGGAGTAGAAGAGTTGCGAGGCCGACGAGGCTGGCGGATTTGGTTGTTGACATTGTAAAAGATTTAGGTAGTGTTGTTTAGAATAGTGTTGTTTATAATAGTGTTGTTTAGAATAGTGTTGTTCAGAATATATTTCTTTGTGGTGTGGTGTTCTGATGTCGAGGAATGATACAGACTGATGGCAAGAAAAAGACCCCTTTATTTATACACATTTCTATCTCCTATATTCCATCTTTAGAATCACGATGACGATCGTGAAAACAATGATCTTCATCTTTTACTACTCAGCTCTATAATTGTAGATCTCGTCTATGCCTTCGTGGTGACACTTAATTTCCATTGGTGATACTTCCTCTAGAGCTTCTACAATTGAATCTCAACGTCAAGAGGAATGAGGCGTTGACGATATGAAGTCATAGCGAAGTCTATCATTGCCTACAAAAGAATATGTCAATGTAGAGAGCCGCAAGTAGAGCTTTGATTGGTATGGGAAGGATTTGGCCAGTGAAGTCATAGCTGAGCAGTAATGCTAGGGTCTATTTTTAGATTCAGCTGGAATCGGCCTGAACGGCTGAGCGGCACGAGCGGGATACGCACCGATCTAGAGATCGACAATTATGCTTATTTGACGGAAACTTATCTGAGTGGTCAGATCGGTTAATATTCTCCGCAGTTTATGTATGTGATTCCTTCCACGACCATCCTAATACCTAAACGCTTAGCATCCACTAAAATGTGGATTGTAAATATGGCTTAGCCTCTTTGCGGTGAGCTTTGAAGGTGTAGATCAAGAATAATCACTATAGATGCCTGTTTCATATTTCCAATTCACGTCATATAGTTGTAAGCGCGTTTATCTTACTTTGTAATAGGATGATACGGGTCTATTGCGATTTCAGTTTAAGTTAGGTACTAGGGGTCATCTCGTGTATTCTGCTTAATCTTCTATTTGCCGGATACCTTGACAACCACGGTGATACTACTAACCTAGGCTTAATATGATAGCTTTACCATCTCCGTATTATACGTGCTCCGCAAGAGGAAGAACATGCCTTCGTGATAAGAAACTAGTTTCGTATCCGTCTTATCTTTCTCACATTGTAGACAAATATGTCTCTCAATGTTGAACAGTAAAGAGTACCCCTCTCAACGTTTTGAGTGATAGCAGGCGGAGTAGGTTTTCTCAAATTATAGTAACTACCTACGTACTTATCTCCTTTCTGAATTCCTTAATTCCTTGAGGGCATCGTCAACGGTGTCGAGGTGGGAGTGCTTCGGATGTATCTTCTTTTCCTTTAAACTACTCCGGCTTTATAACGTGCTTGCAGCCGCCTACATGGCTTGGTTCTCAAGTCTGGGTACCCACCTAATGCTTCTAAGTAGTTCGAAGGATGTTACTCAAGCTTAAAGTAAAGGTAAAGATTCACTATTAAGGTCAGATTCATGCTTTAGCTTTTACTAGTCATTTACGAAAGATGACAATGCGAGATCCAGGAGTAAGTATAGGGCATCGTTTACCTATTACGTATAGCAATCCACCTGTCCGGAACATCGAGTAGTAGACTATTTTGACATTTATCTTCGCTTGGGATACTATAAAGAATTATACAAAGATTATGTTAGGTAAACGGTACATTTAACAAAGAGGTTGTAGACGGGAAATAGACTTGAACACATCAGAATTCATTATTATGGTTCATTACTGTAAACTATGCTAATACTTAGTCAAAGATAGGGGTTAGGCTAGACAATGTAGCTGTTCATGCTGAATAAACACCATGTTGTCTAGCATAGGGTTATGTCGAACTATTACCAAACTATCACACAATGCATAACACCCATATAATATCCCTAGGTTTACTTCATATAATAACATAGCACTCACCCTCATCAGCATCTTATGGAGCGATTTTTAGACACTTGATCTATTAGTCCACGACTCGGTAGATAGGGTCGCCCAGGAATAGAAATCGGAGATGAGATACAAGTTGTCGGCGATCATGGCAGCCCATATTTTTGAGCCACAGTATGGGAACCGCCGGTAGAATGCATAAAGGCCGGAAAACCAATTGTACAGAACATAAGAAAGCAAAGCCAGTGCGAACCAAGGAAAGTTCACCCACAATCTATACCAGAGATATGCCCGAACGATAGTGAAAATGGGGGTTATCATGCCCCCGGCCATCTTTCGAGTCATATAAGGCGCCGTTACTTTCATCATGCGGTATCCCGGTTCGTATAGGAGGCAAGTGAGCCGCAGTCTAAGGCCAGATCGGTACCATCTTTTGCTCTGGTGAGCGAAGGCACTGGTCCGCATCAAACTCGTTAGGACTCGGGCCTCGGGGTTGAGTTGAATACCAAGTCTCCATTGCTTTGGTAGGACAGTAGACCTGAAGCGATCGGTGAGGTGATGCTGGTAAAGGATGTAACGTGTGATGAACCCATCGTCGCCAGTATTCTGCCTCATTCCATTCCACATGTCGTTCATGAAGAGGTATTGAAAGTAAGCATCCTTCACTATCTCTGCTCTCAACAACATTGTAAGTCCTGAAACTGTGAAGTTTGTTGAGCCGTCGGCGGCATAGAAAGCTGCCATGCCATTTTCTCGCCTCTGTCGTATCCTAAGAGCGGCAACTTCCCAGCCGGTGATGACTTTGGAATTTTGACGTTTCTCTGGTACGTGCGAGTCGATGGGTCCTCCAACAAGGCCTATATTGTCGTCCTGGAAAGGGGCAAGTAGATTTGTTAGTACATACTGAGTTGTCCATAGGGCGTCGTCATCGACGAGAGCGATGATATTGCCTGTTGCTTCGTTAATGCCTCGACATAGCTGAGTTCGCTTGTTGGCTTGCGGTACCGAAAAGATAAAGATTTCCGCTCCGCTTTCTTCCATCGCCTCCTTGACACCAGGGGCAGACTGAAGGTCGTTTTGTAACCTTGATAGCTCGCGGTCGATGGTAACGAAGATTACCTCGCGTGGATTGTTGGCAAGCCAGGTTATGAGATTGTTAGGAAGGGTTTCATCCCAGTCGATAGTTGGTACAACGATAGAAACATCGGAAGGGCTGTATCGAGCATCCTCTTTTGACGGTAAGGGAAAAGGTTGGTATTGCCTCGCGAGTGTTCTCCCTTGTTCGCCGTCGGTGTAGTCCCAGAGGTAGAGGCCAAGGAGAAGGCCGAATTCGAGGGTCGGGATGGGTTGGTTGAACATTGTGGTTTCGGGAGCGCTTTAGGTGGTTATTGTCTATTCTGACGTATATTCTGATGATTATGAGGGAGACCTTAATTATTGCCGATAGAGTCTTTATATATCATGACGAAAACAAGTTGAACATATTCATTGCGTTCAAACATCGATGATTGTAGTATCACAATTCTTGTTATCTTACACATGTATCCGCCAAGTTAAACCTTCTCAGATATCAGACTATCTACATTCAAGTGCATGAAACCTACCACATTCAATATTTCAAAGCCATGCAGTTGTGTCTAAAGGGAAGTAACGACTCTAGTGATTTCGATAGCCACATACAGTTGCTTTCTCGTCCGGATCCCGATTCACTTACTGTACATCAAATATCATGCTATCGAATACATACCCAAGGTATATAGATGTATGAGAACTACCTAAATACCCCTTTACCAAATCATGACTATGTGTTACCTGTTTATTACTTGGATCTGGAAAATACAAATTTCAGATGGTTGTATTAATTATTGATCTTAATTGATCGCTTTAATAAAGACTCGAGTATCCATATAGGCTATCCATATAGGTTAGATAGCTTGTCATTTCGAAGGAGACGACTTAGGTAGCTTTGAGAGCTATCGTGTACTACAAATCCTAGGTGTCACCGTCTAAAGGAGCCATAAGCGAATAGGAAGGACACCGCAAAAAAGGTATATATACGAGGTATTCATAAGATAGTTACAGAGAGCAGATTTCAGTCTCGAATTGTAGTATAAAGATAGTATCTTGATATGGGCGTGCATATAGATAAAAAGAGGAGTTTCTGTAGGAATGAACTTGTTAACCTTGGGGATGCTTAGGGATGTACTTGGTTACTTCGGTACTAAGTACATGTCAATTTGCAATCAATTGATAAACTAAATTTATGAGCCAATGAAACCTTTCTTGATTTCCACAGGGATTATGTACTCTGGAGGTGATGCACAAGGTACCTAGCCTATGTACCTATGTACATTGGCCTAAACCATAGCACGTCCACTACTCGTATCTGCGTGAACGTTAAGCCTATTAAAATGCCACTGAGTTCAATGTTTGTTTGAATGCCACTATGGAAGTCCCTAGCAACCGGATTTTTAGCGTAATATACGAAGTACCTGAGGTACCTGAGTACATGTGAAGTGGTGCATGGTTTAGGTACTGTTTGGGCAAAATGGGAAAGTACCTGAGGATGTGACTACCTACTATAATAACACCCCACCCCCACCGCCTTTCGCGCCCCATATCTTGGCAAGTAAACATCAATTCGATCTCTCCTCCATTTTTCTTCTTCTCATAATTCATCAACAGAAGGCACACAACTTCAGATTCAACACACAACCTTGTCAATCAGCTACTTCCAAAGCTTTTTCGCATAACTCATTCTGCTTCATTGCAAATACTATATTGGAAACACTTGATTCATTACCCTACTGCTCCTGCTCTGACTCTGATCATTGCTTGGACGCGTCTTTCCTCAACCATCGCATCTGCTCGGCAACGCTTGCAGCATCATCAGTTTTCCCACACCCTTCTTCTAGTATCGCGACTGAACCGCTCACCTATACTTACGCGCTTCTTAACGCGTCTCTTGATGCTACACATCATTATATCACCCTAGTTGGTACCTTAGTTTTACCATATCCTTCGATTCCATCCTAATCGCGTTTAACGCGTGACGGATCACATGGAGTCGAAAACGAGCAGATATCAGTCTCGCATCCTTAGGGAGATGCATCAGAATACTGAGAATCCTTTCAATTCGCCACCTTCATCTACTGGTTCCCACGGAACCATCACACTCACCTCAAATATTACCGGTCCTCAAGGCGAATCGACACGACAAATGGACGACCTATCTATCAACCTACCGAGCCAAGCTGCCATGCGCGGCGCTAAGGCCCCTCAACCATCCTCTCTAAACATCAATACTTCTGTACTAGGACGAACCTTCCCTGAATGGAGCCGCTGGAATCCTAATGGACTGGAAGACGAGAAGGACATGTGGGAAACTGCTAGTGACGACGTCCCGGTCTCCAAAGGAAAGGAGAACGTGACACCACTTGGAAGCCCTAACTCATCCGCGGTCGCTACCCCTAGAGCAGAAGAGTCTGACAGGGATAAGGTTAGTAAAAACTTTCTAGATCATGTCAAGCCGCGTATGCCATTTGCTGGATTAGAGAAGCTGGAAGGCGCAAGGCAAGATATCCTCACCCTTGCGCAGCAATTTCGGGACGTGAACAGGGAAGTCGACCGGGCTGTTCATGCTGCCCGTGTCGCGCGAACAGATCGATTACTCTAGGCGAGTGGTCGTCGAACGCCTACCCATGAAAATAGCCCCGATTGCTTACGTCCAAGCGAAGCCACGACAAATGTCCGAAGCTTGCGTGAGGAAGTCTTGCCTGCCGCCCAGGATATTCCTCCCAAGGGAAGCATTGCTACTGCAAAGCAGTGCAATGATTCTGCATTTCGTACCGATTCCTTTATTTCCGAGTCTTCAGTTTCCACATCTGTTTCTGGTTCTATTTCTATTTCCGCCCTGCGCTCTTGCTTACGCGATCGTTCTGTAACACAGTCTGGACTTCGACCTTCTGTCCATTTTCATAATTCTATTGCGACACACAATGTGACTTTTTTCTACTCTTCGATTGTTGAAATTCATTGACTAACATTCTGTTTTTAGGTTGGTGCTACAAAAGCGACAAACACGGCTAAGGATCGAATAACTACGACAGAGCAAGGCCCTTCCCGATCAAGGGCTCAGATGCAACCAAGAGTTGAAGACGAGTCTGAATGCTCATTCGATTTTCCTGAACCGCTGACACAACCCCGGCGAGATCTACAAGAACAAGGAAACCGTCAACAGTCGGTATCCAATGCCGCGAAAAAGTCGAAGCCTCGACGTGGCAACGTTACAGCCCTACTCGAGACGCTTAAGACAGCTCAGACCAAACAGACCGAATCCAAGGAGCAGCCATCTAGACAGGTTTCCCCCAAGTCGCAACTATCACCACAGCTACAAAATGCCACCAAGGCCAATGCAGAGCGACAACCAGAAACGGATCATATGGCTAGCCCTACTACACCTAATCAGACTGCCCGGTCTTTCTTTATACCTAATCTTTCCTACATGAACGACTTTCTATCGGGTGCTCTGAAGCTGTCATCCCTCCGGAATGGTATACCTATCTTCGTCAAACACGGCAAAGTCCACGACCGCGAGTCTATGGTTTACCCAGATCACCATGCCGATATTGAAGCGCTTTCGATTCCCGAGGACGAGGAGAAGATTTTCGTGTCTTTGGATAAGATCAAGGATGAAATTCATGCTCTAAGAGAGCATGATGAGCTTGTTACAAAACAGGCCGAACAACTACATGAAGAAATCGAAGAGATGCATGTGCAGATTGCCAAGTACAAGTCTCGGAAGGACAGTGCTATGGGCTCCGACTCGGAGAGTTCGATAATAGACCATCTTAGTGCGCAGAAGAATCGTATGTTCTTTTCCTCCAACTCATCTAGTAAGTTGCTAAATGAATTTCTAGAATTGGAAGAACAGGTCAGCTCTCTGCAGGCCCGCCTAGATAAGGCAAACCGCAAGATCAGTATCAACGAAATTCATACTGAATCTTACGTCGCTGAGCGCGATGAAGCTCTAAAGACCTCGACTGAGTACTCGGACAAAATCAAGCAACTTCAATCCGAACTCAATATGGCTCGTCGGCAACTCAAATCGCTGCGTGATGATAATTCTCAAGACGGCAATACACTCGAAGTGGAGAATAGATCCTTGCGCAAGGATAACAGTTCGATCCGACAAAAGTGGAAATCTTTGCTAGAAGAGAACCAATCGCTCCGGGAACACAATGAGGATATCTCCCAACAAAACGGGTTGCTGGAGCAAGAACTCAAGGGTACTAAGGCGGAGTTAGAGGCACTCCGCCGCCAGCATCAGCTGCTTTCAGAGGAGAAAGATGTGCTCAAGCAAGACAATCTCAGCCTCGAGCGTCACAATGATGAATTTTTTAACGACAATAAGGCCCTCAAGCAGCAGAACTCTTTACTTGATCGACGAACACACGAGCTACAAGATAATGTCGCTCGGTTACGGAAACTGCTTGATGCCACCAATGCAGAGAGCGGTGAAGTGTCTGTCGACTTCAAGGATATTACGTATCGTCTCGAGGTGCAGAACCGCGAGCTTTCTAAGGAGAATGCCGAGCTTCAACAACAGATTATTGATCTGGAAGCGGATTTTGCATCCAAACGGGTGGCTCTTGAGCAAGAGAAACGACGACTTGGTCGCGCAAATGCGCGTTATAAGGAGCAATTGAACCAAATTGGTGAACGATTCGAACAGATTGTGAAGGAAAGCAAAGAGGAAGCTGCCATGTATGAGGAGCAGCAAACAGCCTTGACGCAGCAGTTGGAGCTCATTGCCGACAAGGAGTCAGCTCTGGCAAACAAGCTGAAGAAGAGTGCCATTCAAGAGGCCAAGCTTCAGTCTGAACTCGATAGGAGAACAGACGCTATTAACGAGGCTCGTCAGATTACTCAAGAAATCAAGGACTTTATGAGTACTGTAAGCAAGAAGCAGCATGCGAAGACAACACGCATCGCTGAATCGAAGGGCAAGTTGGCCGTCAGTGAGACCACAGCTAGAAGCACAACGTCTCAAACCGACATACCTATGCAGGATGACTACACGCAACAGATCGACCTCACACAGGGGTCCGACTTTGCGAGCATTTTCACACAAGGTGAAATGCCTAAACTACGAGATGCTCTCCGTCAAGTTCGAAACGACGCTCAACCAGACGACTCGAGCGACAACGAATCGTTTTTTGATGACGATATAAGTGAGCCGGCTAGCCCAAGTCTTCCACGACTATTTGTGCCCAATAGCCGACCCCGATCTACAAGTTCACAAAAGGTTGTTTCTGGAACGTCTAAGGCACGGGCAGAGACAGGCAAATCCCAGCCTGTTGGAATCCTAAAGGAGTCTCAACCTTCTCGTTTGAACTCTCAGAAACAGAAGACAAACCGCACTACAACCGAAACAGGATTCGAGGATACGCATAAGCGGAATAAGACAACCGACTCGGTTACCGGAGTGCGGAAGTCGAAGTCGGACGACACTAACCCTCGAAAAGTCTCATTTGGCCAACCAGCCATGCATGATGACTTGATGAAAACCCATACAGAGCGTGCCACAAAGGAATCTCGATCAGTACCAGAACCAGACCTTACAGGACGATTTAGTGTTAAGTCGGGTATGAGCATTCCTAGCGAGATTTCGGAGATGGATAAGTTCCATCGTCGCAACTCCGACAGTGCACGATTCGATATCGATATAGATCATGAAGATAATATGACCTCAGCTTTATTTATTGATGATATCACACTCGGACAGAGGAAGATGGCCGAGAAGCAGAATGCGAATACTGCCAAGAACGAGCTTTCCAAGGATGCCAAGCGTGTTCTCGATAACCTCTGTCACGATCATGACTGCGGTAACTGCATTGTCTGTTCACGAATCAATTCTCGCGGTTCCGGTCAGAGGCCTATCCGCGCAAAGAAGCCGATTCCCGTCACAGACCGAGTTGCAGATAAGCAAGAGTGCGAAGATCAGTGCACAATGCGCCCATCGCAAGACCCGGCAATGGCCTTAGCCAAGGTTATAAGGTCTTTGGAGGACGAGGAACAACATCTCAAAGAAGCTTTCCACAAGAGAGCTGTCGAATTCGATAAATGCGACCCGTCGATCAACCGTAAGACGTGGAAGCGATTGGGTTTTGAGATCGACAAGATAAGAAAAGTAAGAGACCTGAAGAGAGATCAGATTTACTATCTCTACGATGCGCTCGAAGGGCAGAAGGCGAGCGGCCAGGAGATGACGGCAGAGTTCGTCGAGTACACCATACACGGTGCGATGAGCAAGGATCATTCATGGAACGGCGTCCTTGGTATCTGAAGGAGGTGTGGCGAGCATTCAGAGTTTGTCTTGGTTAAACCACCGAGGTGGTGGATTATTGGAAGGACTTGGGGGTCCTTGGTCATTGGAGTTTGGTGGTTTGATTAAATTACGAGGCTCATGCATTGTTGTTAGGGTTACAAAAAGGAGTCTGCATTAAATGCATTCATTGTATAATTAGGAGCCTATTGTAAAGGCCATACCTAGGTTACGCGCATCCATGGAATGGCGCCGCTACATTGCATAATGGAATAAATTATGAAATTTTCCTATTGACTGTTCTCGGCGATATGTATTGTAGCTATGTATGACTGACCGTCATTTGTAGGTATAAATCTAGATAACAGGTACCCTGGTATGATTTATCGAGTCTTATTATAGGGCTCTCATAGCTCGTTTCCCCATCGTCCAGAACCAACCCCAAGCACCGAGGGTTGCGGTTAGCCCAGTATAGATGATCATAGGACCATACTGCGTGGCGTACCCCGAGAAATCCTCGGTCTTCAACCGGTTCGCCTCGAGCAAAGCTCCGCCTATAGGACCACTAAGGACAAAGCCGAGACCCCGGCCGCCAAGCAGCATCCCAAAAATCAAACCCGTGTCGATGGCGCCGTCGCGGCGCTTCATCTCTTGCAGGATACCGGACCAGGTGGAACTAAAACCGCCGGCGAAGAAACCGTACATGATGGTGAAGACAACTAAAACCGCAACTTGGTGCCCGCCCAAACCCCAGAGGAGGAAGACGGCCAGTGCGCTGCCGAGGGACGAGATCAGGATCACGGTCGTGGGTGCAAGTCCGGTATCGTTCAGAAGCCCGATCAGGAGCGAACCCGGCACGGAGGCTAAAGAGATCAGTGCAAGGAAGATGGGGCCTGTTATGGAGGGGAAGCCCAGCGCGTATGCGTATGAGGCGAGGTATGTAGAGGGCATGAGGTAGCCGAGCGACTGTAGGATGTTGCCGCACTGCAGGATCCAGAAGATAGAGTGTCGGGCAAAAGCGAAGGAGACATGACCTTGCCTTTGGCGTCCTTGTCGCCCGTGCTCTTCTGATACAGTGGTGGTATTGACACGGCTACTTGCGGCAGGGTACTCGCGCATGAGGAATAACGGCGGGATCGTGAGGAGAGCTGACGAGACGGCATAGGCACGCAGGGTAGTACCGACGCCGAACCGATTAAGCAACGCGTTCGTTAGAAACGGCATACCAGCCCCGACGGTGCTCTTGCTCGCCCACATGGCGCCGTACGCAAGCCCCTTGCGCTCCGAGAACCACTCGTCGAGACACAGCGACGTAGGGCTGAACAGCAGACCGCATCCAATGGCGTGCAAGACCCCCTGGGTGGCGATTAGTTGGCGCGCCGAGGTTGCGAAGGATGACGCGATAAGGCAGGCGGTGGTGATGAGAAGCCCGAGGGGACCGCACCAGCGCCGTAGATACGGGTACCGTGTTAGAAGTATGAAAGTCGCTGGCATCATCAGGTACAAGATGCCCGTCTGGGCGGTGCCGATGCTGGCGATTGTGCCGGGGGTGCCGGGACCGTCGGGGAGCACGGCAGTCCCGTGAGTGGTATAGTACTCCTGGAAGATACCGAAGGCGAGCGAGTATCCCCATATAGGCGCCTGGATCAGCACGCAACCGGATAGCACAAGGTAGGCGGCCTTGCCGCGGTCAGCTAGCTGAACGGACGGCGAGGTCTGGGTTGGGAGAGGTTCTGCTGGTCTACTGCCATCTTCTTCTGACCCAGGGGTAGAAAGGTGGCCTACCTCGGATACCGAGAGGTCTTCTAGCTGAATTTCTTGGGTAGTCATTGCTTAGGGAGTCATGTCACGTAAGTTACGAGTACATATAGAAATAATAGTAGGTAGGTTGCTATCTATGAGGCGGCATCTAAGCTTCACTTATACCTACCTTGTTTAAACCTACGTCTAGCTCTATACATCGACAAAAGGAGGGTCACGATGGATACCGGGGTGAATATAATACTTCCGGTTGGTTAATCGAGGACTACGCCCTATGTCTCCGGGGATGATGCCGTAGATCAGCGCAAGGAGCCAATCGCGTCATAGTTGCTCTCCGACATCGCGGTTCCCATTGGGGTTTGAGTTTATCTCGAGGGTGGGATTTGATAAATAGGGTAATTGATCTCGTGGTGTTGGACCGGCAGATATAGAAGACAATTTTCTGGTTGGTTGGTTGGTTGATTAAGATAAAGTATAAATAACTAGTTACATGTACTTAAGTTTATAAGTTTACATGAGAAGGGCGTGAAAGTTCATATGTGGTTGTGCATTATGCATCATCATACCTTAATACATAACAAAATGTTGTTATTCAGGGGATAGAGGGGACAGAGGAGATACATAGGTACCTCTAAGTGGCACGTCCCGCCTAACAGACCATCATTATTCACTAATAGCTTCGACCAATCAAATTTTAAATCTTTAATTATTTCCATATACTTTTGTCCCACCAACTTTCAAAGGTTCACATTCACGTCGCAAACTCTTGAGGCTGAAGTGCATTGCATGCAAGACAACAACAACAACAAAGCGACAATATTACTCGAGCTCACCGCAACTACCACCGAAATATTTAATCCTACGTAAAGTTCCAAAGTTTATCATCATGGCGGACGTCGAAATGGAAATCGATGAGCCTGGCTCCCCCCAAGCTACCCAAGCTAAGGTTAGCGACATGCAAACGCACACCAAGGCCACGGCCGTGCGATCAATCGAGGGTTGGATCATCATGGTTACCAATGTACACGAAGAAGCCGACGAGGAGACAATTCACGACAAATTTGCCGATTTTGGGGAGATCAAGAACCTACACTTAAATCTAGATCGTCGTAGCGGTTACGTCAAGGCAAGTCAACAAATCCCCGACCCATTCTACACGCTGTATTTAGGAAAAGACGAATTCTAATCTTTCTATTGGGAATAGGGTTATGCTCTCATCGAGTACGCTACCCTTGACGAAGCGCGTGCTGCTATCGATGGCGCACACCAGACGAGGCTACTAGACCAGGTTATCAACGTCGACTTTGCTTTCGTTAGACCACCTCCGGGTAAGGGTAATAATAGGGGACCTCGACAGTCTCATCGTGGCAGGGGACGGAGCCGAAGTCGTAGTCCGGAAGGGCACAAGGATGATGCAGCAGAATGATGAGAGAACCACTATAAGAACTTCGACGATACTTGATTGCCTTAGGAGGAAAAGCATCCGGATAGTATTGGGCATCCGATCGCCCACGCTGGTCTTAGCCGACATGTCACCAGAATAAAAAGACATGTCGGCATGAGAAAACCTTCCGTATAGGTATAGATATATCTTGACTCTCCTTTAACCTATTCTCACTAACATATCATCCAGTCGTTTGACACAAACATTGTCAACGTCTACGCCTGACATTGGATCATTGGGAATTTTCTCTACTTGCTAAAACTATAGTTGCAAGCCGTCTGCTATTTAAACAGACTCTTGATAATTGAGATAATGGAACTTCCCTTTGGGTACAGTCAGATTATTATCCACCTTTTGGGTGGAAGCAGAGGCAGTGGTCTTCATGCACTGAATTTTAAAATTGTTCTCCAGGTCGGTAGTGAACCACGTATCCCATTCTGCTATAATATGGTACAGATATGAGAGCTAGCCCCCCAGACGTCTTAGTATGCTATTGCATCCGAAGCAATGAGTTTCACTATATCTAAGCTTAGCTGGGGTATCTTCTAGTCCCAATACCATAATCCATATATGCCGTAGCTCGATCTAATGTGTGTGAGCAGCTTGCCAAACCCCTATCGAACCATAAGTATACCATAAACCCTGTTATTTCCGTGGCTATGCCAAAGATTGGAATAGTCCATCTAAACCATCAACGCTACTGCTGCCGCCACCGCGGCGCCCATCACAGTTAGATCAGGCTCTGCTACGGTTCTACCCCCGCTTCTACCCCTGCCCGTGGGACGGTCCAGCCAGTCATACTGATCCACAATTCGTTTCCTCATCAAGATTTGGGCAGCCTCGACCTCAGCGGCGGGGGGATGCTCGTCCCATCTATGGCAGAAATCCCACAGCCGAGCTCTGACGTCTATCCGCTCGTTAGTATGTACCTATCACAGACGACTAGCCAACTAGCCAACTATGTACGGACAAGCACCGGCGGGGGACACAGGGGGAAAAGACACTTACCGTTATGAGACCCTTTACACTGTTTACGCGTGCAGGGCGTCAAATCGTCGGACATGACCAGCGCCCAGTGGCAGACGCAATCTAACTCCTTCACGCGGCATCTGTTGAGGTGGATGGCGTCGGAGAAGCACGGCAGCGAGCAGCTGGGGAAGTTGTTGATGATGTCGACGAGGTTGTCGGTGATGACGATGGTGTTGTTTTGCGAGACGAGGGTGTTGTTTTGTGCGATGACGGTCTTGTTTTGCGCGTTGGCGATGGGGGCTAGGGCCCCGAGGAGGGCGAGGAGCTTGAGTTGCATTTTGTGTGTGCTTGGTTGGAGTGTTTTCTTGAAAGTGAGTGGTGATGTTTGGGTGTGAGATTGGATTTGCTGTGTGCAAAATGACTGAGCTGATGGGGAAAGAGAGATATGGATATATATCCCTGGGGAACTGCTACGCTATATATAGGTATTTATATTGGTTTGACTTTGGCTTTGGCCTAGAGAAGGTTGCTTATGGTGTCTGAGTGTTAACATGATTTTAACTGTGCGGCCGACCACCAAGTGTATCCCCCCCCAACATAGATGTCAAGGTCCGTGAGGTTATAGAGATTGGTATCAAGGCTTTTTTATACTTTATATTTTGCTGGTTAAGCTTTGGGGGTTAGTTTAGGGGCTGATCGGGAGCGAACCTTTCTAACAAGTAACTAGGTAATTAACTAGATGGCAACTTAGATGGTATCTACATATTAAATGGGTAAGGTTTTTTTCGTTGACGAAGATATTTTATTAAGCTGAAGTGATCTGATTGAAATATAGGGTTCCTATGTGTTATCATTGCATCGTAATGACTGGACATCGTAAGTATTAGGGAAGAGGTAATTCTGTAGCATTTACCATTACTGCCTTAGGTACCCTAGGTACCTATCTAGTATAGTTTCGAATTTGATATTTCAGTTACTACGTTGCAGTATACTTTCCGTCGTTGAAGAGATATCAAGAGCCTAATTTCAATATTGGTGACTTCTCCGAACTCGAAGAGGACGAAGAGGATTTCGAGTGTCATTGCGAGGCAGCGAAGGATCCGGAATATGGATGCTTATGCTATTCAGAACCAGATAGTATCTCGGAAATGGCATACGATGGGCCTGACGCCAGCGAGTACTATACGCTCAAGGATCCACGCGAGGAGGGAAAGGAGTGTCTAAAGAAGCTGGAAGAGCAGAAGCAGAGGGAGTTGGAGATCCATCGACTCAATGTCGAGAGCGTTCGGGCAACTTATAAGGCTCTCACAAAGGAGAGGAGAAGGAGGAAGAAGAAGAAGAGGAAGAGGAGAGAGAGAAGAGATAAAAAGGGAAAAAAGGAGAGCAAGGAGAATAGGGAATTCTCTCTTATCACTCTCAAAGATCCTGGATATTTAACCAGGTTGACAAAAGGCGGCAAATGGGTTCCCCATGGCTACATTGAGAGCAAATTATTCGACCTCTACTCCGTGGATTACATAGAGAACTATTATTGCGAGGATAACTACCACTATTGGAAGTACGTGGAGTTCTATGAAGAGGTACTGGGATCCAATAGCGAGTCAAGCTCCCGACGGGGACAAGTCTTACCTTCTAGGAAGAAGCAGATGATCGAAGGCCACGTTTACGCGAGCCCCGACTACAACATTCAATTCCCGCTATTCCGCGCCCCGGCGCGCGCAAGCCTGAAGAAATACTGGTCCGAGGAGTTAGAAGAGGGGGGACACAAAATCGGCGTTCAGTTCCTTGCAGAGGACTGCGTGAGGATGTTGGTCGGTCGGGATATTATCAAGATGATGAGGCGAGACCCTCTTCCCGATAATGCCCCCGATGTCTTCGAGTTTGTTGGCATCACTCGCGGTAGTGACAAGCGGAAGACGGATATATAAGTGGAAGCTGAGAAAAGGGGCGTGGCTCTCTTCATCGCCGTAACGAGCCTTTTTTCGGGTTGAATCACTTGGTGAATAGTGAATTGGCGGTAGCGGCGCTTGTGTTAATGTGCGTCCCTGGATGATATTATTGAAGAAGTATTGGGGGTTAGATTATTATATTTATTGTATAATACATACCTAGGTATGAAGTATAGGACTAGAGATGTAGCTACCGAATTTCAAGGCAACGAAAGGAGAGCTTCGTTAATATCTTATGTCGTTAACATGAATGGTATATTGCTTTGCTAAATATTTAACAACACCATATTACCACCCCCCTTTAAACAGGTACCAGACAACTAAGTTTGTTTACGTAACAAAGCATTGATCCCTGTCCGTTCCTGCATAAGTGACGTCGCGCCCGAAGCCACGGCACCGCGTCATTTCGGCATCTAACTGAACTTAGGTATTGTGATATTCCTTTTACTACCTGACAAGCCCCGGCACATAACCTATTTTTGGATCCGACTTCCACCTGGATGGCCTAATATCACAATATGGCCTTCCTCATCGGTAGCACGGTGCCAGTACTCCAGCGCCTCGCCGTCCCCGCCGTCTGTATCCTAATCGCTTTCCTAGCCTACACGTCGCAATGGCTATTCGCTAACGCACCGGACCTTGCCCCGGGCCCGCTCACGACTGCCGAGATCTACACTTTCAACGGACTTGTGTTATGTCTATGGTATACATACTATAAAGCATGCACTGTTGACCCAGGCCGTTATGTCTTCCCGCCGGATTATATTAAGAAGAACAAGAGGAGAAACACCAACGACTCGGGCGAGGAAGAGTTAGATCCGCAACACATACAGCGCTGGTGTAAGAAATGCGCAGCACCCAAGCCGCCTCGCGCACACCACTGCAAGACATGCCGCCGCTGTATCCCCAAGATGGACCACCACTGTCCCTGGACCTCCAACTGCGTCTCCCTGCAGACCTTCCCGCACTTCCTACGCTTCCTCGTATACACCAACCTCTCCCTCTGGACCCTCCTCACTTTCCTCTTCCGCCGCTTCTTCGCCCTCTGGGAGACCCGCCACCTCCCCGCGTATCTCGGGCCCACGCTATCGCAACTCGCGCTCCTCACCGTCCTTACCTTCGCCACGAGCACAACCAGCCTAGCCTTGGTCATACTGCTCATCACCACGCTCAAGGGCTGGCTCTTCAACACCACCATAATCGAAACCTGGGAAATCGAACGCCACGAATCCGCGCTCGAGCGCCGCTACGAAACCTCCCGCGGCGACGACGCGTACTCCTCCTGGTGGGGCTCAGGCGAACACGCTCCCGGCGGCGACCGCGAAACTCTCGACCCTATCGAGTTCCCCTACGACATCGGCATCTTCGCGAACATGGCCGCCGCCATGGGCACGCGCGACCCTCTGCTGTGGTTCCTCCCGTTCGCCGGCGAACCAAGAATCGCACCCCTAAAAAAAATCGATAGCGGCAGTGGTGGTGGTGGTAGTGGTAGTGGTGGTGGTGATACAATAACAATGAGCGGCACGGGCTGGACCTACGAAGAAAACGGCCTCAACGACCGCGAGGGCATGTGGCCGCCCCCCGACCCCGACAAAATCCGACACGCGAAAGCCTGGCGCGCACGCAAGCGCGAAGCCGACCGCGCGCTACAAAGGGAGCGCTTCGATAACAACCCCGCCAACCCCGAGGACGAGCGGGAAGCGTTCCGGCGACGGCAGGAGCGGGATTTGCGGCGGTGGGAAGCGTCAGCGTCGCGGTCGCGGATTCTAGGGGAGTTGGAGGAGATACCCACGGAGTACTACGATAATAACAATAACGACAACGACAACGACCACGATTATGACTTCGTCGACGAGGCGTACGATCGCAGATTAGGACCAGGACGCGCTACTGCGGTTATAGTAGACGAGGGCAAGTCCGGCTGGGTGAATGCCGATGGCGAGCACCTAGGCGACTACGGCGTAGACGAAGACGCCGAGTTCGACGAGCCGGCGGTGGAACGGCCGCGGCGACTACTACAGGAGGAGGTAATTCGTGTAGAAGATGAGGACGTGCCTCTCGCGGAACTGATGCGCAGGAGGAAAGTGCGCACGAAAGATGATGAAGATACGTGATGTGATGATGTATGTCTACCTAAGTACCTAAATTTACTATTACTATTGGATAATGTCACAATAGGATACATAAAAGATAAATACATGTCAATATAATTTGCCAACTCTTTCAAGTTCTACTCTTCTCTTATCTACCGATCTTTCTAAGCACGTTGTTGGTTCTACTATGCAAGGCTGTCATGTCATATCGTGCTCGCTCCGTACAATACCTTACACGCTTCGTTGTGATCGTAGAACCCACCTGATATCTAACCTGCCCTGCTTTCGCTTCTCGCCTTGCCCGAGGCTCGAGGTCCGTTAATCGTAGCCTCGCAGGAAGGCCGTCTCGTCCCGTCCCGTCTCGCTTCTAATTCTGGCGCGCGCCTATTCTTATGTATAGACTAAATATTTCAAAGCCGACGCCCGCACCAAAACGCAACTCTACTCTGATGCTTTACTTCACCAATCATCATCGTCATCCTTCTTAATCTGCATAGCGTTCTTTCTCGCCAGTAACGCATCGGCTAGGGAGCCCTTAACACTGGGCGTCGGCGTGCTACTACGACTGTTATCCGAGCCGCCGTTGGCGTTTAGACTCATACCCGAGTCCCGGGGTTGTGGAGGTGCTGCAGGCTTCTTCCCAGCAGTAGGTCGCTTCGCTGGAGGCTGTGGAGGCGTAGGCTTATTCCGTGCTGCCGTTGCCGTGCCATTTTGGCTTGGAGGCGGCGGCGGTGCCCGCGGGGCTAGAGCTGGTGCCGGCGGAGGGGCTGCTGCTTGTTCCTCAACGTATGCTGCAGGTACCCACGCCTGTCCTTGAGCGTTCTTTGCTAACCACCATCCTAAAATGTGTCAGTGGGCTTTGCCAGCTTGAATAAATACTTTATCTTTAGGAATTAACTACATACCATTGTTCTCTTTTTGGACGATCTCGATGATTTCGCCGGCCCTTATCGAGAGCTCGTTCTCTTTATGACCAGCAAAGTCGTATAGAACTTTAGCGGTCATCTTGCCCCTCGCTGCTGGAGGAGCGGCGGGCGGCGGTGGTGGTGGAGGTGGCGCGCGCACAGACGATGTCGAGTTTTGGCTACGAGTATGGTTTGGAATGCTGCTCGTGACGGAGGCGGTGGGAGTTGGAACTGGGACTGGTCGTGGAGTCTGGACCGCTGCCGGACCACGCTTGGTAGTGCTAGGACGGGAGTTGGTGACTCGAGAAGGTCTGCCACCGGGACCACCTGGCTTGATAAGTTTGCCCCGAGTAATCGGACGGGGTGGCACGGGTTTGCCTTTTGGCGTCGGCTTGGATACTGACGATGGAGGCTCCCCGGGTTGTGTATGGATTGCCCCGCTCTTGTAGAAATCGACGGCCTGTTGCGAGTCTTTTAGAACCTTTACGATTTGCATCTTTCCTGGCTTCTTGGCGTATTCTATCGATTCGCCGATCTTTAAGTTGAAACCACCAGGCATCGCCCGTTGCATTTGCGTGAATAACTCTGTTTTTAGAACACAGTTTAGTAACGGATCGGGTTCCTGAGGTGACCCAACCCCCAAAGAGAACCAGTCGTCGCGAGATGATGAAGCTCCGATGAACTTAATAGCTCCTAAAGGAATTTGACGTTCGACAACTATTTGGACTTCATGATTGACCAAGGACTGCGCCACAATGTAGAACTTGCTATTAGTCACAATGAGAATGCGAGGGCTGGGTTTACTTGATCGCCCGAATTTGGCCTCCAGAACCTCCCCACGGCACGAGAAGATGGACTTCTCGTTGCTCGATAGTTCTATAGCACTTCGTATATGGGATCCTGGCCCAGTTGACGCGTTAGTTCCCAGATAATCTCCCAAGAAACGTCGAGAACCCAGCAGACTGAAACGTCTCCGTTCCTTACGCCCTTGCAAAACTTTATGGCCTTGGTCTCGAAGTTGTAGATATTCGGCACCAACTCTCTTCTTCCGCCAGAATCGTTGGATTCGGGTGGCTGACTCTGCGCGGTAAGCTAGATACGCCCTCCACATTCTTTGAATGCGGGTCGCCATGTTATGCCAGTATCGATCTCGCATGGTTTCTAGAGCAAACAACGTCTCCGGAGACTTGATAAAAGCCTTTGTAACACCCAATTGCCATTCTTCCTTCGGAATACTCGTATCCTTCAAGATTTGCTTCACCGCGGCCTCTTCGGTTCCTTGCCAAGTATACTCGCCCGCGTAGGACGTAGCAGGAGACAGTAAGAAGAAACGTTCGACAAACTTCTCGAATGATTGACGGTATGCGAAACCCGCACGCCGAATCCTGACGTTCTCTTGTAGACCTAGATACTTGATTTGATGCAGGACATTTGGTACGTTGTACTCGGTTGGCGATTTGTTTTCGTTTGGTTTAATTGTCCGGATATACGAGGGCTGGCACTTCATTAAAGTCTCTACGAGAGCATTGGCCGAAGTTCTGATTCTATCACCAGCGGTTGGAGGTTGCTTGCGGTTATCTTGATCTACTGAATGAGGGAATAACGTATGAACAAATTGGTTCGAGCTCTGCTGGAACAGATTTTGGACGCCCTTGAGGAGCTGGTCCTTGTTTTTATCAGTGATTCCTTCGACGGTGTAACTAACCTCGCCGGCGTAATGCTTGATAATGAAGCTTCCCGAGCGAGGAGTAAGGTGGGCGTTAGACATCCCGTTAATGCTCTGCATGAAGGTACGATCACACGCAGCGGGATCGGCGTGGGCTGTCTTAGTGGCGTCCTTTAAGACGGCGAAGATACCGGAAGGTCTGATCTGCTCAATAAGATCGCATACGACCTTATTATCGAAATACTTGATGGGCGTCCATTGGATCTGTTCCCGTGCGTATTCTTCTTGTTCGGCCTTAAGAGTAAGTTGAATGAAAATCTGCTGCAGCTTCTCGTTCACGTAGTTGATGCAGAGCTGCTCAAAACTGTTCTTCTCGAAGATTTCGAACCCATAAATATCAAGAATTCCAATATTGTTACTTGTTTGCTGTCGAGCTTGCAGTGACTGGTTTATTCTCCCGACAATCCAATCGAAGAGGTTGTAATAGATAGCCATAGCAAGCGCATCTCTGGTAGCATTTGCTTGAGCTGCGTTCGCTGGAGACTCGATTACCTCGCCACTCCTTGGAGTCAAGACTCGAATTGTTATGCCCTTGACCAGTGCAGCGGGCGAAACCTCAAGCAAGTATGCGAGGAAATCCACGACGGACTGATCAGCCACAGCAGCATTCATGTCATCGCCTTCGATAAAATGGATGTTTCCAGTCCAGAGAATGGCGGCTAACATGCGGAACACGTCATCCTGCTCACCCTGAGAAAGACCAATAATCTTCATGGCGTCCAAGGTTTCTCTGAAGTCGGCCAAATCATCTATGCCGTCGACGTCGAAGCATTTTGACCGGCTAAGGTAAGTATATGTCTCCGGCTTTTGGATACCGAACATAGTCCGGTAGTTTTCAGAAGCCCCCTTGGAGAATTGGTAGAATATGTGGAAGTTTCGCTCGTTGGTGATTTGGCCCACAACCCGTGATTTTTCGAGCAGGTAGTTTGTGATATCAGCGCCCACAGGTTCTCCGTTGGCGTTGAAGTGTATTTGCAGGTACTTTCCGAACCGGGAGGAATTGTTATTTCTTAGTGTCTTCGCATTTCCGAAAGACTCGAGCAGCGGGTTTGTTGCCAGCACCATGTCCTTTATCTGTTTGATCTCGCCGCTCTCACCGCCAGACACGTTTGCGATGTACTGCATGATCCGTTTGGCGGCTTCAGTCTTACCAGCTCCTGACTCTCCAGAGATAATAACACATTGGTTCTCGTGGTAGGCCTTCATGTTATAGTATGACGATTCGGCGATCGCAAAGACGTGCGGCGGCATCTCCAAACGGTTCTTGCCCTTGTATGATTCGAGGACCTGGTCGGTGTAGATACCGAGGTCCCTAAAGGGGTTAACGGAAACCAACACATGGCCAATATAGGTATAAATCTCGCGGCCTTCGAATCGCTTCTTTAGATTTTCGTTTATTGCTTCATTCGACACTTTGCTAAGTAGGGTCAGATCAGAAACCCCTATCTCTTTCTTCTTGGTCGTTTCGAAGGTAGCCTTCTTAGGTTTGGCACCATCTTGCGCTCTTGCGCCGCCAGCGCGGGACGCTCCGCCTGATTTGTCCTTCGGTCGTCTACTTATACCCTATAGTTATAGTACACGACGGTTAGTATAGAAGCGTTGCTTTAGTCAAGCATATGTAAATATATCTCACCATATTGGGCTCGCATGGACGGTATCTGTATCGCTAGGGTCGTATTTAGTAAGACAGGGGCTTCGATCGAGATAAAAAGGGGGATTGTAGCGTCCGGTTTTGTTTGGTTTCCAATATGGTTCTAGAGTTGTCCCGAATGAGTAGCGACCTGAGAAGAGAGTGTGTAGTAGAATTATGCGCGAGCGCAGGTTTGGATTTACATGTGTGAAGATGGACTTTGTTATTTCCAGTGTTCGAGTGCCTTGAAGAAGGCACCATTATTCCATCGTTTAGCGCCAATAGGTACCGTACATCTGTATCACCCTGCGACGTAATTCAATGGGGCTGGGTAACGTGGCAGACGTGGCTGAGGGCAAATGCCAAGTCGGGGTTATTCCATAGCACTGGAATTTAGGTCAGCCATTCACGCTATCGGAACCTGCAAATTTGCGTTTTCTAGTATCTAAGCTACATAATGTACCTCTACCTTTAAACACAAGGTTTACTCCACATTCTTCACCTTATATTAAACCGAGGGCCCTCCTGTGAGGCTGACCACAAAAGTCCGACTTTTAGTAAGGCTTATGTCATCCCCTTATGTCATTCTTCCGAAACTTAGCCGCTTATTTCCCTAAGGTCACGTGCCGCTACGCCGGGCCGCGCGGGGGGGGGCGCTCGGCCCTCGCTTTGCGAGGGCCTCGCACCCCCCTCCTCGCGCGGCCCGGCAGCGGCGGCATAATGCTCTAGCTATTTTAGGCTATTCTCTTTTGTAGTATTTCCTTATTTGTGTAAAAAGAAAAGAATATAAAAAAGAACGTGTGGGATTCGAATCCGGCTTTTTGTATAAGTCATGTGGTGTTGTCCCGAAATGGTTTAGTTTTGCACTAAGAATATGTGACCTGTATATGGGCCTTGTATTGGCATATGGCCACCTAATGTGATTGGTTAAATTTTTAGCCTAAACCTGGTGTACAGGCTACCTTTTTCCCCAATCCTCTTATCTTTCTTATTAATAGCCTTTCTTATTAAAAGCTTTATCCTTTTATCGGCTTATTAAAGGCCTTATCTCTCTTATCAAAGGTACGTACCGCCCAAAATATCCGCACTAAAATTAGCTCAACGCTAGTCATGCAGCTAAAGCTTTAGCTCCATATCTCGACCAATGAGAAGCCTGGGATCCAGACGCTAGTGTGGTGCACAGACGAATTGCCTAATTAGGAAATACCCTGGCCAAACACAATAACCCTCCTAAAAGTCGGGCATTCACGATAATTTCTAATTTCTAACTTGCAGAATTTCAAATACTCCTACGACTTAGTCATACCCAAGCCTATAATTGAGTTTCTTCATAATCACCTTCAATAGGTAAAATACTGCGAACAAGCGAGATTAATTTAGGCAGCAATAATTTTCAAACATGTCACGTCCGGCGGAGCTAAGGGTTACGTGTAATTTAATCACCATCGTCGGAATGAGTATATTGCAATAAGCCAGTTTATTCGACAACCAAGTAGCCTCAGACCTTTCAACAGGCATTAACCCTTCTGTTGCAGCATACCGACCGCCGCTTACATGTGCCATCGAGGCATTGTAAAAGACGATACCTTCCCATATAACAGCAACTTGGTTACGACTCCCTTACTAGGCCGAGCCGAGAATGTTGCTTTCGTGGATTGTGGATGTCTTCCCGGTATTATCGTTGACGATCTAACACATCGGTTGTTAACATGCCATTGCTATGACCTGTGGCTCTTGGGGGGAGAACTCACCTCGTATCGAGGGTTATCAACGCTGGCCTGAACGTTCCTATCCGCCTGCATACCTGGTTTGGTAAGGACACCATTAATTTTGCCAGTGCTCTCCGGAGTATTCGAATTAGGTCCTTCTCAAGATCAATAAGTCGTTACTAAATAACAGTATAAAGTCTACTCACCTCCGACAGGCTTGTATGTGACCGTTTGGCCTTTCTTGTACCTGGGTGCCATATTAGAAATTTCGAGTCCAAGTTTAGACCGATAACAAACAAGTTACTGAATAATGAAGTTGGAGGAAAATTCTTGCAGTCACTTCCTATCAAGTGATTCGAGCGCTTCAAATACAAATAAGTAGAATGGATACTGAAGTGAAGGTTTGAAAGAGACGTCACTACATTCGTTGTTCGCATCATCTACTAATTCTAATGATATCATATGCGCCTTATGGACTAGACACAACTTAATAAGGTCTGTTTGGACCACAGATAAAGATGTAAACGCATCACCTAGTATTAATGATCGGACATCGTCACGTCGTCGACATTGTTCTCACATAGCAAAGTTAGACACCGAATCTATCTCATGAGTTTTGAAGAATACCCACCTAACCTTAAATTTAATTCTTGAAATATCTTTTACCACCCGTAATATCCGTGGCCAATGAGATACGTGCCCATATACTCGTATAGGTTAGTATCTCTTAGATGAGATTTAAGGGCATTGCGAGTGGCTTAGTCTGAGTGTCTGGCGGAATAATACAAGATTGATGTAGCGGACACTAATCTACTTAGATGAGTATTGAATATGAGTCGATGATACATCTAGGTTACTGGATGAGTAAAGTACCTCTTCACTTCATATCGACTCTAGAAGGAATATGCCAAAAAAAAATAAAAATTTTGGGGAGCCGGGAAAGCCACTATGCGACTCTCCTAATGGGGAATCACATTATTACCCAAATGAATCACGTATTGCCATATTGATATGAACATATTTCAGATTAGCATCCTCGGGGTTGTTTGCCTAACTGACATATAGTTTTGAATGCCTCTATGAGGTAGGGTAGCTTTGGAACAAGTTCAATGTAGATGATTAGGGATGATCTATGGGCATTTCCGATACGAAGAACGGACAAGCGTCCAAGGCTAAGCATTAATAAGTATGTACTGTAGCCTTAGTAAGAAGACCCGTATATTTCTATAATACGGAATACAATTGGCCTATCTTTTGTAGGGATATTCTATAGTGTAGCGTCGAAATCTAGATCCATACGCTAACGTTTGAAGGGTTATGCAACACTTATACTACACTTTCTTGAGGCTCTGCTAAGCGTTTCAGAACATCAGGGTTGCGTTCACGAACTGTTCCAGAAACGACGTCAACGCCGTGTTCTGAGGCTGACTGCTCCGCACAATGTACATGGTAAAAGGGAGCAACACGAACGGCACTCTTGAGGATCTTTGGCGTCGCCTCAAACTCCGACTATCACGACTAGTGCTGGCCTTTGTGCGATCATTACCCCAAAGCTTATAGTGAGACGAGTGGTAAATGATGGTTTTGTTTGACCATGAGAAAGCTGTCACAGTATCTCCCCTCGGATCTCCCCTCACAACGGTATATCGTCATTACCTTAGGTAGCTGTTAGCTTAGGGCTTCTGAGCTGCCATAGGAAGTCAAGGCAGTAGGATACCAAAGTCCTGTTTCTGGTATCTTACACCCAGATGAATCTATCGTTGATCCGATACCTAGTAGAAAATAGTGGATGTCAGGTGTAGACCTCGCTAGAGAAGAGGCATGAGTCGCATTCTCAATACCAAGCGAATCCCAAGGGTTCAAAAGTAGCAGCTGTATGAATAGACATGGAAGGATCATACGACGAATTTCTTTTCAGATGGCATGACGGCTACTACGGGTTTATATATTCAACTCTTAAGAATGCCATTCAAAAGTGGTCTGATTTTTTTACAATCATACGACTTCTTCTCGAGGATATCTACATAGAGCATGGCGATCTAAGACCAAGACCAACAGGGCCAGCAACGTGGGCGTCATCCTTGTGCTACGAATGTAACTTCTCGGGTCTCGGCAGCGCCAAGCGTACATTGAAGATACAACTAAAAAGGGTCAAAAATCACTATGCGCTATTGGGAGGCCATTGTATCGAAAAAGCCTAGCGGGTGTTCCATGCGGTGATTTTAGTACATGCATGTCTGCTCATGCTGCAGATTAGTTGACGGGATCTCGTCTAACTTTGGACATATTCCAGGGGCAGGGGGCTTAAAGAGGGGGAATAAGCTAAGTGGGATAAGGGGAAAAGCAACATTCTCTGCAACGGGATAGGCTGAACCCGTTCTACTGTCACTTGGCAATGGAGCAAGGGTCCTAAGGATAAGTCGAACTGGTCGAAGTGTCACGGCCTCGCATCATTCTATTGGTCACATACGATATCCCGCCCTTGACCTGGACGAATCCGCGCTGTTCAGCAACCGCCCGCCTGGACAAGCCTCGATAGCTATTTTTCCATAAACCTCAATTAATTGGTTTTCACAAAAGGTCTTGACCTACGGCGCCTAATTTACATGTTGAAGACATCTTGCATATTTCTACCTAATAACCCCCGATCACCCATCCAGTTCCGACGATATGGTTCCTATCATATTTTTACACAATTTCGATTCGTATACGCCGTTGAATGTTTGTACTGTTATAAAAAAGGGTACGTGCACTTACATTCCATAGCAGGCTAAGGGTCAACTCCCCCCTGTCGAAACGCCAAAGAGCAGCGCTTCCAAACGCTGCCCGTCTCAACTCTGCCCCCGCCATTTTACAAGGGTGTGATTCTGGATATCATCCGTGCCTGACATACTGCCGTCCGATCAAATTCAGTGTTCATCGGATGCAAATCTGACACCGCATCGACGGCTCGCGAAACGCTCCCCTTCCGTTTGATCTTCTCCAGCTAGGTATTCCAGTTGAACCGCTAGTCACCCATCGAGAAGCCTATAATCTATCTGCCTTGAAGAGCTTTGATGAGGATTCATCGTTACGTGAAAGTAGTTTAGCCGCGGAGATAAACCCTCCACATCTCGACTTTCGATATTCCCACTTTACAAATTAAACAGAAAACGGATTAGCATCTTCACGATTAACTTAAGGTTTCATGGGCTATTGACATCCGAGATATCGAGAAACCCCCTTCATCCCCTGCAAGAAGCTTTATGGTAGACTACCAAACAAGCTCCGGATCTTCGTACATCCATACCACCCTTGCTCTTTTCATTTTTTGACCGTGGACGGTGGATCTCGCCTGATCGCATTGCCCACCTCGTCCTAGTTCTGTCGTCCTTTATGACTTACTCCCCGCCCACCAATATCTACGTCTAATTCTTTTCTCTTGGTCCTTCGCGCGGCAATCAGGACGTAGAAAGACTCCGCCTCTCACTCGAGACTTTCCCTACTTCGCCATCCTTTCATTCGTCTCCTGCTGGCTCAGATCGCTCTTTTTGGTTCGGTTTTGTTTACTTCTAGGTGCGCGACGTTGGATAATACGCCCTTTTTAATAATCGGAAAACGTGAAGAGGAATAACTACGGAGGGTGGTTACTTGGAAAGCGTTGGAAATCGATATCGATCAGTCCGTCCACTCGCTTCGAACGCCCTCGCCAATAGTCGCCGTCTGGAAAAGCACGAAATCGCGTCGCAGGTCGACAAACTTTTAATTTGAATTTATATCCCGGGGAGAGGAGACATCGGTTAGCATAATGGCTGTCGTCGAACTGGTGAAGAAGCAGTTCACTGCGACTAAACTCATATTCCATGTCTTATTTTGGGGAGTTCACTGGTTCTTCTTTGGTTACGGATGGTACGTTTTCTTGGCATTGTATATCATGCAATTATCACTGACGTGACTATAGGTGGAAACAGGCCCGAGACCCCAAGTTAGCTGGTCTGAATACACTATCATGGTCCGTGTGGTTATCGCGAGGTGCCGGTTTAGTTTTGGCGATTGATGGGACGTTGATTTTACTACCGGTGTGCAGGACATTTGTACGATGGATACGGCCTAAGATCAGGTTCCTACCCCTGGATGAGAACATCTGGTTCCATCGTCAAGTTGCCTATTCCATGCTACTTTTCACCGTCATCCACGTCTCTGCTCACTATGTCAAGTATGTCCCTTAAGCTCTTTGAGTCCGGAGTGAGCCAACTCTAACATTTTACAGCTTCTATAACGTGGAGAAGACGCAGATTCGACCAGTTACCGCGATTGAGATTCACTATACCCAACCTGGTGGCATTACTGGTCATGTAATGCTCCTCTGTATGTTATTGATGTATACCACTGCTCATCATCGCATCCGCCAACAATCATTCGAGAGTTTCTGGTACACACATCACCTTTTCATCCCGTTCTTCCTTGGACTTTATACCCATGCCGTTGGTTGCTTCGTTCGCGACACCGCTCTGCCCTTCTCTCCATTTGCTGGTGATATCTTCTGGGAGCACTGCATTGGCTACCAGGGGTGGCGATGGGAATTGTTTGCAGGAGCCTTTTACCTATCCGAGCGTCTTTACCGGGAAGTGCGAGCTAAGCGTACCACTAAGATTACTCGAGTGGTTCGCCATCCATATGGTAAGAGAACTCGATTAATACAACAGCCCTATCATGCTAACACCGTTTATAGACGTTGTGGAAATCCAGTTCGAGAAGCCTTCTTTCAAGTATAAGGCTGGCCAGTGGCTCTTCCTACAGGTCCCCTCAGTCTCCGGCTACCAATGGCATCCATTTACTATCACATCTTGCCCGTACGATCCCTATGTCTCAGTCCACGTTCGACAGGTTGGAGATTTCACCAGGGCATTAGGTGATGCGGTTGGTGCTGGTAGCGCACAAGCCAAGCTCTACGAAGGTGTTGACCCTATGGGAATGTACGAAGTCGCTTTACAGAATGGACAGCAAATGCCCTTGCTTCGAATCGACGGGCCGTACGGTGCGCCCGCCGAGGATGTGTTCGAGAACGAAATTGCAGTACTTATCGGTACGGGTATCGGTGTGACGCCATGGGCTTCCATCCTGAAGAACATTTGGCACTTACGCAACAGTCCGAACCCGCCCAGACGCCTCCGCCGTGTTGAATTTATCTGGGTGTGCAAGGACACCGGCTCTTTCGAGTGGTTCCAGACTCTCCTATCATCTCTTGAATCTCAAAGTAACGAAGCGGCTCTCATTCCCGGTAGCAACGGTGTGGAGTTCTTGAAGATTCACACTTACCTAACCCAGAAGCTCGACATGGACACAACGCAAAATATCGTGCTAAACAGTGTTGGTGCCGATCACGATCCTTTAACGGAACTTAAGGCGCGCACAAACTTTGGTCGACCAAACTTCCTAAGGATGTTTGAAGCAATGCGGGATGGAATTATGGACCGAACATACATCACTGGTCTAGAGGGTAGTATGCAGACAACAGTCGGTGTATACTTCTGTGGTCCTGCTGTAGCCGGTAAGTCCCAAACCCCTTTCACTTGCCTACGAATAATCACTAATTTAATTTCTAGCCCGTGATATCCACAAGGCAACCAAGAAGGCAACATCTAAAGAAGTCCGCTTCCGGTTCTGGAAGGAACATTTTTAAGTGTACATATTCGCCGTTTAATTTATATGCGCCGTCCATACTTTGACCTTATAACTTGCGAGGGCAGGAAATCCAGTATGAGTGATCTCGCTACAGCTTCGAGCGGTGGTAGATGGAGGAGTTGGTGGACGGGAACTGCCCTTGGACCCTAGCCGATACACAGTCAATCCGTGACCCAGAGTGCTTCCGAATTAGCACGAGGTGGTGAATATTAGATGGGGAAGACGATATCCAATGAAGGAGTTTTATTATATACCTATTTACTACATGACCATCCAAATCCATTCTCTTTGAACTACCTAATCATTTGTTATACTCTGCGTGAATTTTTCTCTAGACACACAACGCACGTTATTCAGTCAAAACGATGGATTCTCAACTCCGTTATTGAAACTGTAGATTTGCATATCCGATCATGAAATCATAAGATTTATGACGAGGAGTCTTAGAAAACTCGGTTGCTAGTATCTCAGATGACATCGGACGATCTGTAGGCTCGATGAGGTGGACATACTGCGAGCGCTTAGGATTCCTATCGCGTGGACATCTGGCAGGTGTGTAACTTGGCACGTCGCAGCTTGCTCACCCTCTTCAGAAAATGATTTTAAGGAGTGTTACACCAGCATGGATTTGGCGCTTCCTCCTCGTATTTTGCCAATTAACTTCCAGTTTCTTCTAGAAGAGCTTCGATCCGGATTTCAATTATGCTTCATAAGCTTAACATCTTAACCCGTAGAAAGAGAGCGCTTGGCGAAACTGGCAACTCTTAGAAAATATCGTATGACTAGGAGGTGATATTATTTGCAGTAACATCAATTTAGTTTCGTGCCATGTAGCGAATCCAAAGTAGCTCTTTGGATTTTATATTTGGACCGCGAAGCCCATCGTGATTTAGTTACGGAGAAAGTAGTATAAGCGATACGAAAAGGAGAGGCATACTGCAGTAAGGGGTCAATTATTGATGCATGTAGAACAATAGCATCGTATGGATTATATATCGCTCACAGTCGGACTCTAACAAGCACATTTTATGTAACTACTTATGATGCGAAAGAGGCTCAGCGGCGGGATACATGTATCAACGTGGCAATCATAGGGGCTGAAGTAAAGTAAACTATTGAACTCTAGTACTATAGTGTAGGAATAGGAGGCAAGACAAGGGCGAGAATCCAGAAACGAATCAATCTAATAAGGGGGCAGTGCTTACCTTACAAGCGTTTCTCAGTTCAATACTAAGATTACAATGGAAAGGAAATTAGCTCGAACGGGACCCCTTTCGGGAGCTATTGTCTTTAATGTTAGATGAAGTTTGAGTCGACGGCCGATCTGGTTGGCATTTTATAGTCTATTCTAATCTTCAGAGCCAACATCATCTTCACGAAACTACACAGCCACCTTCGTTTCCGTTCTGGTCCAATAGTCTCACGCACCGTGCATGCCCTCTCTTTTCTGCCGCTTCCCTAGGAGTTAAGCCGTTGTGGTTTTTGATGTCACGAGATGCGCCCGCCTGAAGTAACCACGCGACACAATCAGCCTGGCCGTTTCCAGCAGCCCCATGGAGCGGTGTGCCCCAGTCGTCCTGCTCGCGGGCGTTGTCGTGCACATCTTCATTGTTGGGAATGGAATCGATCCCAGCATCAGAAGCGATAAGGTGCTTTAAGACATCCAGACGTCCGCCCCTAGCGGCAAGGAGAGCGGCGCTGCGTTGTTTGACAACAGCTCCACGATCGATCAACAGAGAAATAATAGGCAGGCTTGCGTTGGAGATGATGGCGAATTCGAGTGTCGAATAGATCTCTTCACAGAGATTGACGTTAGGGTCAGCGCCGCGGCTAAGGAGAAACTCGACCAGAGGAAGCTTGTCGGATATTATAGCAAAACTTCGGAAAGTAAAATTTAAGTATCAGTATATAGCGTCAGCAAATACTTGAGGATGAGGTTTTACCCTAAGATACCCCCAGCGCTGCCAAGGCTTAGGTTGATATTGTAACCACGCTGAATCATTTCGTCTATGAAGCTTACATCCCAACGTGTCTCGCTACTGCATGTTTGACAGGCAGCAATGACGCCTAGTATTACGTGCGCAGGTGTATTATCCATTGTGATATGAAAGACTGGCAAACTCGAAGCAATATTATTAGATATAATAAGGAAGGAAACCCCATATTGATACGGTGCTGTTTGAAATATTCCGATTTGAAGGCTTTGGTCATGTCACGTGCAAATCATTCCTCGACTTGAGGAGATGCTCTAGACAAACGGGACAGACGGGACAGACGGGACAAACGAGGTAAATTGGTTGATACCCACCTGGGCATGTTGTATTACATAGGTGTCATCTCTTAGAAATGACATGTAACTTGAGACTTTAACAGGCTAAAGAAGTCAAATTCCAGTCACTGAATACCTAAGCCATCCAACTATATGCATTTTGATAGGTTTCAATACTTTTTTCTTCAATATAAGTCAATATTAAGCATATTAAAAGGAACAACTTTAGAATACCTTCGTTTGGGTGAAAATAAATTTTGATAATGCTGTAAAATGACGCCGAGGTTAAGAGTCTTTGACCACTATTGTTGTTAAAGTACAAACAAATGTATTCACTTTTGAAAGATTCGACTTACCTAGGTAATTATAGGTTACTATTCACGTAAAATATGATTTTACCTTAACATTATGTATTTAAAATTCTTAGTGAATCTACGCTCTAAGTTACTCGAATAAAGGAACTACACGTACCTCCTTGTTTAACAAAACAATTGTTATGTCATTGTTTTAAAGTATTGTAATAAGAATAATCAATAGTAATGTCTCTGACTATTGATCTAATGGGTGGCACATATAAGCCCCTTTCCCTACTAAAACCCATTATATACCTGTTTAATGATATACGGTTGGGCTTGGGTAGGAAAGATATATCACTCTACGAGGTAATCACTATTCCAAGCTATCGAAATGAAGAAATCAAAGGAGCCTCTCGCGGTTGCTGTGATAAATCCAGTGGATGTTACGTCCGGTTCGCCCCCTGTGATTATCACTAACGGCGGGAATGCTTCCAACACAGATGCCACCAACCCAACAGGCCATGTTAGTCGAAGCCTCCCCACCCTGGATGAGTGTTTGGCTGAAATTAACGTTCTCCCAAATACGACAATCTTCTATTCAGGGCCCGGATATCATTTAAAGGTAGCGGAGGCCATTGAGAGTCGTAGCTATCTGAAAGGGTATCGATTACTGGTAAAATCGTGGCGGGACCCGAGTTGGCCCGACGCCTGGCAGTTCCACCCAGAAGAGAAAGAGCAGACGAAGTTTTGGGATGTGTGCTCACAGGCGCTGGCACTGACCACAAAAGGTACCGCTTATGTGATGCTTCCAAGGGGAAACGATACAGAGTGGACGAAGGGCACAACATGGGATAGGGTAGAGTGGCCGAATCTTGCCCCTGGCGTTAAGGTCATTCGTATTGACCCTGATAACCCGGAGTACCAGGAGATCATCAAGGAAGGAGACAGCCTCGCAGAGTGAGACAGAGCAATGCTATAGGTACTATAGAGATGGACTTACAGAAAACAAGGACTTCTCGCCAAACTTATGCTTTTTCTTTTGTGAGGATTCTAATATCGTAATTTGCCTTGACACCTAGGGTACGTAACCTAGGTAGGTAATACACCCGTGCCACCTGAAATTTGGACATGTATATGTTATAATAGCTACCTACCGTTCTATTAGAGCCTAATTTTCTATAACCAAAGACTTCATGTATGGTAGCTCATTAGTTGAGAAGCAACTCCCTGTCCTTACCCGAGACTATGACGTATTTACCTGTCTTTGGTGGCGTCTCCTTTTTGAGGCGTGCGATGAGTACGATCCATGGTGAAAGGAGGTCTAATTACTTGATGCATAGCTTGGCAATTGTAATTGTGTCCCTTTGCTTATATCTCTGTCGTACAACATTTGAAACTACGACGTGGGTAGAAGTTACTGGCCAAGAGTCAGATACGATGACCAATCTGAGCTCACCTCGCGTGCAAGAGTTCTCATCGAGATGATCAATACACCCTATGATTTGCTGCCCGTAGAGTATAAATTTCCTTATCTCCCACCTCCGCACTTTTTAAAGGCAGGAATTAGAAGGATTCTCGCATCATATATGTATGTAAGTAGATCTGACGTGCGTGGTGTATTACGCAGATGAGAAACTTAACAAACCAGAGAGAGCGTATTCCGAGACTGTGTAGATGCTGGCGGTATTCGTTTCGAACTACTATCTTTTGAAAGAATTCGCTAGACTTATTCGATGGCTCGGTAAGCTCACGGAAAACCGAAACCAAGAAGTTTAAATCCGAAATCTATCCCGGAGATTGGCGGTGAAGCTCAAGAGGCACTGCCGGAGCGGTCCAATATAATCCCGAATATTCCTGGCTCGTTTGGAGGACTTCTGCTTTCAAGCAGCAGGGGTGGTTTTTAGCGTTGTAAGGAATTGGCGAATCGAATAATCGCAATTTCTCTTGGTCCAACCGTTTACACGGCTAGTTCTGACAAACAACATAACATTCGACTTATATAAACGTATCTATTGTTTTATATTTTATTGAAATTACTAAATAGCACGACATATTGGTGTTAGACTCCCGGTATACCGAGAGATAGCTATCATGCATGATCTGGCTAATAACCAATAGCTGTCTAGTATCTCATACTCCACATTGACAATCCTTTCTTTTTTCTTTCTTTTTTTAGCTTTAAGATATGTCTGTGTTTTAGTTTAAGCAATGATTTCTCTCCGCTGGGGTTTCTCTCCGCTGGATTTATATTACTTTCTTGACTATCACTCACTTCCATAGTCAGACGCCCATAACCCATGGATTCAGATACACGAGATGACGAGGCGGCTCGCGATGGTCAAACGGAATCCTCACCGTTATTATCCGATTCGCAGCCATTGAAATCTGCTACCAGGGATAGCTGGGGGTCCGAATTATGGCTTCTCGCGCAGTACTCTATTCCACTCATAGCAACTTACCTTCTCCAATATTCATACAGTGTTATCACGACCTTTGTTGCGGGCCATATTAATGCAGACGCCCTCGCTGCTGCAAGCCTTGGTATGACCACGATGAACATCGTTGGGTTCGCTACGATTGAGGGCATGGCTACTGCTCTGGATACACTGTGCGCCCAAGCATATGGCTCTGGCAATCTTTTAAATGTTGGGCTGCACGTCCAGCGGATGTGGTTCCTCATGATCTTGACCGTCATACCCATTGGTGCTTTCTGGGTGCTTTCTCCGTGGGTGCTGTCCATCTTTGTGCGACAGCATCATCTGACGGTCATGGCTGGGACGTTTATGCGGGTTAGCTTGGTCGGCCTGCCTGGATATGCGTCGTTTGAAGCGGGCAAGCGATTCCTCCAAGCTCAAGGGGATTTTAGAGGCGCTATGATTGCCATTCTTATATGCACACCCATCAATGCATTCCTGAGCTGGCTCTTCGCCTTTAAACTTGGGATGGGCCTCAACGGTGCTGCATTGGGAGCTGCTCTTACTAATAACCTTCGTCCTGTCCTACTTCTTGCTTATATACTTTTACCGACCGGGAAGTGGTCACACCAGTGCTGGGGTGGCTTCTCACGGGATGCTTTCTCTAAATGGGGACCTATGGTGCGGCTCTCCGTCGCAGGTACTGCGGTCAACTTGGGAGAATGGGCCGCTTCTGAGCTTTTGACTTTCAGCACGTCCTACCTCAGTACAAATCATTTGGCAGCACAGTCTGTTTTGATGACCATCTCGGTCGTATCCTGGCATATCCCTTTTTCTATAGCGGTCGCGATAAGTACGCGTATTGGTCATCTCATTGGAGCTGGTCATGTTGCGAGAGCTCGGCGCGCTGCTGTGTTGTACGCTGTAGTATATACGCTCGTAGGTAGTGCCGACGGCTTGATTATTTTCTCTCTGCGAAACCACCTTTCGGCATTCTTTTCAGACGACCATATTGTCTGCGATCTCGTCTCCAAAACCATGCTTGCCGTTGGCGTGTTCCAGATTATGGATGCCGTCATCTGCTGCACGAATGGCATACTTCGTGGGCTCGGCCGCCAATCTGTCGCCGCTTGGGTGGTATTAATAGTAAACTATATAGCCACTGTCCCCGTGACGATATGGCTAGAGTTAGGATCTCCAAGGTTGGAGTTGAATGGTGTCTGGGTCGGGCTTGGTGGCGGTATGGTGTTGATCGCAATTATCGAGGGGCTCTATATGAAGGCCTTGAGATGGCAGGATTGCGTAGCTAGCGTAAAGCTAAGAGAGGGTATGTAGTTGAAGATTTGCACCGGTTGGGTTTAACCCCTTTTTAACTGTACTGCTTCAACATAGGGGCTAAGTTATGAACCCCCCCCTCCATTTGCGTATAACAAGTCTTTATCATAAAGGGGCATCTAAATGCCATATTATTGTATCAAACGTTAAAAAAATGATATTATATATCGGTGTCACGGACTTGTGATAGCTGCAATACAACTCTGGATAAATCCTTTCGGAGATGGTCGAATCCGGCGTCCTTTGATACGGAGGCGGCAAAACACGGCATCTATGGTGTTAAGAAATTTATATAAGCTATTTGCCTTTGAAGAGAAACCATGCAAAGCGCAATCGTTCAACGCAAAGTGGAACTTTGCTTCTAGACTGAAGAGGTTACACTTCGACCAAACAAATTGCTGAAGAACACTTCTTTCCTAGAAGCAAGATGCATTGTGAATTCATTATGAGGGCATACTTCTTCATTACTGTCGCCTCGGCTTCTAGCATTCCTTTAATATAAACTGTTACGGAAGCAACTACATCTAATACAGTCAAGTGTTCCATTGAGGAGGGCTCACTCCAAGTTGTTAGGATCACGGAGTTTAGTTTCGGTCAACGTAAGCTTAATTTCCTGCCACTTGGGCTAATTGCCGATGAATTGACTCCTTATCGTATGTCTAAATACACTAACAACTTTTGACCCCTGAGTTGATATGTTCCGTATAGCGCACGCTGACTCTTTACATCTTAGTGGACACTCATCCAGGAGATATCCCCCCACGCCCTAGCATGGCGACCGTCTCCTTCTTTGTGACAAACCCTGTGGGATGACGGCAAGCATGCAGCGGCTTCATAGTACAGCAACAGGACGGCGAGTGGCAGGATAAGGATGGGACTGCTTGGTTTAAATGTGGAACGGAGAACACTCCAGACCCGACATGTTGGAACTGTACGCATTTTCAATCTGGATGGGGACACGGGAGCCCGGGATGGCATTTCGCTATCAACCAGACTTGGCCTTGCACGAGTCCTGGGGGTGCATGCGAGTGAGTGTAACTCATCTTTAGTGTGATACACTCAGCTGTATGAAGAGAAATGTTCGATGGTGCTAATATCTCCCCTTTCTAGAATTTCCTATCAGCTCTCTGGATCGACATCGTTAACTCCTGACTGCACCACGGACACGAATTCGTATACTGGCCGCACTGCGCCGGACTTTTCTCTCCCTCTGGAAGTATATGGTCATGGAACCCTTGATCCAGGATGTGAAGAGTAACCTAGAAACGGACCTAGGGTAGAATGAGAGGGTATCAAATTCTCTATAGCTGGATTAACTGCGAGTAAGCGATACGCCTTCTTTCCTCCACAAGATTTAGCACAATGGTCGGCTTTATATCCCATGTAATCCGCGTAAAAGCATCCTAACACGTATTTCCGAGGTTTGCCTCTGGTCCCCATAACCTGCTATCTTTGGAAGATGGGAAGTATTTAGGTCTTAGTCTGCTCGTTGCTGTTTACCTGGACTACGACCTCTTCGATATATCCTTGATCCATTTTACAAGACTTGTCAGAGCCCTGGATCCGATGGGACATCACCATTTGTCTCCATTTAGCAGCGAATATAAAGAGTGCAGAAGCAAGGGTCACAGTTCCAGCCCAGATTTGCGCTTTCATGAAGCCTCCACTCTCGCTTTGAATTAACGCACCTGCTGTCGGAGGACCCGCTAGCGATGCAAATGCTAATACGGAAAACACCATCCCAAATCGTGTTCCCATCTTACTGGGGTCTGTAGTTAATGATACGAGCCCTGCTACCAATACTATTGGAATGTAGAGTATTAGCAGCCTTTCGCGATGGGAGACGTGATTCGGAGGGGGAACTCGAACACTTACTCCCTTGGGCTGCCCCAGTAGCAAGTCCATAGAATACCGACCAAACATATAAGCCGGCAACGGTATAGATCGCAATCCAAGAATATAGTAGTACGCCTAAAATGGTAGTAGCAATGATCAGAGTGGACAGGGAACCGAAGTATCGATCAGCAGCAAAACCTAGAATGGGTCGTACTGGGATGCCGACGCTGGTAATGACTACGAGTAGATTCACAGCCGCTTCAGGAGTTAGGCCAATAATCGAAGTAGCGTAGGTGTTGATATAGAAGAAGCAGAAGTATAGAGCCCAGAACATTAGGAATGCCCCAATAGTGAACAACATATAAACTGGCTCTTGGAACGCTGACCATTCAACCAATGGACCAGACTTACGAGGTGGGAGCCGTGGACGGAGTAGGAGGTTGATGATGATTGCAAATGCAAGAGCAACATAGCCTTGAACCTGAACAGCTCGAGAAAAACCAATAGTAGTTTGAAGATTCTGTACGATAAGAGGGAATATAACGCTCCCAGTCCCGCTCCCGGAGGAAGCTAGTCCTAAGGCCATCGCTTTGTTCTTCTTCCAATATGAGCTGATGACGGCTATAGCCGGCATAAACAAGATGCCCATGCCGAGGCCTGTACACAACCCCTGAGCGAGGAAGATTTGCCAATACGTCGTTGCTAGGCTTGTCATGAATGTTCCGAGCACAATCAGGATCGACCCGAGCAGAGCTGTGTGCTGTGCGTATCCGGCATCGGCAGAGCGTCCCGAGAGCGTTCCCACGAAGAATGTGAGGAAAACCTGAAAGGAGCCTATCCAAGATACCTGCGACTCGGGTAGCGATAATGTAGTTGTGTAATAGAGTTGGTAGACGCCGAATGAAGCAGAATATCCCCATGTAAGGGCGTTGATTAAGTGACCGGCAAGGATCTGAAGCCAGGCTCGAGAGCCACCATCAGGGGGGGGGCCTGGATCACCTTCGATCATGGGATGGAAGAAGAATCCTAAAATACGAGTATGAAGCCTCATTATTTTAGAATTCGAAAAAGAAATATGGTTATAAGTCGGTCAATGCGTATTGTGGAAGCTTCGATAGCTCCAACAGTCGGAGGAAATACTCGGTAGTAGAAAGGGGATATCAGGTAACGGAAGCTAGATAAACACAAGTTTACATCTACCTAGGAAGAAAAAACTATGGCGGATTAAGAGATGAAGAAGAATGACGACGGAAGCGTTTATATAATATAAGGTTGCGCATTTTTGAACGCTTAGCTTGAAGTAGTCTTATCGCTAAGGAATGATACATCTGGATGGGTTCATAAGAGAAGTTCTATGATTGAGTGGTAGTTGTCAATGGAAAGGCGCAATAACTGGGGCCTATAGGGTGGCATTGGAGGTCCCACCGCCATGTATTTTGCTACATCTTTATAGCTTTCGGTACTGTTTTTATGGGCCCGTCGTAGTGTTGTGATTTATAAGCTGCTATTTGTTAACTTTGATTAAAAAAGATTATCATACAGTCTACTTTTACCTGCCTTCTATGAGATACGCTGGGATCGTAAACAAATGACATTCGTGCTTCTCCTATAGGCTATTATATCCCATCATTTTCAATACAGGGCAACTCGGCGGGCTATCTCATACTACCTACCTACCTAGGTACCTAACTGTGATTGTTATCTTTTATAAGACTTTCCCAGGACGAAGAACTCCCCTTTGATATTCTATACAAGGCCACCAAGGGACTTTTCATCTTTTATCAGAATAATATTCTTAAGGCCGGAAATCTTCTTGAAGAATATTGGATGGAATCATTATGTCCAACGATAAAGTCCAAATATTTAGCTGTCAAGCTTTGCCAGCTGATGTCTTGCCTGTTCAGCGACCTGGTTACTCTCTAATCCAAATTCCGGCTCTTTTGAGCCCCCAACTTCCTGAGACACGGGCAGAATAGTGTTCTCAGCTTTGTGCTTCTGGAGAATGGCTATTGCGTTTTTACTCAAGCAAGCCGGTCTAATACCCTTACCCTCTTCGCTAGCTACAAAATTGCTATACCGTAGTAGTTCTTCGTAGATAATACGCTTAGGCGCGTATGGGTAGTCGCTACCGTAGAGAACGTTCGACGGCGAGGTAAACGCTAATAGTGCCTTGAGTTGTGGGGTACTTGTGGAAAGGGCGATGTCATAGTAAAAGCGCCCGAGAGCATGTTTGCTAGAGCTCGATATTAAATCGGAATAATATGTAGTTGGAACAAGGATATAAATACTCACGCCTCAGTGACACTAGTGCGGGATTGGCTTTGGAAGGCCGGCTCGGCAAGGAACCCAATAGCCCGCTGTGCAATAAAAGGGATCGTCCCGCCGGCATGACTCAGAATTATGTCAACATTAGGACAAGCGGTCGCTATCCCAGAAACAAGAAGTGACACAACGGCTCTTGTTGTAGCATGAGTAAAGTCAATAACCGGTGCGGGAAGATACCCTCCCACCTTTTCTGGCGTAATGTTCAGGACGGTGGGATGGACAAAAACAAGTGCCTTGTAATTTTCCAACGACTCCCAGATGGGTTTGAAGTGTTCATCTCCCAACAGTCGCTCTCCGTACGAGGTCATAACAATAACCCCATTCGCCTTTTTCTCCTCCTCAAATATGTGTTTGATTTCCTCAAGAGTTCCCTCGACGTCGTTGAAGTCCGGCAAAGAAGCAAAAAAGCCAAACCGACCTTTTGCCCCAGAGCAGACTTCCCACACTTCATTATTGACCGCTCGCGTTAACTTTCTACCTGCTTCGGTAGGACCAAAAATGGCGGGACCTGGTGTAGTAACGGAAAGGACAGAGAAGCTTTCCCCAATGGTGTCGCAGAAGCGTACACAATCTTCTAATGTCCAAACAGGAGTTGACCAGCCACTTGGATCACCTCCGATATCACTTATAGCCTTTAAGTAGCTGGGGGTAGTGACATGAATACTGTTGAATCTTTTTAGCTATCACAGTTTCTTTTAATCTACTGGGTTGTATCTTACTGAGTGTCGACCAGACCTGAGCCGTTGGTGCTAGAGACGGGTGGAGCCATGATGTTCGGAGCTGGCCGGGAATTAATGTCGTTAGAAGAAAATTGAGGAGAAAAGGCGCGGCGTGAAGAAATAGAGAAAGAGAAAGAATTAACAGTTATACGAGGCTGTATATATAATTACTACCAAGTGGGCGTGTGATAGATGGCCTGTCATAACGTACAGTTGCATCGGTATTTCGTCATCCGATCATATTCCTCGTTGGACTTAAGAGCGAGCCTCCGTTCCTAAGTATAGCGGGAGACTTGCCTAAATTTGGTAGAATCTTTCCCGCTACGGAGGCCGAAGTCGTGCTCGCGAGTAGCAATGCCGCGCATCATATGTTTCCTATTGTGGGAAAACCGGTAATATGGGACTTTAAGCCCGCAGGATTGGCTTAAGCCTCCTATACCTTATTTCCCAGAACGCTTTCATGCATGCAGTTCTTCCCGAGTAATGATTTATCATGTTTAGATAACGTAGATTCCTTACACTATGGGGGATAGTAAACCCACATCACACTGTCATCAATCTCTTGGACGCTTTTATACTGGATACATACGCCCCCGGATTCACTGTTTAAGTAGCAATATACGTATGCGACTCGGAATTGTTCGCAGTTACCTTGTCATAGAGTCTGTATCATTCTCCATTAGTTGCTAGGTATTTGAAATTAGCTATTGGTGTGCATTAGGAGCGGCATACATCATGGCTTGCATCGCACTTGAGTATAATATTAATAATTCTCAGCCACTTAATTAATAAATCAGTTCCCGGCTGAGGTTCCATAACTTATATAGCTTTATACATAACCGTCTAATGTGTAATACTGAACTAATATATAGTTAATGATTTGGATGCCTTATAACCTCTAGTCAAGAGGAGGTTGTTTAGTAATATATAGGTACCTAGGTACCTGTTGTGAATATGCACAGTTCCTCCTTACATGCACGTGTATTGTGCATGGTACATCGGTATGTACTATGTAAAGTGCTTACATGGACGTGCGTATCGCTATTTTTTGTCGGCCCGCCCCGCGTCATACTGCCCAGACCCTCCGCACTTCGCATGGAAAGATCCTTAATGTCCTCTCCCTCTCCCCTCGAATTTCTATCTACACCGACTCCTCCTCATGTCAGCTGCCTGGTCTTGCATGAACGATCACCTGAACGACCTGCATTCGATAATGAGGTCGTCATGTCTAATTGAATAGACATTTATACATAATCCGCCAAATGCATTAACCGACTAAATGCTCTATTCCTCAAGTTTCCTATCGACCGCTGGCAGTGATGCAAGACTTAATTCGAAAACGTTCGACCTAGTCTTCATTGCGCGCTAATATATCCCATTTGATCTGTTGACAAGGGGTTTCTGCAAGTCGGGGTATTGTAGTCTGAGTTTAGAGCCAAGATGGTTGACTGCGTATCATTCTCCGAGGGAGTTGATGCTCGGGCTATAACACCACTTGAGGTCTGATTTTGAAAATGCGAACGGTCTAATCCATCGTCCAGAATGTTATCGGGTTCGTGCCAAAAATCCAAGTCAAAGTTTGACACCCATGCTCTGATCTTTGAATCACTGCTGTCTCTATTTCTCTTGGGAACTTCTGTGTACTCGGTATCCAGCTCCTTTAGAGAGGCGTTCCTCTGCGGCGCGTCAACGAACTGGACCCATGCTCCGATGCCCCGCAACGCGCTTGGATCTTTTACGTACGACGCCATCATAGTGAATAGTAGGGATGAATTGGAGGAAATGAGAATTGCTATAAGAAATGGAACTGGACTCATTACAGCAGAGTTGCTTCCTTATATTTCGGCCATTTTCATTTTACATGCCATACCTTCGTAATGCTACAAGAGCTTCCTTACCTCTGGTGTTTACCTGGGCTGGGTAAGGTGGACAGTCGGTGATTGACGGTGAAGGAATCTGATATAATTGACCAAATGACCAGTATAAACAGGTATATCGCACTTCATATCGTGTACTTCAAGACCGCTACATGCCTACGGGAGGACCGACTCTACGAACGGGCTGCAGTGGATACATAAATCGGATAATGGCAATGTTGGATTGGATGAAGACTTGCGACCCTACGATGTTGCCGACCGACGCTAACCCCTTAATGGAGCGGACCGCCATGTCAGCCCTGTCAGCCCTACGGTAGCCCTACCTACCTTAATGCCCTATGAGCCGACCGCTCTTCATCGTCTTCACATTCTTAGGTCGTCTCTCTGGATAGCCATTACCTACTCGAAACCGTGTAATGTGGGTTGTTAATGTCATCGTTAACAGGCAATCTCTTAGATGGGTCCCATCGAAATTCTCTTAGAGCTTCAATTCACCAAATATGGCGAATAATCTTATACCGTTAGAAGGATTCCATCTGGAAGACCTCCAAGATACACCCTGGGCTCTCTTTGACATGGATCTCATAGAAGAGGATTCCGCTGAAATCGACATGCTAGTTGGAGACCCAAATTCTCACCAATTTGATATCTCTTCCGCTACAATCGACACTGTGTGTGAAAATACGCCGGGTTATGGTAGTACAGTCAACAGTAGTATTGAGCGGAGGCGGTCCGGTGGCGAAGAGGTATTGGGTAAGTTTAGACCCGATATGACCCATCTACCCTACCTCGGGCTTAATTTTTCAAGATATGAATAATCCAATCATTTTAAACGACTATGCATCCCTGGTGTTGTTTGCGAATAACCCATCAGCTCACCATCATGACATCGAGAACTGCGACTCGTCTAATCAGAATACCATTCAAGCTCTTGCAGCTAAACTCGACCTTCAATATTCCTACAATGATTCTCTCCGGACAATTCGGCTCCAAAAGAAGAGCTTCGGAAAGGACCTTGAGCAATACTCGCAACAGCTAGGGACGACGACTCAGGATTCCATAGCGCCATTCACACATCAGGTATCTTCGCCTTCGCCTCGTTGGAATCCCAGTAACACTACAGGAAGACGACCCAGAAACTTTCCTGATACAAGCAGCTTATCCCCTTTCCTTCACACTGATGTAGCCATGGATATGGATATGTCATCTAGTGACTTAAACTTAGGTTGGTAACCAGCAGAGATACCTTTCAGTGAGACATGATCCAATACTCATCGTTGAATAGGAAATACTGGTTCGCTGAGAGGTGTAAGGAATAACTCTTTGGCAAACCCACAATATCATGATTTTTCGGAGGACGAGCAAGACTTGAGCCGGATGGCTTCACGACCAGTACCCTCTTCATTGAGACATGGTTCCTGGATTGGATTGTCTCGCACATTAAAGGAGGTCGGGGCTTGTTGGAGATGCAAGTTTCTTCGTAAGAAGGTATGTCAATTGTTACGACTTAATGAGTAATATACGTGCTGATCCATGCCAAGTGCGATCCCGATCAACCATGTAAAGCATGTCCTAGGTCTGGAACCATTAACTCACGATGGCAGGCTATAGGTTGTAAACGCGGTACCCTGTTGGATCATATGCCACGCATCTCTTTATGTCCCAAGTCCAATGCGCATGGCGTGATCGATACTAGTTCTATCTTTAATCAAACGAAAGGAAGACCGGATATTCTGGAAGATATGGATGTTGGCTCATGTCTTCAAGACGCCTCTGATCGCCTCGACAACGTTTTTGTCTCCGAGGGTGACACGTACATAAAAGTTGTGCTTGAGATTTTATGTTCTCCTATGGCTATCGTGGCGAACAAATCTCTATCACTTAGGCATGATGTCGAAGCAAATGCTATCCACATAGCTTGGGGCCTCATCGATATTACTTCAGCGAAAGAAATCCTGCTTATAAAATCCGTGGAACATATTCTCGACGTCATCAAAGCTGCTATTACCTATGAAACGGAGTATGGTCAAGTAGGTTGAGAGTTTACGTATCCATTCTTTCATTTACATTCTCCGCTAACACTAACTTCTACCTTTAGTCGCAAGCCGTTCCACTAGCTATCAAGTGTCTTAGGAATTGTATCGATATATTACGGCTTCAGGATGGCGGCCATTTGACGTACGAGCTGCACGATGATTGTGTACCCGGTGTATGCTGTGTTCGACCCTTTCAGGAGTTGAGTTCCAATATAAAAGCCTTTACGGACGAGCTCTCGAAAGTCATATTCAGAAAAGAGAACCGACTCCATGAAAAAAGATGGTGGCTATCGGCTTTCTATAGCCTCTGGATCCAATCCTATGTCCGCCGAACCATCAGATTTCTAGAAAGCCAACCGGAATTTCAATTTACATCGGAGACGAAACAAACCTACTCAACTTATCTCCTGCTTGCAGTGGAACTCTTCGACGCGACATCGGCTTCATTTGATCCTCTAATGTCGACCTGGTCGCTCGAGGAAGAGCCTCAAAATATGGACGTAAGACTCATGAAGTACTATCGGCTTGCACAGAAGGCTCTTCTCAGCGAAGCATGGGCATACGATACCGTTAGTTCCGTCGACCATCTAAGGCGCCTTTACTATGATGGAGACGTACCTTCAACCACACAGTCCAGGGGGGAGACACTATTATCTCCTTCATCGTATTTAGGGAATGATGATGCCGAATACCATAATGCGAGACCTCCAAACTTTCAGTCTCACAAATTAACGCAGTCTCAAGGTCGATTTTCAGTTCCATTAAGAACCCGATCTAGTGCGAAGCGTCGGGCTGGATCCCCCTTACAAGATGTGAACTTTATCCGGCGAAATGGAAGTTCTTCTAGCATGTTAGACAGCAGAGACGTACGGAGTCGAGCTTTTTCGATAGCCAGCCCAGGCTCTCCAATGTCTTCCGCCTATTCATTTGCTTATGGTACCAGTAGTTCAACCAGATGGAATGGAAGTGGGGATAGTTTGGCGGAGATGGCGAAACTCTACGGAACTAGCCCACCTAACCCTCGTGATCAACCCGACTATTTAAGTCCATCGAAGGGTCATAGGTCTTCATTACACCACAAAAGCAGCAATGAGAGCTTCCTTGAACTCCCAAGGACATTAAATAAACGACGACCAATAAATATCCCTGCTTCTCCCAAAGATAACCTTCCGGGTTTCTTCCTCTGCGAGTGTTGCCCAAAGAAGCCCAAGAAGTTCGAAACTATGGAAGAATTAAGGTAAGAGGTGTAACTCTATCCAGGGCCTATCTGAATCTAGACTATTAATTCCAAGGTGTATAGGGTATGCTAATTATCTAATAGTATTCATAAAGCAGAGAAACGGCACCAATGCAGTTTCTGTGGTGCTCGCTTTAAGTCAAAGAACGAAGCTGAGCGGCACGAGAACAGCCTACACGTTCGACGGCACGCCTGGGCTTGCTCGAACATGTTAAGCGTTGGCTATATGAATATCTTCCAGGAGAGCGCCAACCAGTTAGGCATATTTGATACGTGCGGGTATTGCGGAGAAGATTTCCCTCGGAACGGAGAGGGCATGCCAATGTATGCTAATGAGCAAGACTGGGAGGACCGCCTCAATCATGTGAAAGATGTTCACAAGTTTGGAGAATGCAACTCGGCGAAGCAATTTTATCGGGCGGATCACTTCCGCCAGCATCTGAAACACTCGCATGCTGCCACTTTGGGTCGGTGGATAAGTGCGATCGAGAGTAGGTGTATGGCTGACCTCCCCGAGCCGTGAGGGTCAATGGATGGGCACTGATTGGCCCTGGACATATTTTGAAAGTGTACTCTACCTACTAGTTATGGGCTCAGGAACTCGAAAAGTTTCTTGTTTTTGATATTAAGCAATGTCACTCTGAATACAATAACACCGAATGTTACGTTACTGGCATCATCGTCGCCTCTATTCTGACCTTTTTGATGGGGTTAGGTTGAGAGAAGGGTCTCGTGCGGCATGTAGTATCGAACGATTCCAGCGTCATACTGCCACACCTTATTGTGCATAAAGGGCTACTCAGGGGGCATTGCAGGTGCAGGTAAACTCAAACCTGGTTTTCGACCTGCAGGCTCATGAATACCTGTTCACAGCTGAGTCAATATACATAATAATATCCTAAGCAACAAGGTCCACAACCCATGAAGTTTTTCTATTACTCCAACCTGCAATAGCGCCGAGTAGCGTAAACAAATACTCTCATAGACGTCCATAACGTAAAAAAGACAAAACGGCGACGTCCATTTGACCCGTAAACCCAGTGTCGACCGATAATAAGCGACCCTTCGGTGAACCTTAGGTAGTCTTGTTCAACAAAACAAAAGGATAATATTGGAAATTCTTTATCCAACACCATTAATTCGCCAAACATCCTAAGGTCGGTAAGTAGTAATCTTGCCAAAGGTATCACTCTTGCCCCAGATTCCAGCTTTTAATCCAGCCAGCTGGACGATCTGAGAGTGGTCAACGAAGAGGTTGACGTCGACGCCGAACTCTCGAATGTACCTAAATAGAATAGAGTCAGCTTTCTAGGCCACATGTATACTACATAATCTTCAATAGAAAATAAATAGCAAAGCTCACCAGTTGAAAACCGACGGATCAGCCGCTTCAAACATGACATTCTCTAGCGGTAACTCTCGTAGAATATCCTGGATGACGTCCGTGCGCCAAGTCTGCACATTCTCCGTGATGCCCTCGCTCTCAATCATAACGCGCTCAACGCCAGTGTCCTGAAAGAACCGCTTCGCCATATTAATCACCTTACCCGGGTCGCTCGTGCCAATACTCCGTAGCTCCGCAGCGGAGGTATCGCCGCCGGCGCCGAACTGGATGCCGAGCTCGGGCTTGGGTTTCAGGCCCGCCTTCTGCACGCGCTCCGCTAGCCGCAGCCAGTCGTCAGGCGGTAGCGACAGGAACCCCGTGCTCAGCTCGATCACGTCAAACCCTAGGTCCTTGCACTTGGCCAGGTATTTATCGACGGCCCCGGGTATGTCGCCGCCGCTAGAGGCTAGGACGTGCTCGATCCAACCGCCCGTGCTCACGTAAACCCCGTGCGCATGCGCTAGGTCAATTAACTGCCGCAGCGGACGTTCCGTGAACAGGCTGAAAGATCCGCCGGCGAATTTGAGTCCGTCGACATGCGTGCCCATCGTCTCTAGCACGTCTGAGAGGTACCGCGGGCCCATGACGGTGTAGTAGGGTCCCCGGATCTCGGTCACGGAGCGGGTACGCGGCTTCGGCGGCGCCGGGTTGTGCCGCACGAACCCGAATCCGGAGTCCCGGTCCTCGAGGAGGATCTTGGGTTGCGGCGACGACGATGCAATTGCTGCTGTGGCTGTGAAGGGGCGGGATGCGATGGTATTAGTGGTGATGGGCACAGGCCTAGGTAGACTTGCGCCCGTGGATTTGCCCGTGCGGACATAGCGTAGACCTGCGGCCGTGAGGGAGCGCAGTGGAGTTGCCATTTTAGGAAATTGTGTTTTTACTTTAGTGGTTGGCGTTGTTCTCACTAATAGTTCGACTCTGAGTTAAAGATTACAAAATTTCATTCAAAGGTGTTTAGTAGCTACTTCATTTCATGCGGTTTGTTTGATCTATTATGTTTGAATTGAAAAGTTTTTACTTGAGGTTTTCCTGTTGTTCTGTTTGTAGAACTGAGATAGCGTCACGATAATGCTATGATTAACGTCATATGATGTCAAAGAGTCTCGATATTTGCTCAGCTTCACTAAGATAGGAATGATCAACACAAGAACACGAAACCCCCCTTTAAACCTCGGTATAGCAATATATCGAGGGAGATTTTCCTTTGCATGCATTAGATTTCTTGTTCGCTCTTCTTGATCTTGTCCTCAAGTGCGAGGGAGACACGGTACCTCATTATCCATTTACATCTGATTGGTTGAGACCTGACTTTTGTACCCATCCTGTGTAAAGTGGCACGTTTTAAGTCTTTTGAAAGTCTTAAGTTGTCAATATGTAAAATTATCTCAACATAGCTCAACCACCTATAACCATTTCAGAATAGCGAAGACAACTATTTGCATACCCACTTACGCCGTCGAACTTGTTAATAGATAGGTTCTATTATTATGTTCAATAACGATATTCAAATGCCCCACAAGAGGCGGTTTAGACCTACATAAGAACCGTGCCGCCCACGCCGCTATGGCACCTTTACAGCCCTAACAGAACCCCAGAACCCCCAATGCTCACCTGCCAAGTAAGCAAGCATTAGGTACCTGATTAGAACGAGATGTTGCAAGGGCTTCCCCTGCTTAGGTCACACATATATATGATATATGCCGTAGTGCTAAAAGTAGAAGAGTGCATAGGATTCTATTGGAAATGATCCCGACCAAAAAAGAACAAGTGTGGAGGCGTAAGTTGGGAATCTGCTTCTAATATTATTCTAGAACACTTCAAACAGGCATCAGATATACCTTAGTTTGCGTCTCACCATTTCGTCCTGAGCTGGGCTAAGAACTCATTTAGTGCCCAACACTTATGGGGTGTAGTTACACTGGTTACCAAAATCGAAGTAGTTTACGTAATAGCATTGGACGAATTTACGACGTCGTGCTAGTATTGACTCGCCATCTATGAAAGGAACAATATGGATGCATTATAATTACTTGATCTTGTGGCACAGGAAGCTGTCCTGGCCATGAGAGTTACCAGCCGATTTTCGCATTCCCCTTAGCCATACATACAAACCTGGAGCCGTTTCCAGGGACCAGGTACAACAGCCGCAGATTCCCCGCCGCTTGGGCAAGGAGTAAATCAACTCTAAATAAGCAAGGACCGTGCATTATGGACCCTTGAGATTCATGATAGGTTTTGGGTAGATCATAAGTGTCTCGTAAATCATTATCTGACTTAAGGTCTAGTTGATTAACACGTAACCCTAGCAAGTCACTGGTGGGCGAGAGTACTGACACATTGTAGAGACGTGTACATGGGACGAATCCTGGAAATGTCAGGCAAACAGATCGATTCAGGCACTGCTTAGATCACTCGTACTAGAAAGTTAATAGGTACCTTGCTCATGGTTGGCTTTACTACCTGACTACATGTTGGACTAAGGCTACAGATGAGAGGTTTCTCCCCTCTACTCACCTTACACAATATGTCGTATTACCGCTTACCTCAACCAACTCATCATAATTACAATTCACTAGCTTCAACACCACGTTGCTAAGAGTAATGGATGATATGGATACTGAACTGACTATCAAGTATTAAAGCTTCACGCACGGAGTGAGTTGTAATTGAGTAATAAGCAAGTGCAATCTTGTATTCCCAATTGTACTTGTCCTTATTGTCTTAGAACTTTCTAAAGCTCACGGGGTATGGCTACGCCCTATACAGGGGCCGACACAATATCAGACACGGCTGTGGCAGACTGCGTTAGGCGGAAGTCTTCGATGGAGAGGTGGAAAGAGCTAGACACGGGCTTCGAATAGCTTTAAAGATTAACAACAGGCACCTAATTTACGTATGCCTAGATAATACGGCAGTTATTAAGAGGCTTAAAAGGAAACTACTCTTAAGTTTTTAGAAGGCTTTTTTAAATTTCTAATATTTAGTTACATTAACGGACGTTAAGGTATGTTAAATACTTGGCCATATTAAGGTTGTAAAAAACAAATAAATTAATAAATTAGTTAAATAAGGTATTATATTCTTAAAAAACTTAAATAAAGCCCCGATATATGCCGCAATATTTTGTTAATGCCGCGTTAAAATAGTTATAAATTTCCGAAAATAATAAGTTAATAAAGCTAAACCTTTAAATTTATACCGATTTTTTAAACTATTAGTTAAGTTTAAATGTTTACAAAAATTAAAACTGCCGAAAAAAATATTATATTATTTTTTAACCGTTTATTTTAAATATAAAAACTTTATATAATATTATAAAAAATTTAATTATTTAAATGTTAAATTAAATTATATATTGGTAAAAAGTTTTAATAAAATTTAAAAAATTTAAATATTTTTTAAAAATTAACCCCCGGTATTAAATACCAAATAAATAAAATAAAATTTATCCGAAAAACTTAAATTAAAAACTTTTAACTTACGAAAAAAAAGTTTATTTTTTTTAATCGTTTTTTTTTAACTTTAAATTTTTACTTTTATTATCTTTTTTTAATTTATATACGGAAAGATTATAAAAAACCATAAAATTAAAATAATTTAAAAATATAATGTTTAATAATATACCATATAATAAAAACATTTTAAAATTATATTTAATAATTAAATTATAATAAAACGATATTTATAATTAAAATAAATTTTATACTTTTAAAAATATAATACAAAATAATTTAAAAATAAATTAATAGCGTTTTAATAAATAGTTTTTAAACATTAATTTTATATTAAATATAAATTTATTTAAAGAAATTAATAAAAATAATTAAAACATTATTATATATATTTTTTAAAATTAAATTTACAAAATATTAAAAAACTAATAACATAATATATATATAAACAAATATTTTATATATTAATTTTAAATAGTTTTATACGTTACATATTTTTAAAAAAGTTTGCAAGGGCTAGTTTTTCCCTTTTGCCTTGGCGTTAAATATATTAACCAATTAATTAACCAACCAACTTTTTAAAGCTCGAGCATCATGTACGATATGGATGATACATAAACCATTCCCGCATATATAAAGGTTTCAAGGCATAAACCTTTCTTCATGGGCCTATTACGCCCAACGGCACACATTCAATTCTTCACAGCAATACGGGAAAATAGCGAGTAACGAAGTATTATGCCTTGACGTACTTCTCAACATGACGAAGCCGGAATTTCCCGATTTCAGCGTCCAGGATGATGATGACGCAGCAAAGATTCTAGAGGAACTGTTCAATCTTTCCGACTATGTCAATGATCTTGAACCTTGGGAGATTCTGTCTGACGATGCGGAAAGTACGCTTATCACAGCTCTCAACTGGATACCGTACGCAATACGCCAACTTAATGACGCCAGGGTCAGGCTCGTCAATACTAACGAGGGGGCATGGTATGATGTCCATACTGCATTAAATCTCTTACGCATCTTCCAACCAAAAATCGAAAGTGTCCTTGAATATAATGAAGAGCTGAAGGAGGAGGCAAAAGAGAAAGAGGAGCAAGGTGAAAGGCAAGGGAGTTAGGGTCAAGCTCTTCATGGTGATAGCTTTTAGTGTATTTACCATATATTCATGCGCTACGGATGTAAACATCGTTCGCAAGTACTAGTACACACGTTTTCCATCAATAACCCTTAATAATATCAGCCGCCTTCTCGGCAACGGCATAAACTGAAGACAAGATGTTGCCGCGGGGGATAAGCGGGAAGATATTAGCATCAACGATGCGGATATTCTCCGTCCTATACACGATAAGTTTTGGATCCACCACTCCTCCCTTTTCCCTTGGTAACATGGCCGCCGAGCCGCAACCATGGTACGCTGTAGTGACTGGGCGCATCCCAAGCTGGCAAAATTCTCAGGGAGCAGTTGTGTGCCGACAAAGCTCTTGCCGCCCTCGTGCAGGTTTGTCTGCGCCAGGAACATGAGCCACGCCGTGGAGCTGCTCTCTGGGCTTTCGAGAATAGAACGGACTGTGTCGTAATACTCCTCTTCCTTGGCCGCCTGAGCACGGGGAAACTTGTCGAGCAGCTCAGCGACGTTGGAAGTGGGCATGTAGGCGTGGGACTGCATGCCGCTGATGGTGAACGGACCGGTTTTGTGCTCGGCATAGAGCTTCCGGGCCTGGGAAGGATACTTTAATAGGGCCCGAAGTGCCACGATACTTGTCATTGATCCAATCGATTCCAAGATGGTCTAGCGTGGCCTGATCTGGCGGGGGTATAAGCGTATATGACTTCTTGTACGAGGGGACTAAGCTAGCCCAGTCACATCCGGGGTTGCCTAGCTTTGCCCAAGCATCAATTTCAGCCTAGGCTAGAGCGATGAAAGCATGGCTGGTGATGACTGACGAGCCACCGAGGGCCTTGCCCTGAAGGTATCGAATGGATCAGCCTCCTAGGGCGGGTTGAGGTACGCATTTGTATTGCCAGTCAGCATCGGAGCCCATAAGAGATGTCTAAAAGGCTGGAACGTTGACCTTAGGATCAACAGAAAGGTCCTTCCCGGCCTCGAGCACCAAGACTTTAACATCGAGATTTTCAGACAAGCGGTTGGCGACAACGAGGCCGGAAGTGCCGCCGCCGATGATGATGTAGTCGGGAGAGAAGGGGGAAACCATTGTGATAAAGTTGTTCTTGGGGGTGTATTGAAACTAATAAATACCAACAGTGCCTTGGTAAGTAACCTACCGTACCTAACAATATAGATAAAATTGAAGCAGAACTTTTCTAGGACAGATCTATTAAGGAAGGAAAGCGAAATAAAATAAGCTTAGTTTCACTCCCTTACTTTCTACTCCCTTGATTGTTTCTTTTAGTAATGAGGAAGGGTTAGTAAGCCAATGAACAAAGAGATCATTTATCACTTGAAATGTGGGGTGTACTCACTGTCCTAACCGATGTAAATATAGGCTTTTATTATACGATAGTAATGCGGTAGAGCATTCCAAGACTCTCCCCTTTCTTGTTGATTTTGAGAAATTAAAGACCATCCACAGTTATGAGTACCTAGTTGACGCATCAAAAAAGGTCCGTGTAGAAAGACTGTATATACAATCCGATTTTATACTATAATTATCAGGAACTCACTACCAACGCACTGGCAGAGGATGTTGGTGCTATGCCCACCTCCCTCTTAGATTACTTAACTTGCCAAAATGTTTATATAAACAAGGTCTGATTTGTACGGAATACTAAGTCAACACAAATGCTGTAGGTACACTTATATTATTGTCATTTCAGTATTTCCTAATGATGTCTATTTAGCGCATGAGTTTATCCTGTGCATGTTGAAATATAGTAATAGCTTAGGTACCTGGATATCATCTATGGTGGAGTTAGGCTTACCCGTAATGCCTACGTGGAATAATGCTAAAAATAAGTATCGCGGCTAACTAAAGCAGAATGGAAGCTAAATTCTGATGTCTCCGTTTAGGTTCCGAGCTTCTTTTGAATCTGGGGTAGCATAAATTCCAATACGAGGCTGCGAACACCACGAGCATTATGAGCCACTCCTGGGACGACGTCGAGCTTTGACTCGATACCCTCGCGCTTCCACGAGTCCTGCAGATCGTGGATAGTCTTAAATCGTCCTTGTTCGATAATCTGCGGCCCTTTTTCTCCGTCACCTGGTTGGCCCATGTATTTCTTCACCCAGACCCAGAACTCGTCACCGCCGTGAATGTCAGCGTCCTGGTCTCCAACTACGAGATGGATGGGGACTTTTTTGATAAGTTCTTTATTGACGGCCTTCCCGAAAACGCTCTCCGAATCCTTGATACCTGCCGGCCAGTTTTGGTCTTCGTCCAGAAACGTGGCACGGCCCGGAGCACCAATGCTTATAGCAGCTAACCTCTCGGGGTATAGGTACAAAAACCGGTGGGAGAACTGGCCACCACCGCTAAATCCCATGAGGAATATCTTATCTGTATCGATGGCAGGCCATTTTATTGCCACCTCATCCAACATCGACAGTAGGGCGAGGTCGGGACGAACTGTTTTAGGTCGGTATAGCTTGTAAGAGTCGATATCGTTTGGTCCGTCTAGCCCGGTGGGGAATAACGGTAACAGTACGGCGCACGGCGTAGATTCGGCGAAGGGGACTAGATCATAAACGTTAAAAACGTCACGTCTAGTTCCGTGAACGGCGACTAACAGAGGAAGCTTATTGGGCCCCGGTTCAGCCCCGTCGGGGTGGCGTTGGTTGTAAGCCTCGGCGGGCACGTAGATAGTGTAAGACACGCGCGGGTCTGAGGCGAGTGACTTGTAGGGAATATGTCCGGTAAGAAGCGCATTCTTACGAAACTGTAGTGGTACCACCGAAGCACTCAATAGTTTGTCCATGTTGTGTGGTAGGTATATAGTTGGTGTGTGTACGTATGTTACGCTGTAGGTACCTATTGGGTTATACGACAGTTGGAGCCAAGATTTGTATCGGGAAATAGATTGGCATGTGTATGTAAGTGATCTACCATATTCCTTTCGGCTCTGGGCACGCGGCTTCTGTTTTGTACTCGACCGGCATATTGACATGTGCTCCGTTCCGTCGTAGTTCAATAAGTGAACAAGGTGGAGCGAATCTCGCTCGGGTTTCTGTAGATCCTAGGCGCCGAGCCGGCACCTAAAAGCGAAATTCGCTCCATTCAATATACCCCAGTCAACCAATAGCAGAATGCAGGCTGAGTCCAAATCCGCAGCCGGGTTGGAGCTCCTGGCTTCCGGGTTGTACGACGACTTTTTCACTGCATAATGACGCGGAGGCTGTCTGCAAATAGCTGCTTTTGCAAAACGCCGCTCGTGATGATGCTTGAGGGGTTTTACTCCAACGACCCCCGAGACACGGGAAATTGATAGTTGAAGGTTGAAGATAGGTTAGATAGGTAGGTGATGTGCATCATCATTTTTTTTGGTGTTGTATCATACTAAAACGGGTATGATCGACGACTATAGCGATAGTCTGTCTTCGTCGTAAACTCGGCCTGCGCCTACTTTAGAAACATCATCCCCCTGTAATGCCCAGCGCTGGGGCCTCGAAACCCGACTTGCGCTCAATAGGATAACTTTTCGTATTGTGAATGATACTTATAAGACATCCCACTTGTAAACATCTGCATTTACATTCGGATTCCATTCTCTATCTCACCACAACCCTCGCTCAGCATATTTATACCATCTTCGCAAAGATGGCTTACAACAACTCGACGGACAAGATCTTGGCAGAGCCAGCGGAATACCGCGAAAACATCTTGTTACAAACGGTTACTCCGAGTAGTATGGACGATACTCCTAAGGAGGCCGAAGTGGAAGAGATTGATCCAAAGCTTTCTCGTAGAGTAAAATGGAAACTCGACATCTTCATCCTGCCGCTCTTATCGAGCGTTTACTTCTTCGCTACGATGGTTAGTCGCGCATTATACCAGGCGCTACCAGGGTTTCCTTTATACTCGGCAGTCTATACTAACTGCCGTATAGGGTAAATCTGATCTCGGAAATGCCAAGGTGGCTGGCCTCAGTGACGAACTTAACCTCTCTCCCGGTGACTTTTCGAATGCGGCGACCGTGCTTCTAGTAGCGACGATTATTTTCCAGCTCCCGGGAACGCTCTTAATCAAGAAAATTCACCCGAACAGACAGTTCAGTGGAGCCATGATAGTGGTAGGACAGACGCAGACTCCAGCTTATCCTTCTGATCCGGCATTTGGCTAACGGGGATTCTTGTCTTGCATTTTAACAGTGGGGTTTCTTGACTGTCATGACCGTCTTCATCTCGAATAACGGACAATTGTTAGCTCTTCGGTTTCTCATTGGGGCAGCGGAGTCTTTCGTCCAAGGCGGTGTATTCTGTACGTTCATATTCCCTTAGCAGCCTAACTTACTTAGGCGCATACCCCTTATCCTATGGCTCGTTTCCTAACTCAAAATTCTTCTATAGACCTCTCCTTTTGGTACCAATACTCCGAGTTCGCAACTCGAGGTGCCGTTCTTGCTTCTATGTCCACTATTGCCGGCGCCTTCAACGGCATGATCGCTTATGCTATTGATAACGGCTTAGATGGCGTCAATGGGTGGAGGGCGTGGCGATGGATCTTCCTTATCGAAGGTATCGCACCTATGGTATTTTCTCTTGTCGTATTCTTTTTCTTGCCGAGTAGTCCGCAGCACCTGAAATACGGATTTACCGAAGAAGAGAAGCAGCACATCATCCAAAGGAGCGCCAAAGCACACAACACAGGAGAGGGAGGCGTACAATTCAAACAGATCTGGAAGGTATTACTGGACGGTCACTTCTGGCTCTTCATGCTCGCTAGCTGTGGAGGTTCCTTCTGCCAATCGTCACTATCTAATTTCCTTCCGGATATAATCCAAGGCTTCGGGTACAGCGACGTCAACGCTCAACTGTTCACCATCATCGTGTATGTGAGTGGCTGCGTTGGAATTATACTCTTCAGCAGGATTGCCGATAAGACGAACGCCCGAGGAATTGTCCAAGCAGTCTCCCTCATTCCTGCAGTAATAGGCTACGCAGTCTTGATTTGGGTTACAAACAAACAAGTTCGATTCGCTGCAACATGCTTTATTGCATTCTCCATTTTCCCCTCTACCGTCCTACAAATGTCCTGGGCTGCCATGTCCTTTGTTGGTTACACGCGAAGGTATAATCCCCCTTTTACTCACTGCTTCGATTCTTAGTGACTAATAACCTATAAATAGGGGTTCGGTTTTGGCATTTTTCAACGTATTCCCGCATTTATTCGCTATCTCTGGAAACCAGGCTTACCAGGACCCCCCGTATTGTAAGCCAATCATATAATAGAATTTTCTCCGATAACATCTTACTGACCTCCTACTTATAGACAGCATTGGTAATTCAGCGGCTCTGGGAATGTCCATCATGATGCTAGTCTCGACGGTGGGCCTTAGATTTTACCTAGGCTACCTGAACAAGAAGAAGGCAGAGAACCAATACACGGAGAAGTCCAACGAACAAAGACTTAAGAGCATTGAGGAGCTTGGTGATTATCACCCAGGTATGTTGAACTATATTTCGTGTTACTTCCATCATATGTTACACAAGCTGACCAGCTGTACTATAACAGACTTTTTCTACACCCTATAAGCTACCCACGCGTGTATCGTGTGGATCTACTCGCCAGAATTAAAATGAGAATGGATTGTATATTACTCGGAGGACGATTGTAGCTTGAAGCTGGGACTTCAGCCTACTCTAAGTTCTCTTTACCTGGGACATTATTTGTACATGTGCACAGGGAGTATATACCAGTATATCCGAACTGGGTAAAGATAGAGTAATTGGGGTTTGGCGATCTTCATATCTACGGGGATTATTGACTTGGGAAGAGAATACATGTATATAGGCGCTTACGTGAACATACACTGGGAAATACGGGGGCACGTTGGGTAGATCATAGTTGGGTTTAAATATTACCGGTTTGCTATCGGCGTTCTAAAAACTGCTAAAAGATACGGTATATGAGCTGTAGTTGTATATCGACTTAATCTACCAACTGTATGAGTGAGGAGGGAGGTCCTTCTTATATATACATTCCATGCCAAGATACCATGTACTGTACCTGAAAGTAGTCCCTTGACCACTCATTTCAACAAAAGCTTACTCGCAACCATCGTGGTCTGAAATTTATTGCTTATCCCCAGCAGGGATGGATGGCCTTATAACAGAATCAACATACTGCTCTGGTAGTCCCCACTGCATCATAGCTTCCTCGATTCCGTTGTTCATACGGCAAATATATTCGTTTTTTGGATGACTTGGTCGGATTCGGTGAAAGTCGATGTATGCAAGGGCCCGAATCTTCTTAGACGTTTTTCCTTGATCAATTAACTCAACTTCCTCCTCCCCTTCGCCTTTCGCTGTAGACGTAGTTGTCAAGCCTTCAACTTCGATAAATCGCCGTTCATAAGCCCATGGAACGCCTTCGTTCATATCTAACCATTCTTCGTCATCCGGATGTAGACGATAGATGATACCGTAGATGCCCCCTGTTTTGGTCCTGTCCTCCACGATATTGGCATAGCCCCGCTCATTGATAATCCATGTCCAGCCGGATAGATACGCAAGGCCGACGGGTGTAGACCTGGGACACCGCTTGCGCATTTGTACTGAAGAGAGGTTGGAGCCATAGGCGAAGTATAGAACTCCATTGAGTTCATCATTACTAGTAGACGCCATTACGACTCGTAGTAGAATGTTGTTTGAAGTAGGTACGGAATGAATAAGTGGGGCATACGGCCGGGATGCGGACAAAAATTTATCGGTAGTGACACCAAACGTCCCCACTCGGCGCCGGACTATTATCTAATAGTAAGGGAACCTTTGACTCTTTATAATCTACCAGAGAGTTACCTGCCTATCTAGTATAATTAATCACGTAAAGGCTTCTACTATTGTAGTTTTCGATTTAATGTTGAATATCAAGATTTTCATAAAATGTTGACTGCATTCAAACATGTTTTACAGTTATACATACGGCGTAGAAATTGTAATCGGTTTCCCTTTTAAATTGTTCTTCTTTTATTCATGTGGCAATTGTGAAACAACTAGTTTGTCTAATTTACAATCATTTATTGCTTGGTATGGGGTCTATTGTCGTGTTAGTTTGCTAGGACAAAGGAACCCACAATCTATGAACCAGTCACTTTATTCTCTTTAAGCTTAGATGATTCAACTTCCAACACATACATTGGTATCCTTGGCACCGCCCCCTTTGAAGTCGAGACAACCAAGTTTCTAAATCCCATGTCGTAGTCTAAGGACGATGACTCAGGGACCCGGTCTACGTCTTGCCATGCAATAAAGATGAATTGGGGGAGCTCCTAGCCAAGAAACTAACTTATGTAGTTTCAAATGAATGCCATACTGTCTCTCGCCATGCCCTTACTACGCTGCCGAAGTTACTCCTGCCCCACTCAGTGCGTACGTAGTCCTGTGTGGCGCCTTCGTCTATAGAAGACCGTAAATCGCTTTCGCCGTCCGCTTTCGCTCTAACGAGACCACCATCACACTTTACGGGAAGGGTCCGGTTTACCAATATCAACCAAACTACGTGTACTGGATGATTTTAAAACCATTCCGGCTATGTGGCAAAACCCCATCGTGAGTGCGGACAATATGAAGATTATTGGTATGCTACCTGCCTTCGCGAGTAAGGTCGGCCACGCGTCAACTTCGTTGCTACTGTCTAGAGTACCCCATCTTCCTTTCCTATCTAGCCACTTCAGGACTCAACAGTCTGCATATAGATATTCCGCAACTATAGGTTGGTCTAGTTGATAGCTAGTACAAGTGAGAGAAAGATGAAACTGGATCTTTATGCTAACTGAGCTTACGCGTCTTCGTATTGAGCATAGAGCACATATGCCAGTATCAAAGAAAACCCGATGAGATGCCGAAACTAAACGTCGGGTAGTATACCCAGTTACGATGTTTTGATAGTGACTAGGTTACTAATTTGTTGACCGACTCATTTACATACTTGATTTGGGCGACATTGCAGAAGGGGGCCATACACCCCACAGAGTAAAATCACCCAAAATCTGCTTCAGGATAATCAAAATACCCTCAATTATATCGTTGATAAAATAATTCACTCTACAATATCATATATGACCTCCTGTAGTATGTTTCTGAAGAGCCCCTTTTCCTAGGGGTTTATCCCCATAAGCCTTCCACTTTCCAAGCACACCTTATTTGTAGGTACACAATAGCGACCACGTCCGGAACCCATGGTGGAGCTGCAAGTCGAAATTACGTGTATGGACTCCAAAGCACATGCGTTTGCTATGTATCAGGAGTCATCTGGATTGACGTCCTGGAACCCAACTTTTGCAAGATCTACCTTCCGGATCTGTTGAGATTGCATGCTCTAGCCCAGGTTTTAGTAATCAGTCACAGTAGATTTCTTTTAGTCTTCTCGTATATGCACTTACAACTTCCACTGTTCCTCGAACGATGTACCGCGCCACCGAAACGGGCTTGTTTTGACCTAGCCGGGACACCCGACCGATAGCCTGACTCTCCACGCTCGGATTCCACTGGGGCTCGAGGATGTATACATGGTTAGCCACTGTAAGGTTAAGACTGTGTGGGATTAATAGGGCGCTTTCTTCATGATATAGTAAGGGAACTCACCCGAATGCCCCCACTCCCGTGCTCATCAGCAGAATTGGGATGCCTCTGTCTTGCATGAACCTATCCATATTATTCTGGCGCTGCTGAAGAGATTGGTCACCATCTATCCTTTGGAAGAGCATGCGCCTCTTCCTAAGATGTACAGATATCAAATCTAGTGTTCTTGTCCAGCCGGAGAATACGATACTATATTCCTCAAATCAGCGCTAATGTAACAAGCGGCGGGCTACATTTAACATACCTCTTTGCGTCTCTGGGGCTTTCTGCCAGGTCCTCCATAAGAGCCTGTATCTTGGACGAGAATCCAGACCAGTTGAAATAACCATCATCGTCATCATCATTTCCCTCGAGAGATCTCTCCTTGACTGAGCCAGCCCCATGTCCAAGAAGTCTGCTGCATAAGGGACAAGAATCATTGATCTCGCCAGTTGGGTTTGCATTGTATTGGTTTTGCGAATGGCACTCGTTACAGAATTTGTGCTTGCATGGCTGACGCCAGCCGGGACCTCCGCTGATATCAAAGACGGGAATGGGAATACCGCACATTGAGCAGGGAAACTCAGCATTCTTTCCTAGAGAATATAAGAACTCCTCACGTTCTATCTTTCTGTCGCGAGGGTGACGACTCGTGAATGGCTTTTGAAAAGTGCCATGGTTGCAGAGAAGACGAAGCTGGAGTTGGGCTTGGAAGATGCCAAAATGATCGCGCTTTCCTGTTTCCTTTTGTACCTTTCCTTTGATTCTATTAGACATACTTTCCAGCATATCATCGTACTGTTTCTTTTCATCGTCCTTCAAAGTCACATAATGATATTTATCTGTGATATTAGGCAAATGTAGAAGATCCTGAGACCTCCTAAGGCATACGCAATCTAGAAGGAAGGCCAAATTGTGGACAGCCGATGCAACGCCATCAGAAAACGGCAATATAATGCTATTTCTGAAAACTGCTCTGTGTTCAAGTTCCTTAATGCGGAGGAACGCAAGCAGGGACCCGACATCTTCGAGTCGATTTTGGATCGGAGTCCCGGTTAGGCACCACCGGTACTTTGCAGAGAGCTGGCTAGCTGCTTGATGAAGTGTCGTCTCCCGCCTACGAATCATGTGCGCTAGTATCAGCCATGGGTTAGCAATGTCGGTAGGAAGCTCGCTGGAACCGTACACATGCCTTCATCAAGAACAACTCTAAACCAAGATATTTGGAATACAATGCTGTCCCTCTGATTCATACTCGCCGCAATGGTGTGATACGTTGTGAATACAATGTCATGCTTCAGGTAGTCTGTAATATCGTCGTTCCTGGATTTTCCGTAGTATTTAGCGATAGTGACGGATTTATCTAGATGCCTTCTATGGTCAGTACCCGTTTAATTTTCGGCTTTCATCTTGAGAACACTTACGTCTCAACCTCTTTTAGCCAAGAGTTCATGATTACTATGACCTTTGTAAGTATATTGAAGGTTATGCTGTCTGGCTGAAACTTACGAGTAGATGGAACAATGATAAGGCTAGCTCGGGCGCGAAGTTTCCTGGTAGTAGACGGTACCTCTTGAGACCACAAGTGAGCCATCTCAAAAGTTTTAGTAATAAGTGCCAGTGCACTAAGCGATTTTCCCATTCCCATATCATCCGCCAGGATACCTCCTCCCAATTCATCGGGAACCTCAGCCGACTCTGCATGCGTCAATTTGTGACGATATCTGGCAATGACAAATTAGATTTGGTCTATGTGCATCAGAGTATATCTAGATTACTTACAATGGCGTCATGATGTTACGTTCATACGACCAGAGACTATACTCTGGAGATATAGGACCAATCTCTCTCTGCATCATGAAATGCAGTGCTATTTCTTGGTGTCTAGGAACGGAAATATAAATATACGATTAGTCTATAAGAGTGGGATAAGTCTTATAAAAATAGGCTGTATAACCGATTCAATTACTCTGGGATTGCTAGGTAACTTACGGTAATAGTTGTGTCGTGATATGCGCGCCTTGAGTTCTCTCCAGATTTCGAAACCGTGTGAGCGAGTGGTATGCAGTTGAAATTGTGTAGTCAATCCCATCATGTGTTCTCTTCATATTTTCTTTATGATTTGGCTTATTTGTAAGAAAACATTCTTTTGTATTTCGAGGTGCTGGCTCTTCGATACCAGGGAACCGTATGACATGTGGGTTATAGTACTCGATGTTTTGAATGCCGTGATCTGGATCCTGAAGAAATATTTTAGCGGAACCTAGTCTATTTCCAACACTTCTAGCATCATCCACAGGACCGTATATATTTATCTCCGACTTCAGTGTTGCTTCGCTTGGCTTTTTAGCCCGAGAACACACGTGGTAGACTCGGTTCGTCTCGACAAACGCTCTAATCTCCACGGACCGATACTCCCGTATCTCCGCCAGGCCACGAGAAATCAGCTCGCTCACTTGGGCGAACACACTAGCATCGGGAAATTTAAGCGTGAAATAATCTCCATATTTTGATATGTCAAATGACTGGTAAGGCTGAGTCGAGTCGATCTTAGCAGCAATTTCCGGCATATTTCCCACGAGTTTGACGACAGCATTCGGTATCTATAACATACCATTTTTAGGATTATAGATGCCCAAATGCTAATAGATAATATAGGAACAATTCTCACCATGCCATAACAGCAGAAGCGGGTCCCCCCTGCGGTTAAAGTCTCAGCATTAATAGCTTGAAGGACAGTATCATCCGGTCTATTTGGCTGGAATGATTTATCCGCCCATTGCCGTATGGCGTCCCACCATTTCTCATGGTCATTTACGCTGGTATTCGGATCTTCTTCGAGCAAATTATTTGGAGGTTGGTGTTTGGGTAAGACAAGGTCCTCCCACAACGAATCCCAAGTTGTGGTAGAGACGTTAGAACCAGAGAAGCAAGTGTCATCCGGGCAAGGAATTGTCGGCCAGATATTATGTTCTGGATCTTCATATGGAATGTCAAGTTCACCCTCGTAGGCGTCAGGGGCCATGCCGAAGATTCTAAGCTTAATAAATAAGATATTAGGTGCTAAGAGAGCATAACGCTACAAGTATCATTCCTCCTAGTATATTAGGAGGTACTTAGCAACTTTATACTCTACCTGTTATATAGGTTAGGTGCAGAATTTTTATTTACGTGGCGGACTACAAGGCATTTTAGCAGGCTGTAATGCGTGGCTATGCAAGAACCTACCTAATCGATTATGTTGTGCAACGTATCATTATTGATTATTGATTGAATTTAAGGCTGGATTGTAAATCAGCGGATGATTTCGCCCTTTATATTGTGATCAACACCGGTCGCTCAAATCGAACGCAGGTATTTGAGAATAAGAACTATTAAGTATCTCATATGAACCTCAAATATGGTGTCAACACCGCCAGTCTCTCCTCGAACACCCGCCCCTCAAGCCGGCTTCAACAAGGCTCTTACTTCTTTCAAGAATCGACTAACTCCCTCCGAAGCAGCCCAGTTTCAAGTTGTTACACTTGATGACTTGAAAGTGACTATTCTAGCCATACAGGCAGACCAGCGAGCTCGGAAGCAGATGATGCACATGGATAGGATCCTTTCGTTCTTAGAAGCTATGGACCAATTTGGAAAAGTGATTGAAACATTTCTCAATGTTTCTGAAATGCTTGCATTCATATGGGGCCCAATAAAATTCCTGCTTCTGGTATATACCTACCCGTTGGACCTTTCTTTTCAACTGGACATGTCGAGTTGGCTGATTTAATTTGTAGACTGCTACTACCTGGCTTGAGTCTTTTGATGCGCTCCTCGACGCATACCAGCTCATTGCGGAGAGCTTACCTATATTCGAAATCTACCAGGATCTGTTTAGCGAGAGCAGTCGAATGCAAGGAATACTTGAATGCATTTGGACCAATATTCTTGATTTTCACATCCGCGCTATACGCATCTTTGACCAGTCTAGTAAGATAATATATCAAACAAATCTTCACTTGATTGACAATTGTACAGTGATAAAACTCTTTTTTAGATCCCTTTGGAAGGATTTCAACAGCCGGTTTCAACATATTATTAGCGACCTTCAGCGCCAGAAAGCTCTCATAGAAAGCCATGCAAATCAAATCCATATCTGTAACTACGAGTCAGACCGGGTTAAGATCCGAGAAGAATTCGAGCAGGCCCGGGCTTCTCGTGCTGCAGAAAAAAAGGCATATGTTTTGCAGTGGATTATGGCACCGAAGACCGTTTTAGATCATGAATCTCTCTGCTCCGTACGGAGAGAGCAATTAGATATTACGGGCCAACAAACAGCACAGTGGATTCTGAAAAATAATGAAGTTGAGGCATGGCTGGCCTCCCAAGTGCCGAAATCCTCTACTGTATGGTTAAGTGGAATTGCTGGAGCAGGTAATTGCATTGTGACATGTCCATAAAAACACTTGCATTACTAACATCTTCCTTTACTAGGTAAGAGCGTGCTTACGTCTGTGATCGTGGACGAGATCAAGGAAAAAGATCTCGGACCGATGGCGTTTTTCTACTGCAAGCATCGAGATCCCGATAAGAACACATTTATATCCGTCGCAAAAGCGCTATTGAGCCAGTTATTAAATCAACAGGATCATCTTATGCCCTTCTACTACGACGAGGGGATCAGAAGTGGGGAGAGCTCCCTGCATTCCATGAAACTATGCAAGAAACTCCTTCGCGCTATATTGCAAGCCATTCCAGTAGCCTTCTTAGTTATTGATGGTATCGACGAGTGTGATTCCAATGAGAGGAAATCGATCCTAACGTTTCTCAGCGATATTATCAATCTTTGTGACAATAATAAGCCTGGGAAAATACGACTGTTTATTTCTAGTCGCGACGAATCGGATATCAGAAGAGCTCTTTTGATGGGAACAAGGATCAAACTCGATCGTCGAGACACAATACAAGACCTAAATGTATATATCGAACACAGGGCCAGCGAGTTGCAGCGAAAGTTTGGGTTAAGTGCAGAAGCCCAACGATATATCCAACAGAACGTCTTAGATAAGTCTGATGGTATCTCTACGGAAACTTCTGAGCCCATTTATAACACGCTAAGTAAACTGCAGGGATGTTTTTATATGCCAAGCTCGTGATGGCCAACCTAGAAGGACAACCAACCCTTCATCATCTTCACGAAGAGTTCGACAGCCTCCCAAGTGGTCTTGAGGAAGCGTGAGTGGAACAACTACCTAACAATGGAAAGTTGATATATTCGCAGTAATAGACTGGCTAATGAGCTATAGTTATGGCCGAAATCTGTACAGAATTAAAACCAATTCGAACAAAAGCAAAGCAGATGTCGCTCGAAGGATTCTTCTTCTAATGGTCTGCGCGAGGAGACCTTTGCGATGGCGAGAGCTTCAAGCCGCCATTTCAATCAGCCCAGACGATCTAGCCCTTGATATAGCACGACGACTACCCCAAGATTCCGACGTGACAGAAATGTGTGGCTCATTGGTTGAAGTCCTTCCCGGCGATAGAGTGGAGTTTATCCACATTACAGCGTCTCTGTGAGTCTCGATGAGATCGCGTAGAATGTATTTGTATTAACGGGCCACGTTAGATATATTGTAGACCTGGGATATTCGCCCCTGTTTGAGGCAGAACATGCCATGGCAATGCTCTGCCTTTACTATTTGGCCTTTGAATATTTTGAAGAGGACCGAGGAGATGATGATATACTTCAACTAATAAGAAAAGGGTATTATGCGTTTCAGGATTACGCTGCCGCCCATTGGGCTGATCATTTTCTTGCCATGCTTTCTACGCCAGAAACAATTACACAGGAATGGTTTGCTGAAAGTACAGAGACCTCGAATGCACTGACAATATTCGCCGACCGCTTCCACGCCGATTTAGCTGCGTCGTCGACAGTTTCAAAGACACCCCCAGACTATTCCCTATTTTCTTCTCTTGGTTGCTTTCCAGCTATGACTATGATCTGGAAGCACGCGGAACCTCGGAGGCTTCTGATAGACGACAGAAGAGACAATATTGGTCTAGTATCACTAGGGAAGAGTATAGAAAGAAACCGACATGTCCTTGAAGAGCATGTAGAGTCAATCACGGATGACGGGGCTGAGACGACCGCTCTCGAAAAGTTCTACGGTGCCAATTGGTTCAAATGTACGAAAGCATCATGTTACTACTTCCACGAAGGGTTCAATTCTCGGGCGTCAAGACAGCAGCATTATGACCGCCACGAGCGGCCGTTTAGGTGTGACGAAGAGAACTGCCCGGCGGCGCGGATCGGGTTCGGTTCCCTTAAAGAATTGGAGAAGCATAAGAGGAATGTGCATCCCGGGATCGATAAACTGTCTTCAACATTTGCCAGGTTCAAGCGGGGTAGTAAAGGGCAGGCCGTGTTATTAAAGTATCTTTGCCCACGCTGTCCGCTCAAATTTGCTACGCGGCTCCAGTGTCGAAGCCATATGACGTCGCATAACCCTATAATTCATCCTAAGCACCCAGTTATGGAGTAATCGAAATTAGACTTCGCATGTAAGAAAAGAACTAAATTACTTTTATCCTTTTTTCTATAGTTATGTAAACAAAGACTATCTTTGGTCACGTGGATTTACATTGGTATATCTTGCAATATGTTGTATCACCATCTTATCCACCCTTTTGACGCTAAAATTTCCGTCGGTTCCGGCGAACCAACCAACTTTACTCAGTCTTTATCACGATAGTGTATGTATTCGCTAAGTTACAAGAGGGAGGATCTAGTAATTATATATATGACAGTCTTAGTATTAACATGCCTAAAGCTTATTTGACATACTAATACTGCGCATCTTAAACATATTTTAATTCTTATTTAAGAGCTAGCATTTCTTCAAGTTTCTAGAGTTATATTTGGGTGTAAAATGACTTTTCAAAACATATTACTTTTGTATGTGCCGGTAGGGGTGCACCAGCTTTTTTAACGCTGTTCTGTAGCGATATCAGCCACTATAGCTTAATAAGACCGTGCAGTGTTTTTTTACTCGTAGTTATGTGGCTTTGCTAAAGTTCAAATGTGCAAGACTTTTTGGCCCTAACCTAGATATATTTAATCGCTGGGATGCTCACTCAAAAAATAAAACACATATTTAGCCTATCGTACTATCGCATAATAGATAATCAACAAGTAGCCAGTACTTCAGCATCCGGACTACTTAATTCCAGCCCCGTGAATATCACCCAGCTCGACCTCCTGAATATTCCTAGGCGGGAAGTCAGCAAACTTGCCATGCTGCCCCAGCTTCTCCTCTGTAAGCCAGCGACGCATCCAAACAACGCTCTTCACAATAGCAAAGATCACAAGCGTAGCAGCGCCGATCCCGAAGATGTACGCAGCAACCAGGGATCCGGTCTTCCCCGGGTCGAGAAAGGGGTAGACGTAAAAGCCCTTGGTAGCTTTCGTCAGATACGCCAGGGCCAGGTATAGCGCCATAATGACAATGAGCCAGAGCGCATGCATCCAGGGCTGAGGGTTCACGCGCGTGAGGAAGATCTCGAAGAGCGCGAAGAGGCTGTTCATCGCGTGTTGGCTGATGTTGGACCAGGCGCCGTAGACGGTAGGGAACCAGGCGGATCCGTAGCTGTACAGCACGCCCCAGTACACGATGGTTACTAGGAAGGGAAATGTCGTTACGGTGCTGTAGAACAGAGCGTGCAGGACCTGCAATGGCCGCGGGAAGCGGGCAAGAAGGGGGTTGGAGTACCGCGCGTAGGTGAATGTGTGAACTGATGCTATGAGCATGTAGAAGGCGAGGCCCCAGTACGTGAGTACCGTGAAGAACGAGAACTCGGCGCGCGAGGCCTCACAGCCGCCTAACTCGGTGTGGGCGCATATGTATCCGATGTTGAAGAGCAATGTTATGAAGGCGTAGAGGGACTGTTACATGGTTAGCACCGGTTTGCATTGACCTGTATGCATGCGGTATAGAGAATGCAATAGAGGTCGAAGTAAGTGGGTTTAAGGCGCGCGCCACCGTTACACAGTCGCGAGTATCGGCTCGAACGTACGTCACAATATGCAACCCGCCGCCGCGGTACCGGTGTTCGTAGTGGCGCGTTTCGGGTATATACCCGACATACATGGCATAAATGCGCATACAATATATGTGGGCATACGATATACATATCAACGCATAAAGAAACCAGACTTACCATCAACAGCCGCAGACCGAACAGCACATACGGCGGGAACAGCCACGACGTCTCGAAGCGGTGCTCCGGATCCCAGTTCCCCGTACCGAACTTAAAGGCGCTCAGCAGATCGCTGGAAACGGCAACCGAAGACATTATTCACGACTTTATGAGCGATAGCATACATACAGGATGAGTATATACGTAGGTAATATAACAAATGCAGAAAGACTCCGATAAGCCGTGTTATATAAGTGCTGACGTTGGAATAGACCCAGGCAATATCAGAACTAAATAATGTAAACATACGTGTACAAAATGAGGCTCAGTTCAATGCCCCTGCTTTTCGGCGCGCGTAAGCGAATGGCGCCGTATTCCTAGATAGGCAGAGAGTCCGGAAGGCACGCTAGTGCATACGAAGCGCCGAGATTGCGGGGGGAAGAACAGGGCTTTGGAGATGGCTTCATTTGGAAGTGCAATAGGAGTAAACATTCAACTATATATAACACATATTTAATCATCTCGCCTTGTCATACCTAAATAATTACCTATGTAAACTAATGAAGAGCGAGTAAGGTAGATCCGTGAAAATATCTCATAATCATATATCGAGAGGCAAAGGACGGAGTGAGCGAGCCATCCATAAGTTACGCCGCACACTCTCACTACGGCCAATATTCCAGATCAACTAGGAACATGAGCTGGAATAAATGAAGTGAAACTACCTTTATAACTACGATTACTTCGATAGCAAGATTGAAATAGCCAAGCCATCCATGTCCTGCCCCTTCAAACTCCGCACATCCGAAATGCATCGCTATGCCATTACCTAGTGAAAAGTTTGTCACCCATATCATACACCTATACGTATATACATTACATGATAACTCCTGTGTGATGCCGCGCCGGAGGGATGCGGGGACCTATTCTTCGTCCTCGGAAAGGATAATGCTTCGAGGTGGTGACGCTGTTCAGGGCGTATCCCTGCAATGATGCATCCAACTTCAATCTCCTCCGTCGTTTTGCTCTAACTTGAGCCGATAAATGTGCCGGGCTGGAGCCCATCCCAAGTAAATGAAGACACAATATATGGTATCAGATATGCTAATTACCTAGGAGTAGTATAAGTAAACCATATATGGCTATTTGTTCTTAGATTCATCTAAGCACGCCAATTTGTCGACGATGGGTGAGCGGTCCAGCAGAATGTTTGTCGCACTTGTCGTTCCGCCCAAGCTGCGACATTCCCTATTTTAAACTCGCTTTAGTGCCTGCCGATCAGATCGCAGATCAATCGATGACCCTCTAAAGCCCCATCGAAAAATTCTCCACGTCGAAGATCTCCGAGTCGAAGAATAATAATTTAAGGTTCCGTCGCATTTCCCCCCGATTGGGTTATTGGCGACGCCTATAGTCCGGTACACGCTTGCCATCTAAGTACTGAGGGCCTCTACTTTCATAGTATCGATTAGGAGCTTGCTGTGCTCTCCTTGCCTCGAATTCTGCACGTTCTTCGTCGTCGAGCGAGAATGCCTTCTTCAACCACCCGAACGCACTACGCTTCTTCTTTACCGCCTTCTGATTTTCCGGGTTGAGCGTTGTCACGTTACTTAGCATGCTCATTCCCATCGCCGAAGGCTGATTTCGCAGATGGCCCGCATGGACGTGCGTGCCAGCCGTCCACGGTCTCTGCTGCAGAGGCGAGTGAGGACTTGCTCGCACCGGGAAGTAGTGCTGTCTGTCCGATCGCGGAGAAGGTAACGCCGTGGCCGGAACACCTGGCGGTGGCATCATATCTCCGAATTCCGTCATCGAACGGACCGGCTGCCGTGTCTCGCTATCGGAGCCATAGGCAGAATCTGGGCCTTGGTAGGTGCGCGAGGGTAGGTATCCGGGAGACTGGTATTGTGCGTCTAGGTACGTGGGCCTCTGGAGCTCAGGCGCGTGGCGAGAAGGAACCTGGATAGCTTCGGGCAGGCTGCTTCCTTTTAGAGATAGCCTCTGTCGCAAAGATGTTCTCTTTGGCTGCTCCTCTGGCGTCGCGATTGGGGGATCTTGTGTTGGAGGGTCTTCTATTAGAGGGCTTTGGATTTCAAGGTCTTCGATTTCAAGGTCCTCAATTGGGAGTGGAAGGTCTTCGAATGACGAATCTTGGATTCTTGGTGAAGGTATCGGCGCAGGCGGTTGTGGAGTATACGTCCGCGGCTGCAGAATGTAGAGGCCTTCATCCGCCGGCGGCTCGTCCTTCTTTTCCTCCTTTTCCTCCTCGACAGGTTCTAAGTCCTCTTCGACGGTTACAGCCATTCTTGGAACCGTGTCCGCCTCTAGCTCCACTGGAGACATTGGTTCTATCGGGGCGTTGTATTGGACTACCATGAGCGTCTCCCTGGTTCCGGTTGAACCCGCTGCGGATCTTTGAGACGTGGTCTTAGACAGCTCGAATTTCGGTGGCCATCTATCAGACGATCGCATCGACGAATTTCGCGAGTTGCTCTTCGGCAGAGGCTGGTCTGTCGGGCTAGAGAACGGAATAACACTTGCCTGCTAACAAGTCAGCATATTTGTATACCACCTAATCACATAATCTCTTACCCTTGTTCTCCGGCTTACTTCGCCAGCGCGATAGTTCATTTCTGATACTATCCGGTCGAGCTTGTTGAGCAGGGTGCGCAAATTCGATGTTGTACGCTGCAATTCGAGAAAGGCTTTGTACCAGCCTTGGGCGTTCCCTCTCATAGCGTCGAAAATATCCCCAACCTCTGAGTGCTGCTGTTGCCACACACCGTCCTGCTGGTCGCTGAGATATGCTGCAAACTCCTTCGTGGCACCCAGTCCCTCGCCGATATCCGCCACCACCACTTCGAGGGAGGTTGTGGTCCGAGATATTATATGCTCGATCTTCTCGTTCCCAGTTACTATCTGCAAACGAAAATTGCGATCCTCCAACATTTGCTCGAAAGTCTCGATGTTCTGCATTGGCAGCTTCAGATGGTCGATACGATCTCGAATATCATATATCGCGAGTTCGACATCTTCCAATATCGTCTCTAGAAACTCGTCCACCTCGTCGATGTGACCTTGGAGGATATTAACTACCTGCTCGTTACTATTCGCGATCCCGTTGAGTAGTAAGTGTACGCCGAATGATATTTGAGCCATGAGCTTCCAGAGCTCGTGGTATTTTTGGCCTGGTCGGTATCGCCATAGCTCGCTGTATATCCCTTCTCCCTTAGCCCCGTCTAGCAAGTAGTTTCTACGTTCCCTCGCTGTAGCAAATTTAAGCTTCGGTTTCGATAGGGAAGGACTGTTAGTAGCCTCGATTAGGGACTCGGAGAAGGCTGGCTGCATGGCGGGTATTGGGTGGGTTGGGATGTTGGCAGCCGCATCTTTGGTCTTCTGGTGCATGGCCTCCTCACTATCCCTAGACACGGATCTCGTCGGCTCGCGTACTATACGAGGTGCAGGGAGCAGGTCGTCGTCCTCGGAGTCGGATAGAAGAATGGAACGATCCTCATCATGGTGAAGAGACAAAGGAAGGGCCATTTTGTAGATGAAGAACCATGCCCCCTCCCCTCTCCACGAATCTTGACCAGGCTGTTCAGTAGCACGGCTAGTTTATCAACTCTTGGGGCAAAGTGCTAGAAAATATAGTAGACCCTGCAGATTCGACCCCGACACTTGACAGGTCCTGTGCAACCAAATGTCGCCTACGGAAAGTCGGTACGACCGAGAACGATACCAATGGACGACAGAAGATAAGACAATAGTACTGCAGGGATCCGAAAGATTAATTGGAATAGTTACGACTCGGAGAATTCGTGGCGATTAGATGTGTCGAGAATTTGAATTAGCTGTCAGCGAGATGTTACGCCGCGGGGTATCAAGGAGTGTTCGAGCCGAGTCAAAGGGGATTACGAGGACTTGGCATTGTTGGATATCTAGACGAAACAAAGAGGCTCGGCGAATTAAGAATTATCACTACAATTCCTCACACCGCAGAGAGAGAGCGCGATAGCGATGTACTAGTTAATTGGTGTACCAGGTTAACCATCGAAAAAGAGTGCGAGAGAGGTCTGAGGTGAGAAATCGAGGTAGAGATTGAGGCCGAGCAACGATTGAAAAGATCTCGAGGTGCACAAAAAGAAAGGGATTAGTGGATAAATATCCTAAGAGATGTCGTCGCTAAGGGAGAAAAAGGGCTGTGAAATGAAGCATCTTATTAACCCAAGTAGTAGGGGAGAACCTGCTAAAGAGAAAAACCGAGCTGAGGAAGAGGAAGTTCGTCAACGAAGATTTCCATTTGAGAGAGGTAACCAAAAAAAGGTCCTAACTGACCCCAGCCCAAGCGCCGAAGTAGCGAGGTCGGTGTTGCAGGTTGTGACTCGCCTAGGCTAGTATACGAAGGTACTTACGGGAGGCACCGAGTGACATGCCTATTGCGAATCGCCATTCAGTGGAATTCGCTCCAATTGAAAAGAGCTAATTGAAGCGGGCGGTCTAGGGGTCCAGGGCCTTCTAAGTGGGGTCTACCTAGCTACAAGTGGCTACCAAGCCCTAGTCTTGCCGCTAGAACTGCGAACAGGTGCTCTAGAGCTAGACCTACTAGGTTAGGGGTAGAAGCGAGTTCTAACTTTCCATAACGCGCCTACCCTCCAAATTCCCTTATCAGGCCATAAAACTCTCCTTTAGGGGGTCTTAGCCGTCTTAACCGCGCCTTAGCCGCCTAGAACGGCTAGCAGACAAACAAAAAAGAAAAAAGTCTTGCTGAAATCGCAATCGATCCTCGCATCGCAGATCGAGCTAAATCAGGTACCCTATAAGCTAAGAGGCTACTAACGTATCTCAGGGGGATTTAATCAACGACGTAGTAAGTGTATGAAGTTTCTCGAATCCTTACGCAGTACAAACAAAATAGCCGGCCAGCAGCATTGCAGCCCTCCATGCGTCACGGCGTACCCGAATATATTGAACTCACAATATCAAACGCGAATAAGATCTGAAGTAGGGTAGCATGGAAACCCTTTGCGAACTACACTATCAGAGGTGCCTGACCGAAAGAACCGAGTAACGACCGCATGCTAGAGAGCCCCCCTTATTAACCTACGGCTATATCTGGCCATCTTATTTATTGCAGCCTCTCTTCGAACCCGGTCATTGGACATAATCTCTCACATGTTTACCGGCTCCGTTGGTATCCGGCTAGGGAAGTCAAATGAATCGAAATTACCAACGGACGAATATCAACTCTAAGCATTACCGAAGTCCTCCGCGTCTTTGCTTGCTTCTTTATTTTATTTTAATACGAATAATTCGGACAAATTTCGAGCTCGAGCCAGCACACTAGCCAAGCCGAGATCATTGCGTTTGAGTCTCCACGCAAAGCGGCTAGTTCCCTTGGCTCGTGCCACGTACCTGGAGATCCCTCCTTACCGCTTTAAGCTTGGCTTCATGCCGCGTTTCCTGTCTTCTGTGGTAACCCCCCATGGTTTTCCTATCCGTCTTTCCCCCCAGCAAGTCTTCTATATAAAAAAGGAAGGTATTATCCGGGCAGTGATTATCCCAACACCTAGAATTCTATACGAATTTCATAAAACTCTAGTTTGACGGTAGGAAATATACATTAGGAAATATACATATAAAGGGACCCAAATACGGAGAAAGTAAATGCGACGACGTCAGTTTCAGGTAATAGCAACCAGCTCTAAAACGTGCCGGTGGTCTCATGAGTGTCGAGGGCCTGCGCGAAATCAACGCTTTGGCATAATATGGTGCTTAAGTTCCCGAAGAAGCTTCCAATCTATTTTCTTAGGGACTCGGGCAAGCCAGTAGAGGAGCAAGGCGGCAGCAACGTTGAAAACGATGTAAACCCAGATCAGGCCAAGATTGCGCCACCTATCGGCGTAGAACGAGTCGACGGACGCAAGAAAAGTATCGGTATTCGCTAGGGAGCAGAAATTGCAGTTCGAGGTAGCTTCTGGGTTGTATACAGCACCGAAGGCTACCTGGTTGTAGGGGTCAACGTACTGACCACAAGTCTCTCCCTTGGGAGGTTGAAAGTGCAAGAGTTCAAGGGTACTGCAGCGGACTTCGTGATTCGCAACGCCAACGGCAAGCATAGCACTGATGATATATGTAAATGGTGAGACTCGGTACATAAAGATCCAGAACCCAGGTAGAGAGCTCCGAGGGACCATTACACTGACAGCGGAGTTAGCAGCAGAATATTCAACATTGCAAAGGATACTTACCCCGAAAATATTAAAGACATAGCGAACAAAAGGAGACCGATAACGGCCCCAACCTCGGCTGTTTCTACGCCAGCAATCACCATGTCTGCGAATGTGGACTCGAAGACTAAGACTGTCCAGAGGAGAAAAAACATAAGTCCACCGCGCTCAGTAACAGAGTCCGTCGGAATGGCGTTTTCGTTCATCCCAACGAGGTAGTAGAACGGGACAAAAATCAGGGGGGATGCCAACGTGTTCCAAGGCACCTCGACGACCATATTGGCGAGAAAAAAGGTATACCACGAGTACGCTCGTGATGACCGTTCCCGGGCTTCGTATTGCTGCCGCTGGAGGATAAACTGAGGCATGGTCTGGTAAACAAGGAACGCGAAGATGACTAGTAGCATAAATATCGCAAACATCTGGTTCTGAAGGCCAGACAGTGTCAACTCGGAGCTGAAGAAGGACAATCCGATGAAGAGGGACGTGCCGCCGCAGAGTATCAACTTGGCGTATATATACGAAGGGGTGCGCCAGTATTGTTCGAATACTCTCTTGGCACACAACAGGAATTGGTAATGGAAGGGGGTTGCATAGAACGCCGTGGACATCTTGTCGTTGTCTTCCTCTATGCGAGCATTCTCGGTGCCTGGTGGTCCCAGTTCCATGACCCTAAGCTCTTTTCGTATGGCTTCATACTCCTTACTACTACGCCAGACCTCGTGCCAATTTTGTTCGGCATGGGCTCCGGGGGCAGCCCCAATAACTCGCAGCATCCACTCCGCAGGGTTTTCGTCAACGCCGCAAGGAGTAGCCCCGTGGCGTTCGAAGTACTCGGTGAGCGTCGTCGAATTTTGGCCGATGTCTCCAAAGTATACAGTCTTCCCCCCGAAGCTCAACAGCAATAGCCGATCGAACTGCTGGAATAACATGGCAGAGGGTTGGTGAATGGTACACAGGATTGCCTGACCATTATCAGACAATTTTCTTAGGAGACTTGTGATTGACCACGCCGTTTGACTGTCGAGCCCAGACGTGGGCTCATCGAAGAAAATGAGTAGATCTGGCTTCGCAGCAAGCTCAACCCCTATAGTCAGACGCTTGCGCTGCTCGACATTCAAACCTACGCACCTGATTAGCAGACTCGATCTCTTGGACTATGTCTCTAGATTTACCTTCGCCAGGCACGCCGATTATTGCATCGGCGTATGCTTCCATATCCAAGAGTTTGATGACTTCCTCCACATAAGCGTATTTCTCTTCTGTTGAGACATTGAAAGGTTGTCGAAGGGCCGCGCTAAACCGTAAGGCTTCTCTAATAGTCGCCGTTCCAAGGTGTATGTCCTGTTGTTGGACGTAGCCGGTCTGTCTTTGAAAAGCGTTCCCGCGAGGAATTCCGTTGACTAGAATATCACCGTTGACTATGCCCATTGTTACGCGGTCGGCTAATACGTCAAGAAGAGTGGTCTTTCCTGCTCCAGTCGCACCCTATATATCTGTCAGCCACTATTCCAGCTCCAGACGCTACCTGCAAGATGCATTATACCATTAAAGCTGTTAGGGTCCCGGGCTTAATCCACCCGTCAACATGATCCAGAATCCGTCTAGATTGGCCCTTAATTGAAATTTCGTAGCATACATCGACCCAGTGAAAAGCTTTCTGGCTGTGGGTGGCTAAAGTCTGTTCGGTAGGAGTATCGGCAGGATCTTTGCCTCCCTGCTCCTTCTCGTTTTTCGGCAAAGGATCCGACCTCTTGGGTGGCGGGATGCCTACGGTTCCGGATTCTTCGTCTTGTGATCTCTTAGCATCCAAAGCAGCATGGTTCCGACGGAAGACCAGGACTTCGCCCTTGGATTGGTCAAGTGAAAGATATTCTGCCGCAAGCATATATACTATTCCGAAGAACACGATGTAGCCAACGAGGATGCCAAAGTTTCTACCGATTAAGTCAGTAATGAGAGTCAACATACATGTTTCTACTAGACGTACCGCCAGATATGAGATTGATAGAACCCGAAATTTCCGTTGATAAACGTGTCGCCGCTAACAAAGTCCTGGCCGGGTAAGGCACCTGCGACAGAGCACGCCCTCTCCAAGGGAGTAACGTTCGCGTAGGAAGGACCCATTGGCACAAACTGGGCGCAAGGAAATTGCCGGTTTGAAAACTCGTTCGCGACGAGGCTTTCGTAGGCATACGCGATTGGATCTAGACAATTAATCCAGCGAAGCCAACCCTGCATGCTCCTCGTAGGGAGAATAAACCCGGTATATATAACCAGACCTAGTATGAAGATAGCAGCGGGTGTCACGGCTTGCTGTACGGTGCGAGTCGTTTGTGCGATAGTCCTGAGAATCATGGACATTGTGAACGTACACGTGAATCCAAATAGGAGAAATATGAAGAACGAACCGGCCTCCTGCCTCAACTGGGCCATAAAGTACAGGGGTATATTAAAGCATACGGCAGATAGGACCTTGGTCGGGAGATTGCAGATTATGGAAGCCACTGCCTCTGCGAAAGGATGATACAACGCATAACGGGATTGCTTTTCTACGATCGGCCGCTGGACATATAAAGAGAATATCTGAGACAGTCAGTGGTTCGAATTTAATATTCAGATTTGGACGACGTTACCTCTAAGGCGCTGCTCAAGGCACTGAAGACGATTGAGAAATAGAGAAGGACACATCTGCTATTCATGCTCTCGGCAACAGGGGGGAGTTTATAATAGATACTCCCGAGCACCAACGATATAATAAGATTGGCTAGGATGGTAACGATGACAAATGTCATATCTCCCGCGATACGCTGGAAGCCCCGAGTCATACAGAGGCGAATTTGCATCGGGGTGGAAATGGTATATGGACTCTGGTTTCGTCTGAAAAGGTTTGTTAGGGTATGGTCCTTCTAAAGGGTCTATGGTTCAAAAGACTTACGTGAATGAGGCCTGCTGAGCCTTTCGGGACTCTTTCAGCATTTGAAGATGATGGCCTTTTGTCGGATACTCCTGCTCGAAGGTCTCGATCTCCCTTCTGAGCTGTGCTCTCGCCTCACTCTGCTTCCATGCCTGCGCAAACTCTTCTGGGGTACGCGGAACCTTATCCTCGAAACCTGGTTGAATTACACGTTCAGATGGATTCGTAAGAGAGGTAAGGAAGTCAGCCGTGGTTTGACGATCAGGACAATGATATCCCATGTTGGTAAAATACGTCTTGGCTTCATCCTTAGGACCAAAGTAAATCTGCCTTCCTTCGTATAATACAGCGACTTTATCGAAAACCTGCCTTGTTGTGAGAAAGATACTACGAATAAATGGCAACATCGAGAGCTTACATCGTAGGCTGGCTGTGAAGCTTGGTACATGGCAACGATGGCTGCGGTCTCTCCCAGCTCCGTGGAGAGTCTGAGAGTCTTGGCAAATTCAAGCGCGGTTGCAGAATCCAACCCCCTGGTGCTATTGTCCCAGCATTGGATGGCACTCTGATTTAGGGTGACTTCGGCAATGCTAGCTCGTTTTCGCTCGCCACCACTAACACCTCGAATGAAATCATCGCCGACCCTTGTGTTTACGGTGTGTGATATGCCGAAAACAGCCATGACCACATCCCTTAAGTGCTGAGCATACGTCTCGCGACTAACGCCTGGGAGCCGGTTTTTAGGCGTTCGAGCCAACGCAGCAAATTGAAGCGTCTGGCCAACGGTCATCTGAGGGAAATGGACATCGGTCTCGGCTTGGTAGATAACTTCTCCACGAAAGCGACTGTGCATAAGGTCCCATGGTATGCCTTGATAGTTGATATGGGACTGCTCGTCAAGGTATAGGCCATGTACGTGGCCGGCGATAGTCTTCAGCAAAGTTGATACACCACTTGTAATCGAGATCGTCAGCTTAACCACTTCCAACACCGCAAAGGCAAAAAAAAAACCAAAGTGCTTACCTGCCAGGACGCCCCAAGACCAAGAGCATCTCGCCACTCTTCACCACTCCGTCAAAGTCATCTAGAATCTGAATCTTACGTTGCCTATGTGAAATCCATTCCCGAGCAATCAGGGGTGCTCGCCAGAGAACGTTAAGAAAGTCTTTCTGGTAGTCGGTGTCTTTGCCGAAGCCATACACTCCTAGGTCGCGCCAGGAAACACCAACGGGTGGTCGAGGATACTTGTCTGGCTCCTGAGCGAAGGCATGCAGAAGAGTCTTAACCCACTCTCTTGCATCGAAATAGGGAGAATTCGGGTCGAGTTCCGGGGAAGGCTTTAGGAACGGGTTTACTCCTTGAAAAGCACGGGACTGAGTGCTCTGTTGAGTGAGGCGTCTTGCCAGCGTAGCTACGCGTGCCGAGTGGTCCTGTACAGAGGAGGCATCAGATGAGAAGGAAGCTTGTCCGACCGCCTTTTCGATCATGGCTATCTGCAGGTTTCCTTGTTCTTCAGGATGAGCTTGGCCTGGGTCTAGCATGACTGTAGTGAACTATCCGTATCGATATTGGACTGAATCTTACAAACAGAAATCTACAGATATATGGCTACCTAAGAAGTATATATAAATGTAGCTAAAGGTTACCGCCGGAGCCTCGCCCCTAGAAACCTCAGGATATCCACCCATACGCCGAGCATAGAGACAGCTCGATCACTTCGGCAAACATCTCGGACTATGACGAAATAACCAGGACCCTGATTACCATATGACTGCGTTAGCTGTCTGCATGCACTACGCCGTGTGCATGAACGAATTGAGATTTCATATGAAAATACCGGTCAAGTGGTTCGTGAACAATTTCCGAGCTGATATCTTGCCTTGTTTTGAGTCGTACGGATTAAAGACTTCGGCAAACATCATGAGCTGATCCCGAGATGGGTCTTGGCATTCGGAGCCGAACTTCTCGATACTGTTAGCCCCGTTCGGAGCTCAGCGGAAACAATATCTCTCTTCGACGTTTCGCCTCCTTTTTCTCCTTTTTCTTAATTGTCTAGTTGTCTAGGTATCGGTACTAATCCCCCCATGCTTCGCTTTGTTGATGTGCTATTCTCCTTGCTTAGCTGTATGCTGATTAAGCTTCTAGATACGTCTATCTTTTATTTTAATGATGGTATTGGGTGATAGATTATCATAGGATAGCCGTATACTCCACGCCTGGAATATTGCTCAAGTTAGATTTAAGTAGTGCGCCATTATGACTCTAACTTCTTCGAGAGGTCTAGTCAGGAGCATTTTAATACCAAGAGCTGAGGTCTCGCATACAGTATACAGTATGACTTTCACTTCAACTAGGTATTCACTACCTAACTAATATAACGCTCTAGGCGGCGTATAATAACGCTATACTTTGAATAAGACTAAATAGGACTTGATCAACTAGATACGAGTCATAAGAATATAATAGGCATAATATACGATCTGTATGAAAAACAACGAAAGAGAGTGTGTAATGGCGATAAGACAATGTCTGAGTTCCTGACCAGGAGAAAATCCTGCGCTATAAGACCTTCATAGGCTCCGTGCGGCCATATGCCTACTATGTAATAATACACTACACTGTGCGATGATTATATACTCCGTATCTGTTCAATGATCATCTGATCCTAGGCGCGAGAGGCACATTCATAGCTTAGTCCGTCCCAGCAGCCGAAGTTTGCCCTAATATCTTCGAAATCATGAGCAATACTGCATCAATTTCCGGAAGGGAGCACACGATAAAGAATTCACGGGAATAGAACCTAAGAAGAACGAAGTTATAGCTGGATTACCAATCGTAGTGAATTAAGTACCTAAGGTGTAAAGAAGGTTGCTGTGTTTCCGTCAACTGACAGCACATCTTGTAGTGAACCAGAGCCAACCACATTAGCTTCCACTGCCTGCAACATATCCCGAACAGAATCCCCTGCGTTTCTGACTTATTTCAATCATGACAGGATTTCCAGGGGTAAATACGTTCCCTCTCTCCACTAGCACAGGTAGACTAGTATAAGAACTGATATTTCACTTCCGAGTTCGTTAAAGGCGGTATCACATAGCTCTCCATGAATGTAAATTTAATTTTCGTGGTTACGAAGATATTATCGAAAAATGGTGATTTGAAAGATATTTGCGTGGTGGCCTCCACCATGATATGAGAAAATAGTGGGAAAATGACTTTGCTGCTACGCGAAAAAACATTATAACTTAGTACCTAGGTGAGAATCCTAGTGTCGATTTACGTACAAGTAAGCCCCTTACCTAGGCACATCAATGATCCCAGAATAAACTTGCTAATAATCTCACTCTTACTTTAGAGTCAAATACAAGAAAAGAAACACTATATGACTAGGCCTTGATATGTCAGTGAACCAACCCAGCCGATGAATCCCAGATGGTTCTAAATAGAACTATTATTGGTGAAAGGTATTTAAGATCTAGTAGTCAGATCCCAGGACTCACAAACCTTCCTATTTGTTGTATTTCAAGTTCAGGACTGCTAGAATTTCATAATAATCACGCATCGCCGTACCTGCTATATTTATCCTAATTGAGCAAAATGCTTCAATACCAAACTATATCGAAAGCCATTGCGTTGCCGCATCTTCGACCGTGACAAATACTACAATAACCGGGAACGTAGCACGAACCAGGAATGATGAAAAGACAGTGAGAAGATTTCAAAACTTGGCTGACCACGTCATCTCAGATTTATACTCCCTCGTTTATCTTCATTAATACCCCCTGACCCTAAGGACCGAGTTAAGAACAAGGCATATTTATGACAGAGTGTCTAGTGGCAGTAACACGGTGGCATTCTAGGATATCGGATATGACGATGATCCGGCATTCATACCATGTTGCTCTCGAAGAGTCACTCTCACCAATAGAACCACAGGTAATTCTAACAAAAATTTCATTCGTAATCCATATTCAGCCACGGCAGCCAAACCACTCCCTTACCTCCTAACCACTACCAAATTGCGCCCATCATCCGCCGAGTAAATGTTGTATACAACCTACGTTTCCGGAGCGTCGTCTCGAGCACGCAAAGCAAGGATATCCAACTAGGTCGAAAGCCTCCTTACTCGTTCCTCGCTAGCTCGGATAACCGGCATACCCAGCACTCGCTATCATCGCGTAGGGCGCAAGTGCCGTGGGCGAAGCCTTGTCCTAATTATATAAATCCAGAGCATGCACCTGTGCAAAGGCGGATACACGCGTCGCGCCAAGTTGGCTCCCTCTGCGCGGATATACGACATAACATACTTACCTACCTATACAACTCGCACCCCGGTGCCAACATGGTGGATAAATGTCGCGAATGGTAGTAAAGATACCTCATGGCTGCCGTGCCGCCCCGGTCCGTGTATCTGCGCCGCGTCCCCTTTGGGATTCCAGAGGCGAGAGATACATAATCCGCGAGGCCTCGCACAGAAAAGGGGGTATTTCTTATTATTTTCTGTCATCGCAATTACGCTCGCCGGCAGAAATCAAGTGACCGCTCAATCAAGCGACTCGGCAAGGGGTGTCGGGAGCCAATGGTGAGCGGTATTCCGCCACCCTATTTAGCCCCTCTGCGCAACCCCCTTTTGGGTAGCTGTCTGCGTCTGGCTGTGCGTCCGGCACTTTGTCGACTACCCTTTCCCATCGCTAAGGTGATTGATGATCGGCGCCCCGCGGCCAATGGCGTGCGCCCGAGTTTAATATGCGCGACAGCGAGGACTGAAAAAAAAAAAAGTTGCCTCGTGGTATATTGCGCTCTTAGGTAACGTTTTTAACCTTGCTTTCTCGTGCCCACCCCCCTGGTTGGCAGCCTCTGAGTCGCTTCCATGCAGACAGGGGTTCCCCACATTTTGCTATTCTGCCATACTCGCAGCCTGGCGGGTCTTGGCGTATAGGGGTATAGAATATTGTGCTCCTCCGGGTTGGCGAGGATGAAGGATATAGGGGGGCGGCGCATTTCTTGTCATCTCTAGAGAAGAGAACTAAGGAATAGTCACTGTTGCGACTGTTGCAATGGGGTTCCTCAAGAAGCTACTGCCGTTCGCTCTCGCGGGCGCGTCCCTTCAGGGGCTCGCTGTCGGCGCCGACTTTCCTCAGGAGGATATCAATTCGGGCAAAGCTTTGCAGCAGATAGGCCAGACAGCCCTAGATAATGCTCTAGCTCGGCTCGAAGGCGGTTCGTCAACATGTACGAAGGAGAATGTTAGGAGGCGCAAGGAGTGGTAAGTAGGATTATTCCCGATTTTGCTATGCAGGTCTAACTTGCGGATAGGAGAAACATCCCCGGAGAAGAACGAAAGGCATATGTCGAGGCGGTCGAGTGCCTGATGGAACTGCCAAATGTGTACGAGAACGTGACTGGTCCGAAGTAAGTTCTAAATTCAAGATGAACTTGGAGGCGCGCAGTCGTAATCATTTGATCAGGTCCATGTTTGACAGCTTCGGCGTACTTCACTACAAGATGACACCGTATGTCCACAACTCGGTAAGTCAACTCTATCGGCGCATCTTCACGAGATTCTAGTGTGCGCAGGCATACTTCCTCCTGTTCCACAGACTTTACGTCTGGACTTTCGAGGAGAAACTAAGGACTATGTGCGGCTACACCGGCGCATTCCCGTACTGGGAGGTAAGTTAGTTTCTAGCTAAGCTATACACAACGGACCTAACTTTGGTTGCAGTGGGGCCTCGACGCCGGCAGCGTTGAAAACTCGCCCCTCTTCGACGGCTCCGAGACGTCTTTGGGATCGAACGGAGCCAAGGTCAACACGACCAACCCGGGTTTCTTCCCGGGCGGCTCGGGCGGCGGCTGCGTGACCCAAGGGCCGTTTGTCAACTTACGCGGTCAACTTCGGGCCTAACACCGCTGAAGATCCGATAGCGTATAACCCGCGGTGTCTGAAGCGAGATTTGAACACCCAGATCTGTGCCCAGTGGGCTTCGCTCCAAAACACCACTGAGACGATCCTCGAGAGCCCCGACATCGCCCTGTTCCAGGCCAACCTGCAAGGTGATTTCCGCTGGCCCGAGGCCCGCAAGTGGGGATTCGCCGTTCACGGTGGTGGTCACTTCGCTATCGGTAGGTCTTGAGCTTTAGAGTACGCAGACTTAGCTAATGCGTATCTAGCTGGTGACCCAGGCGGGGACTTCTACTTCTCGCCGCTAGAGCCTGGCTTCTATCAGCACCACGGACAGATCGACCGCATGTACTTCATCTGGCAGAACCTTGACTGGGAAAACCGACAGGTGAGATCATCATCAAGTATTTTGATTTTAGGTGTTGACTAAGACGTATGTAGACCATGGCTGGAACCATCACTATGATGAACAGGCCGGAAAGTCGCAACGGAACGCTGGACGACGTGCTTGACATTAGCCCGGTTGGCGGATCTTTCAAGTACCACGAATTACTCGACACCGTAGGGGCTTCGCCTTTCTGCTTCGTATATGAGTGATTAAGCCGTATCTCGGAATAAGGTTCCGAAATGGAGATTGGCGTTAAGGGGTAGCGGTGGTTCAAAGCTGCGATTGAGCCTCGGGGCAACATGCATGGAGTAGATGCCTCATCGTATCGAATTTAATAGAACGTGAAAATGCAACACCATTGAAACTCAAGGACATAATCGCTTCCTGCATATTCGCACTCGCACAGTATCTTGAGTGAATGAAGTATATAAATGAACAAGTACACGCGAGATTACAAAATTGGTATTTTCAGGCACGACGCCGGGATATAGATAGGAGGTATATACGGGGTAACGATGTCGCCTATACGAATGCTGATTATATAGTAGCATCACCATTCGGCAATCTCACCGGGCTTCGGCCTCTGTACCCGGACAACCTTGTCGGCATTTAACAAACTAAGAGGGTCAAGCGCTTGCTTGATCTATAGCGTAGTTAGTATTTTATGGGTTGAAGGACGCTTGCGAACTTACCTTTCTCATTGTGTCGACTGTGCTCTCGCCTAGTTCGTGCGGTAGATAATCCCTCTTTACTAGACCAACTCCGTGTTCACCCTGTACTTGTTAGATCCGATGTTGGGATTCTACCTAGGAAGACTCACCGTTACTGTCCCTTCTAATTCAACGGCTCTCTTCACCATACGGTGCACTAGCTCCTCGGCAGCATGCCTCTGCTCATCATTTGAAAGTAGAATGACTGGCGCTTTGTTAGTATAATCAAACTACTGTATATCGGTTGCTTACTGTGAAAGTTTCCATCGCCAACGTGTCCGACAATCGTGCCGTACATGCCGCTCTTCTTCATGTCGTCCTTAGTCTCCTCGATGAGGAGTGGTAACTGGCTCATAGGAACAGCCACATCTCCGGTCCACACCTTCTCGCCAGGCTTGGCGACGGACATGGTGCTCCACAACGCCTCCTTGCGTGCGCTCCACAGCTCGGCTTTTTCGACCTCGGAGCGGGCAAACTCGAAGCTCTTGCTACCCGTTAACCTAGCCATCTCCTGGACAATCTGTATCTGCTCTTTGACGCCACGCTCGGTGCCGGAGAACTTGAAAAATAGTGTAGGGACCTCCTTCCATTGCTTCGACGTCATACCAGCTTGGTTGATGCACTTCATCTGCTCTTCGTCGAGAATTTCGACGGCAGCAACCGGAACACCCTGACCGACCACTTTCGCGACACAGTCGGCAGCCTGACGAATCGTGCCGAAACCGCAGACCGCCACGCTCGTACTAGCGGGTTTTGTAGTAAGCTTAAGAGTTGCCTCGGTGACAAGACCCAGAGTGCCTTCGCTGCCGATAAAGAGCTTCGTCAGATCGTAGCCCGCAGAACTCTTCCTTGGCCTTTGACGGGTCTTGATTACTGTACCGTCCGCGAGCACGACAGTAAGCGAGAGAACCCATTCCCTCATGGTACCATATCGGTACGAATTCGTGCCACTACATCCAGTACCAATCATACCTCCGATCTGAGCACCCGGGCCCGGGTCGGGAGGGAAGAATAAGTTGTCCTTGCCAATTTCCTCGTTGAGTAGCTCCCAGCCGACCGCCGGTTGCACAACAACATCCAGATCCTCCTTGTGCAGCGCAAGGATCTTATTCATTCTCCGGAAATCTACGCAGATACCCCCTCTCGTTGGTGTGAAGTGACCTTCTAAGCTAGTACCTCCACTGTAGCCGACTACTGGTATCCGTCGCGAATGGCAGATCTTCATAATCTGGCTAACCTCCTCTGTCGAATTCGGGTAGACTATCATGAACGACTTCTCCGACTCCTTGCTGCGGTAACTCGACCAGTCCGAGTTCGCGTGAGTTTCGAGATCAGACTCTACTGTGCTGACATTCTCCTTTCCGACGATGCTGGCAAAGTCGGCCCAGGCGGCTTCTAGGTTCGCCTTGTCGTTCTTGTATTTCGGGTCACGAGTAAGAGCTAGAGGAAGAGTCGAGGTAGGGTCAACATCTCGGGGAGCTTTCGTGCCTAAGAAGTAAGAGCCAGCAGCAGCACCAAGAACGACTAATAATTAACAATAGTTAGATTTATAATTTACAAGTTTATAAGCTTAGGGCATTCTCACCAAACGTCGTACCCCAGCGCCTCGTTCCCGCTGATTCCTGTCGCTCTCTCGCAAACTTTTCTCGCTCTGCCTTCTCGCGCGCGATTCGCGAGCTTATACTCTCGAGCATCTGACCCTGGAAACTAGATCCCTGATCTTTCTTCTCTGTAGCATACGATCGCGCACGCTGTAGGTATGCGACACATGGCGAAGTCGTCCGGACGGGTCTGGGAACCCCGACGCACCGAAGCCCGGCGTGGGTCGATCGACATGCGAGTCGCGACATGTTGAATTGAGTATGCCTTGGACCTCTAACGATTGCTATGTCATCTTATTACACCGTAGGACTTTGAAACAGAACTATACGTCCGTAGTCACTTCCAATTCGTATTTTGGAAAATAGGAAGGATTTGGGAGGGGGGAACCGGCATTCCGGGCGAGCTTCTCGAGGGTAAAGATTGAACCTGAGATAGCCGTTATCGCCTATAAGAAGTGGAGTTCGGTATCGGAGCCCCACGGCGCTCTAATTCCGACTCTTCGCCATTCAACAACTGGATGGCGTGAAAGCTAATTGACCAATAATTGATCGAATATTACGGGAATAATTTAGGAGCTAGAACAGTTAACAATACATATTAAATCAGTCTCTGGATTCAAGTAGGTATATTGAGATAAGCATCTTACAAATACGCTCGTCAAGAAATTAAGCCATGATGAACAAATATAATGGGCAAATACAGCTTTCAAGAGTAGATGATATCAACTAAGCTTAACGTAACCCCAACCCCTATATACAAGCTGCGGACACGCTCAATCCCCTATTCCGTCCCATTCGCTGTCATCTTGCACCTGGGTATCACTAACTGTCTCTTGCGCCTTCCTCTTTTTACTTCCAGCAATTGCTCCATGCTTATTATGCTCCTTTCTCCTCTCCCACGCGCTCTGCGTCGTTATCTTAGCAGCCTTAGTGCCTCGTCGAGACTCTACACCCCGCTGTTTCAGCTTCTTCTTTTCTTCTTTGCCAACCTTCGGCAGTGAATCTATTAGCCACTTAGGAATACTCTCCTGGCTACTCTTCCCGGCTTGTTTTTCGCTCAGAGAGATAACGTTGGCAATGCTTTTAAGGTACGTGACATCCTCAGTAGTGTAAAATGTTACAGCCATACCGCCTTCGTGACCCGCTCGTCCGGTTCGGCCTACACGGTGGACGTAGGCTGCTGCGGACGTTGGGACGTCGTAGTTTATCACGCCGTTGACTCCACGGAAGTCGATACCTCGCATGAGCAGGTCGGTTGTGATTAGGACCCAGATTTCACCTGCACGGAACCGAGCGACAATGCTCAAACGGGCCGAGTCTGACAGAGATGAGTGGAGGGCCGCGATACGAGACGAGCCGCCAGCTTCCGCAGGTATATCAAACTTCAATTCGTCATGCAGAGCTGTAGCACGCTCAATTGTTTGTGCGAATACTAGGAAAGGGAGTCGCATTTGCGGCATCGAATCGTCCGAGGATTTAGGGTGTAGAAGTTGACGGAGCGCAAACAATTTGCCCTGCTCGGTAGCGGTATATATGAGTTTGTGGTTGATGCTTGGGACTGCGGTGTCTTTTAGTCCAATTACAAGACGGATCAGAGGGATGGCAGAAGATTCCCGGGACTTTAGTTGCTCCAAGACGAGACCCTCAATGCTGGAACCCATAGTCGCAGACCAGCATGTTAGTCGCAACGATTCATTGGTACAAGCAGACCAGATCCCGAGAGTCTGTTCGCGGAAGAGGGGGTCAAGAAGAACATCTGCTTCGTCTAGGATCAATGATTTGACCGTCGGCAACGTCCTCGATTTTAGGTAGTTCCGTAAAAGCATTGGCGTTGTGACTAGTATATCCGTTTTAGTTGTTGTTATCTTTCTCTGCTCGCCTTCCGAATCATCATCAGCACTGCCGGCCTCATCTTCGCTTCCAGAGGTATCCCCATCATCAGCATCTACCTGGCCTTCTGCAGGTATTTGCATGCCCTTCTTCATCCCCACGATCTTGACCCCTGTGCCCTGCGCCAGTTTTCTACCTTCGTTAACAATCTGGTGAGCAAGCTCTCGCGTAGGCGCAACCACCACCACTTCTAACACATGCTCTTTCTGCGCCGTATCGCCAGCCCTCCTGCGTAAGATGCTGTTGATGGCCGGGATCAAAAACGCGAGCGTCTTGCCGCTGCCGGTTGGCGCGACTGCTAGGAAGTTAATTCCATTGTCAGTTTTGAAATTTAATTCTTCGGCAGTAAACGTCGGTATCGCCCTATCCGGTTGTAATAAAAGGGGTAGGCTGCCCAATTGTACTTCGGTTGGTATCCGGTATCCCTGCTTTGCGAGGTTCTCCCCTAGTCTAGTCGAGATATTGTATATAGAACGTAGTTCGGAAAACGAGGTTAATGGTTGCGGGAAAAGTTGCTTCTTGACATCTTTCGCTTTTGACTTCGCTTCTTCCTTCTTTTTAGACTTCTTCACCTTTTTCTTTTTTTCTTCGTGGGAGGAAAGTAGAGTAAACTTCAAACGATGCGACCGAAGGACTTGTCGGACTTCTTCCTCATCAAGTACTGGTTTTGGCGCATTCTCTTTAGGTATTTCCCGAATCTCGGGTTCGGGACTCGGCTTTTTAGTCGCTCGAGGCGCAAAAAAGTTGATCTCATCCAGATCACCGTCGGCTTCTAGCGTCGAGGTGGCTTCCTCGTTCCTTTTGCGCTTAACACCTCGAGTAGGATCATTGAAGAGCTGGGGATTTGAAGGTTTTGCGATAGGTTTTTGGATAGCTTGTTGGGTGGAGGACCTTTTTGTCCCTCGGGACAGAATCTTCAGAATATCCATCGTTTGCGACGACTACTCTCAGACCACTTACGAAGGTGAGAATTGTTGGATAAATTATTCCGTAGGGTTGGGGCGGTGTAGAGAACTTTCTTGGCGGTGAGTTTCTGCCGGACAAAAAACTCGGTGCTTAATATTCCACCCCGCAACCCCACTGCCCCGCAAACTGCTTTATCAATCAACCAATCACTTAACTATCCCCCTTATCCAAAACTACTTCGTACCAAACGGCAGTTTTCTTCACAAATCATCATTTTGTTGGCATCATGCTTGGTGATCGACAACTTGGAAATTTGACGTCATTTCTATTTCTGCTACAAATACTAATGATATGTAGTGATAGATCACAAGCCAAAGGGATACATAATCAATTTATCATCTTTCAATCGGCTCTCGTCGCTACCATACTTCGCGACTTCAGGATCTTCCTTGCTTCCTGCTCTGCGGCACACCCCGGCTAGCATAGGCGAACCGCAGCCCCCAGATCTTACGCTACGTGAATGATCTAGCGCAGACACCGCTGCTTAGCTGATTGGCCCGGGTAAATCGTTGGATAAACACAACGTGATTCTAGCCCGAGGGGAAGAAGCTTGTAAGCATTAGCAACTTCGAATGTCAAAGCTCCATCACAGAACCGTGGACCGGGGGTCGACCGGGGATGATCCCCCCACTACGCCTCGACCTGGTGGGCGGGTTGCAGGTGCCATTACGACATTCTATGTCCTATGAGATACTATGAGATACCAATATGCCAACCCTTGCCCCGCGCTATCGTGTATGCTGTAGCTCTCACAAGATTGTCTTGCCTTAGCAGAGCTTAGCTCTCCGAGTACGGGGAAGCAAAGGAGGCGAGTGATTTTTTCTTCTTTCATCCTCATGTGTTGAGTGTTGACTTTATATCTCATCCTCCCTATTTCCATTGTCAAAAGTCACGATAGTCTTATTTTGTATTTTGAAGTCAAATACTTATATCTCTCCTATTTACCTATCCATTTGACACCCTTTCTTAATGTTCCTCATATTTACTGACAGGTAGATAAAATGGATCCTAAATCAGCAAGCGTACGTACCGTACCCCCTTAACCGACATTAGATAGTCCTCTAACAATAGTCTTAGAACCTTTCTTTCATCCTCAATAAGCCCCATGATGTCCAATTCTCAGACAGGCCCGTTCCGTCCCTCCAAACACCCCACGATGTCCTCGTCGCCGTGAACTACACCGGAATTTGCGGCTCGGACGTTCACTACTGGGAGCACGGTGCTATCGGCCACTTCGTTGTTAAAGATCCCATGGTTTTGGGCCACGAGTCGTCCGGTACCGTCATCCAAGTCGGTTCCGAGGTGAAAACATTAAAGCCTGGTGATCGTATTGCTCTAGAACCAGGCTACCCCTGCCGGCGATGCCAACCTTGCCTGAGTGGCAAGTACAACCTCTGCCCCGAGATGCGTTTCGCCGCGACGCCTCCCTACGATGGCACACTGACGGGATTCTGGGTGGCCCCTGCCGACTTCTGCTACAAGCTGCCCGACAACGTCTCCCTGCAAGAAGGCGCTTTGATCGAGCCCCTCGCCGTAGCCGTTCACATCGTCCGACAAGCAGTCGTAACCCCAGGACAATCAGTTATCGTCATGGGAGCTGGTCCCGTTGGTCTTCTCTGTGCAGCAGTAGCCCGTGCCTTTGGGGCGTCCAAGGTAGTCTCCGTCGACATTGTCGAGTCAAAGCTCGCCTTTGCCAAGTCCTTCTGCTCGACACACACGTATATTAGCCAACGTGTGTCCGCGGAGCAGAACGCAGCCAATATCCGGAAGGAGGCAGACCTTCCTGACGGTGCAGATGTGGTGATCGACGCAAGTGGCGCGGAGCCTAGTATCCAGGCGAGCTTGCACGCGGTGCGCACGGGCGGCACATACGTCCAGGGCGGCATGGGCAAGTCGGACATCACATTCCCCATCATGGCCATGTGCATCAAGGAGGTCACCGCTAAGGGAAGCTTCCGGTATGGCAGCGGTGACTACAAGCTTGCCGTCGAGCTCGTCGCCGGCGGCAAGGTCGACGTCAAGAGGCTCATCAGCGCCGTTGTTGCGTTCAATGAGGCTGAGGAAGCGTTCAAGAAGGTCAAGCAGGGTGAGGTCATTAAGATCTTGATCGCGGGCCCGAACGAGAAGGGCGCCGCTGCTGTTGCTGCTAAGGCTTAGACCTGTTAAGAAACATCTTGATGATTTATCAGTGTTGGCTGGATAGATACGGGTGCGCATCGATGATAAGAGTGACGATTATTACCGGTTGTAATACACGGTTTGTTACTACAGGCAAGTGTCAGTATAGCTCCCTCGTATTCGCGTGTAGTGAAATTACAAGAGTAATAGTACATTCATGCTTGCCACAAGTCCACCTATCCCGCTCTAGTGTTTCTTGTCACTCATGCCCATCTCGGCCATACTATATATAATCAGTACACAATGAGTTTCATCGTACACTTCAAAGCCAAAGCCAATTCCTGTCTCCTTTAAGTGGGAAGTGGTCTCCAAATATAAGCTCCCCAGTAGCATATCTGCCCCCCGGGATCCTCCGTGTTACACTCCCCGATGCGACATCAACGGGATACGGGGCGACTCCGATAGGATCGAACACTTAGCCGGGCAGGTAGTTACATGGTGTCCAAATCCAAATCCAGGTCCCATGACGCGTGATGAATCCGTGGTGAAAGTGGTATTCAGACCAGGGCCCTTGTCGTAGATATACAATGAAGGATTAAGTTAGGCTAGCTCTGGGAAAATAGACGAAGCTATCGGTAAGGGAGCTACTTACATTAGGTACAAATAAAGGGTATTGAGAAGACTTTATGCAATGGTGTAGTTCACGCGGGTAACAATTCTGGAATCAGATTAACTGAGAGTGGCGAACGTATCCAATTCACGTCTTCATCCTAGCCTACCTATATATCTGCCTATCGAGTAACTACCTAGATTTATATTTAGATCATGCCTAAATACCTAGTAGTAATAGTAGTACCCTCCTTTGCACCGCGCACCTTAATACTCACCACCTCTCCAGGAACGATATCAACAAGGTTATCCTCGAACTTGACATCATCGTCCTCGCTCTCGACCGCGACACCCTTAACGGGGACCTCGGCCGAAACATTAACGGTAGTGAGATCGTCACTCAGTTCCGCACGTAGCTGTGTCGGTTTGGCAAGATGTAAATACTTTAGTGGCTCTGGCCAGTTGACGTAACGCGCAAGCTGAGCGCCGCCATCACGGCTTACTAGGTACGCAGCAACAACGGTTCGCGAAGCATCGATACCCTCGTCTTTCTTTGGTTCCGGCACATCGAAGGCCACGATCTCAGTAGATTGGTTCTTGGGGAGGACGAGAGGTTCCTCATTGACCGTCTCGCTGTACGTTTCCCTCCCGGTATCGACATCCCAGGCCTTGACCACGCAATCTACCGTTAGGTCTTCGAGGGTAAGGTTGCTGCCCCATATCTCGATCTGTACTTTCGTTTCTATGTCCACGCGTGTGTATTTGTTGCGCGGGTATTTGTGCTCACGCCGTGTCATGCCAACCGATAACGGCGCCATCTCGCGCTTGACGGTAAAGTAGGCGTGCTTGGGACGCAGGTAGTAATCGCAGATAGCCCAGCTAGTGACTGGCCAACAGTCGTTGATCTGCCAAACAAGCGCCCCGGAACAATATTCACGTCCTGGGCCTTTCCACTGCCTTTTCCAAAGCCGGTATGCCGACGCCAGGCATTCGGCCTGCATCAGCTGTGTGCTGTAAACAAATTGCTCGAGCGGGTCTGGCGCGTACCGCATGTTCTCAACTAGATACAACGCTATACGTCGTTCATGTCCATCTGCTTTATTATGGAAGTCTATCGTCGAGGACTGCGGATACCGATCTGGATCGTCTTTGCCGAGAGGGAGAAAAGCATCGATCGTCTTCACCGATGGGAAAGCCTCCATGCCGAACTCGGATACGAAACGCCCAACTAGTTTGTCGAAGTTCTGATACTTCTCCTGGGTGCCATGCCAAACGTTCCATTGGTGAATATCGCCCACGGTAGGGTCTCGCGTGTCAACCCCTCCCCAAGGGCTTCCGGGATGGTAGTAGACAGACGGGGTTAATTCCCGGCACGCATCGGGAAGAATCTTCTCGTAAATGTAGCGCGCAGGAAAGTCAGTCTTCAGCCAACTCTTGGCATCTTTGTTATCCTGTTCCCATGTGAGATTGACGCTCTCTGCATACTGGTAATCTTCGTTATTTCCAGCGTAGATCACAATGCTCGGGTGGTGTCTTAGTAGCTTAATATTCTCTTCTGCCTCTCGTTTGATCGAGTCTAGAAGTCCAGGCCAGGCGGGATAATTGCCACAGCCAAACATGAAGTCCTGCCATACGATGATGCCAAGCTCATCACAGGCGTCATAGAAAGCCTGTTCTTCGTAGATACCCCCTCCCCACACACGGATCATAAACTGGTTACCATCCGCCACCAATTTAACCCAGTCGTAGTATCTCTCCTTGCTAATCCGCGGGATGAAGTTATCCGCAGGAATCCAATCGCTGCCACCGCAGAAGATAGGAATTCCGTTAACCTCGAAGAAGAATGACGTGCCAGGCTCTCCCTTAAGTGGTCTCTGGACGAGCTCTGCTCTCCGTAGGCCGATCTTCTTTGACACGCTGTCTATGATCTTGCCGTCTTCATCTAAGGTCGCTGTGACTGTATATAGGGGCTGCTTACCGTATCGTACCGGGTACCATAGTTTTGGGTTGTCAATTGTAAACGTAGCACTTCCACCAGATGCTACTGCCTGGCTTACAACAGGCGTACCCTTGAACGAGACGTCAAACCAAACTCCCGAGGCTTTGCCTTCCGTAGAAGCATGTGTAGTTATGGTGGCAAATTTTAGAGATTTATCAACATCAATGTCGACCCAGAGATCGGTGATACGTGACTCGTAGACCTCGAGATTGATCGGTCTCCAGGGGCCGCAGGTTAATAACGCCGGACCCCAATCCCAGCCCTATTTAGGTCAGTTTATCTTTATTATAGCAAATTTCTTCTCTACTGCCCGGTTTTAACATACCCAGTGATATTGTGACTTCCGCACGGCCAACCTAGAGTTATCACCGTTCCAGCATCCCCACTTGTGATCCGGATATTTCTCGACCAATTTCCATCCTCTTAAGTATGCGCTATCAAACGTGATAGAAAGTTCGTTCTCCCCGCCGTCCTCCTTCAAGTTGGCTGTGACGTCGACGCGTTCGGGGATGAACATATTCTCGGTCTCTAGAATAGTCTTCCCGTTAAGCACCACAGTCGCAAAGGTATCTAACCCATCAAAGGCCAAGACCGCTTTCGCAGAGCTCCCAATTGTAGGAGTCGCAAAGCTTGTCCTGTAGACCCAGACTGCTTCGCCGACCCATTGTACATCAATCTCGTTCTTACCGATATAAGGGTCGGGGATAAGCTTATGAGCGAGCAAGTCGAGGTGCACGTTGGTAGGGAATTGGCCCACGGGCAGATATTTGCTATCCTCCTTGTCGGCCTGCCTGAACTCCCAATTCTTGTCGATCGGGATTATAGTGCGGGGCGCCATCTCGTGGGGTTGTGGTTTGAAAGGGAGAGGGGATGGAGATTCACAAGAAGTGATAGAGGATGAGGATAAGCGTATATTTATATCAAGGTGAGCCTTGCTTAAATTGGTAATTCTAGAATAGGCTTGGCCTAGCAATGATTCTGAATCCTGACGATGCTCCATAGAAATAGACGAGCAGTAGTGCCGCTCAGATGTGGACTTAGGCGACAGGAAGAAATTAGAAACAAGACAGAATTAATAACAAAGATAGACGGGAAGCCGACAAGATTCTCGTAGCTTATTGGAGCGCAATTAGACGATCTACTATCGACGATGTTGACTTTACAACAACTTTTGCAATGTAAATTTCACAATGTATGAGGTAGACAAGGTCAATAGCAACTAAGAACGCGGGATGTTACTTGCCGGGGATATTCACAAAGATTTGGGTACTTGGCTCGAAGTTGCTATGCGACACAGATCTCAGAGTACTTGGGGAGAGCAACTTTCGGAGAGCTATACTCAGCATATCGTTTCTTATCGGCAATGCAGGCGAAGCGGCCACCCTCGGCAATCACTAGCCGCTCTAACCGTCGGGGGTATATGCATGACTACATACATGCAGGAACCTGCAGTTGGAGAGGAGCCATCATTGCAGCTTCGTTTCGTTGAAGATATGCAAAATGGAGATCGTGTAAAAGTTTAGTTGGATGAGATCAATGCAAGAAATCAAGCAAGAAACGTCAATCATCGGACCCCACCTTTCTAAACTCGCCGACTCCACGCTAATGGTTCCATATCGCGGAGCATACAATTCCGCTACCCGATTTGGCTACTTAGTGAGGTCCTGTGCAGCGGAGCGGGATCCTCTTCGGCGAAAGCCCCGGCCGGTACGTATAGAGGTTATGGTACATCTATCGGACTATTTTTCGATAATTTTTATAATCCCGACCTCCGGGATATTGATAGTCCCTGATATTAGTATGTGACGACTAGTATAAATATGCGTAAGCACTCGGTAACCTAGTGGAGGTCGTTCCGCCGAAGTGCAAGGGTGGAAGACCCTCTGCCGAAAAGGACGGAGCCTCACCTCCCACGCCGCTTATCGGCGCTCGGCATCGTGACATCGGCCCCCAGTACGGCTACATATTGCGAGTCAATATTCACCCGCATATATATCTTTGCGTATAAATCAGCAGTATTGGGCAAAGAGAAATCTCATATTATTCTATCAGGTCTTCGGAATTATCCCTAGGGCACGTCCACTCCCAACGCCATAAAAGCTAAAAACGACCAAAAGCGAGCGCGCTTGCAAAAGAAGTAGGTATCATCGTAGTGTCGCCAGGCCAGCCCCATTTAGCCCGTATCCCTTTCATCGTGATTACAGTCCACAGCCTATCCCCTTTGATCTTGTATTAGCAACAATTTCCTCTGCCTCGCCCGCGGCTTAGAGTAAACACCTCTTCCCACTCGCGCATACCCCAATTCTGTGCGCGATTCTTGCCTTTGCGTCTCCGCCTCATGCCGCCGAGGCCGACCTCATCTGTCGTCATGGAGCTCTTGATGCTACCGCCATCGCTAGCCCCCGCATTCCACATGCCTCCGTCGCCATACTGAATACCGCTCATCGGATCGTCCGGGTCGATCTCCCCGAGCTCAATCTTGGTCAGGATCATGCGTGCCAGCCGCGTAAATATCTCATCCACGCCCTCACCTGAGAAGGCCGACACTTCCACCGTAACAGGTACGTTAACGCTACTAGCCCATCGTGACGCCTCGGTGGTTGATACCTCGCGGCCTTCGGGTGCTACCGTCGCTTTCATTTGCGTTCCGAGGGAAGCGCCTGCACTAGTCGTACCGGCGGACGTGCTGTATAGCAGAGACGAACTCGTGCTTGACGGCGTAGGAGGAGGAAGACTCGTATCGATGAGAGTATCGTTGGCAAGGTCCAGCTTATTTCCAGCGAGAATCATCGTCAAATTAGGTGAGGCTAGCGCTCGCGCGTCATTAAGAAATGGTTGTAGCGCTCTGAATGAGTTATGCGATGTGATGTCGTAGCATAAGATAGCGCCCGCGGCGCCCCGATAGTATGACCGCGAGACGGAGCGAAAGCGCTCAGTGCCTGCCGTATCCCATAGCTAGTATTAATATCAGCTACAGCCGCTCTGTCTTAGGTACCATAGCGGATCACAATACTTGTAGCTTTATCCGCTTCCTCCGCGGGCCTGTACCGACTTTAATAATCTTGCTGGCAAACTCAACGCCGATCGTTTGCGAGGAAAGAACTCGCCATTCGTTCTTGACAAAACGATGCAGAAGACATGACCTGTCGGGACCGCACTGTTAGCAGGTAACCTATAACCCACCATAATCGAGGCCCATCTTCTTACACACGGTTCCAAAAACCTGTGTTCGGGATGTCTTCTTCAACTCGAATCGGGATAATTGCGAGACTCACTTCCCAGTTCCGCTCGGGCCCAACAAGATAATCTTAGCGAGGTAATCATACATGCTCCCGAGCTCCTAGAACCGTATTAGCCATTGGATTTCTTCGCTTATCTCCCGCCTAAACTTCGTTGCCGCATACCTGGTCGCCTGCCGTCCCCGTGCTCTCCGTGCTAGCGGCCGATGAGCGTCTCGGACGCGTCATCTTATCCGGCCCCTCGTGCGATATCGGTAAACAGGCCGAAACTCAGTTGGAAGTTAGGAATTTCGCAATCGTCAATAAGGGCAAGCGGTCGAAATGGTTATTGGATATGCAGGAATTGGGTACAATCAAGGTTGCGGGTTAGGTTGGCCTTACGACCTTACGATATAAACTAAAACAAGGCTTTAAAATAGTTCAAGCCATGTCTGAAATGCGGTATTTTCAGCTCTGCTTATCTATCAGTGCTTGTGATCAACAGTGACGAAACTAGGTGTAAAGGTGTGGGTACTCTGCAGGGATTTGCTGGTCAGTGCTTGCTTGGTGTACACTGTACACAGTACTTACGGTACTTCTCTTAGTCAGCAGGTAACACCCCCTATCTTAGCTAATGTGATAATTTACCGAGGCTCGTGAATTCTCCGTTTGTCTCACTACCGCAACCGCGACGGCTGGATCCGGACTGTTCGGTTTATAAGATTAAGGCACCTAGGTATTTATTATTATAGCACTCATAAGCCTAGCTCCGTCAGCTTCCATTTTCTTAAATATATTAGTTTACATCCAACAACGAATTGCCACCCTATCTGTATCAACTTAATCAACATGAAGATTGAAGGCAGGACATTTGTCGTCTCTGGCGGGTACGCAATTAACGTGTTTCATGCATCCGGTGTAAACCTCTAAAGCTAGGCTGACTATTTAAGTATAGAGCATCGGGCCTTGGACAGGCGTGCGTAGAGGAGATCTGCCGGAATGGGGGTAATGCTGCTGTCCTAGATTTGAATGAAGAAAACGGCAATATAGTAGTCAATAACCTTCCTGGCGGAACGGGGAAGTTCTTCGTCTGCGATGTCCTCGACACTGAGAGTATTGCAGCAGCCGTCAAGGGGACCATTGAATGGGCACAGCAGACAGGGAAACCCTTAGGCGGTGTCATACCTGCTGCTGGCGTCGGTAACCCAGCCACGGTACGGAAGTTTCGAGACTGCTTAACGAAAAGAAAGTTAATCATCCAGCAGATATTAGATCGGGAGGGCAACGCCTTCAGTATGGACAGTTTCGATTTCGTCGTCAACATCAACTTGCGAGGCACGATCGACCTAGTACGGCAGTGTCTCGTACACATTGCCAAAACTGAGCCCGTAGGAGCGGACAAGGAACGGGGTGTAGTCGTCATGGTGGCTTCAGTTGCCGCATTCGACGGGCAGAAAGGGCAAGTGTCATATGCAGCTAGTAAAGGTGCAGTCGCAGCCTTGACTCTACCAATGGCGAGAGACCTAGCACGCTACGGTATCCGTTGCGTAACTATCGCTCCAGGAGTGTTCGAGTCGCGAATGACGGCTGTGATGCCCAAGAAGCTATTCAAGGGCCTAGAAGCAGTCATGGAATTTCCAAGACGAGCAGGACAGCCTGAGGAGTTTGCCCAGTTGGCCCGGCACGTCATCGAGAATGCTATGCTGAATGGTACAGTGATCAGGTTAGATGGAGGTTTAAGGATGCCAAGCAAGATCTAAGAGCAGTACGGCAATTGTCACAAATAGCCAAGTTGCGATAATTGGTGCAAATTCTTTCTTTTGGTGTGTTTTCTTTTCTGACTGAAGGAAACTGCAGAGAAACGATATGATCCATAACGATCTAACAAAAAGGCAACGCAATATCCTTCCCCACGTATCAGGAAATGGGATAATCTTGTGGTTCTTCACCTAGAACCCTCCTCGTAAAATACTCGATCAATCTGCGACAAAGAACTATAAGCTGTGTGCAAAGGCAACTTGATCTAGGGTGATCTGCAACCGAGATAATATCTATTCAAGGCCAATGAGCAAGCTAGTAGATATCTTAATAGTTGCGGCGACGAAGTGGCGATCTCACTCGATTATGGTGGGACCTAGGACCTGTGACAGGGGATCGCTCCCGGCGGCGGCCACTATCGCCACGTGGCCGAGCATTCAGTCTCTGAGGAGCCGAGGGCGGGGCGTAGGTGTACGCGTCGGGGCGGTGTATGGTTGACTGACCTAGCCGTGAGCCTAAGGCTATACCCTCTAGGAAGGCACGAGAGGCCAGGGGATCCTCTGCAATCCTGTTGCTAGGTCCGTTGATGTGACCGAACAGGTATTGGACTTGACTCATCAGCAAGTTCTGTTGATCGTGAAGATCGTAGTTGTCGTAGCGGTCATTGGAGAAATTGCCAGGGGGTTGATAACGGCTAACACGATGCTCCTGCATGAAAGGAGCAACTTGGGTATGCTGATTATTGCGATGCTGTTGGGGGTTTGGTTTGTTCTCCGTCTGCGCCGAACCAAACCCGAAAAAGTTGGGCACATCTTTGTATATGCCCTGCTTGACAACCTCCGTAAGGATCGCTGCAGGTTTACCTGCGGGATCCTCGCACTTTATTGCATATTAACAACCATCCGAGCAAGAAAGGAGGGATTCGGTGACAAAAATGGGAGAAACAGAGAGTCTTGACATTACGTACCGGCAGCTTGCGAACTTCTGTAAGAGCCTTCCTGGAAATAGCCGCTTTTGCCTCGGAAGCCGTGTCGTATGCGCGCATATCGGTAACTATCAACCCCTTGAGACTGACAGAGCACTTACAGCGGCCGTTGCGATCATGCCATTCTGTAAACTGCGGATTGAATCGTCTTTTCTGGCACTCTTGGCTCAGAAGCATTGCAGGAGTGACAAATTTACCATCTACAGTAGGGCAATTACCCGCATGCTCTGGCTCGACACCCCCTTGGCTACCGCTCTGATCTTGAGCAAGGTCGAACGGTCCTTGAGAAGGAACGGTAGCGCCGCGGCTAATACCAAAGATTGGTCTGGAGAGGATGGGGCGCTTTAATACAGTCGCTGGGGTGGCCATATTACCAGCATCGATAGGGCGGGTCGGTAGACTCAAAGATGCCATTGCACTGCCTCCGGATGCAGTATTGGCCAGAGGGATGAAGGCAGCTTGGGATCATAGTTAGAACGATGTTAACTAGCAGGCAGGAGAAATATTACGATGCTTACCGTTCTGAGACATGCCCCCAAGGGCAGTAGCGCTATCTGATGACGGGCCAGAAACCTCTTGCTTGACCTTGCAATCATCTTCAGATGCGCTACCGATCACAGGCCGACCATGGGGACCACTACCCCCAAGATCGATGACGAATCCTGCGGATGCGAATGAGGAGTCAGGACCTCCATAGGAAGTCGATGCTGAGCTGGTCGTCTTAGTCGCGTCGCTGAGTAACGCCTGAAACCCGGTACTGAAGGGTGATTCTATAATTGGTAAGCTCAATGACTAAACTTCAGACTGATATAAATGCTAAAGACGTGGTAATATTCAAATGTTAGGTTAGATGAATGCCTTACCTTCACCTGGAGTCCCTTTGTTAAGGGACGACTTTCCATACACCTCCATAATTTCTTCCGAGTTCACTTGAACTCAAAGGGTAACGATGGTAAAACCAAAGAGAGGTAGACAGAAATTTGTAGGAAAGATAATCGGTGATGTGTGCCAAGAGGGAGAGATTCACGATGTTTGGAAAGGAAATAACTAAAGAATGACGCAAAACGCAAGAGGCGGTAGGCACGAGGAGTTGAAATCAGCGTGAAATATATAATTTTAGGAAGTCGCGAAGACATAGTACTTGACTAAGATGTAATTTGACTACATGTACCTACCTAACCTAAGGTAGGCACCTTAGGTACTTAAGGTTGTATGTTCCCCAGGACATAACAGGTAGGTACATGTACCTAAACATTGAACTCGATGTCACCAGACAACGACATGCCGCCAACTTCAACTTATGGCTAAGGCCACACGGATCAACCAATCACGGTCTAATACTATTTGGTATTTACGGAAAGAGCAACACTGTAACTTCTCGTTTAGTTTATAAAGCGTAATGCTTAGTACCCATTATCACTAAAAACGGTGGCCAATGCTTCACCCTTCTGCCATCGTAATATGTTTTGCACCTGCTGCTGATACCACTCCGTAATATTTTCCTCCTCAACGTAGCCCATGTGCGGTGTTAAAACCACCCGACTTCTACCTCCTTCTCCCCATCTCGTCGTCCTCCACTCGCTAGCCGTAGGCAGTGGCTCGATTTCGTACACATCGATCCCTATGCCACGTATTGATCCCTTCTTAGCTACCTCGAGTAAATCCTCTTCCACCACTATCGGGCCTCTTGAAGTATTTACGAATAGGGCCGACTGTTTCATCTTTCCTAAATCGTTTGCTGTTATTAGACCTCTAGACCGGCCTGAGAGGACCAGCTGGACAGTAGCTACATCAGCAGAGGAGAATAATTCATCCCGACTAACTACCTTGAACGTCTTCTCCCCGTTTCCGTCCTCGACAGGCAACCCAGCAGCTTTGGCTTTCTCATCGGCAGCTTCCTGAGTCAAGTTTGGGCTCCATGCTACGACCTTCATCCCAAAGGCTATGTGCATGATCCTCGAGACGGACACTCCTAATCTACCAAGGCCGATGCTGCCGTACACCTTCCCTGCCAATCCCGTTGCGAAAGTTGTCTGCCAACCTCCGGATTTCATGATAGCATCGTCTTGCGGGATGTTTCTCGCAAGCGCAAGGATCAAGGCGACACAATGCTGTGTCGTAGAGTCTGGACTTGGCCCTTTCACATCGGTACCAGCCACAGGGATGCCGCGCTGGGAACATGCCTTCACGTTGATGGATGCATTGCGACTACCGGTGGTGAGGAGAAGTTTAAGATTTGGTAGCCGATTGATAAGTTCTTCTGGGAATGGCGTCCGCTCTCTCATCGAAGCTAAAAGTATTAGATCTTTCCTACATACTAATCTTCAAGGAATACTTACAAATTATGTCGAACGGCTCAAGGCGCTTAACTAGCGCATCTTTGGCATCTTGGGGAGTATTAGGGTGGTTGTATGGAAGTAGAGTATCGGTGAATATTGTCACCTCATACCCAGAGGATGGTAAGTCATCGAATGGGCTTTGAGAGAGTTTTTGGTAGTCATCTAACACAGCAATCTTCAACGGAGCCATGATGAGGTTAACGACTCAGAAGGCGATGATGGTTACAATTATTTGAATCCTATCAAAAACAAATATGCCTCTTATTCGATTGCCCTATGTAAGACGTATTTCTTAGAGATGTCTCCAAGCGGAGACGATCACGCCTTTGTCGGCTATAATTGTTCTCCACTTTATGCCGAGTATAGTCGCCGGTACCTCCGATGATACCCGATCTCCGACCTCAACCCGGCCCTGAATATGATAATTGTCCATCTCAATAATTTATCGTCGTTCATTTCTCAAATGAAACGATAATTACTCATCTGATATAGATTATCAGGTGTGAAAATATCTACGAGAATACACGTGGAACAATGCAGGCCCCAGTTCCCTGCATCACTTCTGGAATGTTTTCTCCTTTTATCCAGGACCCGAACGTGCAACTGCTGGGGGTTGAAGCGGGCGGTGATGGCTTGGACACAAATCATCATGCAGCTACGCTGAACAGCGTAAGTCAAAGCCCAGGTATCGTGAAAGTAAACACTAATAGCACTGATACTGTGTAGGGGTCACCGGGTGTTCTGCACGGCGTTAAGACATAAATTCTTCAAGAACGTCCAAGTCAAAGATACGAATTCTGTCTCTGTAGGATTGGATTACCCTGGGGTAGGCCCAGAGCTTTCCTCATGGAAGTATAGTGGTAGGGCGAAGTTCATTGCGGTGACAGATGCTCAAGTATTCATAGGGCTCCGCCTCTTATCGCAACTCGAGGCGTCCTCTCGGCTCTGGAAACTGTACATGCAGTTTACGGTGCTATTCAAGTGGCCAAGGTTATGCGAAAGAGTCAAAACATAGTTATTTTCCTCAGCAGAAGGGGGGATAAAAATGACCAGAGTGTGGCAGAACAACTCCCAAAACTTGGTCTGACGATCGGCTGGGTTTTGAGGTGTAAGTGAACAAGCAAGCCAATCCAGATTAAATTGCTGACTTTTCCAGCCGAAGTTCAATAAGAAGAGATTTTAAAATACCCAATCTCAGCAGTTCAAGGTAACGATATCGATTACATGCCTCTTGCAAGCTATCAAGCAGGGCGCTCTAGATGACTTGAAATCGCTTTTTCAACCATATCTCTGAAGACCCTTTGTCTTTCACATTGCTCCAGATAGATAATATATTTGACATCAAGTAGATCTTTCAGTAAGGTGTTCTTTTCTGGCTCCCGAATCTCTCCTTGTTGACCAAGGTTTTGCATGACTGACCATAGGCTACCTGTGCCGCCGGTGGGAGTCTTCATGGTGGCCGTGACCGCTAATATAGCGGCTCCAAAGCAAACTGCAGCGCCTGCTTGTCTAGGGATTATGACTGGCATGTCGCAGGATGTTGCAATCAGCCTGATCAGGTTAGCATTATTAGCGACGGAACCAGAGATAAAGAGTGAATTGATTTCCGTCCCGGCTTCGTTCATTATTGATATTACATGCCGTATTTGAAGGGCAATAAACTCCAGGACGCCGTAATACTGAATAGCAAGGTTGTCGATACTTTTGTCTCCCGTCAGTCCCACCACGGATCCAGTCATGGATGGATCAGCTATTGGCGACCGGTTTCCATATAAGTCACCATAATAGAAGTAGTTTCGTCCAAGGTATGATATGTCTGGTGCCTCGCTTTTAGATCGCATGTGTTCGAGGTGTCTATCAAGGAAGTCGTAAATGCTCAAATCTGAGTTGTTGGCCAATTTCAAGGCAGCATCATATGCCGGATGTACCTCAATGACATGCTGAAGTAGCATTCCTAGCACACCGTTTTATATTAGTTTTTTCACCGCAGGGAGCTTCGAAAGAGTTCTACGAGTCGCAAAACCATGGGAACACACACCTGTAGCCACCTGGCCACCTTCAGACATCCAGTACCCTGGTAAGATCCAATCTTGGTAAGGGCCCCAGATACCCTCCACAAACACAGGCTTTCGTGATGCGACTATGTAGCATGCGGACGTACCAGCAACCACAGCCATCCTCGAATACAGAGGAAAATTTTGCTGGCCGTCAAACCTCAACCCCGCTGTTCCTACCCATCCCGAGTATGAATCAATCGTCCCGACTCCAACTTTAACTTCTGGCTTAAGACCAAGATCACGAGCAGATTTTTCACAAAGATGGCCCGCCGAGGTACCAGCTGGAGGTGCTCTTCCATGCTATTGGAGAGTTAGGGACATAAGAAAGAGCGTCCACGTTTTAACTTACTCGACACACTCCTCCGACTCTTTTGAAATCGTCTGCAGCTAGGATTTCGAGTTGCACAGCCTCCAAAAATTCTCGGCTCCATCCTTTTGCTGTGCCATCCACACCAATATGCAAAGCGTCTCGGGTACAAATTTCAGTGCAAGGAAACAGTTGGTTTCCCGTGGCGATATACGTTAGCGCATCGTTGAGGTCGTAGAATTTGCACCTTCCAAAGTCGGCTTCAGACATGTGGTGCTTCAACCACAAAATCTTGGGCAACTCCATAAGAACTGATATTGAGCCACCAAAGTATTTTAAGAGCTCGTGCTGTGTCTTGTTGATGGCCTCAGCCTCTATCTTAGCTCTTTGGTCCATCCACAGGATGACATTGTGGTCCTTGTCGGTACTCTCCCTTCCACCAGCAGCTACTGGCTCGTTGGTGTCGTGGGTGAAAATAGCAAGCGAGCAAGTTGCGACGAATGCTATGCTGCGTACCGATTCGGGTTGAATCCCACTCTGCGACAGAGCCTCATTTACAGCATAGCACACACTATCCCATATCTTGCTAACGGATTGTTCCTAGAACGAAACGCTTTAGAACAATCATCGATCGGAGTGCAGACAACCCACGTGTATGCCTGGTTGTGGCTGCCACTCGTCTATGGCTTTGGATGCTGAAGCAACTGACCTCCCTTCCTCATCAATGATTAAGGCGCGGGCGGAGCCTGTTCCGACATCCACACCAATATGATGGTATTTGGAACGGTATATGAGACCAGGATCGCTGTCCATTTCGCATCCGGTCGGATGTACTTTTCTCCAATGCAGAATAAGTCATAGGAACCACATATGGACTTGATGATGGTAAGAATAAGAAATGTGAATGCGATAGCTACTATGCAATATTAAGTAAGACAGCTTTTCGGAATTAAGCGATTATTAGCGCTATCTATCTATCGAGTTGTCGCGCCCGAGGTACTTTGGCCAAGGATAAAAGACATGATGTAATCCGTACACTCTTTAATAACTTTACAGAAAGTGGTCGCAAAATAAAGCTAAAAGTAGTCGGAGGTAAAGGATTGTTTATTCTAATTCCGAGAGTTCTTAGAACTGTGTTGCAGCCTTTTGTTATATAATTATTGAAGAGTATAGATTACGTCTTTTGACTTTGGCCAAACTGGCTTATAATCGACCACCATGCCTCAGACTCCGTTTCGCATGAAATCTCGAAATGTATGCGGTCCGAGTCTACTGAGATAATGCTTGCCATCATGATACGAGACTTGATTCTTGCAGTACAGTCCAACCTAGCGCCAGTAGCATGCATCAATATACTATAATAATTATATTCTTATAGGGCGTATGGCTTTCACAAGTACTCCTATAACAAGGTAAGATTAGAGCCCGCAGTATCGCAATACGTAACGTTTAAAATCCCAGCTTATGAAAAGACATCAAAAGCTTGAACGTTTATTATTTACATGAAGTTGCGAAGAGCGAATTAGTATTATACGCAATCCCTACCCCTTCCTCGCGTCTCGTCGCGGTATATTATAATGGGTTTAGATCACAACGTCTTTAATGAAGGTTGGTCGGTCGTCGGGGATGCGTCGGCGTCGAAAATATTAGTCATTCAGATATTTAGGGAGGCTTCTACCTATTTACACGAGACGACACCAAATTCACCAATGTTGTAGATATCATAGTAAAAGACAGGGGCAGTACCGGCGACGAAGAAGATGAGGAACACCGCAATTACTGTAAAACTGTAACTGTATGAACATATTTGACTTTACCACCTTCTAACCGAACCTCATGAGAATCCGGCATATTCCCGAGCGAGTCGAAGGAGCAGAGGACGTCCACGGACCCCATAGTCTCATCAATCACGTACCGCCGGTTACCGTTCGGCTTCTGGCTTCCGCCGTGAGGGAGCGTCGATCCACAAGGCCGCGTTAGCTGAGAGCCCTCGACGCGCTCGCAGTCCGTGCCCCATGGAATAGAGTCGGCAGCCTTAGCATCCGTCCACATATCCAGATACGCGTCCCCCACGCGCTTGAGTTCCTCCCTACCAACTCTCTGCCCCTCCTCGAGCGTTCCCCAGTTCTCCTGTTGGATATATCCTAGTGTCTTCTGGGCGTTGAAGAATAGCGCGCCCGTCGTCGCTGCGATGGTGTCGATCAAGGCGATTGAGCTGGTGTCATTATCTTGATGCCGAATCTGCGTCGAGATGACGTACGGCTTAGAACCGGTCGTCGAGATCAGCATTGTGTAGCTCGCGCATTCTACCGTGTCCGCTGTGGATCTGTTGAGGTCTATCTTCAAGGGCTGGCTTAGCACACCAGTCTTGATGTCCGAGACCTTGTTATTCTGCTGGTAGGTAAAGTTGGCGGCGGATAACTTGAGCCCGTCGATACTTCCGCTGGTTTGAGCAGCAATGTAACTACTTGTCGCAGCCAGTAGTCCTTCGCGAGTGCACTCTGCTGAAACTAAAGTTACACCAGTCACTAGAATCGTGACAGCCGCGACGGCCAGTCTAGTGCTTAGTCTGAACATGGCGAAAGCTCTCTACTATTCGCGGAAGGATATTCCACCGCTATAGCTTCGTGGGATACTGCTGTATCTCCTAAATAGTCGTACGTAGTTTAGAAAAGTGAGTGTGGTGCGAGCTAGTGGCGTTAAATAACAATATAGCCAGATCTTGACGGAGACATTGGAGAAGCACCCAGGTAATATGCCGTGCTTTATGCGGAGGTGATTCCCTACTATATTGACGATCCCCGCGTGAAATATATTAATGCAACGTCAATGTTAGTATGCTTTGAGAAGCCATCTGAATTAGGATATGTATTGCTTCAAGGTCGAAGCAAACACCCATCACTTCCGTCATAATCATCCAGCTTGACCGGATTCCCCATTATGAGGTAGCAGGTGGGAAAAGAAAAATAAGTGTATAAGGGGCATAGTTACGGTATACTCATTATTAGGACTAATATCTTTGAATTGCTCCTATCTAGATTTCCAAAGCAACTAAAATTCGAATATGCAAGGACATTTTCATGGAGAAGCTATAGCGTGAGAACCTATTAGAGTGGACTGCCTACCTATACGGAGCATACGAAACTTCCTAGAAACCCGGAAACTCTGATTCGGATATCCATGTTTCATTTAGTCGAAATAAATATTCGTAGCTAAAGACCCCAAATGCTTTATTTCACTATTTTATTTCGTTTATGTTCCCGGCCAAGAGGATCTAAACTATTTCATGTCCAGCATTTGGCTTCTTTTTCTAAGTGGCGAACCGAGTCGATTGTCACGACTAAAGGCATACGCCGGTCTGATATCCCATGCGATATGCCTGCCGGCTAAATAGTCCGGGAGAAACTCACGCGGAGCATGCAGAATATGGTGATATCGAGCCTTAAATGCCGCCGGTTCTTGTGGAGAATATGTGCCAATCCAACGTAAAGTCTCCTTTTCGTGTCGATCATCGAGCTCAAGAGAGATAATGCGTAGTATTTTCTCCAATATTATTAGGGAGCGGATATTATGTACCTTGAGCAAAGTCAGGTACGTAAACTAGGCGGCTCATATCCCAATAATTAGATACAGCTCATCCGGTAGGCTATTGTCTGAGCGGATGCTTAGCTGGAGATCTCTCGCGGTCTCCATATATGCCTAGCGAACTATTTGAGCTTGAAAAGGACGAGCTTAGAACGCTATATTATTCATTATAACTTGTAAGTTTTATAATATTAGTCTGTATATTAGATAGGCAGCACTATGAAGCGTCCAGCAATATCGTTGACCTTTCTCTCGCTCCTCAGCGCCCAGGTGCTGGGGAAAATGATTTTCCCCGACTGCGTTAATGGGCCTGGAATCTTGACGGGGAATCTTGTCTGCAACACATCTGCTAGTCCCTCAGAGAGGGCAACAGCCCTCATCAGTGCTTGGAATATTACAGAGAAATTGGTTAATCTCGTGGAGTGAGGCAATCCTAAAAGTACAAAGAAAACCCCTATTCGGAACTAACATAGCATTAGCAAGAGCCTTGGGGCACCGCGTCTGGGATTAGGCGCCTACGACTGGTGGAACGAAGCCCTTCATGGCCTCGGATTTTCTCCCGGGGTGGGATTTGCACAGTCAGGAGAATTTTCTCATGCTACCTCCTTCCCTAGCCCGATCCTATTGTCGGCGGCATTCGACGACGACTTAGTCCATGCTGTAGCCGAAGTCATTAGCACCGAAGCTCGAGCATACAGCAATTCGGGACATGCAGGCCTCGACTATTGGACGCCGAATATCAACCCCTATAAAGATCCAAGGTGGGGACGAGGTTCCGAAACCCCAGGCGAGGACCCGTTTCGCATCAAGGGTTATGTCAAGGCCTTGATAGATGGCCTGCAAGGCAAAGAGAATGTCACAAAAGTGATAGCGACTTGCAAGCATTATGCGGCGTACGACCTCGAGTACTGGGGAGGTATAAAGAGATACGAGTTTGACGCAATCGTCGGAATGCAGGATCTAGTAGAATATTACCTCCCTCCGTTCCAGCAGTGCGCGCGAGACTCCAAGGTAAAATCGATCATGTGCTCTTACAATGCTGTCAACGGAACACCCGCTTGCGCTTCTACGTACTTAATGGGGACAGTCCTTCGCGACTTTTGGGAGTGGAACGACGAGAGCCAGTACATTACTAGCGATTGCAATGCCATCTTAAACTTCCACGAGGACCACAACTACACGACCACGGCAGCGCAATCGGCAGCAATATCTCTGATCTCCGGAACGGATAGTATATGTGAAGTCGGCAGCAACACCGATGTCACTGGAGCATGGAATCAAACTCTACTACCAGAAAAGGTCATCGACCAAGCACTTCGACGCATGTACGAAGGACTTATCCGCGCAGGATACTTTGATCCTCCAGACGCTACTCCATACCGGTCTTTATCTTGGAAAGATGTCAACACCCCCGAATCCCAAGCTCTTGCCATTCGATCCGCCGCCGAAAGTATCGTACTAAAGAAGAACGATGGGATTTTGCCCTTAAAAGTCGACAATGCCACTTCGGTCGCCTTGATAGGTTTCTGGTCGGACGCTGGAAACTATGCTATGCTCGGCGGATATGCCGGGATTCCATCTTATCTTCATGGTCCACTACAAGCAGCACAGAAACTTGGGTTCCATGCAGTAAATGCTACCGGTCCTATTAAACAGAACACCTCGGACCCGGATACGTGGACTGAAGCCGCTCTAGAAGTCGCAAATAAGTCAGATATCGTGATATACTTTGGTGGGAACGACATGACGATAGAAGCAGAGGAGCTCGATCGATTCTCTATCGCTTGGCCCAGCGCCCAGTTTGCTTTGATTCAGAAGCTTAGCGCGTTGGGCAAGCCATTTATCGTCGTCGAGCTAGGCGATCAAAATGATGACTCGCCGCTTCTTAGTGATGATAATGTCAACGCTATTCTATGGGCGGGTTTCCCCGGTCAGGATGGAGGCACGGCCGTCTTTGACGTTTTAACTGGTAAGACGGCGCCAGCTGGTCGACTGCCCACCACTCTGTACCCTGCAGGCTACGTAGATCAGGTTCCGATGACAGACATGAGTCTTCGCCCGAGCGAGACAAACCCTGGAAGAACGTATAAGTGGTACGACGAGGCCGTATTACCCTTCGGGTTCGGTTTGCATTACACTACGTTCGAACCCTCATTCGCATCCGATGCTTTTGTGGGAAAAACGTATAATATCAGCGAGCTGCTTGCTGCGTGTAGCGCGAAATACTTGGACCTCTGTCCCTTCGAGACTGTAGGCATCTCTGTTAAGAACATAGGAAACGTGACCTCGGACTTCGTCGCCTTAGCTTTCCTCTCTGGAGAATACGGGCCTGTTCCCCACCCGATCAAGGAGCTTGCTGCATACACACGTGTTAAGGGGGTAAAGCCAGGAGAAGCAAAAGAGGCCAAGTTGGGCTTGACATTAGGGGATTTGGCTCGCGTGGACGAGCGAGGAAATACTATACTGTATCCTGGAACGTATAATTTTCTGCTCGACGTGCCGACACAGGCCACCACCAGTTTCGAGTTGACTGGCGATCCTAAAGTGTTGATCGAGTTCCCACAGCCGCCGACTGATCTTGGGGAAGGTAATGGGCACGAGAAGTATTCGCCGAAATGAGCACCCCTAACACACGATTCTCCTCTAAGTCAACTCACAGGGATAAGAGTTGTACATTACTTGGTGCTGGACGGGCTGTCAACGGCTATTTTCGAAGTTACCCAGTTGCCTGTTATTGGTGAAAGAAGCAGTTTAGCTACAGTGTCTATTCAGATCTTCGCAAATTCCAACTACTCGTAATCGGCGTCTTTATTTCCGGTATACGGCGTCATTGATAGCGAACAGCAGCTATTGTTCCATCACTGTTCTGCTTAGTTAACTCTCAGTAAAGTCCTGGATAGAGTATTTAAACTTGCATATCTTGCTTCTAACCCTCAATAAAAGCCACATCGACCTTAGTATCGCAAAATCTGTAGACAATATCGGTAACTAGATCTTAAAATGTCCACCCCGCCTCACCTGAAATTAAGCGTCCCATTTTGGGAAAGACTCCAAGCCAATACAAAAGATGATCTCACACGAGGCTCGGCATCACTCTACTTTAGAGCATATGGTCAAGCAGACCGTGTCCTTCTACCTAGCCAGTGGCGAGAGGTAGGGTGGACTATCCAAGACTTTGCTTATTTCTACGACTCCCCAGAATATGAGTCGGCTAGGTCGGAATACATAGACCAATGTCTTATGAGATATCCGCTTGCCGCGTTTCCGACGTGGCAGGAAGTTGTCGATGGGATGCAAGTTCTTTTCACAAGACCTGATGCGATCGTTGATTACATGTTTATTAGGCCCAAGATATGGATAAATAAGGAAATCTGGCGACCGCTTGACTATGCCGTCGCGTTTATCTTAAGGCTTCTTAACCATCGGGAGCACATTCACAGCGACGTCGTTGACGGAGGTGAGTTCGTTGATGGAAATGAGTATTGGATGGAGTGGCAAAAAGCTTATGCCCAATTTCTCGGCTCGGTTCAGCCGTTCTATCAGCCCTGGGACAGCTCGGACAAATGGACGGCAGCGTTTCTTCTATACCTTAAGCTTCAATATGAACATGAGATCCACGTGAGGGGTCTTCTAGACGGCGACCCTAAAGTCTTTGCCATTGCATACGTGGAAGGCAAGGAAGGGATTGAAGTTGACCCCAAGGCAAAGGAGAGGTATACTCAGATAGAGGCCATGGACAAATATCATTCCTAAGCTGTGTGTACCCAGCCCTTATAATATTACTTCGGTTGGTGCTGGTTGTCCGACCCGACACGAGCAGCATTTCGAACGGTCCAAGGATACCTTTACGGATACTGAGAAGAAACTGGGTCTTGGACGCATTTTATCCATGATTTGAAATAAGAATTTAAAGTTTTGGTTAGTTATTACATTGTAATTCAAGCGAATGGTCTTCCAAAGACTATATTTTAAATTCCCGCGATGAGTACCTAGGTAGTTGTGAGAATTGGAAACAAATATGTAAGCTACACTCCTAACATCATAAAAATGCAATTGTCCCTTCTATTAGCATCAAAGAAGTTCAATCAGACAAGGAACTCAATATAAAGTAAAAAGTGAAAAGTAAGAATACCAATAAAGAAGCCGGTTATTGTTTAGAGAATTGGCGGGAGACAAAGAGCCTATAGGTATATAAGAAGCTTTGCTGAAGGACGTTGGAATTTGTAATATAGGTATGAATTAAGTAACATCGTCAATATACTACAACATGAGCTCTAACACATCTACGCAAAACGCTGGCATCCAGCAGAACACCTGGCAGGAGAAGAATAGACGAGTGCTTCTACCTTGGATGGACGGCCCCGAAGAGATTAAAAATGAAGTCCGACTTGTCTACAAACAAAAGCTGCCGCATCTAGATGCGGTTGCTGGAGAGCTAGCACCTCTCCTCGGTCTCGGCGACGGCTTGATAGCCAAGCAGCGGATGCAGAACCTATTTACACACCCGGCACTTCTCGACGCCTTCGTCGAATTCGCCGAGACGTACCTCGAAGGAAATTGGGACCTTCCGGTTGGCGAATGGGAGGCGGTCCACAAGCTCGCACACGCCCACGCCAACGACGCCAGCTGGGGTTTGGACGCACCTCCGCCCCGGGAGGATTGGAATGTCAATCATTTCTACGCCCGCTTCATACTCCGAACGTTGGCAAGACTTAGAAACCCCGACGATGTCCCACGAAATCTTGCGTATTGGCTCGGGGAGGCTAACCCATGCGACGCGGCGTGGCTGCTCATGCACGTCCTGATGTATATGCAATGGGACGCGATGCGGGACTATAGAAAACACGCTCCCGTGAAGGACCGTATTAACCATTTTGTTAATATGTGGAAGGCGGACGTGGCGTATAGAGAACCTAGTAACTGATTAATGCATCTCGACTCTTTTGATAATGGAAATATAATAGGTGCGTTAGCTTTTAGATTAGATATTATAAGTTGTTATACAATTAAGTATACCATCTAAACCAACTTTTGATCCTATGTTTCGGTGGTGAGTGTTGACTAGTTATTCTTAATTTATTCTTTATGAAGTTGGTAGTAGGTAACGTGGTACAGTAAATAAGCTTAACTACGGGTGATATTGAAACTGCTTGAAACTGCTTCGGATTTTTTTTATGGTTCTAGACTTCTAGTTGACTTAATCTCATGACTCGCAATAGGCTCAACACTATTAAGGCACTACCAAGATAGTGTAAAGACAAAGAAAGAGGAGGACAAATGTAAAATCAAACGAAGAGAGTCATGTATGCAAAGCTAACTTAAAATGACTCGGGATGAATTATTATTTGTTGTTAGACCCTGGCTTCTATTACGTAAGTCGGTATGTACAAGGGACAAGGGACGTGTTTATCAGATTGAGCAAACTGCCGGCCGGCAAAGAATTAGGTACCTAAGGTTAGGTACTTTACCTACCATACCGGCAATATGTGGTTTTGAGATATCATATTTTGGGGGTGGAATGATTCTTGTACAGGATATCCTTGCTTATACAAGAATGGTTTCTCTGATTGGCCCAATATATTATTGTAATATTAAAAAATGCAAGTGTGGGTAATAAGGTTTGACAACGGACCAATTGTCAACAGCACTAGTGGACTGGCCACCCACTAGAGCCGTTAGCTCAATCAAAACACTCCCGCATTGCATTAGCGGCGATGTTGTGGTGGGGCTAGGAGCCTGGGGTTCGAGTCCCAGGCATCCTAGCTTTTTTGATTTTTAAGCTTTTTTTAAAGTCATGTGACGTAACCCCACTTATTATAGCCAATCAGAGCTTGAGATTCTAAGGAATCATTCTTTTACAAGGAATGATTATTTTCAAAAGAATGATAATCTCGTAAAATATCATATTTCTCATTCTAACCTTTGTTATGGCTAATATGATACTTTACACAAGGAATCATTCCTGAAACCCATATAATGCCAGTACGGTATTTATGCCAAGTTTAACCAGTCAGAGGCTTAGTTGTTGGCTCCACATTTAGCCGTTCTCGCTTTCAGAATAACCCCCGGCACAGCTCGAACCCCTTTTACGCTTTGCCGGGTTTCTTTGCTCCTCGCTCTTTCGCCTCTTCGCATTAGTGCTCCGGATATAGGAGCATTACCAATCTTTTTCTTCAAGCGAGGCCCTTCCCAGCAAATGATTTTTCATTCATCATGGCGTTTGCACATAGAGGGAGAACTATTACTTTTAGATCTAGAAAGCCAGCGCATATTGGCCAACTTCATAAATCATTATAATAATTCATAATTATCATATCATATGTCATGGACTTATTCCTAAATATTCCCTTTAGCGACGTTGAGGTGTGATGAGGACGTGAACCTGTCATCGATCTCACCGACTAGCTGCCTAACCATAGATCTCGTCTCCCTGGCTCCGCTATTATACACCCTTGTCTATTATACAGATCACCGCTACTACGTACACAGCTAGGCTGGCTAGCTCACCGGCTCGGAGATAATAAATTTTCTCCTTTTTGAGCTGTCCTCGCCTCAAATATCGTTCGCTCTTTGCTTCATCAACTGGCTGGGCATACATCATATGTTGACAGACCAACATCAACGAAGATTTGCTTGAGTACGCCTTCAACCCTTTCGCGTCGGGACCATGTCGGACCATGAGGCTGCCACGCTAAACGTCCGCGACGACGAGAAACTCGACGACTTAGAGCAGGGCGCGAAACCATCTAGTCATAACACGCGCCGGAGCTCCTCGGCGAGCACCGCGCAGGACGAAGACTCTTCAAGAGGTGGAAATGTGCCCACTGCCGCTACTACAGCCGTGGGCGAACCAGATAATGCCCCGTCCGAGGGCGCTGCCCCCGCTGTTCAAGCTGCGGAGCCCGAGGCAGGACGTACCAAGTTTCAGACGACCGTTATTATTTTCGCGTTATGCTCAGCGCTGTTTCTCGCCGCCCTCGACGTTACCATCGTCACTACCGCCATCCCCACCATCACCGAGCAGTTCCAGTCGCCGGCCGGTTACACGTGGATCGGCGCGGCTTACCTACTGGCAAACAGCGCCACGGTCCCCAGCTGGGGAAAGATCAGCGATATCTGGGGTCGCAAGCCGGTGCTCTTGGCGGCCGTCGCCATCTTCTGGATCGGTTCGCTGATATGCGCGTTGAGCATTAACATCGGCATGCTGATCGCCGCCCGTGCCATCCAGGGCATCGGCGGCGGCGGCATCGTCGTGCTCACTAACATCTGTGTTAGCGATTTGTTTTCCATCCGCAAGCGCGGCATGTACTATGCTTTCTTCGGTATGGTCTGGGCTATAGCTTCTGCGATCGGTCCTATCTTGGGCGGTGTCTTCACTTCCAAGGTCACCTGGCGCTGGTGCTTTTACGTGAACTTGCCCATCAGTGGCGTGGGCTTCTTCGTCCTCCTATTCGTGCTTAAGTTACACAACCCGCGCACGTCTGTCTGGGAGGGCTTGGCTGCTATCGATTGGCTCGGTAGTCTTCTCATCGTCGGCGGCACTCTTATGTTCCTGTTCGGGTTAGAATTTGGTGGCGTCACGTACCCCTGGAACTCGGCGCCGACGATATGTTTGATCGTGTTCGGCATAGTCACCGTCGGCCTGTTCGTTGCCGTTGAGAAGTGGTATGCTAAGTACCCCGTCATTCCGCTTCGGCTTTTCCAGTTTGGGAAGAACATATCGCCTTTTGGCGTTTGCATGGTTCACGGTGTTGTCTTCATCTCCGGAAGTTACTATTTGCCATTGTATTTTCAGGCAGTCTTGGGTGCATCATCGCTACTCTCGGGTGTCTACTTGCTCCCGTACGTGCTCTCGCTTTCGTTCATGTCCATCGGCTCGGGTATATTTATGAAGAAGACGGGCAAATACTTACCGGCCATCATCTTCGGCATGTTCTTCATGACGCTTGGATACGGGCTATTTATCGACCTCGGTGCCCAGGCGAACTGGGCAAAGATAATCATATTCCAAATTATTGCGGGTATAGGTGTAGGACCGAACTTCCAATCACCGCTCATAGCTTTACAAACGACCGTCGAACCCCGCGATATCGCTGCGGTGACATCAACCTTCGGCTTCGTCCGTCAACTCTCGACATCCATATCTGTGGTTATTGGCGGCGTAGTTTTCCAGAACGGAATGGAGAAGCAGTACCCGACCTTATTAGCTCAGCTTGGACCAGAACTGGCCAAGCAGCTTTCCGGCGGGAGTGCAGGTGGTAATGTTGGCCTTGTAGCCTCCTTACCCGGTATCCAAGGCGAAATAGCTCGCGCAGCTTACTGGAACAGCTTGCGCGATATGTACATTATGTACGCAGCCTTCGCTGGGGTGGGACTTCTCATCAGCCCATTTGTCAGCCAGCGACAGCTCAGCACTCAGCATCACGAACATAAAACAGGCCTTCAGAGCCTACGACAAAACGGCGAGGGCGATAAGCCTACGGAAAAGACTGCACAATAGCGCAGGTTTCTTTATATTGATAGGTGTAGATTTCACGATAGATGACCTGATGGGATACTGGCATTTCGGGTTTGATGAGCATCAAGGACATTTAGGATCGGATAATACATAAAATCTAGAGGATGATATAAGTATTTACTCACGACTACGACCTACACAGTGATACCCAGATTTCGCTATTGGCTAAGGGTTACATTTGCTGGGCTACATATAATAAAATAATTTACAAATGTATAATCTCCCCCCGGGCTACCAGTTAGTTAATGGACTATGGTGAATGATGTATATATGTTCTCGGATGTAGTAGATCCTACTAGTAGCACGGGCTATTAGATCTAGCCGTTACCACAAGATAGGGGTAACAAGACCTAAACCTAGTTCATACGCTTGCATTCTGTATGTCGTCCTTTAAGGTATTGTCCTCTATTTTTACTGCAGACTTAGACGTAGAGTGTTATAACAAGCAAGCCTGCCAGAGTTTCGTGGCATAGTATGACTATTCGTAGTATTTAATGCCGTAGCTAATATGACTGAGTTGATCAAGTCGGACGTGACAAGCGCTCCATGCTAAGCCAGTAATCATATCCTTAAATGTCCTATCTATTCGCAACCGTTGCTCTGAATTCCCATGATGTAAAAACGCCAGGTCATACATTAGACAGGCATTGGAAAAAGCCGGAAGAGCGTATATCCCTTCTTTCGGCCCTCAGTAGCATCGCTGAATTTGGAGAGTCGTTGATATACCACTATCCTTAACTGACCATATTATTATGATCCCGCGTTCCCAGCCACAAATTCGGTTAGACAGCGCCGATGACCAGAAAGTCTCTCGATACGAGGAAGATGACAACAGACGGTTCAATAAAAGACCGGAGGGGAGTTTCGCTTAACTCGGTACCAAGCCCATCTTCTTCCACAGCGCGAGGATGAGCTGAGACATAACAGCCATAATCGTTGCAATAACCGCAACCACTATGGTGAGAACCAACACAACTCCGATAAATATCCCGATCCCGCGCCCGAGCTTCATAAGCAAGCATAGCTTGCTGGAAGAATCCACACTTGTCTCCTGGGACTCGAGGGTGGAAGTATTCTGTTTGGAGAGACTCATAAACGGCTCCTGCTCCTCGACCTCTGTGTTTGTCGATTCCTCGCCGTACTCCAGGGATGGCTTTCCGCGCTCGTTTCCGTAGCCGCCCTCCGCGCGGTCTAATTCGTCAAGTGGGATAGACATGTTCTGATCTTGCTTTTTATGCTCGCTGGCTGCAACTTCGTAGATTAGGATAGGTGCCTGTTAAGAGACTGTGATAAAAGGAGATGAATCACGTATACCAAGTCTGGCGTGTAAAAGGGCAAGTTATAATAAGGTAATAAGGTTTACGGTATTCCGACAGCGCCTCTTATTATATATGTGCAGAAACTAGAAATTAACCCTACTATGTATAAACCTTACATCGTAGCTACGCCCGTGCTCGGTATCGAGTTGCGACTTAAAGCCTCAGCTACGTCAGATGCGGACACCGATCGATATTAGTTTGCCTACCATGTACACGTACTTTAAGGCATCTTGATTGACCTATTCCATATTAACAAAACCAGTTGCCTTCTATTAAATCTAAATCATTACGTCTATTGCTTTCAAGGACGAATGTTCTATCTAAATTCTCTAAGCCCGCTTGCTCCCGATTAGGTTTTCCCTTTTATTGCGCAGACACGACGTGAAATATTTAATCGCGAATAACGATGGTACAAAAGAAACCAATATAACCGATACTCCTTAGCGACCTAGTTACGCCGTATATACCTAACTAAATAGCGACAGCGACGAGTGTGCGTTAGCAGTCGGGTACACTGACAGGAATGTTAAGTGGTACACTCGTAGCTAATCCGCTGAGACTTGTCTCTTTGAACTCGTTTCGCATCCCTTGGGCAGTGACACGCATGGCACGGATAGCATCGTCGAGCCTAACCTTTGACGCGCTAGCTTCGCTGCTGAGGGCTAGGTTCGCGCTTGAGATGGCTTTGATAGCGCCCAGAGCATTGCGCTCGATGCATGGAGCTTGAACTAACCCGCCGATGGGATCGCATGTCAAACCAAGATTATGCTCGATACCGATCTCAGCTGCTTGTTCGATCGTCTCAGGGCTAGCACCCATACAAGCCGCGAAGGCCCCAGCTGCCATCGAGCAGGCCACGCCGACCTCAGCCATGCAGCCTCCCTCGGCCGCCGAGATAGTAGCACCACGCTTATACAGCATACCAATTGCCGCTGCTGTCAGGAGGAAAGTGAGGACGTCGCGCTCTGGATCATCGCTAATGAACTCGACCGTGTACTTGAGCACGGCCGGGATAATACCCGCAGCACCATTAGTGGGTGCTGTCACGATCCGGCCCCCGGCTGCATTAGTCTCGTTGACCGCAATTGCATAGACGGTTAAATAGTCCATAGCAGGAAATGTGGTACGACGTGGAGGCGACGGCATGACGGGATGATAGATGGAACCAACCATGCGCTTAGGGCCTTTTTTGACAATGCTTCCTAGTGCTTGCGTTTTTGGTTTCGAGGACACGGATATACTCGTAGCTGTGGATGATACCTTGCTATTGTCGCTAATTGGGGAAGACAACTGAGCTGGCCGGTCGGCTGTGCTAGGAGTTTGGGTATGAGAAGGATAGAGGCCCCTTGTCAGTCGTTTATATAACCCCGGCGCCCGTCTATGTAGCTTGAGCGAGCCCGGTAGTGTGGCATCGGTGGGTGCCTGAACCCCTTCTAGTATACTGTTATCCATGACTTCCCATATGCTCATAATCTTCTTATAGATTTCGTCGTCCGTGTACCCGTGACTTTTCTCGTTCTCGTACACTAATTGCGCAATAGTAAGATTGTGCTTATTGCACAGTGCTAGTAGACTTCTAGCGTCACGGAATGGATAGCGAGGTTGTTGCGAGGTGGGCTCAGTCCCAACGGCTTCAGATCCTGATGCTGTAGATGAGACGGGAGAGCTTTTAGGGGTCGCCTCTGGGCTAGTAACGGCCTTCGACTCGTCAGCAGAGTCGCCATCGAGTACTTTGATCTCGGAGCCGGTTCTGCGGTCTCCCGCCGCATTTGCTCGTTTAATCTCTTTATAAAATAAATTCTCCGCCAAGTCAGCCGGGTGCCCGCTAGTATTTTCCGTTTGAAGGTCTTTGGTATCAGCCAAAGCCTGATCCGCAACTTCACTTGCCGCCGCGGCAGTGGACGCTGTCGAAAGTGCACCGTTGACGACGAAACCACCGCCAACGCTAAAGAAGTCGTTGGTTGCCAGAAGCATTCCTTGATCATCGAATACCATAAAGCGCATTCCGTTGCTATGCAGGGGTAATTTCTTTCCCCATTCCCACTTGAAGTCGCGCTCATAATCAAAGTCGATTTCTTTACCTTTACCCTCTGCTAGACCATGACCCAAGAATAACTTCTTGCCTTCCTTGATCTGCTTAAAGCGAGTAGGTACATAGGCCGTGTCAACAGTCTCTACGTCTGCACTCTCAAGGCCTAGTAGTAGTGCGGATGGTGTCATGCTATTAAAGACTAATGTTAGTTAAGATCCCCAATCTGATAGTATCAGAGAAACGAGAAACCAATTTGACCCTGGGATGGTTAGATACGAAACAGATAGATTACTTACTGGCCCTCTCCCGTGAGCGCAAGACTACCATAGATTGAGATGCGTATCTTATGTACTTTGTTAAGCAAGTCGGCCTCGGCTAGATCAGCAACAAAGATACCGCCAGCGCGCATTGGTCCAACCGTATGGGACGATGAAGGACCAATGCCGATCGAGAAGAGATCAAATGTCGATATAACGGCGTGCTCATGATCGGCTTCACTATATGTGCCTGATTGTGCATCTTCATTATCCTCTGAGCTCGATGGTGCCGTGCTGAAATATCGTGTATGCAGCAGAAATGATGGGCGTGCTATTACTTGTTTAAATCTGGACTGCTTCGTCTCGACTAAACCAGGCCGCCATCTGTTTGTCATTCGCCGTGATGCTACGCTCACAGGACCACGAAGCAGGTTGAGCTGCTTCACCGCTGCGCGGTTCATTGTGTGACTCGATAAGGATTATGAATAAATATGGATAAAGGGATAGTGATGGTGATAGTGATAGTGAACGAATAAGTAAATAGGAGGTAAGTATGTATGAATTATGCCGGGTATCTATAGCAATAATAATGACTATCCTCAAGGACCTTAATGATTTATTTACTTGAATCTGACCGGCTGAACGGCCTGGCCGTCAGAAAGAAAAAGATGAGGTTCAATCCGTAAATGTTGTTAGAAGTAAGCGTGATCCAATAATATGCTGCCGATTTCCAAAAATACGAGCTTGGGTTTCCAATTGGAAGCTAGGGCCAAGGACTTTCCTGGAGAAAGATCTATGATATCCGGATCTACATTTACGGCGGGGTGCTTTAATTTGACGGCTAGTCAAGCAGGAAGGCAGGTACTCCGCAAATACCCGGACCCATATAGATTTGTATGGGAAATCACAAGGAAATCTAAGAGATAACGAAGTAGATAGGCAGTTACGATAATGGTAGATAGTGCATAAAATATGGACACACAACAGAGTATCGAGTCAATCTTTATATTTGAATTATACGTTTATTCATATGAATTCATTTATCGCCATGTAAACACACTAATACAGCCCTCTTTGCCAGGATTCTAGATGATACATCTAGAACACAGAGCATGTTCGGTATATAGCCGTAGGGTCCCGTAGTTAGGTTAGAGTTCTTCGCGGAACAACGAAGTTGTTCCCTTACTGTTTGGTTCCACCTCGTGACGCTCTTCTAGTTCAACATCTAATCACGATCCTAGCGTTCAGTCTGAAATTTTCATGATACACAAAAAATGCGCCTTCGTCTGCCACTTTGAGGTCGAACTCGAACCACCCTCTTACTATATGTCGAGTCACACAAAGACATATACTCATTCTTCATAACCGTCGTGGTAACGTAATGTTCCTCAGATCTCCATCAAATAGAGTAACCATGGGTTGATGGTACTTCCTGCGCCATACCTAGCAATTATAAAATAAATATAATCGCATCTTGACCAATCGATATAGTGATTATCGAACGTTAACAATCCTTCTGTACTGGTGCTACAGCTTTGGCCCCTTTAAGAGCCTTGACCAAGCTCGACCACTGGATCTTTAATACCTTCGCGTTACCTCTCCACTCGCCATCACACCTTTTACCTGACGGGTGAGGGCGATGGAACATACACCAAAATTTTGAGTGGTCCTCGGCATCGACAAATAGTCTGATCTTAGGGATTTTGGACTCCTCAAGAAACTTGAGGAAGTTTTGGAACGGCTCTTTCGTGACGAATAGAGGCGCCGATATCACCATTCCCTTCCACTTTTCGGCTACAACACGAATATTATCGTAGACGAAGAGTTCGTCTTCGTAGCCCCAGAACTCGTAGCATGGAAAGCGACTTCCGATCTCCAGTCGTAGGCTCTGGAGTTTCCCTCTCGAGGCCATTTCTTGTAAGGCTGTGCCGTACGCCTCGCCGAACAGATACATCTGCTCCTTCATTAAGAACCTGATGATCAGATTTCGAACGTGAAGCCGAGGAGTTACCGCAGTAAGCGAGCCGGCCAAGAACGGATCAGCGGTCCCTTTCAGGTGCATATTATCGAGTAGGACTTCATAGTAAAATATTGAAGCGGCTTCCGTGTATATTCGTTTATTCGTAAGGAAAAGGTGGACAGCATCCTTGCTAGTAGAATCCCAGTCGAGCAGGATGAGCTTTAGGATGTGGTCTCTTAGCTCGGGAGGAAGATCAAAGAACCGAAACGGCCCTTTCCAGTGTCTGGTGGGAGAATGTCTTGTTGATGATGCCTTTGGGCGGAATGCAATGGATCTACTCCCGAATTTTCCCATCGCTGGGCCCAGGGAAATCCGCCGGGTCAGCCGCCACCTATATAATAACAACTCAAACCGGGATTTATCTCCAGATTTCAGCTCCGGATTACTCTTCTAGAAATGACAATGACAAAACTCCTTGCTTTCCAAACGCTGTATAGATATCTGGATTTGCCATATATTGCGTAGACGTCTTGTGTAGGTGAAGTGTTATTCAAAGAAACATGAAAGGGTCGCGGAATGACGGATTGTTTGTATATCCTCACCGATTTATGTAATTTATACCAAAGGAGGTACCTATTGTTAATTACCCCACTTTATTCCGTAAAGTACAATGTAACCGCTGTGCGTTTATGCTTACGAATATAAGGATTTATGATGTAGTATTACGATTAGTAATAGTATTTAAGTAAGTTGCGTAATATTGTTAATTATTAAATTTATGTAAAAATTACGAAAATAATTATATATATAATTAAAGTTATTTTATAAGCGGTAATGTTTTATTAATGGTTAATTTATATGTAATAACGGATTTATATTATTTTCCTTTTTTTATATAATTATTTTTAATTATTATAATGTTTTTTTTTAATATATTTTAATTTAATTGTTTTTATAAATGTTATTTATTTTAATTTAATAATTTTTTATTAACGTATTATATGTTATAAATTAAATGTTTATTTTAAACGTAAGTTAAAAATAAATTAATATTATTATATTTGTTTTATAATAATATATTATTAAAGTTTTAAATTTAATATATATTATTAACGTAATAATTTTTAATAATTTAAAGGTTATTATAATAAAATTTATATTTAATAATTTATTATTTTATTTATAATATTTAATTTTTAAATATGTATGTTTTAATTAAACTTTTTTTTTTTATAAATATGTACGTATTTAATCTTTTATTAATTTATTATTATTAAAATTGTTATAAGTTAATAGTGTTTTATGTTATATAATTAATTGTTTTATAAATAATATTTTTTCTTTTTTTATTTTTTTATATGTGTATTTATTATATTTAGTTAATTATTAATTTTATAAAAGTTACGTGTTAAATATTAAATAAAAATTATTATATTTTCCCGGTTTAAAAGTATAATTATATATGGTTAATGTTTTTTTTAATAAATTAAAGAAATTTATTATGGGATTTGTTTAATATTTATGTAATATAATTTTTTTAATATTTTTGTTAGTTTTTTTTATTTTATTATTTTTTTTTAATTATAATAACGTAAAATGTTTAATTGTTAAATTTTTTTTTTATGTTTATTTAATAATATTTACGTTTATAAATAATTTTATATTATTATTAATTTATTTTTTTAAGTAATTATATATATTGTTAATATATGTAAGTAATGATTAATATTTAATAAATGCGGTATTTTATATTAAATATATTTTAATTTATTTTATAATGTATTTTACGGTTATTAATAAAGTGTATATAACGATTAATATATAATTAATTATTTATTGCGTTAATAGTGTTAAAAGTTAAATTGGTTATAAATTAAATAGTAAAAAATTTGGTTTTTTTATTAATTAATAAACGGGGTATTTAACGATGATTTATTATATGGTTAATGTTATATTTAAATGTTAATATTATTTTAATGTTTTTTTTTATATGATTTTAATTGTAATATAGTTTTAATTGTGGTAAATCTTATGTAATTAAATAATTAAATTATTATATTTTAATATTTTTTAAAAGTTTACGGTTTTATGTGTTGTTTTTATTATATGCGGCGGGTTTTTAAAAGTTTTATTATATTTAATAATTTTATGTAAATATTTTTTATGGATAATAAAATGGTTATTTGTTTATTTTTTTTTAATAATATTTAATAATATTGTTTTAAATTATAAGTATTTGTATATTATTTAAAGGTTTATTTGATTTAATTTATAAAGGTATTAAATTGTTTTTTTTACGGTATTTTTATTTGTTAAATGATTTAAATTTGTTTTATTAAAAGGTTTTAATAAATAATTAGTTAAAATGTTGGTTTTATTTAAACGATAAATGATTTTAATGTTATAATATTTAATAATATTAAAAAAATAAAAGATTTTAACGGGTTATTTAATTTTAATATTAATTATTTTTAATGATTTATGATTTATAATTATTATAATATTTTTTTTTTTTATTTAATGTTATTAATGTTAAAATGTTAATATGATTTTTAATAGTTTTTTTTTTTACGTTAAATAATATATTTATGTATTTGTTAGTTTTTTAAAAAAATAAGTTATTAAATGAAAGATTTATTAATTTTTATATGTGTATAATTATAAAATAACTGTTTTTATGTGTTTTTTGTTAATATTTAATTTTAGTATAAATAGTAATTTTTAATCGAATTTTTATACGATAAGTATTATTATAATAATGTTACGAATTTGTTTTTAAATTGTTTTTATTATAATGTTAAGTTTTATGGGTATATTTTTATATTTTTTTGTTAATGTTATAAATGGGTTTAATATTTTTGAGTAATTTTTAATAAAATTTTTAAAGTATTTAATAATGTTAATAAAAATTTTAATTTATATGGTTATTTTAAATATTAGTTTATTTTTAATTATTATAATTTTTATTAAATTAATTTTGATTTTTTTTTTTAATATTACAAATTTTAAAAATATTTCTTTTTTAATAAATATTTGTGTTTTAACGGTGTTAACAATTATATTATATTTAATAAATTGTGTAAATATTATTATAATTTATTTATAAAGTTATTTTTTGGTATTAATTTAAATGTAAATATCATTTAATAATTTAATTATTTATTTACGGAATAATTTTAAAATTTTGTTAATTAATATTTAAAATATTATTGGTGTGTTTATTAATTTAAACGGTATAACAATTTATTTGAAAATTTTAAATAATATTACGAAAATTATTTTTTTACAATTTTTTTGTCGGATTTTAATATATTAAAAATCGTTTTTTAAGTTAATAAATATATATTATTAATATTTTATTATTTGTTAAATTTAATTTTAAACGTTAAATAATAAATATGCATTTTTTTTAATATATTTATTTAATTTTTTATAATTATAATAAAAGTGTTATATAATATTAAAATTATTTTTATTAAATTTAATAATTTAATTTAATACTTTTTTAAATGTTAATAAATATAATAATTTTTACAGGTTTTTATTTTTTTATAAAATTTTACTTTTATAAATTTTTATAAAATTTCGTAATGTTTGTTTTTAATAAAAGTTATATTATTTTAATGGCAGTTTAATTAAAAGATTATTTTTTATATTAATTTTATATTTTATTTTTAATTTTACGTTTATACATTTTTTTATAATATTAAATAATTTAAAAATTTTTTATTTATATTAAATTAAATACTTATTGATTTTAAAATTATTAATTGGTATATTTTTATGCCATTATATTTTTATTAATATATTAATTATTTTATAAATAATTTTTTTATTAAGTATTTTTGATAAATAATAAATTAATAAATCTTTTATTAATTTTAAGGTAAGTTTATTATTAAATTTTTTTAAATATATAATTTTATTAAATAAAAATTTTTTATAATAAACTTTTTATTTATAAAAAATATTTTATTTTAACGTAAAATTATTAAAAAATGTTTTATTTAAAATTACTTTTATTATAACGGTAAAAATAACGTTATAACCGTTTAATGTTTTAAATTTTGTATAAATAATTATATTTTACTTAATTTATAATTTAACTTTTCCGATTTTTATTATTATAAAAGGTTTTTATAATTAATATTTTATTATATTTTTAGTTAAAAATTTTATAACGTAACATATTTTATAACCGTAATTAAAAAAAATTGTAAAATTTTTACCGTTATATATTTATGTTTTAAATATGTTATAATTTTTTTTATATTTTTTTTAAATAAGTTTATTTTTAAATAATAATAGTTTTTTATTTTTATTTATTTTAATTTAATAAACGTAATTTTTTTATTTATTTTGTTAATAATTTTATAAAAAATTATTAAAAATATTTATAAAAGTTTATTTTAAATTTTTATTATTTAACGTTTTTTTATAATTATTATTATTTTCGTTATTTATTTCGTTATTAATAAATTAAATTTTTTTATTGTTTTTATTTTTCCATTTATTAAATATTCTTTTAAATTTTTTAATAAAACTTTTATTATTTTTAAAAAACGTTTTTTTAATGGTAATCTTTTTACCGTTAAATATTATTTTACGTAAAAATTATAATTTTTTATTGTAATTTTTAATTTAATGGTTTTTTTTACTGTAATTAAAATATTTATTATTAAATAATTTAATTATATAATTTTAATTATTTATTATATTAATTTGTTAATTATTTTAATTAAGGTTAAATATTGTTATTTTTTATATAACGTTAAATATTATTTATTGTATATTTTTTTATTAAATTTTGGTTTTTTTAAATTTACCGGGTATAGTTTTACCGATGTTTAAATGATAAAATAAAACTGTTTTATTTTGTAATTAAATTATTATTTTTAAAGTGTTATAAATTTTATTTTTTATTGTTATTTATATTATTATTTTAAATTGTTTTATGGTTTTTTTAATTAATTTTATTATGTTTTACGTTTTTATATAATTGTAATATATTAGTTATATTTTTAATACGTGTATATGTAATATATTAATAAATATTTTATGTGTTTATTTTATGTTATATATGGGTATTAATAAACGGTAATAAGTTTTGCGAATGCGTTATATAAAGTTAATTAAGTTTTTATTTTAATATAATAATAATGTTATAAACGTTATTATTAAATTGTAAAATATATGATAATTTATTAAAATTTATAAAATGGTTTTTATAAATATTATTTAATTAAACGTTTGTTTATATGTTTATATTATTATTTATTAAAAATTTTTAAATAATTTTATTAATATTTATTATAAGGTTTTGTTTAATGTAAAACTTAATAAATTAAAAAAAAAAAGAAAAAATCTTTTTTACGGGTTATTTTAATAATGTAATTAACGTATAAATAAAATAAGTATAATAATTTATTTAATAATTTATATAAGTTATTATAGTAATGATGTTTATTAATAACTTTTTCATAAAAAATTTTTAACGTTTTTGTTAGTTTAATTTATTGTAAATACATCGCATTTTTTCATTATGTCGTTAATTTATTGCATTTATTACATCGTTAATTTATTACATTAATTCATCGCATTTTATCGTGCCAATT